TAAATACCTCCCTTTTATTAATAATAAGAAATAAAAGCTATATTTAAGTTCTTTTATAATGATTTAAGTAATTATGCTTATAATAATTAAATTAGCTATAAGCATAATACTTAACTTTACTTATTAAAATTATTATAATATTAATGTTTATAATTTCCGCCCCTTAAATATAAGTATTATTCTTTTTTATTATAATATTAAAAACGCTTTTATATTATTATAAGGCAAAGTAAAAAGCTTTAAATATATTTAATTACTCTTTATAATTAAGCTAAGCTTTTATTATAAAGGTTAAGTTATTAGTTATTAATAATATTTTATATTTATTTAATTAATTTTAAGCTTTTATTATATAAGTTAATTAATTAAATTAAGCAATAAATTTTATTATTTTTCCTTATAATATTATTATAATATAATTAAGTTAAGTTTAATATATTTTTACTTAAGAAAATCCTTAAGTATAAGGTAAATCTTCTTTAACAAACTTTTTAATTATTTTTTAAATATCTTTATAAAATTAATATAAAGTAAAAATTAATTATAAAAAGCTTTTAGCTAATTAAATATATAAAATAATTAAACCTTTTTAATATTAATTACTTTTTTTTTATTTATTATAAACTTTACCTTTATTTTTATTAATTAAGTTACTAAGCTTTCTTAAAATAAAAGCTTTATAAAATAAAAAAATGCTTAATAAGTTATTATTATTCCTTTTATATCTTATTATATTAAATATTATATAATTATATTATATATTTATAATATTAAAAGATTTTTAATATATATTATAAGCTAAACTTATATTTTAAAGTTATAAGGTATTTAAATAAGGTTAATATTAAAAATAAGGAAGAAAAAGCTTTTCTTTTTTTATTTTATATTAAAGTTTATTTTTATAAGGCTAAAGCTTATTAATTAATTATAATAAGCAAAGCTTAAATTATAATAATTATTTATTAATACTTTAAAGTATTTAAAGTGCCTTGCATTTTATAAAGTATTTAAGGGTTTTTTAAGGGTTATAAGCCTTAAGGGTGTTATGCAAGTGCCTTAAGGAATATTAATTGTAAACAAGGGTTTTTAAGGGTGTTAATTATAAGTAAGGGCTTTTTAAGGGTGTTAATTAAGGGCTTCTTATGTTAATTGCAAGCAAGGGCATTAGTAATTAAGGGTATTGCAAGGGGTTTTTTAATAATTAAGGAAGGTTGCAAGGGCTTAAGAATATTATAAGGAAGGCTTTTAATGTAATGTTTTTAATTATATTTAATAAAAGGGTTAAAGGGATAGTTTTTTTTATATTTATAAATATTTATAAATAGCTTTTTTATAAGGGTTTTATATTTATAAATAACTTTTAAAAACTTAATTATTTATGCTTATTAAATAAGCATTAATTAATATTAATTTAGCTTTTATCTAATTAATAATAAATAAATAAAGTATATAATTAATTTAATTATAATAATTAAATATAAATTATAATAAAGTTACAGCTTATATTTATTTAATTATAAGTTAAGTAAGGTAGTTTATATATTATTATATATAATTATTAATTAATAGCTATTATTAATAAGATTAATTTAAACCATGCACCTTTAAATTTATGCATTATATATATGCACTTCTTGCATAAACACGTTATGCTTATATATATTATTTTTATAATAAGTTTAAAGTACTTATATTTAATTAAATAAAGGTTAAGAAAGGAAATTAAAAATATTAAAAAAAATAATAATTTATCCTTAAAAAATGAAAAGTTATTAATTACATAATTAAATTAAAAAAAATTAAATTCTTAAAATAATAAATTTATAAAGCTATATAAAGCATAATAATAATTATTATTATATATTTACTTTATATTTATATTATATATATTTTTATAATTAAAGTAAATATAAGAAAAAAAATTAAAAATTAAACTTAATTAAAGATAAAATAAATTGCTTTTTAAACTTTATTATTTAAATAATTTAAATTAAGTAAAAAAAAAAAGGAAATACTTAGTTTTAAAAGATAAAAAAATATAAGGCAGCTTATAAGTTTTAAACCTTACTTTATAACTTTATATAAAACCTTTATAAAATAAAAAGTTAATTTATTTTAATAATAAATTACTAAAAATAAAAATAAAATAATAATAATAAATAATAATAATAATAATAATAATAATAATAATAATAATAATAATAATAATAATAATAATAATAATAATAATAATAATAAATAATAATAATAATAATAATAATAATAATAATAATAATAATAATAATAATAATAATATAATAATAATAATAATAATAATAATAATAATAATAATAATAATAATAATAATAATAATAATAATAAATAATAATAATAATAATAATAATAATAATAATAAATAATAATAATAATAATAATAATAATAATAAAGAAAATAAAAATAATAAAAAAAGTTAAAAGATATTATAATAATTATATATAAAGAGTAATAATAATTATAAAATTATATATATTATTTAAAAAAAGGTTATAATTTAATATTAATAATAATAAGCTTTTTAGCTTTATTAATTAAGCTTATATATCTTAAATTAATTATATAAGTTATAATAATAAGTTATTAAAGCTTTTATAAGTTAATAAAGAAGGAATTTTAAAAAAGATTATTATTTTAAATAAAAACTTAAGTAAAAATAATATAAAATAAATAAGAAGTTATAAAAAGTTATAATAATATTACTTTTTTAAAGAAGGTATAATTATAATAACTTTTTTATAATTATAATAAATAAAGGAAAGGGCTATTAAAAGGGTTTTATGCTTTCTTTAATTAAGATTTAAGGAAGGCAAAAAATAATCTTATAATAACCTTAATATTTATAGCTATAATCTTAATACCTTTCCTTTAACCTTAGAAACTTATTATGCTTAGTAAGCAATAATTATGATAAATAAAAATGCCCCTTTTATTAAGATAAGGGTATCCGCCTTTACTTTCATTATTTTTATAATTAAACTTAATAATATCTTTTAAGCTTTTAATATTTATATTATCTAGCTTAAAAAGGTAAAATTAAATATTATTATAGAAATTAACCGCAACTACTATATACTCGCTCTCGTTAAAACAGCCCCTGGTAATGCCCTAATCCCAGTCCCAGCCGTCGTTGCTAACCAGTGTCTTATAGTTGAGGATTTCCGTTTCGTTCACAATGGTAGCCCCAGCCGACTGAATCAGCTCCAATATGGAGACGAGAACTTCTCGCTGCCGCGGTGGCGCTTGCCCCCGTCCTCACGCAGGCCTTTGGGGGGGGGGGGTAACCGAGGACCTGGACCCTGCTCGTACCACCGACGGACTGACGGAGTGCAGAACGACAGACACAGCAGCAGACAGAGTGAGAGAGTGTCGTTGCTTTTGCGAGCAGGTAATTTGCCCTGCAAGATAGCTTTAATGTAGGCATGTGTATAATTGTGAGCGAGTCCTGTCCGTAACAGGCATTTAGCGGAGCTTGCGTTAAGATTTGCCCTGATCCGCAGCAGCCGAGGCTGGCAGCTGGTTCGCGCCTGCTGTGGCTCGGTATTTCCCATCCCATCCCAGACCCAACCAAACCTATATCGGGATCGACAGGTGCACTGGGCTGTCTGCATGTGGTCCAACTTCAGCCTTGTCCCGCGTGCCCCCCCATGCCGCCATCTCTGATGATACATACACTGTCTGACAGTACAGGCCATGTTCAACCGGTACCCACGTACCTGTTCCCACCCTTTGCACCCGTCACACCCCTTCCCTGCCCCGTTGCAACGCTGTCGCCGCCGAGGCCGTGGGCTTCCCCGTCCGCGTTCCGACCCCACTCGACTCCCGGGTCGGACAGCACTGGACATCCTTTGGCAGCTGCGGCTAGAATTGGAGTTGACGGACGACCCACGAGAGCACTCAGGGCCGCGCCCGTGACCCATTACAAATCCTCCACCCTGTTCTCGTCCTCTTGTCCACGGTAATCCCATTGCTGGCACTGGCACTGGCTTTGGTACTAGCATTGGTCCTGGCACAGGGACAGAGAGACGGGCACAGACAGCAGTCACGTCAAGCACATCAAGCACTCGCCAGGCCGTGGGAAACAAGAGTCCACACGCCGTCTTGGTCTGTTTTCACACTTCTCCGGGCCCTCTTACCCAAACCATCAGCCTGGCACATACCCACCACCGAGGCTTCACTCCGAGTGGCCCACTCCCTCTCCTCGGCCCCTGGCCCTCTCTCTCTCGGCACATCATTTCACAGCATCGCTGAGTGTGCGGCGGGGAGACGGAAAGAGGGGCCTCGGTTGGTCATCAACGACGAACAGGTTCCCTATTAGGGCATCCCTTTCGCAGTACCATCGCCCGCCCGTCTTGCTCTGTACCGCACTGCTTCCAATAATCAAGACCGGTTCGGCTCGACAAGGCCCCCCCCCCTTTCTGAAGACTCTTACACTATGGTCTATTGCGGCAAGGCGTCCTTGGGATGTTCATCGTGTCGTAAGCGGCGGATAAAGGTACGTCCCCGTCTCATCACTTCTGGGCCCTCCTGGGCCTGCGCCCTCTGATGTCCCGCGGACCAAGTCTTGGGCTCCTCATCGTCGATTTGTGGGAAACACCTGAAGCCTGCTAAGGCATTCTGCAAGGACACCAGTTTCAATTGCTCCGCTTTGATAAACCGTGCAATGGGGTTCCTTCAGTCTGCATACCTCCTTTCCCCAGAGATGCTGCCTCTGGCTCACGCCATGAAAGCACTGTCTGCTCCAGAAAATGGCCTGCATATTGTGACTGGCTGTGGAAATTCTCGTCATACGGCAGGGCCTTCGTACAATCTCACCGACCCTTCGATCGTTACCGTCTGGAAACACCATCATTGAGAGCACAGCCACTGACTTCAATGCCTCTAGTGCGACAGACGACAACCTGAGTGTACACAATGCATCCGGGTGTCAAAAGTATGCCCGGGATATCGTGACCAGCTCTCACTGATGTTCCGGGACGAGACAGTGAAAGTCGAGAAAAGGGTACGCGCCTCCTGGGGGTGTGAAGATGGAAACGCATCGTCGTCGGCCTCATCATCGACGGACGCCACCGCTCGACAAGGTCCAGCCAAGACCAAGAGATCTTCTTCCATAGCGTCCTCAGCAACCTCCGGGTCATTATGTGTATCAACACCGTCATCTTCATACGCCTCGGTATCTCCAATTTCGCCCAACTCACCACGCGCCAGGGGTGGAAGCTCCTCGCCGTTGGTTGCTACAAGCAGCCCTGCAACGACACGCTCGCAGGGCGAGGGCTGGAATTCGTTGAAGCTACCCGTGGCTATACCTACGGATCCGGCTGAGCTCGGGCTCTCGTTCTACGTCGACCACTACATCCTTGGGTATCCGGACGAGGTCAGGAAGCCGGAGGACCTCAGCAGTCAAATATGGTTCCAAAGCTCCTCATCCCAGGCCACCATGGCCGCCCTGGGCCTGGCTGGTTTGGGAAATCTACATGATGACAAGCAGCTACAGCACCTGTCAAGAATCAAATACGGTGAGGCTTTGAGCCTTGCGAATGAGGCCCTGCACAATCCGTTGCAAAACTTGGAAGCGGCTATCAAGACTACCGTCATGCTCGCCTTGTTTCAGGTAAGAAGACCCGTCGAACATGTGTCTCTGCTTTCCAAGAGCGTGGCCTATTTCACGGAATGCCCGCTGACAACAGTTACAGTGCGTCCATGCAACACACGAGGCTCATGAGAATGTAAGAGTTCATCTCCTGGGATGTCTGGCCCTGATAAGGTCAGCCCCACCGATCCGCACCACGCCAGCTCTGGGAATAAGGGGCGTGCTCCAATTATGTTACTCATTGGTTGGTAACCCCCAAGACAATAGCTGACTGTCAAAAGAAAAGATGAGCCTTTCTGACTATCTATTTAGCTTATACCATGCGTCACAAGCGGTGTAAACCTCCCAGAAAACTTTTTCGACTGGCTGCGGGAGAGGAAGACCTCAGACCTGCTCCCCGAGGACGAAAAACCCGGGGCCGACCTCATCCCCATCATCGCAAGATTCGCACGGCTCAACGCCACCTTGCGCACCAGGGTACACGCCGACGGGGACGAATCCACAGAACAAATGCTGCTGCAGCTCCTGGCCGTGGATGCGGAGATGGACGGATGGGAGGCGTCCCAGGAAGGGAAGTGGAAGTACGAGGTGGTCAGCTCGCCGGACCTGCCGCACGAGGCCATCTTCCGCGGCAGTTACCACCGCTACTCGGACGTGTGGGCGTCCCGGATATGGAACCACTTGCGCTGGGCGCGGCTGCTGGCTAATCAGCGGATACTCGAGCTGGCGGCGGAGAACCCGAGAAGCGCCGCGGGCGCCGGGTTGAAGTCGCCGCCGGGCATCCCGTTGCAGGAGGAGCGCATCCGCGAGACGGTGCGACGGCTGGCGGTCGACGTGCTCAAGTCGGTGCCCACGCACTACCGCCACCCGCGGCTGTCAAGGGAGCAGCTCGACTCGGTGCAGTCGCACGGGGGCGCCGGCTCCGGGGCCTTCGGCATCCCGCACCTCGCCTTCCAGCTCCGCGTCGCCGCGTGCGCGCCGGGAGTGCCGTATGACGTCTGGCGGTGGGCGCTGGACGTCCTGGAGACGGTGTGGTCTGAGCTGGGGATGCTACACGCCAAGAGTCTGGCGGACGTACTGAGGAAACACCGGGACAAGCTGGACAGGGACAGCATAAAAGGAAAGCTGAAGACTGAGAGGGACGAAGATGCCGAAGGGGGACTGCTTCGTGTGGGACAGTGAGACAGGTGGTCGCGTCCTGGATTCGGCTTGCAGCCAGTCTGTGTATTTGTGCGTATGTGTCTGCGGGATCTGGGTTTGAGCAGGGCTAGGCGTCTTTGAGGCGCCCAAATAATCCACGTGATTGTGTTTGTATAGTCATGGTTTCCCGGGCAAGGGCCGGTCGCATTACAATGCGGTATGTTTTGTTTTTCTGAGCGGAGGGTACGGAATCGGCGCATGCTCTTATTACGGTGTGGCTGTCCCCACTCCAGGACAATTGTTCTGTGCGCGTGTCGCTAAAAAGAAGTCCCCAGTTTGTATGTACAGCCAGGGAGGTATTGACAGATAATTATGATATCTTGTACCACACTTCAGCCCCCAATTGACAGGATCTAGGCTATGGGGTTTTCCTGAGCGGTTTCACTTGAAGCTCCAATAGTTCAAGCAGGGGCAATTGGGGCAAAAAGTTGTGGCAAAGGTTGTGGTGACAGACTACCTGGGTGCCTAGGTAGTCAACAGCCAGGCTCAAGATTCCTTTGGGACTTGAAGTGTGCACCAATTGTAAATACTCAGAGTCGCTGTTGTTCCCGAAACACGCTTCGTGACAACATCACGGGATCGTCACTACACCCAGCGAAAGACACCAGGCCGGCGTGCGGGCCAGCCCGCAGCCATTGACCAATCTGAGGCTCCAAATTCGAAGCACCGCCTCAAAGGGTATCTCACATTCTGCTCTTGGTCGGTACAGGTCTGTATAGGTAGAACGGGGTTGTTCCCAGGTTGGCTTCATATCAGGCACATCAGGTGTTGGTTGCCGAGACACACCCCATCCAACACCATTCCGACTCATGGAGAAGGTGGGCAGAATACTGGCAGTGCCCCCAAGTTGAATATCAGTATGGGACCCAGTTTATAACAAAGTGTGGACCTGCCGTTGCCGACTTGCAGATGCCCGGCACCAGGTCCAAGGTCAACAGCCGGAACCGGACAAACTCTCTTATAGATATCAATGAGTATGACGCCAAACAGACACCATCTGTAGGCTTCTGTAGAAGGTTGGACTGGTAAATTGGCATCCTGCAGCTTGCCTCTGGTACCCAGGCGCCAAACGTGCCCACCCGGCCGATAGAGGTTTCGCAGTGTGGGGCCCCTGGCTGAGGAACCGATCGGGTGTTGAGTGGCGGAATCTCGGTATTCAAGACTCTCTGCTTGACTGTATATGGGGGGGCATTTGTGCAGGACTAGAAATGGGCATTAATCCGGGACGGGCGGGATGACCTGAAGGCATTGCCGACCGAGAACAGCCTCAGGTGAGACTGTGCAGTCAACTTGAGCTTGCATGTGTGAGCCCTCGGTCTCATCCCCCAACTCAACCTTGATTCACTCGGCCTGCCAGTGGTGGAATCGGCCTTTGTTAGAGTTCAGTCGTCTCATTTGGAAGGGACCAAGATCTTCAGGTCCGTGCCTGCCTGGCAGCTTCCAGGCCGGCGGGCCATCTGTTAGTGACGAGAGTGTGCTCGCCACCTTAATCATGCACGACTGTACCCAAGACCCTATCATCCCCAGATTGGAGCTGCCGCGTGAGGGGCAAACCCTGTTGACAGAGAATTGTGCCTGCTCTTTGTAGTGAGCAGTAGCAGCTGCTGCAGCAGTAGCTGGGGCCGCTCGAGTTCTGGGCGCCTGGAGCGTCGGATCGTCAACCTTCCTCCCGTGATTGAATGACATTGATTTTTTTGCACCCAACTCCTCACCTGGACGAGTCCATCAACACACGACGCAACCCATATCATCCATCGCACAGGTCACCTCCCCTTCCACCCTCACAAGACATCAAAGAGGCTCCCTCTCTTTCATCCAAACTTCTTTCTACGACTCAGATTCCCTCGACCAACCCTAACTCTGGACCCCTCCACCTCCTCCACTGGTGTCCACCATCTCCAACCCTAATCCGCCCAAATTGTTTTGTCACCATTTCTCGAAGCTAGACCAAAGGTCCAGCGCTGTCGGCGAATTCACTTTTGTCCTTCCAACTGAGGATCTACAAGTGAAAAAACATACGGCCCCCTCCCCTCCAGCCTCTGCCCATAGACAGGTATGTCTTCAGTCCTTCACTTCCCTCGCCGCCTGGCAGAACGGCCTTAAGCTAAACTCCACCTGTCCACCCCAGTTTCCTGCCGCACGGTTTCTCCCTGCCCAAGCCGACATCCAGATTTTAGCGGCGCAAAATACACCCAGGACAACTCGAATTCTACGCCCCTCCTGAGCGCCACATATATCCTCCTAGACACAGTCCTACCAACAGAGCACGATGGCAACAAACGGCAACACAAACCACCAGGAGCAATGGCGGGAGTCTGGCGGCGCCCCCTCCGACGCCCCCTCTACTTCTAACGCCGCCGACAGCACCCCATCAAAGGATGAGGTTGGCTGGTACTTCGTCCAACAATACTACACCACCCTGAGCAAGAACCCAGACAAGCTTCACGTGAGTGCAGAGAAAGGGATGCCACCACCTATACGCGGTCCTGCTAACAGTCGCGTAGCTCTTTTACAACAAGCGGTCCCAATTCGTCCAAGGTCTCGAGGCTGAGCTCTCTCCCGTCGCAGTCGGCCGACAGGTCAGTTACCAACCAACCCTGGCTTGCTACCCTTGAAATGGAGGTGGTGACAGTTTGCTAATCTCACTCACTCGCTCAGGCTATCTCGGAGCGCATCAAGGAGCTTGACTTCCACGACTGCAAGGTCCGAGTTTCCAACGTCGACTCTCAAGCCTCATACGACAACATCGTTATCCAGGTCATCGGTGAGATCTGCAACAAGTCCGGCGAGCCCAAGAAGTTTGTCCAGACTTTTGTGCTCGCTCAGCAACCCGCCGGATACTTCCTGCTCAACGACATCCTTCGATATGTGAACGAGGGAGAGGAGGAGGCTACCGAGGGTGCTGTCTCCGAGTCCGCCCCTGCTGTCGAGATGGAAGCCCCCCAGGAGCCTGCTGCTGTTACCGAATCAGCTGCTGCTGCTGCCGCCGCACCAGAGCCCGAGAAGGCCCAAGTGGAGCAGCCTGCTGAGCCCAGCCACGCCACCCTCGATGCTGAGGTCGTTGACAAGAAGCTCGAGGAAGCCAGCTCCACTGCCAAGGACACTCCTTCCACTACCGCGGCCGAGACCCCTGTCGAGGCTGCTCCAGCCGTCGAGGAGGCTCCCGCCAAGACTGAGGAGGCTCAGACCAGTGCGGACCCCGAGAAGACAGCGCAAGAGATCGCCGAAGAGGAAGCGAAGAAGCCAGAGCTCCCTAAGGACCCGAGCCCCACGCCGGCCCCAGCGCGTGCCCCAGCCCCAGAGCCGGAGAAGCCCAAGGGACCTCCCAAGCCCATGTCCTGGGCTAGCCGCGCTGCCGCCGCCGTCGGAGTCCCCGTCAAGCCTGTCGTCCCGCTCCCCAAAGCAGCCCCTGCCGCTGCCGCGCCCGCCCAGCAGCGATCTGCTGCTGCTGCTCCTCCGGCCCAGCCCAAGGCCAGTGCTGCTCCTGCCCAGGCCAGCGAGAACACAGCTCAGCCCGCCGACAAGGATGCTGCTAGTGAGTGGCGGACCGCAGGCGCCGACTCCAAGAGACAGAGCCGACAGCAATCTACCTCTACCCCTCCCGCCGAAAAGGAAGGCACGCTGGCCTATGTCAAGTTCGTGACGGAGAAGGTGAAGGAGGATGACCTGAGGGCTGCTCTTGGCAGCTACGGCGAGATGGTCTACTTCGATATCAACCGCTCCAAGGTATGTTCTGTTGAGCCCCCCACACTACTAAAAGTCTTGAGCTAACTCTCGTCCAGAACTGTGCATTCGTCGAGTACTCTGCCGCGGGTGGCTATCAGGCCGCCATTGGCGCGAGCCCGATCACCGTGAACGGCGAGAACATTGTCGTCGAGCCCCGTCGTCCCAAGGCCGGTGCCTACGGTGGCGCCAACTACAACCAGAACCGGGGCAGCATCTCCGGACGCGGACGCGGCTTTGAGGGCCAGCGATCTGGCAGCCAGGGAGGCGGACGTGGTGGGTACCCCTCTCGGGGCCGAGGCGGCGCTGCCCGTGGGCGTGGCGGCCCCCAAGCCACCAACGCGTGAGGAAGGAAGACCAGCAGATGCCGTGAACCCACTCGTGCCAGCTTTGCGGGAGTGGAGGACCAGCAGAAGGCCTTGACGGCAATTTCATAGAGTATTCCAGGGAGTCTTGGGAGTTCCTTTCTTGGTCGGACGGTGTATCGGTGGTTGCGTAACGTCTTGCTTGCTGAACCGGCGCATCGCGATATCTGCATCCCAAGAGAAAAGTTTCCACGTGGTGTTTTCCTTGCTGCGGAATTTTGTACAGTTGACCGGGCCACAAGCGACAGGGAATCTGGCGGACATGGGGGTCCGCGATTGCGGGTCAGATTCCTCATTCCACATTTTGCATGATCATCAGGGGTGAACGCTGTATATGTAACAAGGCGGGGGACGAATATACATGATCAACGATGGGATTGTGGTAGGCGATGCCACAGGAAGGAAGGAAGGAAAAGGCCAGGGGAGAAGCGAGGTGACGGCGGGAGGTGATGGTGAGAATGTAATGATAAACCCACGAGGACGTGTATACCATTTAACGGAGGAAAAAAGACAGAGAGTCATAGCCAGTCATCAATTGCCTTGGAACTGACCCCATAAGCGACATGCCTCGTGAGTGTCATGTAGTTTCTCTGTTGGAAGCCTGGCTCAGGAATGTCATGGTACGCTAACCGGCTCTTCACAAGTATTGAATCTCGATTCAGTCTGACTCTGGGTGTCGAGAGAGTCTGAATAGCCATGTAAGGTATGTCAAGTTTTGGAAGATCCCTGGATCTTGGTCTTCACTGAGCCGTGGAAACAATGGGTGCCCCGGCTGGCAGCGCGAAGAGAGTGACAGATATCATCTGTCAGCCGGGAGAAACGAGACTGCAGGACGATCCATCAACTGGGGCTTTCAAAGTCGAAGGGCCTTCCGATTCCCAGAATTACCAACTTGAATGGCAAGCACATCAACCCCATGAAGTTTCTCCGATCTAAAATCTATGGCTTGGGTTTCAGCAACTCATGGATATTGTTTGATGATCGGTCGCTGGATGTCTTGCTAGAGCGTCGTGTGCCGGGCCCGTTGCGCAGCGAGCCAGCTTACAACAGGGTACATCTCACACTTTGACAGCCTCACCAACTTGTTGTCGTCGCACCCGAGGAGGCTTTTTCTCGGCTGACGGAAAAATATACTGGAAACTTTTCTACACAGCCGTACCGGTGTCCACACACCGCTCTATTATCGCGGACGCCCTCTCTGTTCACGTATAAGTGCAGCAAGTACCGATACAGTAAGCATCTCATCGCAGCCTGCGGCAGACGAGAAATGCACGGCCGAAGGAAGGCGGCACGGGAAAATTGTTCAGAGCAGACATGTCTCATCGACGAGGCCGACGAGAATGATCCAGACGTGCATCGTATGTATTTACGGCGGCGCAAGGCACGAACCACGGCCCATGGGCGAATCGGGCAGCCAATGCGGGCCACGATAAGCCGGACCTGCACCTACCTTTCTTTACTCGTCATCTCCCCAGCGACCCGCCAGCTGACCATATACTCCTTCCTAAAAAGTGCTGGCACGCCGGACTGAGCAAGGTAGCATGAACCTCAGCAGAGAAGGGATACGCGGGTGATTCCCAATGACGATTGGACTCTTCTGATCGGGCCGGCTATTAATTTCCAAGAAAACCTCGCGCGCGCCCTTGCCTCGAGGGCGTTCGTTATAGCCGGCGGAAACCGTGCGACGGTTTTGACTGGTTGCAACCCCTTTGCGATTGTCGACAAGAAAACGTGGGAGGGCCCATAGGACAGAGATGATAATAAAAACGAACCCCGTCGTCCTTGTGTTGTACTGCTGCTGCTGCTCCACCATTGCAGGCCAGCAGGGAAAGAAGCATTTGCCAAGTGGTCAGGTCGGCGCGGCGCGGCTCACGACTGTGCGGGCCTCGCAACCTGTTGCCCGGTTCAGCTCTAGCACGGGTACATGGTTTGAGGCACAGTAAGCCCGCCCTGCCGCCCATCTCGTTCTCTCCGCCCTTCCAGATGAGTTCCAGAAGATTACGAGAATTGTTCTTTCGCCACCTCTGCTGACGATCCCGGGGGGCGGGGGGGGGGCCAAGACCACTCTACTCGAGGCTGATCGCGTGCTGCGTCGGTCCCGCAGCCAGTCAGACGGCCGGATGGCGCAAGCAGGCTGATATTACACGGCATTGCCCCTTCAGCATGGCTGGGCCGATCAGTGATGGTCGGGGCCGCGCGAGCTTGTGAGACCAGACCTACTAACAGGAACGTCTCCGATGGTTGTTTGCATTGGGAGGAGGAGGACGGGCGGGAGGGGGAGAAGCACCACGACGACCAGGCCAGACAGGGCAGAAGCCGGTTGGCCGCTCCGGAGGGGCAGCACGCAATCCAAAGCCCGTCGCCCCAATACCGCACGGCTGATATAGGGTAGCTAATAAATACCCAGGCCGAGCCAGGCTTGCAAGGCAGGGCCCAGAGGAGGCTGCCCCGCGACATCTGCCCGGCCGTGGTTAAGCACCTACCGTTCCTGGCTAGGCTGCAGGTGGTCAGGAGGGGGGTGAGGACCACCAATATGGACGGGTGCTAGGCCAGAGAAGGAGGGTCGCGTCTCCGAGGACCTTTATGTCTGCTGCGCTGTCTGCTTCTGGGGTTCGTGTCGCCGCCGCTGTGCATCGTGATTCGGCTCTTGCTTCCCGTGGGTAATTCCGTCCCTGCCGGCGTGTGCTGCTGCTCATCTCGAGAGGCCGAATATGGCCCTGCTAATCAGCGTCGAGCCCTCGACCCTCCCTGCACCGCCTCGGATTAATGCTCGAGCTACTGAGGCCAGAGACGGGCTGTCTCGATATATTGAAGTGTAGATCATGATATACTATACAAGAGAAAAGAAAAGATACAAACGCCGGCTTTTGGACGAGGTCTGCAATTTGTAATCGGGCAGGTGCCGCCCCGGGCGTTGCTCAATGTAACGTGTTAGTGAGACTATTCCCAGGTTCCCGTGCCCCCAGCGGAACTGAAGGGCACCTTGGCCCAATAGACTAACAGTTCTGGAACAAGCACCGCGCAGCGCCAGAAGGGAGACATCCTAGCCCCGTTACCAAGTAGCAAAGGTACCTGCCTACACTGGTCCAGGCAGCTCACTCCCGTCCCATGTAGACTACGGATCACGTAGGGTCACGAACAGGGGTCGCGACGGACATGGAGCCGGGATTGTCACTCGCCCGCCTCCAGGGCCATGATGCATGGCATGGCATGGGATGCTTCCACACTCTCACATTCTCACCCTCACCCTCACCCTCACCCTCACTCACACCTCTTGAGCACTCCTTTTTCTCCCCCGTCTCCGCCGCTTCCACGTCGCTTCCCTACTTTTTGCTTCTTGCCCTGTCTTGTCCTGCCATCTCCTGCACCTCACTTTCTCTTGGCTCCCTGCCGCCCCCGCTGGAGCTAGTCGGTGACTTTCCCTCCCACGATCTCTTGTCCTCGTGCAGCCCAGCCCGTCACTTGCGGGAGCCCGCCCGCATCACTTGGCTCTGCTCCATGGCATTGCAGCCTGCATTCAGTTCTCATTGCTGATCATATACTTGCGAAACATTCTTGGCCTTGGAGGCAGATATCGTCGACAGTATTACGGTGCAACCCTGATTCACTAGGGGACAACATTCGATTATTCCGGGAGGACTCGAGGCAGACAGGCAAAGCTTGTCCCGAGGCTTGGAAACGCGGAGGCCAAGGCTGCAAGAGAGGCCACCCCCCCCCCCCCAGGTCCGACCCTCTCTTGTCAGAGGCGAACATGTAGGGTTGCCACTCGGGAGAGCAGGAGCAGGAAGACCAGCCAGGCGAGCGCCATTTTGACGCCTTCGCGGCCAAGACGGAGGAGGGTGGGAAGCAAATCGCCGTCCGAGTCGCCGCGCACCGAGCACCGGCGACACCACCCGGAGATGGACCCAAGTGGTGCGGACGAGGATGATGCCTCAGCAGCCACATTCTTCAACCATGCGGTGGAGCTGGCGCCCATCGACAACCGGCCGGCCAAGGTGCGGCGGCTGTCCATGGAGGAGGACTACCTGTACGAGCAGGTCATGACCTTTGCCCAGCCGCCCAGCCCGCCGGCCTACCACGTCGCCACGCACGGCACGTACCAGGGCCCGTCGCGCAAGGGCAGGGAGGCCGTCCTGGGCGGCGAGGGCTCCCCGGCCGAGGACGAGGACGTGCTGCCGCGCTACTACTGCGACGTGCACATGGAGAACGTCTTCCAGATGAAGATGGAGATCGAGGACGCCGTAAAGAGGGCCGAGTACAGGAACTGGCGCACCATGTTCGTCGTCCTGCACGGCACCGCCCTGCACATCTACGGCGCAAAGGACAAGGGCTGGAGCTGGAGCAAGAGCAGGATGCACGGCCCGGACGTCAAGCCCGACAACCCGCCGTGGCTGAGGAAGGGCGCCCTGGAGCGGAGCTACAGCCTGCAGCACGCCGACGTGGGGATCGCGGCTGATTATCACAAGTATGTTGCGTGGCTGGCTGACATCTCCTGAATATTCGCTTGAGCAGCCTCACTAACGCGCAGCACGCAGACGTCGCTATGTTATCCGTATAAGGGCAGAGACCGACCAGTTCCTCATCTCGTGCGTGGAGCTCGAGACATTCGTCAAGTGGCTCGAGTGCCTCTTCGCCGCCATAGACGTGGCGGCCCCCATCGACGAGCGGGACTTCCCACGGGACCAGAGCATCCCCCGGATCCAGCGGCTGCGGTGGCTCCGCGGGCAGTACTCCGCGCAGGCCACCAGCAACGGCGGCAGCTTTCAGCAGCTGACGGAGTCGCTGGTCTCGATGCCGGAGTCCCATATCGACACGGCCATGCCCGTAGACCCTCCCGCGGACGTCGAGATGTCGCCAGGCGGGCCCCCGGGGGTGGACCTGACCAACGACGCGGCAGCCATCGCCCCCTGGGACTACATCCCTCACAACCCCACACCCAACCCCCGGCAGAGCACCGTGCCCGCCCGGCGGCTGTCGGTGTCGTCGTACCACAACGAGGGCGTCGAGCCCGAGACGGGCAAGTGGCGGCCGCGGCACCTCTGGACGTCGACGCACGACATGGTCTACGCCAAGCTCTGCTACGCCGTCTTGCTCTTCAAGAGCCCGCGCAAGTCCAACTTTGTCATCTTCAAGGGCCAGAGGTGGCACATCGACTGGTCCACGGGCCAGATGTCGCGTATGCAGCCGCCGTCGTACGGGGAGCCCGAGTTCTGGGGGCCTTGGCAGGTCATACACGCGGAGAATCCGCGTTTGTGATCCTTCCTTGCTCACATGTGCCGCAATGGCTTGTGCTTGCTCGGTCGAATGCCTCATCTACTTCTTCTTCATCATCAGCTGGAACATGACATTATCATGGGAGCGAAAAGGGCTGCATCTGTTGCACTTACTGCATTGAGAGGCCATCTTGGCCAGGCGTTCAGAAACGACCAGATGCGTTGTTATTATACCACAATATACCTCCACTTTTGCATTTGGGAAAACAGGATAGCATTGGAGGCATAGTCAGAGAGTGCGTGAGAGGAAGTGTGAGTCAGAGGGGGAAAGTTATCATACGTTTTGAAGCGAGCATTCTAGCAGTACCCCCAGGAAGCTTCCAGCATCTGGCATTGCTGCTTCTAATAAGGGATGTTGACGTTCTGTACATAGGGTTGATAGTCGCGACTTGAAATTGGTATCATATTGCATCCTGCTTGCTATTCCTGATGGTTCTCTTTCCACCAGGATGAGAAACGCCTCCAACGCCTGGTATCTCCGTCGTAATCGTGACACTCATAAGAAGATGCAATTCCAAAAGCAGCCTGCCACGCCGTGCCCGTTCATGGACACCCGTAGTCCTGCGATGAACAGAGAGAATAGTGACTGTCCTGCCATCATGGCCATCCTCGGATCGCCGCACCTCACACATCCGTCATCTCGGCCTCCACAGTCCTCGACTCCCTCGCCAGCTCCTCGGCCGGCACCTCGTCCAAAAGAGCCGCGGCGCCGTCCACGTCGGCCAGCGCCCGCTCCAGCGCCCCCAGCTCATCCACCTCAGCCCGCTGCCTCTGGATCTCCCCCCACAGCGCGACGTTGGCGGCCTGCGTGTTCTGCAGCTTGGCGTTCATCTGGCTCTGCTGGCTCGCCAGGTGCGGCGCGAGGTGGGCAGCGAGGATCGCGTCCGCGGGCAGCAGGTGCGGCGGCGTGGGCTGCTTCCTGGCGTTCTCGTCGTCGTCCTCGCCCTCCCCGGCGGCCCTCTCCTTCCCCTTGCCCTTGCCCTTCCTCCTCGCCGCCGCCTGCGCCTGCGCCCGCCGCCGCCGCTCCGCGTCCGACACCAGGGCCTCGAGCTCGTTCAGCTTGGGCACGACGCTGTACCGCGCCTGCACGCGGCCGAACTCCTGGTTGCACAGGTCCGCGAACCGGTCCACCATGGCGCGCTGCACCTGGCCCAGGACCCCGGGGGCCTGGGCCGCCACCGTCGGGTAGCAGGACGCGAAGTTTTCGGGCGAGATCTTGGTCAGGGTGTGGTTCAGCGCGAGGCCGAACATCTCCTGGAAGCGCTGCGCGCGCGGCCCGGGCGTCGCCGCCGTGTGCCGGGACGGTAGGGGCGGTGAGGCCGGCGCACCCGGTTCTGCGCCATCTGGGGATGATTGCGGTGGTACTTGAGAGGATTCCGGCTGGGGCTGGGTGTTTTCGCCGTTCTCGTCGGCCGGCGTCGAGGTGTTGTCCTCGGCTGGAGGTTGTGATGACCGGCCTTCGGTGGCCATGGTGTCTGTGTGGTTTGGCTCGAGGCGATGGATGCTGTGCTGTTACAGTTCCATTTGGATGTGATCTATCACAGATTGCTAGATGCAGTCGAATGCCGCCGGCTCTCCTACGTCCAAGTAATCAAGGTTGAGAGGAAGTGCGATGTCAAGGCCGAGGGGAGCGGACGCGTTGACGCGTTCCTTACCAAAAGTCGGCATTACGTAATATGCGAGCACATGCAGCAACGAGGTCTCCTGCAGAGAAGGTCTTGAGATTCAACGGACTACCGTGCTGATAATTACATTTGGATAAAGCACAACAAACCAACCAATTGGCAGCACTCTCCTCTCTGCTTTGAGGGCTACCCGTTCACATTCTTCCGGAGATTCGGTCCATTTGTCTTCGGCAATACCCAGCCATCATGTCGCATAGTACGTCCACCCTCCCCAGCCTCGTCTTGGTCCAACACCCCAGTCTAACAACGCAGGCAAAAGGAACACCTCCCGGCCCGTCTTCACCGCGCATGAGCGGGCGATGGCCAAGTCGGCCTGGAGCTCCTCATCCGCCCGTTTGAACAGGGACTCGTTCCTCCCGTTCGGCTCTTGTTCGTTGTGCCTCGAGTCCGCTGTCGACCCCGTGGCCTGTTCCTACGGCGACATATTCTGCCGCGAGTGCGCGCTGAACAACATTCTCGCGCAAAAGAAGGAAATAAAGAGGCTCGAGAAGGCCCGGGAACAAGAGGACAGAGTCGCCGCGGATTCAAAGGCACGGCAGGACGAGGAGGCGCAAGCAAGAGCTGTCAAGGAGTTCGAACTGACCCAGGCCGGTTTCGACGTCGCTGGAAGCAGGGCCGAAAGTAGCTCAGATGTCAGCTCGTCGAGAGAGGCGAAGAGCGGAGACAAACGGAAGTTCTCGCTGGATGAGGACGAGGTGCTGCGCAACGCCGAGGATGACCGAGCGAAGGCACGGAAGAAGATCGAGGATGAAAAGAGCGCCAAGCCCTCGCTCCCCTCGTTCTGGGTCCCCTCAGTAACGCCAATGTCAAACACAAAAGACAAGCTGCACGAAGTCAAGAAGAAGGCCAAGACGACGCCCATCTGCCCGTCATCCCAGGAGAACAGTCCCCACCCGTACTCGTTGCACACGCTGGTGACGATCAACTTCACCGAGGAGGAGTCCAAGGAGACCAAGACCAAGACCAGGATCTGCCCGTCTTGCAAGAAGGGCCTGACGAATTCCTCGAAAGCGATGCTCGCCAAGCCTTGTGGACATGTGCTCTGCAAGGCGTGCGCCAGCCAGTTTATGAAGCCGTCAGGCCATGATCCGCACGCCGACCCGGCAGATGCGAAGCACGCAAATGCGGTGAGGTGTTATGTCTGCGATGAGGATGTCACGGAGAGGCCGGCCAAAAAGGGAGGCGACAAGAAGGAAAAGGACAAGATCCGACCAGGCGTGGTCGAGCTCAAGAGTGACGGAACAGGATTCTCGGCCGGTGGCACGAACGAGGTCAAGAGAAGCGGAAATGCGTTCCAATGCTAAGAGGGACCTGTTTGGCCAGCTTAAGACGAGGTTCACCGCATAAGATCTTGGGTGCGTCCGACGGCATGAAAGCCGCTTCAGCAGGCCCCAATATCTATATTAGGAGTGTAGATGAGCCGGGATACCGAAAATTTCCAGTCAGAAATGCCATGGATTCAATCTTTGGCTTTATTTTTACAGTGTTGGTTCGACAAACTGGCGGAGCTATTTCGTCACAATCAATTTCTGTGTGCGCTCCAACAGGCCCAAAACAAGAGTTCCATCTTTGATCCTCGCGAACCTCTCAGCAAGCTGGATATTCCCCAGCATCTTCAGGTCCTCCCTAGACCGCCGCCGAAGCAGGGCCTGCGCGGTGGGCGAGCTGCGAATCCTAGCCAGGACGAAGAAATACAGCTGAACAATCAACTTGTGCACGATCTCCTTCGATAACATCGTCGTCCCGTGGTTAAAGAACGCCTTGAGCAACTCCCCGCTGATACCGTCGTAAAGCGCCGGGGCTCCTTCGGTCCTCCCTATGTGTAAGACCGTCCCGAAAATGGTGTCATCGGCCAATCTGTGGATACGTCCGGCGAGCGCCTGGGCTTTGCTTTCGACCTTGCCGACATTCTGTTCGACCACGAGCATATCTTCCTCTCCCGCCTCGGTCGAGGCCTCCTTCTTCTCCTCCTCCAGCTCCGGCCTCGGGCTCTCCGGCGCGGAGACCTGCACCCTCGCCTTGGCGATTTGGAAGGGATACGTCACCGCAGTCGCGATGACCTTGCTCAGCGCCGCGACCAAAAACGTAGCACCATTGGACTCGCCCTCCCGGCCCCTGTCGACCAGCGCCTTCTTGAGCGCGTGCTGCAGGTAGAACGTGATGCTCGGGTTGAGCGTCAGCACGAGCGTGGCGCTGTAACCCGCCCACAGTCCTAGCACGCCCTTCTCTGCCCGGATGACGTGCAAGATCTCCGCGAACGACAGGCCGCGCCCGGCCTGGCTCGTCCCGTCGGCGGCACCGGTGTCGCCTTCGTCGGTTATGAGCGACGCCGTCTGCTTCCGCGTGACCACGTTGCCGATCGGCGTCGTGAACAGCCGCGCGCACGCGCCGGCCGCGGCACCCACGGCGAGCTCCTCCCAGGCGGCCAGGCGCCTGCTGTTCCCTTGTGACCTCTTTGTGCGGAACCAGTTGTACTATATAGTATTCGGATCAGTAATCGAAGCACCAAGGGAAGAATTTTACGTGAACATATTAATGCCACATGCTCTTTGCGCCTGGCACTGGCTGCAGCATCCTAGCAGAGGAATGGAAGCAAGCCCACAGCAAGGTAGCACCCAAAATGGTCGACTTATACATCGCAAGTGTGATGGGGACTTACGAAAAGGAAGAACAAGAAGCTATCTGCCACGCCCTTGAAGATGTCTGACCCCAGGCCGGCGTAGAATGCCTTCAACCCGCCCTCGCGCTCGTAGATGCGCGATATAGCGTCCGTGATGCCCGCATACTGCTCCGAGGGCGAGATGGTGCCGTCCTTGCGCAACTGTCGCTGCACCTTCAGCCGCGTGTTGACGAGGTCGAGCGGGTACGTGGCGGTCGTGGAGATGGCCGTCCCGGTCGCGCCGGATACGGCGTGGCCGATGGCCGGGAGGAACTGGTCTGCTGGCATCTTGTGTTGATTGTGTCTGAATGGGAGAGCGTGTGAGTGTGTCCGTGTGTCTGTGTGACCCGAGGTTATCGTCGACCTGGATCAAGAGATACCACGCATAGCCCAGCTCAGTGAAAAGAAGAGGAAATACGAGGGTTGCAGTGAGAATTAGATTACTCCGCCCGTTTGGATATACAAGACCCCAGCGGCATGAACACCCTTGAGTTTAATTCAAATCAGATATGAGGGTATGGTTCTCCCGGACAAAAAAAGGTGTGTACCCAGGTCGACATTGAAAGTCGGATGGATCCTCAAAACGGAAAGAGGGCCCAGCCAGCACATCAATCACCACACGCAACGCAGGTTGGCCGGCCGTCTCCCCAGTGCCGACGTCATCCTCCGTAACTAGCCCACTGCCCCCGGATTTGCACCCGGGCGGACGGGGCCAACCCCCCTGCTCTACCCCACAGTCTCGACCAGACTTCGGGCTGTCGAATCCACTGGCTCGGGAACCCACTGGCACCCCATGCCCCCAAAGACACGCAGGAGGGCCCCTCCCCTCCTGTCGTGGAGAAGCTCAGCTAGGCCCTGGATGGATGCCCGTGAATCTCGAATTTGAGAGTCGATCGCTGCGGAGGTCTCTCGGCAAGTGCGGCGAGAACACCTCCTTCATCTTGGGTGCCTTGTGCCACGAAGCATAAGGTTTGTCAAAGGAGGGGCGAGGTGGAGCACGTCTGGGCCGACTCTGGCGGCTGCCTTGTTATTGTCATCTCGGGTCGGACCCCAAGTTTATGCCATATTGTACCTAGCTTCACGGTGGTATCGTGAACATACCCTCCACCTAAAGCGGAGTATCGCCCGCCCTCCCTAGCTTGACATGATGCCCTGTCCTGGGTAAAATAATTACGAGTACAAAATCGAAACCTCCAACGCCTTGCGAAGTATTTTGTGTTATGACAAGTTTCCTGCCTCCACCTCTTGGCTAGACCACCCCAACTCCGACCGAAAATGCATTGGTAAGGGGGGTAGCTCGATCGTCTATGCCTTTCCTAGAGTCCTGTCCAAGGGCGAAGAGGCCACCGGCCTTTGGTAGACAGCAGTAACAAATAATTTCTCATGTCTTCGGTTGAGAGGCGCATGGGGTGGGAGCGTAAGCCACAAACCAATGCTCCTGTGCCAAGCTGTCTTCATGCGAAGTGTGATGGCTCTTCGGTGCTCGCAGAGGCTCCCAGAAAGTCTCACACATGGAGAGACATGGCTCGTGCTTCCCCAGCCTCTCATTCTTCTGCATCTGTACTGCTGAATGCGTGTGGGACGCCCACAGTTATGCTCGAGCAAGTCGCAGGAGGCTCATCAGGGGCAACCCTGACGACTTCGGCACCGGGACAGCGACGTACCATATGCTGTCTCGCATTGTCCTTGCGTGAATACTTCTTGCCGCAGCCGGTGCACTTGAATGGCTTCTTTCCCAAATGTTCGCCATCCATGTGGCGCTGTAAAAGGTACTTCTGTTTGAAGGACTCTTGGCAAATGTCGCAAGTGAAGTCCTCCGAGGCTGTTCGGGGAGGCTTGCCGACTTTTTTCCCGCCTCTCAGCCTTGGACTGTGCTCCTCTGGTGTTACCTGAGCCTCCTAGGCCGGACCACCAACGGATACTTGTCTCTGAGCCTGCATTGGTGCGAAGGTCGCGCTGCCTGGCATGTTTGGGACATCATCTTCCTCCTCACCGGGAGCGTCCTCTTGGTCTAATACAGGCATGACAGGAATTGGAGGGCGGTGACCTGTGTGACCCGGCGGCAGGCGTTGAGCCCCGTAGCCACTGACTTTGAAGATGTTCTTGCGCCCACCGTCGGTGGCGGCTGCGAGCTGTTGTTGCAGCCGGTTAATTTGATACTCGCGCCGGATGGTGTTGAACACCGGCTGGGCCACAACAGGCTGTGGGTTCCATTTGGCGAGAGCGGCCATGACAGCCGCCGTTTCTTCGTCACTGTCAACAGGGCCAGCGTTGGGGTCGTCGTCTTCCTCGATCGGGGCGTTCGCGTCGAGAGCAGCCTCTGGAGATATTTGTTAGCATCGAACTTGGTGGAGTAAAGAGCGGACCCACTCTGTTGTCGAGCCTGATTCTTCTTCTGATATGCTGCCAGGAGCATGTCATATGGCAAGGACCGCCCCGCGACAGCTCTTTTTGCTCCCATACTGTGAGATTTGCATGTCAAAGATCTGGCACAAGGTTGTCCGTTTGGCAGAATCACACCGCATTGCCGCTCGACGTCGACCGGACCTGCACAAGAGTACATCAGTTAGCAGCGTTCTCAATCTCGAGCTCTCAGGCCGAGAGTGTTCTGTTAGGGGGTGTCATGGTCGGTGGGTCGGCCATGTCGAATCCATCGTAGATGTCCGAACATCCAGAGAGCGCTGAAGAGAACCCGCATGCATATAGACTCACCTTTGGGTTTTGTCTTGGGCTTAGGCTCGTCCTTCTTCTTCTTTTGTTTCGGGCCCTTATCCGCCTCGCCCTCAGCCTTCCTCTTCTTGCCCGAAGGACCGCCTTCTCCCGTCTTCTTGCCGGCGACCTTCTTGGTTGTTTTACCAGGGACCTTCTCCCCATCGTCGTCGTCATCGCCGCTGTCGCCGTCTGCGCCGAGCGTGATTCCCTCTTCTTCTGCCCTGCGCTCTCGTTCCTCTCTCAGCGCGGCCTCCTTCGCGCGCTCTCTGGCCTCTCGTGCGGCCTTTTTCCGGTTTGCCTTCTCCTTCTTGATCTTCAGACAGCCGTTTATGTGTTCAACAGCAGTCGTCATGAGAATGCTCTTCTTGCACCACTTGCACGATGTCAAGGCCGGGGCATCGACCATGGGATAGCCCTTGGTGAAGGTTTCGCGGGGAAGTTCATCGAGTTCGTGGAACGGTTCGCTCGGTGATAGCGCGGTGTTGGCCGTGGCGTTGGCGCTTGCCTTGCTCTTCTTGTCTGTGTATGCATCGTATTAGGGAATGCGCAAGCAGGAGATGGGATGATGTCTCTCATCAACCCGAGCATAGTGGAGTTTCCATACCTTCAAGCACATTGCCATCCTGGCTGCCACCATCCTTCAGCTTGGGAATCTTCTCCTTCAGCTTGAAGCCTCCAAATTTGCCCTTGCCCGTGTTCTTCTTGGACGCGACCTTGATGGTGGCCTCATCATCTGTTAAAGTAACATGAATCAGCAAAGTGTCATTCCAGTTGCGACGCGGCTGTGACGCCTCCCTCACCTTTCCGATCCTCAGCCATGGCGACTTCGAGGGGCTGGCCCCTTTACGCTCGAGGAGCGAGTAGCACAGGTCCCGCCAGCGTTGCGTGATGGTTATGACAGGCACGGCCGGGTTCTGGGAAGGTTCCAACGGCGGACAGCTGCGTGGCTCAATCGCTACGTCGAGGAAGCTTGGGCTCGGGCCGCGGCGTCTCGATTTGATGGGGGTCAACGGCTGAATCGAAATGGCCTCAAGATGCAAGGCTGACCGGGAGGTTACCGATGCCGTGGTGGAAGAATCCAAAAAGAACGGGCCTGGAGGGGCCAGATTGGATGGCGATGAGATGTCGCAAGTCGTCCTCGATGATGAATCGCAGGTGGTCGCGACGGTCCAAGAGTGGTTAGGATGATGCAGGTGGGCCTGGGGGAGAAACCCATGCATCGGAGCCTGGACCGAGACTCCACTACTGGGGTAGACACATATGCACCGATAACAGAAAGACTTATGCAACTAAGAAGAGCTATTCTGTTGGAGGAAATATCAAACTGCGTTTATGTCAGCGTCCTGCCTTCCCAAATCTCGTCTCAACTCACGAGCAGCTATTCAGGCACTTGGCGAAGGAGCTGTCCAGTCAAACTGGAAATATATCATTAATACGCTGAATCTTTGCTAAACATCATGAGCCCACCCCAGGCCTCCTGTCCACCAGACCATTTCTCCCTGTTCCCGTCCAAGAAATACACGTATTGCGCTCGATGAAGGGACCACGCCATCTCTCAGCCACCTGCGCCCATTGCTAGCTATGAGGGGGAAACAGAGTGGATGGGAGATCGCGTGGGCATCGAAGCTCAACTGTGTGATACTATGCAATGCGCAACGCTGTACAGTGCACGAACGACCCAACGTCCTGCTCTGCGTGAGTCTGGAGCTTGCAAGGCTGTTAGATACTAGAACGGGAGCAAAACTCGATTGCGAGTGTGAGGCAGTCATGGCCGCTTGCATGTAGTGATCCTGCCAGAGAGCTGGCTGCACCATTTGCCTCAGCGCCTTCCAACGCCGGGCGATCTAGCAACGGCTACAGGACTCCGTCTGGCCCCAGAAGCGCCCTTGCCTCCGGCGCTAAGGCGAGCGCCTCAGCAATCGCAGTGTTTGTGCCGTTCGGGTAGCTGCCGAAGTGGGCATAAATGAAAGTCTGGGTTTCGGCAGCGGGGGGCTGTCAAACCCTTCATCTGATTCCGATCGGCACCGGCAGCAAAGAGCAGGAGCCTGCTAACCGCTGCCTATCTTCTTCACAGATGCCGTAGAATTTGGGTAATCTCGAGGACCAAGCTCAACTGGCCCATCCTAGTAGTTCTCGTAGCCTTGTGACGGAACACCCTGCGATGGCACTTGCGTATAGGCCCTAGCTTGCGCCTGTGCTTGCATCGCCCGTTGCTGCTGCTGGTGCTGCTGGACTATCAGGTCGCTGAACCAGTGGTGCTGGAGGGCGTCTGCGGCGCTGATTCGGAGCTCTGGGCGCAGCTGGAGCATCTTCTGCAGCAGGTCGATTCCTGCGGCGTCGATCATCGGCAGGATCTGGCGGAGGTCCTGAGTGGCGTACATCTGGAAGTTTGGCTTGTATTCGGGGAACTGAGTGATTCCAGGCCATGTACGCTCCGTTGGCGTGCCCATGATCCTGAAAATCCTTGTGATCTGATCCTCGTTGGTCGTGCCTGGGAACAACGGCCGGCCCGTGTACATCTCCGCCATGATACATCCAGCAGACCAGATGTCGATGCTGGTGTTGTATGTCCGGCTTCCCAGAAGGACGTCGGGGGCTCGATACCACAGTGTGACAACCTCGTTGCTGAAGGTGTTGACTGGGATTCCGAATGCTCTGGCCAGACCGAAATCACCCAGCTTCAGCTGACCCTTACTGTTGATGAGCAGGTTCTGAGGCTTGAGGTCCCTGTGCAGCACCCTGTTCTTGTGGCAGAAATCAATACCCTTCAGCAGCTGGTACATGAAGGACTTGATGAGCATGGGCTGCAGGGCTCCACGATCGCCCTTGGTATCCATGTACTTCTTCAAATCGCCATCCATGTAATCAAACACCAACATAAGCTTGTTCTCCGTGTGGATCACATCGTGTAGCGCGACAATGTTCTCGTGTTTGAGCTCCTTCATAAGCGAGATCTCGCGGATGGCGGTGCTGGGTGTACCTTCCTCGGAATCAAGGTGAATCTCCTTGAGCGCGACGAATTCGCCGGTTTGTCGGTTGCGCCCTTTGAAGACCTGTTGAAGATCGGGTCAGGATGCTGTTTGGAGGCCGGGCGCTTGTGGCATTCGGGTTCATGGACTTACAGTGGCGTATGTTCCCTCTCCAAGCTTCTCCAACTGCTGGAACGACGAGAGATGGCGTTTGCCGTCCATACTAGCTGTCGTTGATGACGCTCGGTCGATAACGAAACGGGGCTTGGGTTCGGGCTGAGGTCGAGATGTAAATCTTGGGTCGAACAGGACGCTGCCGACAGTCTCTATCCCGCGCGAGCGATTCGGAAATGCTGTCACAGGGGGGGAGCTGTTAGACGCCGTGATTGCGGCGACGAGAAAACCGGCAGGATCTGCTTGCCTGGTAGCCAAATATGTTCCAGCTGGACCGTCGGGCTCGATTGCAAGGTGTGGAAAAGGATAGATCGTGACGAGTGTAAGAGGAAGTGGCGGCTGTTGTAGAAGTGGGCAGAGCTCCCTTGGGTGGGCTGAGGCTACCTTGCGCTCTCCGATGCTATTCTTGGGCAGGCATCCTGGTCCAAGCCCGGCCCAGGCCAGTCATCCCGCCCTCCAGCTCTAAGCCCGCCCACCTTGGGGCCTGGCCAGCCAGAGCTCTGGCCCGCTTGAGCTCTGGCCCGCTTGTACTCCGTAAATCCCCTGCACTACAATCAACTTGGCATTGAACAGCGAAATGCATTATGCCGTATCACGTTATTTCGATGGCTTACTGTTTCTTATTGAGCACAGTCTCGTGCATTCAGACGAGCCTGTTGAAAGTTGCTATTCGGATACTGACGGCCTCGAGGAATTTGTTGCTCACGCAATCTCTCTTCTTACATTTGTCAATTATCTGTGCCTCGATGGGAAACCGTGATGGGGGGCATATGTGGTCGCAAGTATGAAGTGCACTTGACTGGGTGCTGTCAGCCGCGTCGGTGCCCGACATTGACTGCGGGAATATCACAAACGTGAGACATTTCACCTGAAGAAACGAAAGTCAAGCACGGTTATTGAAAGTGGACTTAATCCAAGTCAATTCTGGGTATCGCATATGATGATGCCGAAATGCCCCTTTTTCTTATTAATCCCGAACGCCATTTCCCCCACTGCGGCCGAATGCGATGGAATTCCTGGGCATGCAGACTCCAACCCATTGCTGAACGCCGCCCGGCCATGCTCAAAGCAAGAAAAGGTGCTCACTCCTTCTTCTCGTTCTCGTCGTCCTCCTTGTCGCTGGCGTACTTGGTGCCCTCCTCCTTCTCACGCATCCAACGCTCCATCAGCGTGCCAGGACCGCTTCTAGCGGGACTAGGGAGACTGGCTCTGTAGCTCTTAGCGTTGGAGGGGTCGGGTCCGCTTCGTCCGTTGACACTACCGACGAAGAAGGGACGGGCATCCTCAGACTTCGCAATCTTCTCCATCAGCTTCTGGTCCTTGACCGCCGCCATGATGATGGGCTTTCCTCCGTACGAGCCGATAGACATCTTGGGGACGCTTCCCTGGGGCATGGTGGGCACCTTGGGAGGGATGTCCGTGGGCTTCTTGATGGCCATGCCGATGGGAGGCGAGGCCTGGATGGGAGCATTCGGCTTGAACTGGGCCTCGCGCTCATCCGACTCGTCATCGGACTTCTCATCCGCCTTGTCGCCCTCCTCAGGCTCCTCAGGCTCCTCCTCGGCCGGCTCGGGCAGATGCTTCTGGGGAGAGCCGCGGGCGGAGATCGCCTCCTCGAGGGTCTCGTCGTCCTCGCCAGCCTCCAGCTTGAACATGTCGTCCTCATCGTCGTCCTCAGCGGGCTCGACTCGCTTGGCAGAGGCGACCTTGGAAGAGCTGCCCTCGGGGGTCACGGGCTTGGTGTTGGTGGTCGGGATGGACTTGCGTCCAGAGCCTGCAGGCTCAGGCGGGTTGCGCTGAGCAGAGACAGGGTCGGTGGCCTTGGGAGCCTGGGAGTCGGTCGCCCGAAGTCTCTTCTTAAAATCCTTCTTTGATATTATCATAAGGGGATCATCGTCGTCCGAGGACTCATCATCCGCCGCCTGAACGCTCTCAACCACGGTGTCATGCTTCGCATGGCCACCACCCTCCTTCACATCACCCTGGCCTCGTCCGCCACTCTCGGGCTTGATGTGCATAGGAAGCTGCTTAGGAGCCATTTCGTCGCGATCCTCTGCATTCAATGTTGGAACTGTGGATGTCTTTTTGCTGCTCTTATCAGCATCGGCATCAGAAGCTGGATCTTCAGATCCAGGGTTTACGACGGTCCACGTGGTTGGATCATCCAATGGCTCCTTTGAAAGTGCGCGCAGAGCTTGGGATGAGGAAACCTTCCTTGGTGGGGGATCGTCCTCGCCGTCGGTGTCTCCCAATGATGTAACAGGGAGTGCGGCGTTGGCGAGAGCTGTTGAGTTTTCTGAGCTGGCACTGACCACCTCTGCAAGGGCCGTGGTGGATGCCTGGGGCGATGAAGACGGCAAAACCTCCTGGCCTTGGACCTCAAATCGCACACGTCGAGTTTCTCGCGGGCTATCAGGCCCCCTTGATGATGCGGCGGAGGAGCGTCGCAGGGCGCTTTTTCGGATCCTGGCACTGCTGGAGTCGCTTGTTATTGACTCAATGGATGCGTCAGTTGCACGACGCAGTAGACTTGGCCTGGGCCGGTGCTGAGGGCTCTCGGAAGTTTGAGTGCCTTCTGAGGTTGGGGTGGGTTCCGGGACGGCGGTGTCGTCTGGGGTCTGAGGAGCCTCGGAAGTCTGGGTGCCTTCTGAGGTCTGGGTGTTTCTAACGGCGAGCTTGTCGTCGATGTTAGATGTTGGGTCTGCACCGGGTGAGGTGGGTGGTGAGTGGATGGGGCGATCAGCGCTGTCGAGAAGTGGGAGGTATGTGGGGGTAAACAGGCCCTGGAATTCCAATTCGCGCTCGTGGGTGCTTCGATGAGGTTCCTTGGGAGTCCCCGAGGTGTGAGGAAGAATTGGCGGCGGGGAGCCCTTGTTGTGCCAGGAAAAATCATAGGATTCTGTGGGTGACTGCAAGGGCGACATGTGGCCACGATGGCTTCCAGGAGGGAACAGGCGAGGGTAGTTGACCAGAGACTTGTTCACAGCCTGCGAGACTTCGTAGGCAACTTCTTCCGGAACATTCTGGAGCTGCTCCCCCGAGAAGCGATTGAACTCGGCTGCCATCTGCAGCCTATACACAGCAACACGATTGTCCAGCTCGGCGAGCTTGGCCTGGGCCTCCGCGATTAGTTTCGCGGTATCGTCGAGCTCCATTGTGACGCGACAATTGTGTGCATCGAATGACTTATGAATGGCCCCGGAAATCACACAGCATTGACACACGGTTCCTTTGTAGATCAACACACGCGTGACTGCAAGGACTGCTGGTTAAAGGTATGTGGTAGTGGCCATGTCGCCGGTGGAAGAGGAGGTGGTGGTTGTCACACGGCGTCTCGGTCTGCCAAGGTGAGAGGCTGGTGAAAAGTGAGGTTCGAGCCGGGGTTTAGCTTTTGGGGTGACGGCGTCGTAACGAAACGCACCTCAACAACGGGACTCTGCAAGTAATTTACCAGGGTGTGGTCAAGCTCTGGGCCTGGCCTAGGCCTGCCATCCTTGGAAGTGGGGACGCAGCCCGGAAAACCCAATGGGCATGCAAACCCGCCACCACCAGGTGCAAGGACACAAACTCAGCACGAGGCCAAGGGCCAGTGTGGGGGAGGCTCAAGCCCCGAAGGGTGCTCTTGTCTCACTCACACTCGCACCCCAGCGCCGCCGCTTGCAGCATGAACTAGCCCCCATGGTGCCAATCTCTGGACAAAGGAAAATCAAGACATCCCTGACCTGGCATATCTCTGACCATCTGCATCTCATCTCACTGGGCTGGCTCATCTCACTGCTTATCTCATTTCATCTCATGTGGCTTGTGCCCTTCTCGTGTTATGTCATCTGGTCTCTAGTCTCACGAGAACCACCCCGAGCTTAATCAGCCCGGGCCCACAATACGGTGCCGGCCACCCCCGCCCCCAAATTGGTTGATCATGGGCGTGATGCGAAACCCTGGCAACGGAGCATCGTCGGAGGCTCGGGCGATAAGGGGAGCTGGCTCCGAGTCAGGAGTCAGCTTCCTCCGGCGCCGACCTTATTCACCCAGCACGTGCCCCGGAAGCCATGGGATGAACCAGGCTGGTACGGGTCATTTGACCTCGCCGTGTCGCCGCTTTCAATGCGCATTGCCCCTTCCACCGACTTTCCTCATCTCTTTAGGCACCCGCCGTCAGGCATCGTCACTTAAGCCCCAATTCAGTCAATAATCTGTCTTCTGACCGGGCAACTGACGGGTATGGCCGAGCAAGTGCAGCCGTGCCTAAGCGCCCACTGCTAAGCGCGTACAGCTGAGCCTACGAGGCGACTCTCGGATATCGACGCCTCGCTCCTTGGTCAACTCGCTACCTCGTGTCGTGGCTGACGCCCTCGAGCGGCTGATGAGCACCCTTCATTTGTGACAATCATCGGCTCTGAGGAAACCTATTCGAGTCGTCAGCAAAGTCCAAGTCGAATACAACGGAGACGAGGATGTCATGCCAGCGTAGCAGTGTTGGCTTGCACCAACATGTCCTGTCGTGCTCAAAACGGGCTATCCCGCGGAGGGAAGCGAGTCTCGCACTCGGAAGAGAAACTGGAGAGAAGCATAGGGCATGCAGCAGACCAGTTCTGGGAAGGCGACAGTTTCGGTACAGAAGGCCATACTCACTTGTATGAGTATCAAGGTGACAAGGAGTCGAGGGATTCCGGGCATTCTTGGGGAGGTGGATATCAAGTCACTCAGCATGGAAATCCGTTCCAGGAGGACCACCAACCGTGGCATACTCCGGCTAGACTTGGTCAATTTGCAATCATTCCCGTATCCAACATCTGTGGGACCCAGTAAGACTTTCCTATAGATACCCTCCCGTAGGATAACATCCCATAGGATAACCTCCCATGGGACAACCTCTTATGGGATAACCTCTTATAGGATAACCTCCTGTGGGATAACCTCCCGTGGGATAACCTCCTGTGGGATAATTTCCTTCGGGATACCTTCCTCTGGGATACTTCGACTGTTGGTATACCTTCTTATGGGCTGCTTTTGTCTGCGCGGACCTAGAGTGGTTGAGCCTGGGCTGTGTTGTGCTGGACTCTGATGCGGGACCTTTATGAGTAGATTATGTCACAGTTATATTGCGAAGGCCGGCTTGAGTGTTTGGGATGGGGGAATGAGGTATCAATTCGTTTCTCACCATACACTCCACGCTAATCAGATACCATCTCATTTGTGCTCATATCAAAGGCAGTGCGAAAAGCGCTGGTTCCTTTGGGGGCTACTCCTTTCCTATGCCTCCATTTGGGCCCCTTGAAAACGCCGTGCTATGATCAATCCATGCCACCGTTCCCTCAAAATGCTCGCCAGATCGCTCCAGCCCTTGGGGTATCACTCTCGTCGTCATCGCGGTTCATCCTCCTGATCCAAGCCGTCTCCTGCATGAGGGCGTCCCGCTCGATCTGCTCCATCAAATCCAGCTCAGCAAGCATGCCATGCACCTGACTCCGGCACCCAGACAGAAGTCTCGCCAGGCTGGATGATTTCTGATCTCCGCCCTGGTCATCATCAATCACTCCACTCTCAAGCTGTCCCAGCTGCCTACGCCAGGAGTCCAGCTTCCTCGCCATCGACGATACCTCGTCCTTCCAGGCCGGATCCAACTCACTCACAAAACCGACCTCGTCGTCTTCCATGAGAGCGCCCAGCCCGCCGGCAAGCCGTCGCGCCTCCACAGCTCGTCTCGTCTGGTCGACCCACTTCTCGAACTTCCTCACGGCGCGCGTATATCGCCCATTCGGCTCACCAAGGCTCCAGACGCCTGAGAGAATAGTGTCTAGCACCTGAATCTTGCCATCCAGCCCCTTGCCGCCGCCCCATTCCATCAGCGCAGCCAAGTTCCGAGCCTCCTCGACCTCGGCCTCCTCCCTGCTAACCTCGTCGTCCCTCCGAGCCAGCTCGGCGAACCTCTGCCCCAGCCTCTGCCTCGCGCTCGCATGCCAGGAGGAAGTCACGGCATCCGCATCGCGGTGGAGAAGGTGCAGCTGCAGCAGCTCGGTCTGCAGCTTGGCCGTTTCGGAGGAGATGGCGATGTTGGCCGGGAGTTTCGACGGCGAGGGGGGCGCGAGGTAGGACGACGTCAGGGGTTTCGGCGCGAGGTTGCGAGCGGGGCTGTAGTGCTGTTGGAGGGTGTTGAAGGCGGGCTTGAGACGCGGCGCGTCGCCTGGCGCGGTGGGCTTGACGGATCTGGCCGCATTTGTAGATGTTGCCCTGCTCAGGGCTGACGCGTTAGATGCTGGTACGGACGCTTGGCGTAGATGGGTCGATCGCGCAACCGTTGTGTTGGACCGGCCTATTGGCCTCTTGCCCGCAGTGGTCGCTGTAGTGGTCGTCGTAGAACTCGAGGCTACCGACCCAGCTGAAGGCGGCCGTGGTGGGCGGAGGACGGTCGCAGAATTCAGCGCGGTCGCGGATGACTTTGCGCGTATGTGTGTGGTTGTGCGCGGCGATGCTGTCCTTGCCGGGGAGGGTGATGACGTTGTCGTCGGTGGTGTCGCCCTCAAGGGAGAGGGACGCGAGGGAGAGGGCCGGGAGGGCGTGGTAGGCGACGGTTCGGCCGAGGCTGTCGCAGGCTTGGAGGGGGTGGAAATCGATTTCGTGGGTGGACGGATCAGCCTGCTTGTCGCAATGGGAGCTGGCCGGGCCTTCTTTGATGGCTCTGGTTGATCGGGGGCGGCAGCAGCCTGTGTCGTTGGCTTCCTGGCGGCGATGCTGTCGGATCGGCCGAATATGCCTGAAGTCGGTCTGCTCTTGGTCCCTGCAGCAGCAGCCGCCGGGATGCCGCTCGCCTTGCCGGCGGTGCCAGCGCGTGTTCGAGTCGCTATTGAAGAGGCACCAGGGGGCTTTGGAAGCCTGCTCGGGGACGTGTTCCTGGCTGCGCCAGCCGAGGAGGTTGAGGCCGCGGCGACATTGGTGGTGTTGACGACGTTGTTGGGGGTTTCGTCCTTCCTCAGGGCCCTGCTGAGGCCTGCAGTGGGCTGTCGCAGCGACCGCGAGCGGTTGAGTGCTGGAGCCGACGAGGAAGACGACATGTCTCCTTCATACAGTCAACTGCCAAAGGGTGATGTCCGTGTCCCACCTTAGTAACGTCCCTTGACCGCGCTCATACGTTTTGTTTTGATTTGATTCGGTCAAGTCGCACAGACGTGGCCGGCTCCTGAACAGCAACCGGGGGTCGCTCCCGGAGTTGCCAAGAGCTCAACCCGCCAAGCGGCCGCCCAGCGACAGGGTACAGGGTACAGGGGTCCAGACCTGGTATTAGTCGTCCTCCAACGACGGCATATTCCAGTCCTCAGAATACTCGCGACACAGCTGGCAGCACTTATCTACCGTCGTCTCCATACTGACCGTGGATATTCATGTCGATCGATGCCGCGTTTTATACCCCGTTTTCGTTTCGGGCTCCAGTTTTGAGAGCCGCAGGCTTGTGTCCAGCTCCCATGGCGACCACGCAACACCTACCGACGCCTGCCAGATATTGTGTTTGGCCAGCTTCAGGCTCGTGCATGCTCCCACTGATTGTTTTCGCATATAATTCTGGAAGGTCTTCATTACCGGGGATAGTGTTGATCCGGCTGGTCTGGGCCATGATAACCCACTCGGTGTGCCCGTCCCTGGTATGGTGGATGCCGCAAGACTCCAAGCCACTAACCATCTACCCGTGTGAATATCATCGCATCAAACAGCTTCAAGACACAGCTTCAAGACACAGCTTCAAAATTTGCTGAAACACGGCATAACATCATCTATATCATTTTCTTTGAGCCACGGCTTTGGGACAGGCTTTGGCAGACACTGCCTGTCTTATCCTTTGCATACCAGGAACATGATCCTGGATTTCTTGGTCTCTGGCCACGAATAGCGCGATCTGCCTTGAACGACGACATATTGGCAGTAACGGTGAAAAAGAAGAATTGAAACACACCTAGTATCAGGCACGCAAGGGGAACCACTGCTGTGCTTGCCACGCGGCGATATGACGCAACAAATTCAGGTCGCGCTCGACCATTACATTGACGGATAGAGGCTGACGAGCGCACACACGATGCCTTTTTCATCAGAAGACACCAATGGATTCTCCCATGCAACTCAAGAGTTTATCCCAGAGAACATCATCTCAGAGGAGGTATTCCCTCACGTGATGGTCTCAGTGTGTGCAGAAGCATCATCTACAGGCGCCTGGATGTTTTCGATAATCACAACCTCACGCCCGGCGTTGTCGTGTCCAACCAACTCAGCCTTGCACGTGTGCAGGGATCAAGGGCATGGAAGAGTGCGATTGATTAGAAATCATTGGCAACGACTGGGTGTGTCGGGCTTGTAAAGTAACCACTTACCGGCTGGTATTATCTTCGTGACGGTGGTCTGAGCAATATTTTGGACCGGCGCACTCGTGCCAGCGACTCCGTCGATAGCGTTTTTCTCAGCCTAGGAAACGAGCAGTTCGGTCCACGCTGGTATGAATGTCATAGAAACATGGTATCCCGATCTTCATGTACAGAAAGCCACAATCGAGACCACGTAGGGCTTCGAAGCGAAGATCCCTGACGAGATGGTAAAAGAGATGATGACGAGGGAGAAACAGCCCCAAAGTTCGACATGGAACTCGATCCATGGAAAATAAGCTTCCCAGACTGGTGAAGCGGCGGGCAAGCCTTAGCCCGACTTTTTCCCCCTCAAAGATTCATTCCTGCAACATCCAACAGCACGGTCAGCATCATGCCTTTTATGCAAGTGTGAGCCGGCCCGGCGATGCAAGCTGAGTACCACTTACAAAGGGATAATTCTCCAGTGGATGTTTTCCACCAATAATAAATATACTGCGAACCAGTCCTGGCTTACGCCGTGGAGGACAGGGCGACTGCTCAGGCGATCAGGCTCAAGACTGGCCGGACTGCCACAGAGATCGTATGGTATCGTTGTAGGTTTGACGACCCACGCGCCTTTATTCTGTGATTACTTCTATCAACAGGCCTTATTCGCAACAACGTGTTCAGGATATCGTGTCTGTGCAAACAGGCATGCCGCGGGCCTGGTTGGGAAGAGGGCGGTGTGGTGGCCTGGTCAGTCACTGTCAGGAAACCTCGCAAAGCTACACTTTCTGAGCCGCGCAATTCTGGTCTTTCTTGATCGTGGTTGGTCTCAAAATGATAGAAGCATTTTCGTGTTACTTTTGAGGTGTCTCCGAGTCATCTGGAGGTGGCATTCGGCGCGATGGGTAGACAGGACCTAGGTAGTTCGGCCAGTGAACCACTGGGAAGGACGCGGTCACCGTTTTGGATGGGCACAACAGCGTCATGTTGGAGTATGATTAGAGAACCTCCACCCTTCGAATTCATGAACGGATCTCTTGATTTTGGAGACATCGACGACACAGATGAAGAGTGAATGATGCCTTCTCTGACGATAGGTTAAAGCACCAGATGGCGGAATGTTCAGTCCCTCAGACATCAGCTGGGGTTTTCCAATGGCTCAGATGTCTGCGGCTACCCCAGCTGACAAGCCCCTCCATGCCATTGTAACTGCTATGGCTTGGTCCTGGTTCGTTAGAGGGCAATCCCTCAGTTGACGTCGTTGTTCGGGTACTGTTACACCCGGCCCTGTCAGGCTGCTGGACAGCTGACACTTTATAAACCGGAATGGACTGTTTTGGACTGAACCCATGCTGTAAATCCCGTCCCTAGCCGCATTATTTGGTTCCTTGGATCTCGCGGTGTGTTATGGCCGGAAATCCCGGAGCAGTCGCTCCACAAACCATGGCTCGTTGTCAACTTGATTCGGCGGGAACGAGGAGTTGCTTTACTTTCTCCTTTACTTGTGTGGGTTTCTCTTATCACTTCAGTACTCTGAATTCGCACAAATAACATTCCAGCGCGGACAGGTGTCATACTCTGCTGAAGCAGCTTACTCCCGGAAACGTTGAGCAACGGTAGGAAACACAAGGACGCATTGATACTACTGTGTGATCCCCTGAATCTCTACCACGTCAGTGCTGTTCCGCTTCTGGTAGGTATGATACTCAGCCCTCCTGATGCCTATTGTCGGTCGTATAGCTGTAACACTTTGCTTCTCAGTCCGGGTTCAGCTTGCAAGTGCACAGCATTGTCACAGGACCATGATGGTAAGGATTGCTCGACCGTACTGGGTTGACCGTATCCACGAGCCAGATTTTCCACGTGATGCATAATTATTTTGTGTGATAGCAACCCTCGTAAGGCGCACGCAAGCAACGTAGTCGACCAAGTGGCAAGTTCTCGACGAGCCTGGGCCTCGTTTCAACCAAGTTCGGTCCGCAATCATGCGGTATTGCTGGAAAGTGGGTGTGGTCTCGTTTTTAATCTATGTACATGTGCTTCTTAAGCAATACACATCCAGTCCCTTCACATAGTAAAAACGCTTAAACACCCAGTATTGAAAAAAAAAAATATCAATAATAATAAGTTTTAAATATAATTATAGCTTAGGGCTAAGAAAATAATAATAAACTTATAGTAATTATATAAATAAGGCTAGTAAAAACCGCTTTTTGTGAGTGGGCGTATGGGTGAAGGACCCCATTGACTGCACGCATTTACTGAGGCTCTGGGCCCCACACCCCTCAGGCATAAAACCCCTGCCTTGCGATTTCCGTAAGACTTCTTCCTTACATAGAAGGTAGCGCCGTCTTAATCTGAATTAACGTATTGAGGATAGCTGCCTTGTCTCTATATTCCCTCTCGTGACACTTTTAGCGGCGCTATAAATTAAAAAGTTAAATAATTAATTATATAATACAAATCAAAATAATCTTTATAAAATATAATTATCCCATAAATATAATCTTAATTAAAAACTTAATTTCTTTTTATTTTTATTAATATATATTTTATATAACTTTTTAAAAAAACCCTTATTAAATAAATTATTATTATAATTAATATTTAACCTTAAAGCTATTAATTCTAATAAAAGTTAAAATAAAAATTTAATTTCCTTTAAAAAAAAACTTTTATAAATATATTATAAAACTCTTAAGTAAGAATTAAGATAATATTTACAATAAAATAAATAATATAAAGAAATATAATAATGTTATATTTTTTTATTATTTTTATTATTAATAGTAAAATAATCCTTTAAAAAATTCAAAGATATTTAAAAATAAAAGTAAAAAGAGGGATTGCAATATTCCTTCGTTAAAAAAGAATAAGGATATATTTAAAGCTATATGCGACTTTATGCATAAGCTTAGGGCTAAGGGATAGTCGGAAAGCTAAGCAGATAGCAGACAGACCAATGGACAGTTGATTTAAAAAACACAGTGTGGCCGAAGCCATTGCTGGAAAGGGGCAGCTGGGGATCGGAACCATGTTCGGTCCCTCGGGCATGTGAGAACGTCCAGGGCTCCTGTACGATGCATTGGCCCAACAGCATGCCTAGGTAGCTTGGTTGCACGGTCCAGGGTCTAACGCCTCCATGGGTAGTCAGCCAGGACTCAACGTTGATCAGGTCATTGTCAGCAAGCCGAGCCTAGACGACGCCAGGACTAACCAGGGTAGCCATGATTTCTCCCGAGCGCGGATCATGCCGCATGATCTGTGCAGGCACTAGGCGAACGCTGAGAGTCTCATCACATATCGATTTTGCGCAGGTGCAGGTGCAGGTGCCGGAGCTTGTCGTGGGTTTCCTAAGTCCGCGAATGTCAGGGCTTGATCGACCACTAGATCACATGGCTCACGACACCCATCAATGAAATGCGTGAACAGGAGACCTAAGGAGAGGCTGGAGAAAGGAGGCGTACGGGTCACTGGATATGGTTGAGCTTGCCTGTAGCCTGCGCCTCTCGATTTGGGCGGAGCTTGGGGAACTACCAGGGGGGTTCTGTGGCGCTACTGTCAGTTTGGAGGGCATTTCAGCCGTTTTTCGTTTTCTGGGTTTCTCTATGGCAAATAATCCAGCACATTCGCATGAGGTACCTCAAGACTGTGCAGGAGCTTCATAGACTAGATAACACCCAGGTGAGATTGAAGGCAGGTGGACGAATTCAATCCTATGGGTAAATACACAGCTCGTGTGAATCCTGAAACTTCGGGCAAAAAGACATGTATGAACACTGTAATTAACGTATAAAAAAAAAGTACAGATTATCCCTGTAACATGTACGATACCCTGACGGAGGTTCTGGCGAGGTGGTCTTCGCAGTGGAAGGTAATCGATCAACTCCAAGAAAACGGCATCTGGGTCCCTTTAAAGGCGTCCCCGCTGTATATGCCCGTAGTCAGCCGCAACTACAATCTTTGTACCCGAATAGTTCAAAAGGACACGGTCCAGACTCGAGTGATATGGTCAAGGGACCAACGTGGACCGGTTCCAACCTGAAGATCACTCTTATGCAATAGCTTCCAGATAATGTTTCGCTCCTGGAGGCAGCTGTTTCCTGACTGTGTGGTTCTTCCTGTTGCGTCTGGGTGGCTGACCTCATCGAGGGAAAACATGGCCTCCGCACCATCACCAATGGCCAGCAATGACGAGTAGTCAAGCTGTTCGGCTTGATTGCCAGATGGAGTACTGACAGCCGCCACTGTTCTTGATCAAAAGCCGACATGTAGGGTGGGCAGATCATTGCGTTCATCTCATGCATCAGAATCGGCTAGGTTAGCGTCAGTATTGTCGATCATGGTCTCGAACCAAACATTGCATGGAAGATCGTCAAATTGTAGCGTCGAAGAATGTTCTCAGAACAATGAGCATCGTTCGAGACAGCGGTGTCGAGGCTTTTGACCAGGGTGAGTAGCATACGCAACCCCAAATGCCCCTTGGAATTCCGGGGCCCGTGTTCCAGGCGAAGAAGTGTACCCGGCCTCCAGATGTCCAGTTGAGCCAACAGGGTGGGAACATCCCTAGGTCTTTGGTACCCCGGTGATGCAGTCGTGAAACTAGCTCAATAGTCTGTCGAAAGTCTCAGGCAGGTCTTTGTCCACGAGGCTCGAAGTATCTGCCAAGACGGCCGGTAAGCAGCACGCAACGTAGGTGGGAGTGGATGGGCAGGCGAGCAAAGTTTCAGCCGAAGAATCCATGACAACAAGGTCTACTTCCATTGCCTTGCAAACAAGCTTAAATCGAGCGGCATCAGAAGAGTCGAAGAAGCATAAAGATGTGGGGAGAATATGTACCACACGAGTGCTAACCGAGAGCTAACCGTCTGATCTGCTCGCCTCGTGTTAGGTTTATAACTGTATGCAGGCTTGAATCTTTGACTGGTATTTCGCCAAGCAGACAGGCCAACATTGCGACCCAAACAATGGGAGGCAGTTGAGTCAAAACAGTTTTAAAGCTTGGGCGACCAACAAACCAAGCGTTGCCTGGTATTCGGAACATGGGAACATGGGAGAAACCTGGCACAGGCTGAAGGTCGACGGTTGGACCGCTGTTTCGGCTTTGCCTAAATACAGGGAAATCCGGATGGCTGCTGGCGTATTACTGAACCAGACGAGAACCTTGCTTTACTTGCTGTACAATTCCAGGAGTCCCACCGTTGAGCCCGGGGATAACGTCGAACCCTAGCAGTCCAAATGAGATTGCGGCCTCACGTGGCGCACGCAAAGGTCGGCGCGGGTAAGATTCCACGCACAGAGGTAGCGCTGGTTGACCCGACTGACACGGTACGGTAAATGGCTGGCCGGCTTGGTGATCACATTACCACTGATCAACCCTAGCGATTGCGTCGGCTCGTGATCGGGGAAGTGTCGTCTCGGGATTCAGCTGGGCAGGGCTGTGATCCAGGAATCCGGTCGTTGTGAATCGGGCCACGGCTCGTACGCTTCATGATGCCGCCTTGAGCGGGTATCTGATGTGGGGATTCGTCTGCAACCGTCGGCTTTGAACACTGCACTGACCGGCCAGATGAAGATGGCTCGTGTTGGTGAATAGAAGTGGTACTAGTTGGGTGCGCTGCATTATGTATGCTTCACGTGTATTCCCGCATGCAATCATATGTGCTCGGTGGTGAGCCACGACGGTCAGTGGATCCCAGGCATTATTGAGCCTCGGCGGGTGCCACAGTACCACAGTATCTAGATGGCGGTGGATAGCAAATCTCAGATCGGCCGTGCTGCCGACCGATGTTGCGTGGCCTGCGAGACACTCGCGACTGCAACGGTGGGGTTTCGCCACCTTCCTGTCACAGTCACCTCGAAACTACTGTGTAGGTTCTAAGCTTGGCTGGCCACAGGATCTGGTCCCGGGCTGAGGCACGGCCGATCATGGCCCAGACCGGGTGTGAAGGTTGCTGTCGAGCCCGATCGATGACGGGCAGGTGAGTGCAGCGCAGTGCGGTGCAGTGCAGTGCAGTGCAGGACACAAGAAGAGATGGAGTCTGGGCTGTCTGGAAAGGTGGCAGGGTGGACGGCAATCATTCAGAGGTGGGATGGATGGATGGATGGATGGCAGCATACTTCAACAAGTACTGCTAGCAGCATGGATGGCCAGATGGAGTAATTCGGCCAAGTGTGGGCCGGTGGGTCCTTCCCACGGGGCAGTTGGCCCAAGCTCCAGTCGGGAACCCCCCCCCCGGGTCATTCTTGGTAGACACGGTAGGGTATACCTACCTAGTAATACGTGGACTACGTCGACGTTGGCCTGTCACTCTAGACGTCACGTCTGATTTGACACGCAATGGTCCAAAAATTCAGACGGCAGACACATTTCCACCCATACTTCAGGTACCTGGGTCTATTTGCCCGTCTCTCGTCTGTCGTCTGTCGTCTCTCGATATGCTGTTCGATTCTAGCCACGCCTGCCAGCCGTCTTGACATAGGATGCTGTGCCGACAAATTCCCTGCACATGTAACCTCCTAATCTGCACCCCAATGTCCTCTCGGCAAATCGCGTCATTATGCCTATCAAGACAAGGCCACAAGACTGGGGCCGGATGGGCATGGCATGGCCTGCTCCAACTCCAGCTGTCGGCCCTGCCACTGTCTCCTCCGCTCGGCCATCAGACGTCTGCGTGTGTCAGCTAGAGCGCCTCGACGACCAGCATGCGGCCATCCATGCGCTCCTAGGTGCAGACGCAACCACCCTGCTGCAACGCTGACAGGCCGGGCTCAGACCCAAAATTCCGGGTAACCAGAGCACAACGTTCCTGGCCCTGCGCCTTGTGCGCTACGACCGACCGTGGCTGCAGCACCGGTGTTTGCTCCCAGCGAAGCCTCCCTCCGTCTGCCGCCTCCACCTTCCCTCCAAGTCCTGCACTCTCGACTCCCAAAGTCCTGACAGGCTCCGGCCGCCCTTCACTTGGTTACCAGGATGTCGACACCCGTTCCACAATCATGGCCTGCCCACAGGCACATGGAAGCCTGCAGGAGGACGACCGGCTGTCCCGCATCTGTATGTGTCCCGTGATATGCTCTGCGGTCAGGCCATTCCGCGACTCGGAGGGCGGGCTGGAGGCGTTCGAAGTCTGATACGTGACAACCTTGACAGTCCGCAGACCGGAATGGACCGAGGGCTGTCACCTGCTTGTGCACTTTGTCAGACTGAACACTTGCCCGAGACCTGGTTTCTGGGACACCTCTATCGGGCTGACCGGCTCATCGTCGTTGACATCACCGTTGCCATCAGTGAAACGGAAGCAGAACGAAGCGGCAGGTCTACTTCCCTCGGAAACGCAGGCAGCTGCCCAACGTCTCGGTCCCATACTCAGCGCAAATCATCGCATTGGATGGGACCATCGAGTTGAGCCCCATCTTGAGCAATATTACAGTTCCAGCTCGACCATATCGCGGAGAGCATCTCATTCCAAAGATGTATCAGCGTGCACGAGATCTTCGTGTCAAAGCCTCACATGGCTGGCAATGGGCAACCTCTACTGGCCGTAGATGAAGCTTTCTATCAGGAGGGACGGATCCCGGCCCAAGACTCGATTCTTGGCTCGAAACAAGAGCCCAACAGTATAGCAGGGATGCCCTCTGCAGTCAAACTGGCCATACTGAATATTTAAATGAGGTATTTACGTAGGGCAATAATTTGTGAACAGGCTCAAAGCCGGCGCGGGACGAAGGTTGACAGCCGAGCCCCTGACAAAGGTGGTAGGACCCGGAACGTGTGGCTTGCTCGTCTTCTGCCAACGACATGCTTGTCGCTACAACCTCACTGGTGGGTCGAAACCGACGTGCTTCAAGCGGCTTCAGATCCTTAATGCTTTCGAAATTGCACTGTGGCAGACAGGGTGTACTCCGAAACGTGCCGACGTAATACTAGACCTGTCAGCTACTACGACCGCAGAGAGAAGCAAGCTGCCCACGCCACGTGGCTGGAAAGACGAAGACGCACGCGCCGGGTTTCCTACGTTCACCAAGGACTCTGCTCGCTTCAAAACCAGTGCACGTGTTGGATTGGTGAATTGGTGGGCTCGAGACTCGAGACAACTGTTCACTCTCTGAACCAAACCTGCCAAGACTTTGGCCATATGCAAAGAGCTGTGCTCGGGATGAATTGGGGGGTGCTACCTGGGAACGCAGCACTCGACTCCCACTTGGCTTGGATGCAGGTCGCCGAGCTTGCTCAATCTGTCCCATCAGAGAAGCGTTGGCCAGTTCTCACAAGCACACCCTGGTTGCCCGGTACATGGAACGCATAGAAGCTGCAGCTCTGCATGGCATCCTAGTTTGAATCGACGGCAAAGCGAGGAACCGGCAACCCCCCCTTGACCAATACTCCATATTGACCTCCCAGCACACGGCGAACAATTCTTTACAAAAGAAGTGGATGCAGAACAACGAGTAGTGCCTTTGCGTTATACACTTTTATTCACCTTGGGCGGTTGTGCTGCACCTGGACGTTGGACATCAGCGACTGCCATGACCACAACTTTCTCCCTGTTTCTTGTGCGCTCATTAGTGCTTCGGAGGTGATGGGGGATAGTCTATCGGCCAGCGCCTAAGTAAAGGTGGACGTTGCAGGAAGTCCATCCAACTTAAACTCTGTTGTTGGTTACTTTCTATAACACACGCGGTAAGTACCGTTCCATGAGGGACCCTTGTATACCCGAGGTGTGCCATCTCCTGCAGTCTAGCAAACATGCATGTCAATCTTTCCCTAAAGTCGAGCCTGCAGGTCGCCAGATATCAAGACCGTCCCCACTACTGCGCACCTCTGCCTCGAGGCTCGCTGTTTTCCCCCTTCATTCTTTGCAACGACAGCACACCGATGACCTTCCTAGCTGGCCTTGTCTGTATTCCGTTCCACCGGTCGCAGCTTGCAAAGACCAGTCGACCCAAAACAACAACACGCATTGGCTCATATTGTCTGCTCAGCTCCACCGCTCCTGCGCCTAACCGTTTGCTTGTACCACTGTAACCAGCGATCGCAGCTTGGGCTTCTCGGTCAGGGCCAGGGAAGCTGTGCACGATCACACATTCATTCTGCTCTCCGATCTCCGAGACTCTCTGCCTGGAACAGACAACCACTGGCTTGTCGCTGCAGATTCTATGAGGCCGATAGCTGGAGCGTCTTGGTCCAGGTCTTGTGCAAATTCCTACAGGAGCGAAACGAGGTTACACACTACTTCCTCTGCACGCTACATGTGCTACGAGTGATCCAGTGTGAGTGTACACGCACGTCTGTCTTTGCTCTTGGCTCCGCTTGCTAATCGCTCAACGACTAGCTCCCCCATAAAAGCCTCCCACGGCCCTTCGAGGTCCAATGTCTGCGGTTGCCGGTGCTCGGATTACACCACATGATCTTGACATCAATATGGTGGAAACCATGACCAGCCCCTGGAACCAATGGCCTGCGTCTGGCATGCCTAAGCCAGGCTTTTACTCTGACTTCAAGCCAACGAGTCCTAGTGACCGGCGTGTAGCTCGGATAGCGACCTCGCCCAGTTTTGCCCTCAGCAACCCACCGCTGCAACATTCTGCTTCATCGCTCGCGCCCCGCAGGGAGTCATTCCATAGCAGCCACGCGAGCACTCCCTCGCCTCTGGAGTGGCCGTCACCAACCTTTTTACCCAGCTACAATTTCTCCCGCTCACTGGGCACCGCGCCGAGAGGTCCTCAATATGATGTTCACTCCTCCCCGACGCAGCATAGTTCCTTGGTCAGCGAGAGCTCTGAGAGCGCCTTGCCTGGAGTTTCTAGGATACAAGATGTGTGCCCAGTTCCAGGAACAGCTGGTAACTATGTCCCAGCGAGTTTCCCACGATCTTTGGATCACGACGCGGCGGCCAGTCGGGTGGAAGCCGTGACACCGAGCACGAGACCGACCTGGCCAACGCAAGCTCCTCAAGTCCCTGGTTCCTCGGTCAGCGAGTCGCAGACGCCTCGGCAGCAATCGAAGAGCGTGACCGTACGCTCGCTGCTGAACGACGATAGAATGTCCTCAGAGCTCAAGTACGATCTATGCCTACGGCAGCAGCCCGCGAACGCGCGGTCGTGTGGACTGGGCGACAGGGACAGACGGGTCGTCGACCCACCTCCGATCCTGCAGCTGAGGATCGACGCTCCGTGGCTCTCACGTCAGGAAATCAGCCGCAAACTGAGGACACCGTCCTACGTTGTTCACTGCTCGATATGGAGCCCGGACGGGGAGGAGGACATGTCAGGGATGCCTGACGACTATACAAGACAGAAACGATTGATGGGCAACCTCGTCGCATCTCCATTTGTTGGGTTTGACGAGCGCGGCGACGAAGGTTGCTTTTTCTGTTTCCCGGACATCTCATGCCGCACTCCCGGGAGGTACAGGCTCAAGTTCGTGCTTGTCGTCCTAGAGTGGCCCCTGCGGCCGAACGCGAAGTCGATGATCAGAGCCGAGCTACTTTCCGACGTCTTCCAGACGTACAGCGCCAAGGAGTTCCCCGGCATGTTGGAGTCGTCCGCACTCGCCAAGGCCTTGAAGCATCAAGGCTGTAACATACCCACCAAGAAGGGGAATGATAAGACCGGCAAGCGGGACGACAGCGAGGAGAACTCGGGCGGGGAAGACTCCCCTCGCAAGCGAGCAAGGAACGACAGCCTGTGAGAACGCCCTGTTCACTCCTTCGCCCAGCTTGAGTTGTCGCTCATAGGCGGACTTTCAGCAGGATTCGGTGCCGGCTGTGATGCGTTCCTGGTGGACATTATGGGCGGACCTCAGCTTGTCCGTTATCCTTTCTGATGATCACTTCTCTGACTCTCTTTCTTCTCGATATAATATTGGTTTTTCTTTTGTCTAATATCTGGGCCGAGGCACCTCCGTGCGAGACCGACCGAAGCACACGAGCGCAAACCTCCCCTCATAATGGATATCTGCGTGGGGAGGGCTACGATTGGGTGCGCTGCTTGCGCGAACAAGGACAAAAAGGGTATAAAGGGGGCTAGTGGCGTTTGCTGCGTTCTGAGTACAGTGTGACCGCAAGCAATGCGCTGTTACATAGTGGGAATTGGACAAGCTTCGTCTTGTTACGACACTTGTCGGGTAGGCTTATCTGTTATGGCGTTGGAACCGGATTGGGGGTTACTGGGCGAGGTCTAGATGCTCGCATACATGTCAAGGGCGCCCACACTAGATTCGCCTTCAGAACAAAGCACGCGGGTGTTGCACGATGATGAATAGGGAAAGTTTTGGTACGATTTTACGACCGGAGGTTGCTCCACTGGGAGGTCAGCGTGTCGGTTTAAGTTCACCCAGCCATTTGGCTTCGAGGCCCAGGGGCTCTTCCAGGCCCGAGGATACTCTTGAGACGGGGCAGCAGCAACCCGCGGCCCGTACTCAGGGTTGGAATTTCGTGGCCGCTATAGCTTCTTTCGGATGTGATGGCAGATATCACCGAAAATGGCATTCCTTGCGCCCCGACCATCAAGAACGCCATGAAAGCTTGAGAGGCCGGCCAAGATCGCCACTTGACCAATGCTGTAGGCAAAGCAGGTCTGCACATTTGGGGATAGGTGGAAAACCCTAAAGGTATAACGCTGAGGGTCGTGCTCGCTGAGAGGTCCGGACGAAGATGGCCACCCGCCAAGGCAGTCTCAACAAGAGACGTCACACTGGGTGTGGCGATCAGACGAGCATCATTCTCTCCTGGCCAACGCCAGTCCGACACGAGGAGAGGGGGGGAAAACCTGACAACAACATCGCGTCTGGATTCCCCGCGAATATGAACGCGTATTCCTAGCTCCTTGTTTCCAATACCCTGTTTGTTTCGTATCTGTTCTGGACCTAGGGCCATCCGGCCACCCACCATCGCGTGCGTGTGTGATGGGGGGCCCTCGTTGACAGGTCCAAGGCTGAATACTTTGCTGTGTTGGTGTGGGTGGTGTGAAACGGCCCGGCACCGTGCCGAATGGCACTCCCCGGGTTCCGGCCAGCCCTCCCTCCCCCCTCCCCCATCCCCCATCCCCCATGCCATCACATGAAATAAATTCTCCGGCCAAATCTGACTTTTCCGTGTCACCCTAACCGTGCCCTTGGTTGGCGCGATAATCTAGGTTTACTAACTCTGCGCACCCCGGCACACCCCGGCCCAGAATGTCCCCTGTTGGTTGCTTCTGGCCCTGCACGTCACCGCCGGACCGGGTTTCCGCCGGGAGGGGCTGCAGGGAACCCTGCTGAGCTTAATCCTGCGCCGCCTGGACGAGATCGGACGAGATCGGACGACACTTGCGAGGCCCCCAGGTTTTATCCCCGTGTCGATGGGTTGGGGAGGGGGCGGGGGGCACGACCATGTCCAGCATGTTCTTGTCCTTGTTCCTCGGTCCAAAAGGGGCGGGTGAGTGCTTTGCAGTATGACCGAGCCCCAGGTAGAATGAGACGTCTGAATCTGACGACGGCTTGGTGTTCGAGGTTGAGACCACGTCGACGTGGAGGAAGACAACTTGGCCATAAACCTCCGGAACCAAGGACCCTGGGGTACCACACAGCCTCGGACCGTGGTAGACGCGAGCAGCATGCGGGCCAGCGGTTCAACCGATTACCAAAGATCACGCACCACGTCTTGGGAGAAACCGGGACCGTGCCTATCCTGCTGCCCCCAAGGACCTGTTTCTAGGCTCGCCTCTTGTTACCACTCAGATGCTCTAGGCCCGGGGAGCCGGGCTTTGGATGGGTCATTACCATGGCTGCCCTGCCTCGTCCTCTCGCCCAGTGACCCCCCCGGGTGAATCAGTCCCAGATTGGATGGTCTTCGGCACGGTATTCGGTGTGTTTGCCCTGTCCGAGCTCTTCCGTCGTCGTCGACGTTGGATCTGCAGGCCGCAGGAACGCTGCTGTATGTGAGGGCTGAGGTATCGAATATACGGCCATCATCCCAACATACACAAAAAATGAAGGACCAGGTCTTATTCACTAATGTCACATGCAGTGAACCGCCGCGGGTTGGGGTCATCTCCATGGTCATGAAGCGGCAGTACCCAAGATCACTCGTAAGGGAGCTGGCCTCGAGTTTGGTCACGATGCTGATCAGTGGAGTAGCCCCGGTGTCAATACTGCCGTCGTCGAACTTCAGAGCTTACGCTATGACTGCCTGGGGTGATCCCGTGGGAGGTTATCCCACACAAGGCTGTGCAACAGGCGCTGATCCCAAGGAGGTTGGCCCACAGGAGGTTATCCCATAGGAGGCTGGCCCATAGGAGATTAGCCTACAGGTTATCCTACAGAAGGAGAAGGTCATCCTATCTGAGTCCTCCCACTGGCAATGTACTAAATAGGCAAGGTTATGATATCCCCGGCAGTACCTAGGCAAAGAAGAGAATTATGATTATAGAAATGCCTCATCGCATTTACTTTGTAAGAATGAGGCCATAGCTAAAAGTAATTCGCAGCTATACCATGTCACCACAGCACCGGCGGCTATCAAATGGGAAAGCATTGGAATCATGGCTTCATCTCCTGGAGATTGGCCAGCACGGCTTTTGAGCAGTGTTATACAAGCAGCCGTCACTGTACAGCATAACTAAAATGTAAACCAAGCAGTATTCTCAAAATTACCATGGGTGCCGTGGTATCTCTGGTATTTCTCGCATCACCGGTGTAGCAGAGCTACCAGCCACACAGAACGCGTGGATCCACAGCTACCAAGGTTCCATGGCTCCACGTACCCACGTACTGGATCCGTACACGCTCCTCATGGGAGAGCTTCACGTAAGATGGTGCTATAACGTGAATTGATATGCGTGAGGCTATCATCGCTCGTTCTTCATGGTTCTTCTATGTACTCTTGCGTACCTTCACGAGTTTTCGGTGTCCCTACGGAGTGTATGTCAGGACAGATGAGTACTCTGTCAGAGCCACTCCACGAAAGACGTTCCTAAGAACTGCCTATTCTTCATCCTCGTTCTGGATTGACTTCAGGTCTTCCCCGTCAGCAAGTCGGAACCACTCCTGGCACATCATCTCCCGGTCCGCCCTGTCCTTGTCCGCCAGCCCCTGCCTCTCCGCCGCCATCTTCTCGAGCACCCCCATCTCCCGGCACGCCTCCTGCACGCCCGATATGGCTGCCTTGAGCAGGTACGTCCTCCTTTCGGGCGAGTCTCGCGGCCCGTCCATGAGGCACGAGAGGTTCCAGAAGCCCTGCGGGTTGTCGAGCTCGAGTGCCGCCACACGATACAGGTCTCTCGCTTCCTTGGTGCGGTTCTGCTTCTGCAGGATCTTGGCCTGCTCCAGCGTCCAGGTGACCTCCCATTCCCACCTCGGTTCTCGCGGCTCAGGGAGGGTCACGTAGTCTGGGTCGGCCCCTTCCTCGATGCTGAAGCTTCGACTGTCGCTGGCTTTCGACGGTGCGCCGGACTTATCCTTCGCCTCCCAGGCCCTCTCTGCTCTGCGAAATGAATCCAAAGCCAGCCTATCATGGCTCTGAGTCCCTTGTTTTGCAAGAATCATGCCCTGTAGGGTAAGTGCATCGGGGTCTGTGCCCCTCTTGAGTAGTTTTTGGAAGCGAACATCCGCGTCGATGAACATCTTGGACGCGGCTGCCTTCTTCTGCATGGCTGCGGGCACGCTGGAGAAGATGCGCACAAGGGTCAGCGTCGAAGGGTCATATCCCAGCTCCGAGGCCGACCGCAGCATATGAGTGCCGAGCCTCCACCGCGCAGCAGAGTTGTCAGAGATCAGAAGGATTCCCACCCAGTGCAGGAGGGAGACAGGCAAACCGAAATCTGGAGCGTGTCAGTTAGGATGGACGTTTTGGAGGAGAAAGCAGTCTCGAGAGATGTTGTGGAAGACCACAACCGTGACACTGTGCAAGCAGATTATCGCGTCTGAATCGGACTGGGCCTACCTGTCTCGAGTCTTGGTCGCCAGGAGCTCTCATGCTGTGTGGCTGCAGACACGTAACTCTGAGCGGCTTCCATACACTGTAGAGGAGTGAGGTGCTTGGCACCTATGCCTTCGATGCTGTTTGTCCAGTCCTTGATAGGTGGCACATCGGATGTTGAGAATATCCATCTTGGAGCCTCATCGCCCTTTGCCGATAACCTTGGAGATGCCGACGGAGAAGGGGACGGGCGGGCTGGTGGGCGGGCCGGACGGACCCTTTGGGCAAAGCGACGGTTGCTTAGGTTATGTACAGGCTGAGGCAAGAGCATATATGCCGGTCGAAGAGGCTTATGATGTGAAATTGTACAAGGAGAGGCGAATGAGAGTAACAACCTCCTGGCCGATTGGCCGGGAGTGACGATTGAGCTCATGGGCTCATAGGCTCGGATTTGAGTGAGAGTCGGAGGTCGTGCCCAAACTCCTCGTCATTAGAAGTAGTATCCACGGAGACTGAATAGAGTGAGCACAAGTGTGGGTACCCTGCAGATGCTCGATTTCCAGAAATGCCGGTGGTGAAGCCCATCTCAGTCTGTTCCACTCATTGAGACCTCGCACACAATAAGAGGACTGGTCGTCAGACCCGGCTGGCCGTGGTGCAGACAGGCCAGGCGAGTGAAGTGGGTCGGCGCGGCAGCCACACTGATAGACCAATCAAACGTGCAGTAGCACGGCCGTTATCGATAAGGACCCTGGCAGAAAAGTTGGATGGGTTCCAATCTCATCACACCCCCCAAACTCACTCTACAACCAAAACACACTGACTGATCCAACAAGCATTCACCGCGTGTGATCCGAGACAATATAAGACCAAGCATATTCTAACTCCTGTGGACTGCCGGAATCTCTCATTGAAAGGTCAAGATGGCCCCCAAAAAGGCCACAGCCAAGTCGCCAAAACCCAAAGCCACACCAAAACGCCTGGCCAAACCAGAGCTCGTGGTCTCATCAGGCGCAAGCTCAAATTACGACGATGTGCCGGATCCGGATGCGGAGGCAGCACAGGACGAAGTAGGGTCGGGCGAAGACTCCGGGCCAGAGCCAGAAGCGGTGACACCAGCAAGGAAGGGCGGGAAGCGGAAGGCAGCCGACGAGGGCGGAGACGAGAGCCCCGGCGCCAAGAAGCCCAAGGTGTCGTCCTCCGTCAAGATCTCCGAGTCCGTGACGGAGTCGGGCGGGAAGAAGAAGCACGCGCATAGGAGCGTCAAGGTCGAGATCCCTGTTTCGACGACGCCGGCGACGAAACCTGCCGGGAAGCACATCGTCTTCAACGACGACGACGGGCCCGCCGAGTTCTTCACGCCGCAGGAAGCCCCGGCCCAGGAGCTGTTGGACGCGCAACTCTCCGAGGCCGACCGGGGAGGCGGAGCGGATGGCGGTGAGGAGGACGAGGGGAGCGACAGTGACGATGATGCACCGGAGGCCGTCTCAACGCACGCGGCGGCAGCACAGGCTGCGAAGTCCGCCCAGGCGGCCACAAAAGCCGCAGAGAAGTAAGCCAAATATCGTGACGGCGCACAGTGTCAGGCTCAAGACGTTTTGCTGACGCACATGAACTAGACAATTAGAGCTCCAGAAGCGCAAGCGACAGGAGCGCGACGCCCGCCTCAAGCAGCAGGCCGAGACGCGCAAGAAGAACCAGGCCGTGTCTGACAAGGAGGCCGCAGCAGCAGCAGAGGCAGAGGCCTCCCCGGAGCCAGCACAGCCTGCCCCAGGCCGGCGCGACCACCTGCCCAGCGTGTCAGCGGCGCCGACGCGCAAGCGGCTGGACAAGCGGTCGCTGCCCGACGTGCTACCGGACGACTTCCTCGAGGCGGCCTCGGACGACGACAAAAATGACGACGGCTCCGACCAGGACGACGAGGCCGCCGCGCGGAGGCCGAAGAAGCCCAAGTTCAACACCGTCATGAGGCAGGTGGCCAAGGCCGAGTCGCGGCGGCCGCAGGACCAGCGCGTCGGGTCGACCGTGTACCGCGTCGCGGGTCCCCGTGACGACAACCCGAGCCTCGCGCCCAAGCTGGGCAAGTCCTCGCGGAACGCCAAGGAGCTGCTGCTGCGGAGGCAGCGGCCGGCGGCGCGGAGGGGCGGGTTTCTGGTGAAGAAGCGGAGGTAGTACGTGACGGGGCAGGTGGGGTTTTATGGATTAATTGCCATACAATGGGATGGTCGCCTTTCCCAAAGCAAAGTCGATGTACCGCATCATGAACTCGTCCAGCAGCATCTCTGTGTGTTTGTGCAGTCAAGCATATAGGACAAGGAGGACCCACCTGGTGTTGAAAGCTAGCCAGCAGCTCCCAGACATGCTTCCGGTCATACAACGTGGACAGGACCCATGAGGAGGGGGTTATGCAAGCCCTAGCTGCCGACTGCAGAGAAGCGCGTGCCTATGTTCCGGGCTCTGTGAGAACACGTCAAAGACCTGGCCAGGAGACATCGTTCGCCTGCGGGACGAAATTCTGGGAATCCCAGCTGACCGCATATCCTGGTAACAGCGCGTATTCCAGGAGGGGCCGCGTTAAAATAATGACCTAGGTTGGCTGCGACGAAGTGGTGCAACCTGACGAAAGGCCAAGGAAAGGTACGGTTCTGCGCCGTTGACGGCACAGTTCCTGGTCCAGCATACACCGAAGTAGAAGAATTCAAGTCAAACATGCGGCCATTGACCAAACAAATGAGCCACAAGCCATTCTTGGAGTCCGTTTATCATGAACATATCCATTCTGATATATCTCCTGATTATCAATAAAACATGTAAGTATACGTAGCAATATGGCATGTCCCGAAGAACATCAATATGTGCAGTAAAGACCGTACCCAGAAATACGACTGGGTAGGTAACGAGTAAAGCCTAAGAGTGGTCATTTTCCAAAACGCCATGTCCGTGCAAGGTGACCAGAGCCATGGTCTACCCAAACAGCCCAGTATCAATCCGTCCCGAAATTCGTCAGGCCTTCTGAAAACCCAACACGAGCCCAGCCCAAAAGCCCGAGCCTTTTATTTCTCTCACCCAAAGCCGAGAGCCGACCCAGAATCGAAACGCCGTCCAAGAGCTGGACATCCCCTCAGCCCCAACCGCCAAAGTGACGAAGTTCGCAAAAGAATAGAATATAAACAGTAACAGGCGTAGTATGAGGGGTATCAAATCGCTTATATATCCAGTTGTAGTCGTTAAGTAAATCGAATGGATGGCAGACATGCCAATATAAATGAAGTAAAGAGCCGTGACGACCGAAACAGGGGGTGCGGTCATGTTATCATAGGAGCCAACTTGCCGCCATGATCAAGATCGACGAGGGAAGCAGCCATGACGGCCCTCGGCTGAAAGTCGACAACCCGGCGCTGGACACTATGGCCTCAGGCATCGTCGTGTTTGCAAAATTTGGGCCGCATAAAGTGTTGACCTGGTCGGCAGCCGAATCATAGGTATTGGCGATTGGCTGCCTTCGGTTTGCCGTGGCAACCTGATAGATGGCCATCGTGTCCTGTAGACACGAGGCGCAGATGGGCACAGTGCCGCCCGGGAGAGTCGAGTTCAAAGGCAAATAATAGAAATATGTGTCTGTCGGGTTCGTTGCATTTGTCACCGCGTTCCCAAAACAGTAGACAGCCGTGTCCGGGTCCTTCAGGCAGGTGGCGCTGTACACAACTTGGTAAGAGATGAGACCCAGGTAGGCCTCCTTGATCGTCGGATTGTTCGCTTCATAATCAGCGCCACAATTGCTGGAGTCGGTCAAGTTTTTAGCCACTCTTGCAAGGTAGTCGGTGCAGCGAGTGACGTTTGCTTCACACGCATGATCGAGCACTGTCGATATGCTGACAAGCGACTTCTCAGCCTCAAAGAAGGACTGTGAGCTCTGTGGATCAAGTTGTCAGTATGGAGCACTTGGGCTGATAAATCATCGAGAGCGTGACTGAAGCCTTACCTGGAGCATCAGGGAAACCGGATAGCATTCTTGCAGCTCAGGATCGGCAAGCATGCTGTCGAAAAAGGTCGGACAGCTGCTTGAGGTGAAGTTGCTTGATATGCCGCCGTCAAAAGGGCTCGGCAATGGGCTAGCCGAGGTCGTCGAGGTGGCAGTTGCTGACGGTGATATTGTGATCTCGAAGGTGGTGGTGACAGAAGGCGCGGCCGTAGCCCTCCTCCTGAGCTCATTCTCCGCGGGGTCCATCATCGTCCAGCTTCCCTGGTCCAAGACTGGTATGTGCGTGTCCAGCAAGAGTGACTCAGCTAGATATGGAGCCCGTGTCGGCTCTGGCAACTCGTCGATGGTAGTATAGGCCAGCGCAGGCGAGGCGAGCGACAGCACAAGACACAAGGCCGTGGGCCATTGTATCCGTGGTCTGTGATGCCGGGCTGTGGATGAAGCCGCCGCGTTGGCGGCAGCAAGGTGTTCAACGAGAGGACTGTTGAAGATAGCCATGGTTATATCGTGGCTGCACAACACATTTGATTCATGTGAAACATAATCCGGTAACACAAGGGGCCCCGAGGTTCCTCAATGAGTGACTGGTGACCGGCAGAGAGGTCACGTAGGGAGGTGGGTGGAGGATCGCCGTCGGAACGCTGATCTTGGTGGTAAGAGTGGACGATCGTCGCGCGGATGCCCGAATCTGCTCCTTTTCACCTCGTGGCGCGGGATCGGCCCATGCCCTTTTAACGTAGGCGCAAGGGAGTGATAGCACCCAGATAGGGCCGGGAACGAAGACGGCTAGCAGGCTGGCCAAGGTAGGAAAAAAGGGAAGGGAGGGAAAGGCTAATCTTAAGAAGCGTGGCAGGGCGAGGTGGCAGTGGGACAGGATTTATCAAGTCAACCAGTGCGGCGGGCTTGCTCGAGGGCCAGAATAGCTTAGGCGCGGACGGGTAAAATTAAGTCGGTTCCCGTAGAGCGGAAGGCCAAGCCAATAAGACACGCCAGGGCCAGGGCCTACTTGTAGACGAAGAGAAGGGTGCCGTGGTGTAATCTGCACAGTCAGGCAGGCAGCTTGCGCAAGATGCTGGAAAGCTAGTGAGATGAAGCTGGGAAGAAGCGTCTTGTTTGCAGCGAGAAGAAGGGCGAGGCGCGGGTGAACAACTGCGGGGGCGTCAGAGGGAGGCCTGAGGTCGAGTCTGAGGTCGAGGTTCTGACTGAGCAAAAGCCTGGGATGGTGGGTAGAAGCAAGCGTCGTCGATGTCGGACCGTTGAAAGGTTGGGAGAACCTTGACTGTAGGATTCGTCTGGGAGATAAATTTGGAGCGGACGAGCGTGAGGCGTGCACACCTGGCTGGGGCCGGCTCCCAAAATCGGCCGTCGACGACGCGAAGAGGCTCGAAGTGGAAGAGGATGGCTCCTAGCCTGGCCTGGACCGGGGAGAGCACGACGAATACGGACGGGGTCAGACCTTGTTGCTATTACGGGACCCAGAGAAAGACTTGTCGAAGTGGTCGACAACAGGCTGTTGTTGGTGGGGATGGGGAATTAGCAGTACGGAAACAAGAGGAAACAAAACAAGAGAAAAGCCAACAAGCTCAAGGACACGAAGAGACAGGGCAGGGCAATCAGGGAATCGACTGGGAGGGACCCCGGAAGGGGAAGGTGTGTGCGTGCAGGGTACTTCTAGGGGAAGGAACAGGCTGGGACTGGAATGAACAGGCTCGTTTTCTCTGTTGGGGGGGGGGGGGGGGGTGGACCTGCCCGTGTTGGAGACGGAATGCGTGTGTGCATGTAGATACGTACCTCTATACAGACAGTGCTGTCCGTGGCGGTGGGAGGAGTGGGTGTGGGTTGGGTCTCTCTCTCTGTGGGTGAGGGTGTGGGTGCCCCTGCGGGTGGGGGGGTGAGCGCCTGACCCTGGACCTGGCCCAGGCCGAGCTTGGCCATGGATGAACAGGTGTGAACAATCCGAGCTTCGAGGCCTGGGCGACCTTGGAAGGTGGGGCCCGGCAGAGATGGGGTGAGAGCGCGGGATTATTAGAGTGCATCACAGAATTCAATAACTCGTCAAGCCATTCCACTTCCAGAGCGCTGGCATTGGGCAGATGGGCTGAGATACTCGCAGACCGCCGCCGCCTTCTACTATAGTACACTATTTGGTAGGTATGTGTTAAGGTACGTACCTCACCACGGTATCATTACCGTCATGTACCCATGTACCACAGCAGACGGTTGACCAGTTGACCAGTTGGACGCCCAAGACGTTGCAGGAAAAAAGAAAATGGTTGCGTAACGCGTGGTCGGGTGGATGGATTGGCGGACGGCGGATGGCCCACCAACCAGCGAGCACCAGCACCAGCATCAGCACCAGCACTGCAGCTCCAGCAGTCGCGTGAGTGAGTGCGTGAGCGGGCAAAGGGTGTGAGTGCGTGTGAGTGAGTGAGACGATTGCCGATCTCTGCAAGAAATATGCACAGAACAGAGACTGTCGATCGATTCTTCTAGACCTCCAAAGCCACTTCATTCCTCTGCCGAACGAGCACCAGATGTCTGGGAAAGGACCCCACAAACCTTCCAATCCAGTCACGTCGTCTGTCGCCTGTTGCTGTTGGCTGCCCAGGCGGCCCGTCTCTGGGGCCAAGCCCACCCGCCCGCCGGTTGTTGGCTTTTCCCTTCCTTGCACATAGCAGGTGACAGGTGCTGCGTGCAGCCCTGTGTATAATAATAAATTTTTTAACAATGGTACCTAGGTAGTCTCACCGCAGGATCCAGGCACTGACAAGTCCTGACAGGCCCGATCGGTTCCCCAGTTGCCGCCAGGCTCATTTCGGCATGGCGAACGGATTCGGCCCCGTGTCCGGATTTTCCATCCCATCTCTCCACACCAGCACCCTCCGGATCGACGAGCCGAGATCGTCCACCGAGGCCGGTCCACGCCAGAGCCTGCGAGAGCTTGCCCGACAACCCTGACACCCTGGCGCCCCTGGCTCAAGCCTGGGTCCTCAGGTCCTGCAGCTCCTGCTTGCTTGCTCAGCCACATGGTCCCTTGGGCGATGGGGGGGCCCCCAATCACCGCGCCTGGAAATTGCATTCCCAAGCTCCAGCCAGCCGTGCAGACACATTGAAAGGAAAACTGACTCATCACACAGCCTGCTTTGGCTGGTATTCCAGAAGGGTTTTGAGGCCTCGTCCCGCGCTCAAGTGCCAATGTGTGGCCCCCTGAGCACTGCAGGCCCAAATGGTAATAAACGGGAGTGCAGGGACCGTCGTCGCACGGCAACTGTTTTTCTTTCTTTGTAATCTGACCCAAGGCCCCCGGGCCGCCGGGCTGAGACTTCATTAACGAGGGATCCCAGGAAGCTCAGGAACCGCCGCCGCCCATCCTTACACCACCTCGACATTTGTGCCACCGGGGCCTATGCAGCCTCATCCGAAAGTGGGCGCTTGTGTGTCCTGTGCCTGCGCCTGTGCCTGCGCCTGTGCCTGTCGATGTTTATTACCGTCTTTGCTTGCTTTGCTTATTATTCGGCCTGCCCTGTCAGATTGCCTCCACGCCGTCCTCTCGCAGCCCTGTCTCACTCGAAGGAACGCACGCCGCCTCTGCGGAAATCCTCCAGATCAATAGTGGTCTTGTCGGGTCTGGGCCCTGAGGGCGGGCCTTTGACTAACTGCTGACCTACCTATATCTATGTTTGTTGCCAGTCGTGGGCTGTGGAAGAGGTCGACATCATCATGAGGCCACGCCTCTCGATCGTAGGCCTGGCGGACACGACCAAGCTCCACACAGACGGGCGCCACGGAGTCTCGAGCATTGGGTTTGCACGTGGTGAATTGTGTGTATGTGTGCATGTGCAAGCTCGTCACCGGTAACTCACGCCTCAGTGCTCGCCCGGGTGGCACTCGCCAACGAGATGTCCTGATTTGCTGCCGCGCCCGATCTCCCAGGCAAGGGAGCCAGCCGAACAAAACAGCAAGACCATGGAGCCGGGCCTGCCGGGGCGCACCCCACACAGAGCCCACGATCGAAGTGAGTGAGTGTGTGATCGGGAGGTAAGGCAATCGCCCGTCTCGGACACATGAAATCTCAGGCCGTCCCCCCATAGCACCGCATGCGCGACCAGTCTCACTCTGATGCGAGACAACCAGGTATTGTTTCCTCGGAAGGGACCGAGGGCGCGGGCGAGGGCGCGCTCTCAAGGTTCCACATATCAGGACCTTGGATAACGATGCCTTAATGGGGTAGATCGCAAAACCTGGATGGATGAACGACTCGTGTTCATGGTACTGCGCTGGATCTCGTAGCGTGCGATGAATTCTGATGAGAATCTGACCTAAACATCCTTACCCTTGGGACAGCCTGCTGGGAAAGACCTGCCGTTGTATTACTTCTCGTGGGATAGTCTGCCGTGGGATAGTCTGCCGTGGGATAGTCTGCCGTGGGATAGTCTGCCGTGGGATAGTCTGCCGTGGGATAGTCTGCCGTGGGATAGTCTGCCGTGGAACATCGACCTCTCTCTTGAACGGTGACTTCTTTTGGAACAAGCTCCCGTGTTTTGTGAGATGATCACTCGTAGGATAACCTCCCAGGCATGTATCATAGAATTGCCCGTTATAGGTCCACAGTCAGCGCATGAACCTACCACCAACAAGCTCATACGCTCCTGCCATGCATTTTGCTCTAGGTTATCTCCAATAGTGTAAACCTTCACTCTTCAACGAGATACCGTCCCCCCGGCATCTCTCCCGGGAGAGCGGCTGTCTTTCCGGAGGAACGCGACAGCATCACGGAGCATCTCATCATACTTTCCGCAACAGACATCGTCATGACGAAATGCACTAAGCTTTTGAATAGAGTTGCTTATCTACCTCCAATGCCATCCGGTATCGAGACGAGACGAGTGAAATGCAACCACCGCATATCAATCCCCAACGCCATCTCTATGCTTGAGTCTTTGACCTGAGGTCACCCATATACCATGCAGAAACAGACAAATATGCCTCCGCTTACACAAAAACCAAATGCCAACTCCCTTTTTATGATGGGGTGTGCAGGCCCCTGCACCAGGGTCCACCTGATAAACACATGAACGTGAAACTGAGAATCATACGCATAGTCTTCGGAAATGCTGGACATCATGCGGGGGGGGGGGGGAATCAAACAAGACACGGCATGCCCGGTAAAAAAGGGATATCGTCACCCCCAAGCACACTCAGCTCTTCTCCAAGCTCTGCAGCCGCACCAGCTCGGCGTACCTCCCGTTGGCGCGCATGAGGTCCTGGTGCGTGCCCTCCTCGACGACGACGCCCTTCTCAAACACATAGATGCAGTCCGCCTTGGCGATGGTCGACAGCCTGTGCGCGACGGCGATGGTCGTTCGGCCCTTGGCGGCGCGGTCCAGCGCCGCCTGCACGACGTGCTCCGACTCCGAGTCGAGCGCCGACGTCGCCTCGTCCAACAACAAAATCTTGGGGTCGCGGATGAGCGCCCGCGCGATGGCGAGCCGCTGCTTCTGCCCGCCGGAGAGCAGCGTGCCCTTGGAGCCCACGAGCGTGCCGAAGCCGTCGGGAAGCGACATGACGAACTCGTAGATGTTGGCCTCGCGGCACACCGCCTCCACCTGCGCGTCCGTGATGCTGTCCGGGTCCGTCGCCCCCAGCAGGATGTTCTCGCGGATCGTCCCCGCGTACAGCGTCGGCTCCTGGCTCACCAGCGCGATGAAGGACCGGTAGTCGTTGACGTTAAGCGACGAGATCTCGCGCCCGTCCACAAAGACGCCGCCCGCGAGAGGGTTGTAGAACCGCTCCAGCAGCGCGATGGTCGTGCTCTTGCCGCACCCGCTGGGCCCCACGAGCGCGATGTACTGCCCGGGCTGGACCTGGAGGTTCAGGCCCCTGAGGACGGGCACGTCGGGCCGGGTGGGATACCGGAAGTGGACGTCCCGGAACTCGATGGTGCCCTGGATGCTGTCCTTCTCGGTGCGGGACACCCTGTCGCCGTCCTCGGACCAGGTGTCGATCTGGGGCTTCCGATCCGCGAGCTTCTTCAGCTCGCCGGTGGCGTGCTGGGCCTTGCCCATGTCCGGGGCGAAGGAGAAGATGGTACCCGCAGACTGCGCACCGAAGGTGACCTGTGAGAAGACCAGGAAGAACTGGAAGAGCGAGTACTCGCGCTTGGCGATCAGAGTTCCACCGTACCAGAATCCCAGCGCGAAGCACAGGAACATGAATGACTGGCTGGCAGCGTACAGGGACGAGGACCTCAGCACCGACTTCGTGCTGGTCTTCAGCTGGCTAGCGATACTCTCACGGTACTTGGCCAGCACATCTTCCTCACGGGTCAGCGACGCGACAGTCCTGATGGCCGTGACAGCCTCGGAGGCGTAGCTGGCGGACGACGCGTAGGCCCTCTTGGACCGGGTTTGGAATCGTGACAGCATCCAGACACGAAGGAAGCCACAGGCGAGCAGGACAGGCACCGTTGAGATGCAGACAAGGGCCAGCTTCCAGCCGATGGCGAGCGCGACGACGATGCAGGTGACGAGGGTCGAGACGGTCATGAGGATGGTCCCGAGGGTGGCACCGGAAAGTCCTGCCATGTGTGTGGTCTCCGTGCTAAGGAAGGAAGTGAGAGCGCCTGCGGTGTTCTCGTCGCGGTCGAAGAACTCGACGTCCTGGCGCAGCATGGTCCTGAAAGCCCTGTCGCGTGCTCTGTGGATCATCCGCTCTGAGCCAAGAGCGAAGATGACGCCCTGAACCGAGAAACAGATGAGCATGGCCAGACCCAGCATCAGATACATCAAGCACCAAAAGTGGGCGCTGGACTTGATCCCCGGGATGGTCTGAGCATTGACGGGCACACTCAGCTCCGTAATAATGTTGGCAAATATCAGGGACATGACCGGATTGCCACCTCCGGAGAGCGCGGCGAAGATGAGACCGACAACCATCAGTTTCCACTCTTCCCTGTTGAAAGAAGCAATGGTCTTGATGAGTGTCCACACAGAGTACTTGTTCTGTTCCTCGGGCTTGCGTCCCTGGAGGGCAACGCTCGAAAGGGACTTGGACGTGGCCTGGCGATTAAGCCTCGAGGCGACGTTCGCGTCATCGGGATCAGCTTCATAGCCTTCACCCTCGACGGCCGTCTCCCCGTTCGATACCTCCTTCTTAACAGGCCCGTTCTCGTGGTCGGATGATCCATCTTCATCGTCGGTCTCTTCGACCCTCGCGATCTCCTGCGCAGTGACTAGCGCGTAGTATGCACCCCTGTTTTGCGAGGAGGTCATTGTGGTTGCCCTGCTCGACTATACGCCCTTGGCTCATGACGACGATATTGTGAGCGTCTCGAATGGTGGACAGACGGTGAGCGATGGCAATGGTGGTTCGACCTTCCGCGGCCTGTTCCAGAGCCGCTTGCACGACACCTTCACTGCGAGAGTCCACTGGGTAGAGAAGGTCAGCATCATTCAGACAGGCCGGCAAGTGAGATAGAATTCCCTGATCCAGATAGACTTACAAGCTGATGTCGCCTCATCCAGTAGCAATATCTTTGGATCGGACACGATGGCTCTTGAAATGGCGATTCTCTGTTTCTGGCCGCCCGAAAGCAGGAAACCACGCTCGCCAACATTGGTCTGGTAGCCCTCAGGAAGGGCGGTGATGAAATCGTGGGCATACGCTTTCACAGCAGCAGCCTCGATAAGTTCCTTCTGCCTCTCAGGGCTTTCGTGCTCGTGCTTGGTACCGACCAGACCATGGCGGATGTTCTCGTAGATGGTGGTGCCGAACAGCGTCGGCTCCTGGCTGACAAGCGAGATCTGCTGCCGCAACCACCGCAGGTTGAGGTTCGAGGTGTCGTGGCCATCCAGATACACCTTGCCCTGGACCGGGGTGTAGAAGCGCTCGATCAGACCGACGATCGTCGACTTGCCGGATCCTGATGCCCCCACGAGGGCAGTGGTCTTGCCGGCAGGTATCTCGAGGGTCACGTCGTCCATGACTACGACATCGGGGCGGGACGGGTAGACCATCTTGACGTTCTCGAGCCTGATGCTTCCATCCACCTTCTCCAGCTTCTCTCCCTCGGTAGATGAGCTATCCAGGGCTGAAGCACGGTCGATCGTCGTGTAGATCTTTGCGGCGGCACCAAGGGCTGTCGTGAAAGCCTGCACATTGGGCGTGACGTTGCCCAGCGCGAACGAGCCGATCATGACGGCCATGGCGATCGTCAGGACCTTTTGCAGGGGAATGACCCCGTCAACCAGGTAATTGGATCCCATCCAGAAGGCCAGACCATAACTCCAGTTCATCACGAGCATGAGGAACCCGATCATGATAGCAATGGCACTCTTCAGGCGGATGCCGTAGAACTCGGCCTTGATCAGGTGGGTGTCATACAGCTTAGCCAGCCTGTCCTGTGTCCCGAAGGCCACGGCGTTGCGGACGGAGCTGAGAGTCTCTTCGGCAACGGTACCGCCGAGCGCGTAGGAGTTGATGTCTAGTACCTGTTAATCACCTGCTACGGATCCTGAAGTGACATATTCTGGAACATTCCAGAATATGCCGGTCGGGGATCCGTGAAAGGACAAGAGGGGCTTACTCTTTTTGGAGAACTTGACGATAAACTGCGCACCACTGCCCATGATGCACACAATGGCCACAACGACCGAGATGAGGATCAATGTCAGCTTCCAGTACATGACGAATCCGATGATGAAGGCGGCGAGGAAGGACGCCAGGGCGGCCAGGGTCAGGGAGATCTTCTCGCTGATGCCGTCCTGGATCAGGTTGGTGTCGGCTGTGATGCGGGTAACGACCTCGCCGGAGCCAAGGTTGTCGAAGAAGCCAATGTTCTGTCTCAGGCAGCTCTCGAGGTAGTGCTCCCGGATCTTGCCAGCGATGTGCTCGCCGGTGTAGATATACACAACGGTGGCCACATAGGTCGTGACGAACTCGCCGATGCCCAGGTAGACGAAGATGAGGACGAGGTCGGTCATGCCGCCCATGAACTCGTCGTAGGTCTTGGTGCCGTTGAAGAAGCCGGCAAAGGTGCCTTGGAGGGAGCCGAATATAACCGTCATGGCAGGTAGAATGGCGCCGGAGGCGATTGCGCAGATGGACCCAACAACAAGAAGCATGAGATCGACCCGTGTTGCATATCGATACAGCGTGGCCATGCCCATCTTGACATCCGGGGTCTCGACCTGGCGCCGCAGGATTTCGGCCTGCTCCGGGGGCATGCCCTCGTAGGGATCTGCCTTTTTCTCACCCTGGGGCTTGATGACCTTGGAATCCAGCTTCTGCAGGTCGACACGGTCCTCACTGTCGCTCCCTGGTGTTTTGTCGGACAACTTTTCTGGGTCCGTCTTCGTTGTGTCTGGCCTGGCCTCCTTGTCATCCACTGGTGTTTGGTTGCGACTACTGGACGATTCGCTGCCTCCAGTATTAGGCCGGTTGTTGGGCGTTTCCTCGGCCATGATGGCTTGGCTGCGTGCTAGGCGCACAGCAGGTGAGTGTGAAGGCCCGCAAGGTCTCGGTTAGTGCCAAGAAAGCCCCCGTTGTGTATCGTGAGGGTGGTGGTGAATTGGGTGAGCCGGCGACAGTCAGTATTTTGCGCCCGCTGTATTGACGAGTTGGCTCAGCCTTGGGTCCGTCCTCTGTGGGGTGACATCCAATTCAGCGAGCAGAAAAGAAGAAAGGAAGGCGAACGAACACAATTAGCACTTGAGGCGAGAGTGCAGGTCACGCTCAAGGTATTGAGAATAAGAAGGTGGATGGGTAGGCAGACGGACGACTAGGCTGGAAGCGGCAGGGGGGGCGACTGGGGCGAGGAAATATGTACAAAGTCCCGCACGGGAGAGGCAGATACCGAATTCTAGCTGCACAACTCTGACCTGGCCCATCCAGAGTCAGGTAAGGGTCAATTGCAAGCCTGCCTGCACTGACCTGTACACGAATAAGAGGGCGACGGGGGTGGAGGTCTGCAGGCTGGCATCAGACCATTCACCAGTCGAGGGCGGACTTCGCACTTTGTCAGTCCGAAATGTAGGCCTGTGGGCCCCACCCACCCCTGTCCCAGGCCCTGTCGGCTGCCCTTCTAGAATTACTGCGGTGCCTTCTGACTCCACTGCTGACCCGGTTTCCCTCGCATTCGCTGCAGAAGTAAACAGCCATGGCTGCTGATTCATCCTGAGCACGGCAAAGAGTCACCGGCTTGGGCTGCTGCAGGTCTGTGGCGTAAGCTGATGGGTGAGGTCCGGGCGAACATGGGACTCGGCGTTCCGGTTTTGGTGGATTCGGCGTTCCGACTTTGGTGATGACCTCCTCCTCGACGATGACCTCCCGTGGCTTAACCGCCTGCAGGATGATTCACCCCGAATCACCTTGCCCCGTTCGCAGTTGCAGCCGCAGGGTGTTGCACTCCTCTGCATCTCACCGTTCAAACAGGAACCCCACGGTGTCGCCATGGAAAAAGTCGGTGGACGCGCGGATGGGGAGAAGTGGAAGGATTTTAGTGCCGTGCCTTGGGCTACGTACACTAGTCGACTCCGGTGGTGGTCAACGGCTGCCGTTTCTGTCTCGCCGTTGGGCAGCCCATGGCCACGGTATTCGGATGTCGCCTGGCGGGTCCCGGAAGGCTGCCACATTTCATCTCATCTCCGACGCAGACACGGCTACGAACGCCGACCTGCTGCTTGTCCAGAGAGGCCATGTGTGGAATGAATCAGGATAATTGCGATCGCTAGTCCGCCGTCATGAAGGGCAGGTGCGCTCAAGTAGTCACATGTGCAGCTTGCCTCCCATCGAGCGAGCGCAGAGCAAATTGTCTTTCATCTACAACTTCCGCACTCGTCGTCGCCGCCATCGTCGACGAAGGCCAGCTCCAAGAGCAGGGTCGCCCCTTTACGCGCATTCGCATGCACTGACCTTATGTTTGGCCGCCCAGGATCCACTTTGACGGCCGTGAACAGACCCACACGTCTGCAGGATCCCGACCATGCAGCCATGCAACAATAGTACTTACCCGACGTAATATCTCGAGCCGAGTACGCAAAAAAGATCTGGTACATTGGGCGCGGTCGGAGTTCGGATGTCCAGCCAGCCCCCCAATCCCGTGGCCCAAACCTAGAGATTGCCTCCTTAAAACACTTGCGAATTCTCCTCGGGGTGTCGACAGAGACCGAAACTACACTTTTCAGCAGCGATAGACACGTTTCAAAAACAATCCACGGCCATGGGCAAAATCCGGGAGCGCGAGAGGATGACTGTGTCGACAATGCAGCCACGGAAGCTTACATCTGGTGCGACAGTTCGGAATTTACAGAGACCATGTAAGATGATTCATCCCGGGCAACGAGTACGACGAAGGGTGCGCGCGTAAGACGGGCATCGCCTGGCCCGACCCTGTGGCTTGTTGTCTGACAGCAGTCTCACAAAGAAAAGAACCCCGTGAGAGAGGTATCGCAGTCTTAATCAGCTCATTACCACCATGCATTCATCATTATTCTGCGGAGCTTCTGATGCCGTATTTCTATCCGTAAAGAGAGCGTTACTGTGAACGAGCCTGGCCATATGAACACAAGTTTGAAGGTAAAGGATAAGAGGCTTTTATTACTGGGTGTAGTTCCTTAATCAACATTTGATAACGTTGCAAACGATATCTTCTCTATGTATAATCTAAGTTACTGTACTATCGGGACTGCAGTGGTATAGATCGATAAATAGACGAGAATGGGAGTTAGCATGTGTGAGAATCATGTCATAATAACCGGCTGGATCTAGAGAAGAAAGAAGGGGAATTCTTTGGCTTGCGGATCTCAGTCGAACTTGCGGTCATCTCAGGTGACATAAGGGTTGGCAGCAATCCAAGATGCACCGCATTCAATGATTACGAGCCTGATGAAGCTCAGGTTTCATCCAAAACAAAACATTGGTATTTCGGACCAACACTCGTTTCTACCTACCTAGTGCCAAGATACTTCTGCATCAGCAAGTGGTCTTTCTACTCAAGAATGCTTGGGAGACCGTTATACCTCAATCCACCAGCCTGCCGTCGACCCGAATTGTAACAGTGAGGGCCTTGACCAAGTTTGTCAACCGACAATCGCCGTGACATATCAACCCGCGACCACCACTAATACCATCGAGCCAAGGTAAGATTCTCAACGATCGTCTAATAGAGAACAGATATTCGCACCTGCAAGAACGGAAAGTACACCGGTACATCATCAGCACTAAACCAATACCCATACCCAATTCACACACCCAGCACCCACGCACCTAGTACTTACACACCTAGCACCTACACACCCAGAACCCATATACCTAGCACCCACATACCTAATACTTATATACTTAATACCCTATTAAGTACATAAATTATATATATATATATATATTAAGTATGTAAGTATTAGGTATACAGGTATTAGGTGTAGAATTATATGAATAGGCTTAGGTGATGAGCTCTAATTAGGTATAGCTGTGGCAAAAGTGATATATTGGTGTACCATCCGTTTTTACAGGTGCAAATACCCGTTCTCGTCTAATATGTGATCGTCCAACGCCCAGTAGTGAATGGACACAACCAGCCATGCCCTCACCAACGCAAGGAAGACTGCCACCGACCAATGCAGTCTTATCAGAGGTCCCAGGAGCTCTGCTAAAAAACCGGGATCGGTCCCGCGCCCGGACCAGAATTCCGATCGGACTATAAAGCGGACGCACCCAAGGATGATGGAGAGACCCGGGAGGTAATAAAGCTGTCGTTCTAACTCGCCGAATATTTTCTAGGGATCTTCGATCCGGGCTTCCAATGCCTGCGGGCGTGTGGGAGATGAGAACATGCGGAAGCTTGTCGTTGATGGCTGCTCATGCAACTGCAGCTTCTCGAGCGTCCAGGTCCCGATGCGCTGGGCGGCAGAGGTGACCGGGAGGGTGAGTTTCAGGAGCGTTTTTTGTAAAAAAAAAAAATCCATGACTGATACCGGCGCCTATAAATCTGACGTATTTTTGTCTGGTTTGTTGGCCTTTTTGCGGGCGAGGCCGTGCGATTTGGGGGGGGGGGGGGTGGTTTGAGGCGAACAAGGACGTGTCGCCGGTAGCTGACTTAGACGACTTTGTGTGAGACCAGTTGAAGTAGCTCTGTAGCGGTGGCAGATTGCGGGACGACTTGCTCGCTGGATACCCAGGTCAGTACCTATGTTGCATCTAAAACTGAACCACCGCCATTAAATTTGGAAAAAGATTCATGAGTACGACTAGAGAGAAGGACGGAGCATCGCACGCTCTGGTCCTGGAACCTTGACCTTATGACCGTCCTAGGAGGTCAGACCATCTTTGAGGGAGGTATCGTCCTCGTTGATAATGAAGTCTTGTTGTCAGATTAACCAAAGTTCGAAGGTGCGACTCAAGGTGCCCCTGTCACCGCTGCGGGTGTGCTTCCTTAATCGACACAAGATTTCGTCAGAACTCTGTCCAAAGCATCCTTACCTCCACCCTGCACAGTGCCATGCCACTTGTACCGCCAGACGCACGAGTCAGAACACGGAGACAACATATCATAACAATCGCGCGAACTCAGTGTGTAAGCAAAATATAGTTGTTCTTCTTACTACCCTAGAGACAAACCTTCGTACCGCCAGATGCATTCATCCAGTACCCCCCAGATCGAAGTGATCGTGCGGTGGGTGGCCCAGATTCCGCCCAGAGGTTCAAGGTTCGGGTGGAAGCTCTCGAAATTGGGTGACTGGCGGAGATAGCGCACCTCAGAGTATCGTGGCCACTTCCGTAGCAATCTGGTTACTGGTGAGCGCGAAGTCGTCCGTGGCATGAAAGGTGAGCTGGAGCACCCTCTATTTAAATTCGTGGCTGCACGCTGTCATCACAGGGATACACAAAATCAGCGCTGCAGCCAAGCAAGGGTCCCCCGCATACGTCACTCACACTCACCTGGAGCTTTCTCAGCCTCGTCACTGTCCTGGTGGCGTCCGTCTGGGTTCCCAGCTTTGCGAGAACTGTCCTTTTCTCATCCAGCCGAGTCTAGACCAGGACTCCGACCCGGAAAGAGGGTTTGGATTTTGCGACTTTGATCATCTCCGTCTTTTCGACGACAATACTGTAGTAGAAGGTGAACCTCAGGCCGACATTGTATCCAGCATACCTGGAGCTTTACATCGACCTTGAACACCACAAGCATCCCGCCATGCACGCCCTCATCTCCCTCTTGGCGGCCCTCGCCCTCCTGGCCACCTCGGCAGATGCCAAGGCCAAGCCCCGCGACGCCATCCTGCTCTCACAGGTGAGTCCCCAGGTCCAGCAGCCAGGTGCTCTCCGGCGCGCGCAAGGTCGACGCGTCGCCGCCACCACCAATGCCTTACTCACATCCACCGCCTCAGGTCGAATCCCTCACCCTCCGCGCAGACCGGCAGACCAGCCACCGCCGCGTCCCCGCCGTCCCGCAGCTCAAGTGCGTGTCCTCCAAGGGCATCTGCTCAAAGTACCAGATCGACGTGCTTCGCTGCGAGAACAAGGGCTCCGGCTACGACAGCGAGGACATCCAGTGGAGCTGCACCGCCTCGCTCCCGCCAGAGCTGAAGCTCGGGTCCACGGATGTGGTGCGTAACGACAAACCACCTTCTCCTTCATGAGCGAAGGGGCCCTGTGTGAAACTGACGAGAGGAAATTTAGATCTGCGAGGGATACGCCTCCCCGGACGACCCGTACGTCCTGAAGGGCAGCTGCGCCGTGGAGTACCGCATGGCCCTCACTCGCGAGGGCGAGGAGAAGTGGCCTGACCTGGGCGGTGGCGGAGGAGGATACGGCAGCGACGGCGGGGCAGGCCTGGTGGGCTGGGTTTTCTGGGTCATCTTCTTCTCTGTCCTGGCGTTTATCGTCTACAATGCCTTCGTCAACGCCCAAAGAGGCGGCGGCAATGGTCCCCGGCCGAGACAGAACAACGGTGGCGGTTACTGGGGAGGAGGAGGGGGAGGTGGTGGCGGTGACGATTTTGGGAACGACGACCCGCCGCCACCTTACCCCGGCACGAACAACAGCGGGAAGCCCAGGCGCTCAGGAGGAAGCAGTACACAGCGAGGAAACAACGCACAACAGGGTTGGCGGCCGGATTTCTGGAGTGCTGCCGGAGGAGCAGCAGCTGGAGCAGCGGCGGCGTATGGTGCTGGGAGGATGGGTAGGAACAACAACAACAACACCCGCGGGAATGGAGTCGGTTACGGTGGAGGGAACTACGGGAGCACCTGGGGCAGTGGAGGAGGGAGCCCGTCGAGGTCCGGGTCGTCAGGGTCAAGCAGCGGTTCCGGCGTGAGCAGTTCTCGCCACGAGAGCACGGGCTTCGGCTCGACAAGTCGTCGCTAGGTCGCTTGTGTGTTTACTAAGTTGTCAATTGAGTTCAGCGCATGAGCACCCACCCCGATGGAGCTCGACATCCTCACGACCGAAATCTGACTGCGTGCTGTTACGGGCTTCCAGAGACATGATTGCCCAGGGGCCAAGTTTTGAGAACGCCAACGGGAGGTGACCTTGTTAATTAGTCTATGTGCAAATGCATGGCGACATGCAAAACCGCGAGCGCCTCGGAGCATCTAGCAGGATCTCGCCGTCCGATATCCATCTACGTACCCTGAACAGTAGGTCTCCGACTCGGAACGCCTCGTGGTTTCTGCTCCTTTGCCTTCTCCTGGGTATTGTTTCTCTGTACAATAGGGCCTCATCAATCCAAACATCGCGTGTTACTCGTGCCAGTCGCAAATGTACAGCGCAGCTTCGAATTAAAAAGCCACAGCAAAGCCTGTGACGCATCCATGCCTGAGTCGTCATCGCTCAAGTCAGATAGATGGGCATGATATCAGGCCTATCATATGGCTTGCTGCAGTTGGGGCATTTTCTCAGCCGGTTGGTGAGACGTGCCTCCGCGCATTCTTTGCAAAAGATGTGGTTGCAGGTCCTGAGCATGGAGTTCTTCGGGTTCAGCTGGCAAATGGAACAGAGAGCGATTTGCTACGACGCATGTCAGTAATTGACCAAAGATAGGACAGTCGTCGTGGGGCACCTACTCTCAAATCATTCAGCTCGCTTGAAGACTTGCCGAAAGCTTTCTTCTTCCACGTCTCCACGTCCTTTTCGGCATGCTCAAGCCGCACCTTGAGCCTTTCGGACTCCGTCTCGTGGTTGTTCGCCTTTTCCTTCTCTGCGACAGCCACTACGTCCTTTGACTTGACCAAATTCTGCAGCTCGGTGATTTGTGACTTGACGCTGTCGGCCCGTCGGATAGCTTCGGCGCTTGAAACCTTGAGACCTCGACTCTCCTCAAGAACGGCCACATTCGACTGCTTCAGATCCGTGAGTTGCTTCTCCAGATTGCTGATCAGTGTGCGCGCCTGTGTATCATGTTCCTTGAGCGCCGCGATGATCTCGGAGCTCTTGCCGTTTTGCTGCCGAAGGGTTCTTATCTCGTTGTTGCGTATGTCCGCATCTTTCCGGGCGGCAAAATACTTCTGATCGGCCTTGCTCTTCTCCTGTATGAGAACCGCCATCCGCTCCTCCGTCAAGTGCTGATCCATGACCTTCTTTTTAGAAATACCCATGGAACGCTTGTATGCCTTCTCCATAGATGGCAATTCCTGGTTGATCGACTGGAAGTCCTTCTCCAACTTCAGGAACTTCTCCCGCAACTCCTCCACAGTGATCGATTCGAGGTCGGGGCGAGGCTCGGAAGCGGGCGCATCCGAGCTTGGGCGAAGGCGTTCAAGCTCCATTTCCAGCGCAGCAATACGGTCCTCTTTGGCGCCTACCAACTCCTTGAAATTCTCCAAAGATGTTCGTTCCTGCTCCTGCTGGGCCTGGCGGATGCCCTTGTCGGCAAGGAGTTCGTCTCTCTGCGACCTAACACGAGTAAGATCCGTTTCCCTGGTTTGAATTTGCTCTTCAAGATCTGCCGTAACGTTCTGCGCCTCGCGTTCTAGCTGACTGCGAAAGGATGTCCTTTCGGCCTGTAACTTCTCAGCTTCGTGACGCAGCTGCTTGTTGGTGGCCTCCAGATCGTTGACTCGTTTGATGAGATCCTCGTTCTGAGATTTGAAAACTTTGAAGACGTCCGTTCGCACGAACTCTTCATCCGTAACGCTTTCACGCTTGATTTTCAATGTTGAGTTCTCATCCTTGAGCGCCTTGATCTCGGAGATTGCCGACTCCAACTGCTCTTTTTGCTTGGCCATCGTAACAACAGCCTCTTGGTATTTGATGTGCAGATTCTCGTCATGACCGTTGCTGTCGCCTGTGTCGTCGCCATTTTCTGCCGTGGCGGGTACGGCCCGGCTTGTGGAAGAAGCAAGGGCTTGTTGCTCAAGCTTCTGAACTTGTGCGCTTTTGGCGCGATCTAACTTCTTCTCGGCTTTGACAACGCGTAGCATGGCCGCATCCAGATTTGCAGAGAGCTCCTCCTTCTTATGGGCGAGGCTTTCTAACTGCACCTTGTACTCCTTTTGCTCAGCCAAAAGAGATTTGATCTTGGACTCCATTTCAGCAATCTCGGGCTTAACATCACCCCGCTGGGTGGCCAGCCGGTTGAAGAGGGTTTCTAGGATTGACTTGATTGCCTTGCCGTTCTCGGCCAGGTGTCTCTGGAAAAGCTGAACATCTTGGGAGCCAAGTCCGATCGATGGGGACAAATCTGTGAAATATTCCAGTTACGAGGGCACCGGAGGAGGGAAGAGGCTGGTGGGCTTACCGTGGGTTTCGAATTTGTCGGTGAACATGCCTTCGGCGACCAGCTCAACCTCTTGCAATAGCTTCAACGTGTTAGCTGCGCGCAACGGTGGCGGGGTTTGAAGTGCATCTCACCTGCAGCCACCATGCATCGATGGTCCTGAGATGGATATCATAGTGTTCGTACTGCTTCCCAAGCTCCTCGAGACGGGCCTCTAGTTGTGATTTCTCTCTCTTGTACTCGAGCATCTGCCGATATATTGCATCTTTTTGAAATGCCTGGGAGCCCAACAGTCAGCATGTATCCCTTCGATAGCGTCGAGCGGATGGGGAGTGTAGCGACCATTCAGGATGGGGTGGGAGAGGATGCCAGCGGATGGTTGAAGGGCATTTAAGAACCTGAGCGCTCGGCATGCTGCAGCCAGCAAGCCATGCATTAGCACTGAACGAGTGGGCAAATCCTCATGGTATGTTGAACCCTGAGAGACAGATACCGAAGATCAAAAGCCTCCATCCGTGTTTGTAGTGTTGTGCGGCGTGTTTGAGAAGGGCTTTCTTTGGTCACGATGATGAGAGGGGCGGGGGTTGGTGTTGTTGTGATGGATGAACAGAGACCAACGTCACTCACCTCGATCCAAGCCTCGTCCTTCATGTCAAGGGCTTCATCACGAGACTTGCTGCTGCCATTGACCTGATGTCGTTTGCTAGGAGGAGCGAGGTCATCGGCATTGCGGTTGGCAGGTCTCTTCCTGTCTTCCATCTTGACGACGGGAGACGCAGGGAGAATGGCCGAGGGAGAAGTGGCAACAGGCATGAGAGACGTCGGTGAGCAGCAGGCTGCAGGCTAGGGAAGGGCGCGCTGCAGGAAATCAGGTGTTGACTGAAGATAAAGAAGGCATGGACTCCAGATGGATCCTAGAGCCAGGTGATGCCCTGGGTCGAGTGCTTGTTGTGATGGTCATCAAAGGGGGCGTGGAAGGCGGGTGTTGGTGGTGGTCGGGTCGAAGTTGAGGACATTGATTAAAGATGGAGTTTTCACGAGTCACCAAGTGCCAGTAGTCCCGTCTGTTGCAGGTGCAGAGGCGTGTCGGAATGGCGCTAGGGGAGAGGGGGCTAGCACCGATCGAGGGCGAGCCTGCCGCCTGCCACTAAAACTTGCTGTTAGTCAATCAGCCGGTCCATCTACGCTCATCTACGTTTTCGATCCCAACCTGCATTGCCAACCTCGAGCTTTTTACGACCTCCCCTGACTTGGCTCCCACGCCGCGCTTCCTCTACGAGTACCTGATTGACTGCAATGACGAGGCAGCCACCCGACACAAGCGCACAGAGAAGCCTGCACGACGGAGGCTAAGGAAAGAACCGCAGGATGAGTTCGATGCTGAAGAAAGGCGCGGGCGCCTTCAAGCCCAAGGCGCCGATTGCGAGAAGACGACCTGCCCCAGCCGCGCCTGCACCTGTCACTGCTACGGAACCACAGAAAGAGCCACCGTCAGTCGAGGAGACTGCCCCTGATACCACCCGTGACGCCGCGAGCTCGTCTACCGCTGTCGAGTCGAGACTCGAGAGACACCAAGCCAACCCACCTTACCGAACGCTCCGCCCGTGGTGCCCTCGCCATCCAGTGAGCCTCCTGCTTCTACGACGCGCACCAGAAGAACTAGGAGCCCTGAAGCCAGACGCGTCGCAACCGCGACGAAGGGTCTTGCGGTAGCTGAGCCGCAGGTTTCTGCTATCCCCACCACCGTGGAAGCTACGCGCCCCGCCCCAAACGACGCGTCCCACTCAGAACCTTTGGCTCAGGCAGCGGCGACTACCACAGCCCTCCCGGGGCAGACCGAGGATGGATCTGCTCCTACACAAGACCCGTCAGACGCCCCGAGGCCCACTTCTGCGCAAGGAGACGCGGCGGCGGCGGCGGCGAGGACCAAGACGACCTCGCGCAAAGGAGGCCCTTCCGCGCTCAAACCAGCTCGGTCCACACCTGCGAAGAAGGCTAAATCCACCGCCGAGCTCACCGTGCCGTCTCCCGCCCCCACTCCAGAGGTTGCGTCGACACCTTCTGCAAGTACCTCAGCGGCACCATCACTTGACAACGGTGAGGGATCCTCAACGACGTCCACAGCCAAGACTAGGAAACCAGCCGCAAGGCAACCCAGGAAGCGAAAGGCACCTACGGTAACAGCGGAGAGCGAGGCGGATGCTGGCACAGAGACCGCAGGGCCACCTAAGAAGAAGAGGGCGCCACGAAAAAAGAAAACTGCTGCGAATGGCGAAGAAAGCGCAACCCAGGCAAGGGGTGCTGGGAATGATGAGGCTGTGGTACCCAAGAAGCGAGCGCCAAGAAAAAAGAAGACGACAGCCCCAGCTGGCAACGATGAGGGTGGAGGGGAAGCTAATGGGGTGACCCCCGCGGAGACTGAAGGCGAAGAAACGGAGAGGACCAAGAAGGCCCGACGAAAGCGATCCGTGACGCCCGAGGATGCAGAGCAGCAAAAGGTCGATCATGAGCAGATGGTCATGAGCGAGCTGACGAGGGACCTGAGGATTGGCGCCAAATTCAGCAAGTACGATGAGCTGCGCGAGAGGATCCGCAAGAAGCGCGCACGCCAGCGACTCATCAAGCTGGGAAAACTCCAGCCAGGCGAGGAGATGCCGGACGAGCACACGTCCGAGTCCGGGACGCCGGCCCCGGACGCCGCCAAGAAGCCCGCGCAGGCGCCACCGCGGCTAATTGTGGAGGAGGCACCGGCCGACTCGGTCCCACAGCTCGAGATCGTGGACGGGCACATCCGGATCAACGAGGCCTCTATGCAGTACGACCGGCACGCGGCGGCGGACCAGGCGCGCGGCGTGGTGTTCGAGCAGGAGGAGGACGACTTCACGACCCCCGTGACGCAGCGGACGTACATGAGGCGGCAGCCGCAGGGCAACTTCTGGACCGACGCGGAGACGATCAAGTTCTACCACGGGCTGCGCATGTTCGGCACCGACTTCAACATGATCTCCAAGATGTTCGGCGGTGCCAAGAACCGCCGGCAGGTCAAGCTCAAGTTCAACCGCGAGGAGCGGGCCAACCCCGTCGCCGTCAACAGGTGCATCATCGGCGAGAAGGACGTCCCCATGGACCTCGAGGCCGTCGACGGCGCCGACGCCCTCGAGGACTCCCAGGCCATCACCGACGAGCTCGCCCGCCTCAAGGCCGAGCAGGAGGCCGAGACCAGGAGGCAGGAGGAGGAGGAGGCCGCCACCAACCGCCGCAAGAAGGACGAGCTCTTTGGCAGGAGGAAGGGCGACAAGGTCCCGCCGCGCGACCACGACGCGCACGACGGCGGCCTCGCGGGCGACCCGTTCGGCGGTGCCGCCAAACACGACAACCACCCCGGCGGCGCGGACCTCAACCCCGGCGCCCAGTACGGGGTCGGCACCGACCCGGACGTCATCGACGAGACGGACCTGCCCTCTGCGACGACCGCGCGAGGCAGGACGCGCGGCGGAGGCAGAGCCCGCAAGGCGCCCCAGACGTTTGCGGGCGGCATCGGTGGCTGAGCGAGCGGGGCCTGTGTTTATTCTGGGATTTTCTTTCTTCTCCTCACGGCGTACATGCGTGCATAAACTGCGGACTGGTTGATACCCCCCGCTCTCCCGTCATTTCTCTGGAAGGCGTCGACTAAAGGAAAAGGCTTTGCGTTTGTTTATCATTGAGACAAGGGTTCGGGCATGGCTGGTTTATTCAGGTCAGGGCACTATGCAAAGAACGGGCTGAACGCCTCAAGGCGTGGGAGAAGGTAACTGCTGGTCAAGTGTGGTTCGTTTTTAAAGTCTGCAGTCAGGCTTGCCAAGCCTTTTGGAAGTCAAAAGGATTGGCAATTTTGGAATCACAAATGATCCGAGTCTTTCCGTGTTTTATTTCCGCCGACTACCACAAAAAAAGTAACGTGATCACAGCCTTCCTCATCCTTGCTGCCGACCGTCGCCTCACATTGTGCGAGGCCCTCCCACTCAGTGTGCTAACGGTTCGAGGGCTTGAGCAAATCATCGTAGATTTGCATTCTGTAGTGACAACTGTGAGCAAGCAGGCGCGTGGGTAGGCACCATTTAGGCCCATGGGATCAGGCCCATCATTGCGATACTGCTCCTCCTTTCTTGTCGAAGGATCTGCTTCCCATACTGTAATTTCGCGGAGAGCCATTGCTCCCAACTATCAGCTCGCAAAGCTCACAACGCCATCGGTGCCCAAATTGCTCCAGCTTATCTAGCCTCATTCCAAGAACCAATCCAGGACCAGAAAATTCGCCAAATGGTTGAAGCCGATTACTGGGCATTAGGTGGCTCGTCATCATCAGGCTGGTCGAACAGGAAGTTGGCAGCGAGCTCCTCGTTCTTGTCACAGGCGAAATAAGCCTGGATGGCCTGGTCGCGGTCAAAGCCCAGGCGGCAGAGCTGTCTCTTGTTAGTCTCAAATGTTCAGACAGAGAAGAAAACCGGGGAATACGCACTCGCTCAATGGCGTCCCGCTCCTCCTCAGTCACGGCAATAGCCTGAGCTCCAGGAGGCAGGGGCGCATCGTCGTCAGCGTCCTCGCCGAGCAAGCTGAGGAACTGCTCGGGGTTCTGGGCTATCAGCTGGGCGAGCTGAGGGTTGCTAGCGCCAAGCTGTTGCAGGATAGGCTCCAGCATTTGAGGCTGCTGTTGGACGACTTGGCGAAGCTGTTGGAACTGGGGGTTGTGTCGCAGGAAGTCCAGGTTGCCGAGTCCTTGCCCGCCAGCAGCCGCGGCGGCGACGGCGGCAGCGGCTCCCGCCCCGGCAGCGGCGCCAGCCCCACGGGCACCAGCCCCGCCAGGGCCACCTCGTCCCTGTTGTGCGGCCAGGTCGAAAAGATTCACACTGTCATCACCACCTCCGGCAGCCGGAGCTGCGGCAGGGGCAGAGGGCGCGGCAGGCTGGGCGGCTGGTGCGGGCTGCTGCTCTTGTTGCAGGTTTTCTGGGATTCCCTGTGATCTCGTCAGCCACATGTATCCATCACTTGGTTGCATACCTTGTGCTCACGTTCAAGAGGTACTCGACGGCACGATCTGGGTTGTTGAAAGCGGCGCGCATGGCAGCATCGATTTGGGACCGCTCGAAACCCATTGCCTCCATGTTCGCGATGGCCTCGGCACGCTGACCGCCCAAGGCTAAGGCGTTGGGGTCGTTGTAGGCGGCTTCAGAGCCCCGCGCCGCAGGAGTAGGCGTGGCAGGTGCGGCGGCAGCCGGGGCAGAAGTCGTCGCGGCCGGGGCGGCCGGTGGTGCTGGCGTGGAAGATTGAGCAGCTGGGGCGGGTGTCGCGGGGACATTGGAAGAAGATGATGCGGCGGCGGCGGCGGCAGGTTTGGGCTCAGCTTTGGGCTGTAAATTGTCAGCGCCCGAACCTTGTCACAGTGGCTGGCAAATGTGGCGATAGGTGAGGTTTACCTTGTTCACCACGCAGACGACGAATCCTTTCTCTTCGATCTTGTAGGACTCGACGGTGTCCTCATCCTTCAAGATTTTGCCTATCACCTGGTCAACGAGGTGGTTGCGCCGGAAATGGTAGCCAGGGTTTCACAAACCGGCGTGAATCAGCTTCTGCAGCTTGGGCTCCCATCCCTTCTCCTCCGAGATCTTTTGCTTGACAGTGGAGATCTAGATTGTATTCTGGTCAGTTTCGCTCGAGCTCGGTCGCATTGGCAGGGGCGGCGCGCTCGCCGTGGCTGGCCAGAGAGACGCGGGCTGCAGCCTGGAGCAGAATGGCGGCGTACCAGATCAGAGGGTTCGCATTCGATGACGAACTTCTGCTGCTTCAGGTCCTACGGGGTAGACGAAAGTGTCAGTAGGCATTGCCCGAAGAGAGAGGAAACTGTGTGGTTGGATCAATGCGAGCATGTCGTGGAGGTTGGGACATGTCGATTCGCAAAAGTAGAGCTCTACCCGCCGGGCTGGGCACCTGACGCACCTTGAAAGTGACCTTCATGGTGGGCAAGAGTATATCCGGTGTAGACTGCTCTCTGTGGAGGATGCGCGATGATGTCTGTTGATGAGAGAGGGCCCAGAATAGCAGGTCCTACTGGGCAGGCGAGGGTTGGAGGTTGGGAAAGGAAGGTGGACGGGTGGATGATGTCGAGGTTGAGGTCGAGTTGGGGTCCGCCCAAGTCGAAGCCTGTCAGTGGGGGTGGGGTTAGCTGAGCAGCTTGAGAGCGGGCGAGGGAGGCAAGGTCAGCGGCTGGCAGCAAGAGGTCGGGCAATGTGGGGCAGGCTAGCGTGGCTCATGGATGCCTTGAGGTCAGTCAGTCTGTCAGTCCGTCCGCCTCTAGCCTCTTTATCTCGGCGTGTCGGCGCAGCCTAGGTATCCGCCACCCAAGAGCTCTACCTCCACTGGCACCTACTCATAGAGGAGAAGGCCAACGTAGCTTCTCATGTTTTCATCCCAACACGAGACCTGTCGAGCTTGTCCCATGTTTCCCGTCAGCGTATCAGCAGGGTTGTGTCACGGATGTGGGCACCAGATGTTTCTCTGTGGTTCTTGATTGATGTTTCTTTGTTTTCTGTGTCTTCGTCCAGCTTGTTCCAACTGAACCTCAAGCTCATCATGACTTGCACATAGTTCTGACATCTACTCTTCACACGACACCCAGTCTCACTCCCCTCTCCTCCATCTTCATCTCTCCTCTTCCTCCGGCCCCTCCTCCTCCTCTGCACCACCCAAGGTGCTCCAGACATTGTCTCCTCTGAAGGTGTATAAACGCCTCGCTAAAAGAAGTTGAAAAGAAATTTGGTATCAAGATGTTTTTGTATATCCCGCCACCTTCCCAGCCAGGTAGCCTTGCCCCACAGACCCATATGTACTCTCTTTTGTTTGTTGCCCCCACTTCCCTGTTGGTGAACCCGACTGCCCACGGGGCCGTCTCTAATAAACCAGCCCATTGAAACATTATGATAAGGAAAGTTGTGCGTCGATCATGACGCGTGTGATAGATGCCGGATCATACAGCTGTGAAGCGAGGCTGTGTGGCTTTACCAAGCCTCCAGAGCAGCTAGCCCCGGACCGGAAGGGCCTTCTCTGCTCTGCGTCTTCCGTGTTTGGTATGCATGCAGGCTCGTGCTGGATCCGGCGTTGAGGATATAATCAGGGATTGGCGGCGTGACGTTTCGTTCCGGTGCCTCGCCCGCGTCTCCTGAGTCCTCGGACTTGCTGCCGTCGCTTGCCATGCTGAAGCTCTTGTTCGCGTCGCCAAATGTGTCGAACGAGCCTGTCCTTGTCAGCGGGCTCGAGGCCACCGGCAGGCTGTCGCTTCGCATGCGGCTCAAGCTGCGGATGGACTGGCGGTCGGAGATTAAGAGGCCGGCTTGAGGTGCCGCGATGACCACGGTCCCGGGACTTGCCAGTGGTGGCGGGGTCGGCGAATCCGAGCGGAATAGTGGATGGATGTGCGACTCGCTGGCCGACGCCTGTTGAGTAAAGGCCCGCTGTGGCGGCGCCGGGGGTTGAGTGCGCGTGGATGCCGGGCTGAAGCTGCGGCTACGCCTTCTCAGGCGAGGAGGCTCGAGGTCCAGTGGAGTCCCGGGGCTCGGACTCCGACTGGTGGTGGGACTGGCCGGAATCGTCTCCAGGAATCGACCTGGGGTAGCAGGTGACGACGATTCAAGTACGGTCTGGCGGTTCTGTGGGTCGACAGACGATGTATCCCACGAGTCGAAGCTCTCCCCGACGCCACGTTCCGCTGAGCCGCTGGATTCAATGGATTCGAGAGATGGAGCACGGCGTTGGCTGCGTTGGCTCCTTTGACTGCGGAGGCTCCGGCTGCCGGACAACAGCCTCGTCTTTGAAGAAATCGGGCGTACGACGTTGGTCAATGACGAAGCCATAGACGAGATTGTTCCTGTGGCGGAGAACCCGCCGCTGGATGATGGGGGACTTTTGGAGTCGATGGAGACGTTTCGCGTGGCGGACTCGGCCGGGCTCGTTCTCGAATATGGCACAGTTTTCACCCGGCTTGAAGGCGAACGGCGACCAATTTCCAACATGCTGGGCGAGTCTTGCTGGCCCTCCTCTTGCGTGCGATCAGCGATAAAACGTACGACCAGGAAAAGTAGCTGGGCCACAAAGGACAACACCAGCAGTGCGGCCGCTCCACCGAGGAATCCCAACGTGCTGTCTCCGAGTGCTGCGCTGCTGGACAGGGAGATAAGTGTTGCGATTGTCAGTGCAGCCGCGACGACGCAGAGAACAACACAGGAGCCAAACACAAGTCCGTTGACTGTCCTTGAGTTGTCTTTCTTGTTAGAAATGAAGAGGATCCACGATAACAGGGCCAGCACCGCCGACTCCAAAAGGGATGATATTATCGCAGTGATCCGGGTTGGTGATGTGGGGTTCGAGCGAGGTAGTGCGAGGATAATGTGAAGGATCAACAAGATCAACGAGGCTGTCACGGCGACAGCCCCGAGCACGGCTGAGGCTAATGGGCGAGGCATGCTCATAACGTTGATCTTGGTTTTGGATTCATACGTCACAAGTGACGAGTGTTGTGCGTGCCAGGGTCTGAGACAGTCTGGTCGTGGCCAGGCTGTAAGACACACGCGACGGGCCGAGGTGGCGACCAAGCGAGAACGAGTGTGGTGGGTGATCCGTAGATCTTGCGGCAAAATAGGTAAACGAGTGGACGAAGGTCGATCGGCCTCACAGAAGCCAGAACCAAGCAAAACCAGGCGGAGCCTCAAGAACAAGAGCCCAGCTTGTTCTTATTATTGTCCCGTCAGCAAGTGCTGCGCCCCAAGTTCCAGAACAGAACCCAGATCGTCCCCCTGAAGATCGCCCCTCGGCGCCGGGTGGGTAAGGGCGCACCGTGGGTGCCGAAGGCTCAAGCAAAAGGTCGGAAATGATTTTTGGTGGAGACTGCGAGCCGGGGTGCCAGAGGGCGGACGCGAGGTCAAAGGCCGCCTAACAGGTTCTAGAAACCGACCAGGCAGTTCAGTGGGCCTGTTATTGTGGGTATTCGAGACTGGCGATGACGGCACCGAAGCGATGAGGCTGGAGGATGTTGGCAGGTGTTGGCAATGTTTTCCGGAAGTTTGATCAACGTGACGATATGATGCGGGTGTGGGCAGCCCAGCCGAGTTCATCACCGTAGTCTTGGACTAACAGTGTGGGAGGCAAAAAAAACACCACTTCCAAACCGTGGGCAGAAGATCCACTCCTTCAAGGTATGCCCTCAGATGGGTGGAGAGAAGCCACCAAGGAGTGATTGAGGGTTGAATCAAACTCAACAAAGAGATTTGTACTGTGTAAGGAGTAATAACACAGGCCAAAGACGAAGGTTATGATGTGTATGAGACGAGTAGCAAACAAGGTTCTCGCCTCGGGGTGGGCTAGGTCTCGACAACGGGCCGCGTGAGAGTCCGCGTCTTTGAGTTCGCACGACCAGACCAGAAGTTCGGTACGGAAGGGGGTTATGGTACAAACGCACAGCTTTGCAAGGAATCCAAGGAGGAGAGGAGCCAAAACAGAGTTGTGAGGAGATGACGAGGGGGTGCGATGGGGACTGTATATGGGTCTGCGGGCGCTGGGCTCTGAATGCCGGGGTTGGCCCCAGTGCAACGGCAGCACCGGGGAAGGACGCGTTCTGTCGCGTGTGGATCAAGGATGCAGCTGAAAATGTCCGTTCTCTTTTGTTGTGCTGCAACGACAAGGGTATCCGGTGGGGAAGCCGAGCCTTCCAGGGCTAGGCAGGTCGGGCGGGCCTGGGTTTCGCGTGGTGGTCGTTGCCAAGCATGTGGGAATTCTCCGTTTTGGCCAGCCGCTGCTCACCCTCATCAGAGCCAGACAGACTTGCTTCTCTTTCACCTGACCAATCTCGCCTTGCTGTCCCCAGATATTGCTGTCGCGTCGATAATTTATAGATCACGGCCGATGCCCGGCGATTGATGTGGTCGCCCTGAAAAAGTCGGCGGTGCCGCTTCCGTCGATATTGGTGCTCCAGATTTCTGGTGTGTATCAAAAGTCCTGTGATGAGAGCTGTCCGGACGGTGTTGTTGGTCGCTTAATGGGGTCCTTCTGAGCTTCTGAGGGGTAGGATAGTACAGGAATAGGGATCGAGTGTGGACTTTTCGGCCCTTGTATATGAAATGGAGCTGGCCGGGGACCAGAGAGCCTCTGCAGCAGTTGTTGCTGAGCCTGCCTGTCCGTTCTCTTCCTTGATCGATCGTCCTCATCGCATGGTGACCCTTGACTTGGGACTAAATACCCTGACAAGCCATCGCGTGCGACCCTCGCATGTGGTGCGATATCAGGAGCCGTGGTACTGCGTATCGCCTGCGAGTGAGTGAAGGCAACCGAGTAGATTTGAGGAGGCTTCAGGCAGGCAGGCAGGCCAATAGACCGCTTGTCCCCTGCCCAACAAGGTCCAGTGCTGCGAGGTGGACTGACTTTTGCTGACCGCGCGGTATGTGACCTTGGAGTTTAGCTTTGCGGCAACCTTTTTTCCCTCTGCAGTCCGCACATTGTGGCTCACTCCGGTGGCTGGGTGACCCATGTGACAGTAGCGTTAAAAGCCGATGTTATTGACGATGCCGTTGTTTCCAGGTCGCTAACAAGAGGAGGAGCTGCTCGCCCCGGATCCTGTAAACAAATGCATTGACGGCTCCCACCAGCTGGCCCAATCAGGGGTGCTGCTGTTGTGTCTAAGCACGGCCGGCAAACCGAAAACGACGCGGTCGAAGCGAATTGGCTCTTGGAGACTATCATACACCAAGCGAGGCATGTCTTGCGCATGTAACTGGCCTCCGACATGGTGGCAAGTTGTGAGCGAGGACCCTTGCTGGAGGCAGATTGCTCTGGTGTCTGGCATCGTGATCTATCTCGGCGCATGGCACCCAGCCATATGCAGGTACAGCCGCTCTCTGTGCGTGCCCACTCTCAACTCACTGATGTTGGGCTGGGTTGCTGTGGGCGGGAAAAGTCTTCCGAACTCAGTCCATGCTCAGGGTTGTATTCCAACCCCGGCTGGTGTCGTTTCAACGTTTCTCGACCAGGAGCGTCAACATGTGCGGATCTGTCCCCGGTGGCCAAAGCTGTGCCAGGCTGGAGGGCACTGACGAGAGCCACTGGACATAACAAGAGCCGCTGGCAACTTTTGCGGACGTCGGGCGCAATCGGCAGCGCAATTGACTCTTTCTGTCTGGGCTTGGGGCTCGCAAGCCTCGTCCGGCCAGTGGATTCGTCTGTGCAGGCCCGAGATTTTACTGTGAGGGCTCATCCGGCGCCGGGGGCCCCCAGCGTGGTCATTCATGCAGGCTGGACACGCGAGATTTGTCGCAGGCACTCAATTTCAAGCTGTTGACCGGCCGATTACTAAAGGGGAGAGCATCGATTTGGATTGGTGCCCCCACCTGTCATTTGTCAGATCCCTGGGATCTGTGTGAGTGCTTCGGTAATCGTGCCCTTCCTCCCTGTCGGAGGAGCCTCGAGAAAGGCTGAGCGGTCCCTCTCGTTACAGACTCTCAGTACCGTCGCGGTGTGCACGGGCGAGAAGACAATTACCGCGTCAAAACGTTGTTTCTGGGTCCTGCCGTCCTTTTTCATGGCCCAGGCGAAGTCCATTAGCAACGTCGGTCGTCGTGGGTCCATGTCATCGATGCCTGAGCCTCAGGAGAGCAGCGAGTCCCAGCATTTCTTGGGTTGGGCCTGCCGGGCTAAAACATCGTGTCCACATGGGCAGGCGACTGACCACCCTGGACGAACCTCAGCAGTTCGAGGACTGACGGTGGAGCTATCTGCTCATGTCCTCAGAGCTCACAGCTGCCAGTCCGACGGATCTCGCTCGCTCATCACTGGCAGTTGCAGTGTGCGCGAGTGAACCTTGTCCCTGAGGCAAGCCGTGAGGGCCAAGAAAGTTTCCCCGTTCTAGGCCCAAACGGCGGGGCAGGGTCACGACTGATTGACAAGTGTGCCGGTTTATGGTTATGTCAGTGCTAATATATGTCATTTCCATACCCTGCGAACTGTTGCGAGGGTTTTGCCCGCCCCTGATACCGGTCCTCAGGGAAGACGAGCTCCATCAACCAGGAAGGCAGGCGGGCACTTGGTAATAATGACTGGGAACAGCGATGCACAGCAAGGTGCTGCCATTGGCTGGCTGGGCTGTGCTCTCGCTTGGGAGCACTGCAGTGGTCTCGCGAGATGGTGGCCTGGCGGCAGACCAGGAGAGCTCTTTATTAGGTTCAGGTCTTGGGATGCGAGGCGGGGCCGCGGCTGCACTGGGCCGGGATCCAGGCCTCGCTGCAAGTTGGAATGTCGTCAGCAATGGAGCTGCCGGCCCCGGTGACAGCCTGGACTGACTCTGGTTGAAGTGGCTGGGCGGGCGCGCGGGCGGACGGGACGCAACGGCTCCTTCGGGGCCCCAGTCTTGCCAGCACGGTAAGCGTCTCGCTAATTACTGGTTAGGCAGAGTGCCCAGTCTCCATATCCAGTGCGCCTGTGAGCCTGCCTGGCTTGCCAACCACCGAGTGCTCGCACTGGAATACGAGTAGATGTGACTGCTGAGCTGTCCAGTCCCCACTCGTGATCCCGCCTGGCACTGGGCTCGCCCTTTGTGCATTGTGGAATGCCGTGCTGGATGGAAATTTGATGTCATGGTGACAACCTTGGACTGTCAGGGCGGGTGAGGTGAACCTTGATAGACGAGCCAGCCGGATGGCCCCCTCGATCTCGGCGAGTCAGCGGGACCCTTGTCGTGCCCGTACCTGCATGACAGGGCGGGGAGAGTTGGAGAGTCGAGCTGCAGGTACGATGCGGCAATGTTGGGTACATGCACGTGTGCCGTGGCACACACCAAGTACAGACGTACTGTACCGCATCGTGCAGGTGCTGCTTGCGCATCCTGCTGCGCATCCTGCTGCGTGGTCGGTAGCACCGCAGCATTGCGGCCAAGGGACCTACGTGATCCCTACGTGATGGGAATAGAGCTGTGGCTGACTCAACAGAGTTGTCGGTTCCATCGAGCAGCGGAAACATCGCCGGTCGTCATCTCAACCGTCTGCCTCTGCCAAGACCAAACACCGATTCACGACCGATTCACCGGGTCGCGGGAAATGCACTGACTGCACTGCCGTCAGGTTGCGGGAATTAAATACGGCATTTTATTTTCGCAGCACTTATACATAGTAAACCTGCCGTGGGGCCTATACTGTACCGTAGGGGGTTATACAAGCACACAGACGAACTAGTATCCAGGTTTTGTCATCTGCTGGCGGGGCTTGCTGCAGCCAAGTTGACAATTTTTTTTTTTTTTTTTTTTCTCTCGTCTCGCTGCATCTTGTGCGGGAATTTTGCTGCCAGCCAACCTCCAGACCCAACTTCAGGCTCTGAGGGAAAGGCTGATGACGCCGGCGTGCTGCACATGCAATGCACTGCATATGCAGAAGCATGCAGAAACTGTCAAATGTACTGTGCTGTCGAAGGTTGGGAAAAGGCTCAGTCTCCTCCGGAACCCGCTCCAATCAATCAGGACAGGGTTGGCCCACCCACACCATGTGCCAGTCCAGAATTAATGAAGCACTCGAACGTATCCGACTTTCCAAAACTCAATGCCCAGAGCCAGACGAGGTCTACCTTGCCACTTTTACACGCAGCAACTGCATCGGGTCTGCTGGTGTGAGAGCTGTTCCCTTCTCCACAGTTCGCAAGGATCTCAAACCTTGGCTACTTTCTGCAGGTCAACTTCCTTGGGACAATCTCTGGTGTGCACTGTCATAGAAACCTCTTGCAGGCAATATGCCTCATTGGAGAGTGCTTTCCAGAGGACCATAGGATAAGCCAGTGTAGATTACCCTCCCATGGATTGAACTGAGGGACAACCTCCTCGAGGGGATGATCTCCTATGGGATGACCTCCCGTGGGATAACCTCCTGTGGGGATTACCTCCTGGTCTTATGGGCTAACATCCTATAGGATAATCTCTCATGGGGGATAACCTCCTGTGGGATACCCTTTTGTGGTGTAACCTGCTGTGGACAAGCTCTGATATACTTGATGCGTATTCAGTATGGTCTCAATATTTCGCCTGTTATATACAATGTCCCACTCCACAACCCCTTAAATATACTCACTCCTATCCGACCACCCAGGCTGCAACGCACTCCAATCCCTCGAGTACCCATAATCAGTCTGGTACAGCCCGTAGCTGACGAGCTTCACCTCGTCGAGGCGGGCGCCGTCGTCCGTCTGCGCCCAGATGCTGACCGCGATCGAGTTGGACCCCTGGTTGTTGATGATCCCCGGCGGCACGGGGAAGACGGTCTGCGGGCCTATGTGGGGCTCGTACTTGCCATACTGGTACCCGTTGATCCAGAACATGACTCTGGCGACGGTCCCGGCGGGCGAGGAGAGCGACAGCCCCAGGGGCGCGTCCAGGTCGTCCTCGATGTCCAGCGTGAAGTTGGAGACGTAGAAGCGGATGCCTGAGGTGCTCAGCCCGTCGAACGGCGTCGAGTCATCCCAGGTGCCTACTGAGGAGGAGTATGACGACGCGGGCGAGAAGCCCGGAAGATGCCAGCCCAGTCGTTCACCGTATAGACCGCCCTCGTTCATCGGCCCCCGGATGGCGTCGATGTTTGCGCTGCCGCCTGCGTTGCCTTGGATCTTCCAGAGGGTGAATCCCGTGTCCGTCGTCGTCGTGCCTGGCAGCAGCTGAGCGCCGAGGATACCTCGCGGGTTCTCTACGCCCTTAGCCGTCGAGGTCTGGTCGTGCCCGTGGTAATCTACGACGACAGTCAAGACATTGCTCCCATTGCTCTTTTGGAGCGCAGACAGCGGGAGGTCGAGGACCTGTGTCGTGGTCGGGAGCGAGGCATTGCCAGGGTCGCCGCCGATCAGGACGCCGTTCAGCCAGGCATTCCAGCCAAACGCTAGACCACCACTCGCGCTGATGTTGACGGACGTAAAGTTTGACCCGGAGAAGTATCCACGGTAGAGCTTCGCGCCGGTATAGTACCCATAATCAGAGGAGAAGAGCACGGGAAGAGTGTACGCCTTGATAGGGGACAGAGTAGAGGTCTTGTTGCAGATAACCCAGGCGGAATCGTCGAAGTCGGGTTGCGCTTCGGGAAGGGAATCCGCCGAGGTCCACGATTCGAGAGGAGGCAGTGAGACTGAGCGCGCTTCGGTGCCAGGGATTTCCGCAGTATAAGTGCCGTAGGCTGTCTTGCTTGCGCTGAGCTCTTTGCCGTTCCAAACGATGCTTGTGATCGGTGTTGCGCCAACGAGCGCCTCGAGTGTAGTAGCTACATCATTGTCGCCCGATATGTGGAGGGCGCCGTCACTGATCGATGCGCTTCTGACGAGATATGGCCCCAAAACAAAGACCTTGTCGCTGGGCGAGCGGTATACCTCAGCGGCAGTTGATGGGGCCCAGAACGTCCACGCCGTCGGTTGGTCAAGGAGGTAGACCAGCACGCCGTTCGAGAATTTGACGAATGTCGACCCTGATCCTTGAACGTACGTGAAAGTCTGACCGGCTGTTGTGCTGTTCGAAGAGCGGAAGGCAGAACTACCGTGTACATCGTATGTGAGGCTTGGCTCGCCCTTGAGGGCGAATTGGCCAGTCTGTCCCTCCTTGAGATAGAACACTATGGCATCGGCTTCATCGATTGTAGCCCAGGTTGCGACATCAGCCGAGGAATACAGCAGGGTATGATCACCGAAGGCATAGTCCGTGACAAGGATTCGACTCTGCCTGCCAAGCAACGAGACGTCTGGTACTGTGACTGATCCGGAGCTCGTGTTCAATGTGGCAGAGAACGTCACATTCGCTGTGGACTGAGTACTGCTCTGCTGGGTAACGGTGAAGGTAGCACCGGAGTCAGGGTTCCGAAGCACCCAAGTGAAAATATCGCTTGATGAGACCTATCTCGGGTCAGCCTAGTGTCGAGCTTTGGGAGACCAGATTGTACTTACTTGATATCCAGTGCCATTGCCCACCATCTCCGTCTTGAGGAGGTCCGGAGAAGAGCTCGAGAAAAGGTTCACCAACTTTGTCTGGAACAGCTTGTCCCATTGTTGACGAGTTTCCCGGATCGGTGCGCTGAGTAGATTTGGTTAATGCCCAGTGTACCTATATAAGAAGCGGATGAGCTGACCTATAATCGTAGCTAGTATAAACGACCGGTGCAGCCGAATGACCCCAGTTGGTGCCACCGTAGGTCATGTAGATGTTCTGCAGGGTGACTCTTTGGCCGATATTATTCTTGTAGCTGAACGGGGCAGTCAGTCACCGGGATCGCCTCATTCAGATCAACTCGAACAGTCGCGAAAGAGGGATTCCAACATACTAGACATCTGGGAAGGCCGGAGAATGCTCGGATGTGCACGTGTCATAGAAAGAGCCACTGCCCCAAGCACTAAACCATCCTCCTTGGAATTCTGGCATAAACTCGGGCTGAGTGTAGCTATAATTCTGGAACCCTGTGGATATAGTCAGCCCCATTCCCGTGGTGACAAAGTAGGAAACCGGTCTGTTTCAGCTTACATTGGTAGTATGTGCGTACTACCTTGAATCCGGTAGAAGGATTTGTGCAGGATTGTCCACCTGGGTAGGAATCTAAGCCGTAGACATTGACAGCCCCTCCGACGTCCTGATAATCTGTGCTCCACGACTGTCCTCTCATGCCCTTCTCGTTGGACGTGAAAGGAACGACAATGCCGGCGGCGCGGAAGGCCCTTTTCAGCTGTTCCATGTAAATCACAAGTGTGTTGTCCGCCGAATGGACAGACTCCGTCAGCTCGTTCTCAACCTGTGTGAGGATCACAGGACCGCCATTGGTGATCTGGTTAGCCGCAATTATCGACCCAATCTCTTGCACCCAAGGGATCCAAGCCTGATGATACGTCTCGTCGCTCGTCCTCAGGTTGCCCAGACTCCCATCAGAGCCCCACAGGGCCAGGCCGCCCCCCGAGGTTTCAGCGTTGGAATAGGGACTAATGCATGTTAGTCCGATGCTACAGGGCCGAAAGTGACGGTTCTTGAGGGTCCTTCGAGTGATGGCACGGCAACGGAGTAGTGCAGTGTCGTACTCACCCGGGGCGGGCAACAACCCAGAGACCTGCCTCCTTCGCGTAGCCGAACAGCTGCTGAATGTCCTTTCCTGGGCTTTCGAAGTCGAATACTCCCTTGGAAGCAGAGTGGTAAGACCAGAAGAAGTATATGCTCACGGTGTTGAAGCCGTTAGCCTTCAGCCGGTGAAAGATGTCCAGCCAGAGCTCTGGGACGGGCAACCGCTGGTAATGGAACTCTGCCGAGTTGATGTACACTCTCGTGCCGTTGACTGACAGGCTGTATGAGTCCCAAGAAACGAGGTCGGTCAGGCCGTTGTCAGTAGAAATGACGCTGGATACCCAACCCAGAAGGGTGGTGATGAGGAGAAGCGGCCGCATCTTGCACGACACCCCACGATCGAGGGGAATGCTGGCATTAACGACAGGTAGATGTGTCTAGACGGTAGGCATCCTGGGCTGGCCGCATTTTTGTTTTTAAGAAAATGGCGCTTCATCGTATATAACCACATACACCATGGTCAAATGGTGCGATCTTCAACCGCCATGAGAAAGTCTCATGATCCGCATGGTGGTTCCTCGGTTACATCGCCTCTCGGAGGAGTTACCGAAGGCGTTGTATTCCCAGCAATCAAAAGCCAAGCCTGCTCGCTTTTTGTGGCCCTGGCCATGTCTACCACGAGCCCGGCAGCCTCTTTGGGGTAGGCTAGGTAGGGTCAATTTGGAACTCCTGGTTGAAATGGAGAAAGAGCGAGTAAGCGAGGCAAATTGCACTTGTGACGGAGGCGTCTCGATGCATTGTTACGCCGAATGAGCGGATGGTCAGTCGTTGTATGGGGTCGGCCGCCGCTGGGCCGAGCCGTCGAGGGGATGTTGCAGGGATCTCGAAGCTTCGTGCAGGCGCCATGTTCAACAGGAACAGGCTTAGAACCTACCTATGAAATAGTGTGTTCATGAAATTCTATTCGGAGGATGTGAACCAAGGGCAGATGAGATTACCCTGCAGGAGAGTATACATTCGAAGGTCCTGTCGAAAGGGGATCTCCCATGAGCCTTCCCCACATGATATCCCAGTGTTTTGCCCCAGGGATCGTCCCATGGTAGCAGGTTGACGTACAAGAGGTTAACCCATGAGATATCGTCCCATAGAAGGTGATCCCATAGGAGTACGCCGTGTAGGAGGGTATCCCATAGTAGGTTATGCCATCGGCGGTTATCCTAATGGCCTGAGAGATTGCCCGATTGAAGGCTACTGACCTGGGTATGGTGTCACGTAGGGCATCCCACAGGGGGCCGTACTCTTGGTTGGGACTCACTGGCAGCAGTCTGACAGAATGTCGCCACACCACGTTGTACTTTGTGATTGTAGAGAAAGCTAACGAGGTTGATGAAGAACTATATGCCCTGCAGTGACATATGCCTGATCTTGCATGTGATACACCATGTTTGGTCCAAGACCCAACGGCGGATGCGGCTTCCAAGCGCAGCCGCACGAAATACCCACCTGCAAAATCAAAACGGATTCTACACGACCTCCCACGATAAAGGCAAGAAGTGACCTTGCAGCGCCACCAAAGACATACGTGAATAAGCACTCGTAGACTTCAGACCTGTTCTGTTCGCGTCATACAAAACATGTGAAAATTATTACTGTTGGTAGTGTCCCCCGGCAATGAGCTGTCCTTGAGCGCCATTCGCTGCATGCAACCACACCACAGCTCTAGCCGGGCGGCGGGCGACTGGCGAATCGCCTCACTCGGAGGGCTGCTGACCACGGAGCAAAGGCAAAGCAGCGCTTTAGTCTCCGGGCCTATCACGACACTTCCTGACAGGCCACAGAAGAGTCTTGTCCACTCGAGTCAACACTGTCTGGGTGCATACTCCGTCTTGGCTCTCGACAGTTGGGAGATACTAAGCGCTGGCGAACAGCATTAGACAGACCTCTGTGTCTCTCGCCGCACGTCTTGGTAGGCGAGAAATACCGGGCCCTCTTCCTTCATCCAATATTTGCATCTCACACATAATCACTATCCCCGCGGTGGGTTGGTGGACGCATGCATAGGAGCCGGCCGGCCATTTCCGTGAGGTTCTGTCATTCTTGTGCATGTCTTGTGAAGACCAACCGATTTCCCCCGTTCTTATCGAAACAGCAGCCTTACATAGTCCCAGTCATGCTCCTGTCAAGCTGAGTACCAGAAAGACCGATGCCGTCTGTAGGTCCCGTCCCATTCCTCGGAATGTTCTGTGTTGCACACGTACAAAATGAATACAAGTAGCCAACCGCCGAGTCCCTTACGCCAAAAATAAAATCGTCCGTCCGTTCAACACCCCTGAGCCCATGTCCGATACAGAAACTCCACTGTGCCCGTGTTGATCCCCGCCCCGGCCGTGAAATGACAACTGCAAATGCGATATGGACTGCCTGCCTCCAATTGACCTCTCTTGCTGCTGCAGTAATGACTCCGAAGAATGCAAAGATTTGCTGCACACCAGTGAGTGCTGTATATCATGTGTATTTTCACCGGGTTGAAGCCCAGCCCGGCAGACGCAGTGGTTGATGGAGGAAGAATGGAATCCTTTCCGGATCCGAATGGAGCCCAAAGTGACCGAGAAACGCCAGGGGTATCGTCTAAGTCGATAGAAATCGAGGGCAATCTCAGGACCTCAGCGAGGTGCCTGCGACTCCAAACACGAGGTTGTCTGGGTAAGGCGAGTGGCCTATCATGAGGCCTCGAGAGAAACCCCAGCATCCGGTAGTGTTCATAAGAAAGGACCGTACCCAGTTCTGTCCCGATCTAGGAACAATCGACTGGGACTCCCTCGTGTTTCATGCTGAACTCTTGGTGGCGTATTGCCGATTTCCCTGCAACCAGTGCCCGAATGGCGAGTCGTGCGTGGCGAGCCCGACGCACGCCGAGACCATCAAACACCATTTCCAACGAATTACGCCGAATTCGTCACTGGCGGTGCGTCGCGAACCGCAGGCCGCACCAAAGACGTAGGTGAACCGCTGTGCGGCTCCCTCGGCGGGTCGGGTGTGACGAGATTGCCAATGGACGGCGACTTTTCCGATTTCGTTTGCTCCGTGTAGTGTTTTGGAATGCTTCGTGCCATCTCTCCAGCAGCTCCCGTGTTCCCTCCCCCCGTGGATCTCGAATCTGCGGGTCGAGTGGCAGTCTGGTATGCCGTCCTCGTACTTGCATGGCTCGTGACAGGCGTAGTAACCGTAGCTGGCGATATTGCTGGCTTCGGGCTAATAGGAACTGGAGTGCTGGTCGGATAATTGGCGGAATTTGCCCGTGCCTGCGCTTCTTTCTCCGCCTTGGACGGTCTGCCTCGTTTCCGCACGGTGGGATTCGACTGGAAAACACCATAACTATTAGAGGGAGATTTAGATTGAAAGACACCGTATCCTTCCGCGGTCGGCTGTTTGGAATCCGACGAAGGCCGTGGTTGAATTGCGCGTGAAGTTGCGACGGGTTGGTGAAGCTGGGACGGCTGCGGCTGAGGCTGAGGCAGAGGCAGCGGCTGAGGAAGAGGAGGCGGTCGCGGTTGATATTGTATGGGAGTCATCGAAGCTACTCGTTTGGGTACGTGCTCGCTGAAGTCGCTCACAGATTTTCTCTTCAAGTTTGGGAGGCTGGGAAGTTGCAGTTCCCTGTCTAGCAATTGCGATGCCGCGCGCATGCACTGGTGCATGTTCCGGCCTGTGGCAGAGAAGGTTAGGAGTGAATGCACAGTTAGCACACAAGAATCGACCTGCTCACCTCCAGGCAGCTGCATTGCGAACCAGTCAGCCTGCAAATTGTACGTTTCTGAGGAGCAGCGCCGTTAGCATTGTCGCACATCGCGAAGCCGACTGTCAGACCAGACCGGGAGCAGCGGACTCACTGATGAACTCGACAAGCTGGCCAGTCTCAACCTGGCTGGCCTTGATGTATTCGGCGAGCACAAAGCGCTGCAAGACATTATCAGACTTGGGCGCATGACAAGAATGTTGGGGCGCACGAGTGTGTACCTTCTCGTCCTCAGTGAAGGCATCCATCATGCAAGAACCTATGTGTGGTCACAACGAGCGAGTGACATTTCAGGTGGAAGGAGAGTCGGTTGGGGAAGGCCCGCAGTGGCAGGAGGGCGTGGATATCACAGGCAGGAGTGCAAGGCAGCTCTCAGAGAGGGCGGAAGATGTTGGCCGGGCAAGCGGTGGAGCACAGAGAGAGGAAGGAACCGGCACGACATGTAATTGTCGTACTGCCCCCAGAACGAGACCGCCGAATAAGAACGAGTGATTGGCGAGGGGCTTGAGAAACGAAGTCGACTAGAGAGAATGCGCCCCCTTGAGCAGTGGGACAGGTAGGCGCGAGCAGGCGAGCAAGCGCGCGTCTGATCAGAGTGCCGTCGGAGGAGAGGTGGGAGAACCTAGAGGAGCCGCTGCAGCGAGCTGGGCAAATGCAGAAGCATGAGCCGAGATTTGGTTACACAGAGCTGCGGTTGGACCCCTGCTGTCGCTACCTGTGTGCCTGGCTGGGCCCGGGTCGTGGAAAAAAGCTTTCCTGGGTCTTGCTGGCGCTGTGGTCCGTCCGCGTCGCGGGAGGGAGGAGGGTGCCGTGCCTGTGTTGGACTGTCTGGCCTGGTCTGGTCCTGGTCTGTTTTGTGCCGTGCTCTGCCGTGCCGTGTCCCGTGGTCTGCGGGTCTGTGGTCTGTGTTCGAGATAATACTATGTTTCTAGGCAGTCCTCAAAACTGCAACTGCAGATGGTGGGCGTGCGAGGAAGAGAAATAGACGAGGCTGACCTGGGTGGCCGGATGCCCAGGTACCTGGGTACATATGACTGGAAAAGGCAGCAGCAGCAAGGCGTGGGCAATCACCCTGCTGCAGTGCAGGGGCAATACGGCATGCGCCCTGCCTGAGACTTTGAGTACCGTGCCCAGCAGGGAGAGGCGGCGCGAGAGACAGTGAGTCCGGCCAATATGGGCTGTCTACTATCTTCGAGCGCAGGCCAGTCGGGTTGGGTCGTTCGCTCACTGAGTGACTCAGTCCCGGTTGGGTTGGGAGGCCGCTCAGGAGGGGTGTTGTGATTGAATGAAATGCTCGTGAGTCGTAAGAGCAGACAGAGTGAGAGATGCCCACGGGTGGCGTGAAATGAGATGTGGGCTGGAGTGGGTGTGCGATGATTGTTCGGTGCAAGGATCGCGAGCGATTGTCCTCGAGCTCGGCGGTGTGAATCTCGAATGTTGCACAAATTGTCCAGCAAAGAGATGAGCCGGGATCTTCATCATTCGCGAGGACGCCCAGGTCCAATTTGGGCAATTTCCCCAAATCCAGAAGGAAGGAAACGAGACGAGGCGAGGCGACAAGACACACGAGCCAGGACGCTCGGTCCAGCCTTTTCCTTGCTTCGCGGACGGAGATAAAAAGACAGCGTCCAGGGGGTGTGTGTTCGGGTGGTCGAGGCTGAGATCGTCGCCCCGGTCTCCAGTCCCCTTGTCTCTCCCTGCTGGTAGCCATCATCATCACCTCAACTTTCTCCCGTTGTCTCTAATCGCCAGCATCTCGGTCGTGACCCTCATCCATGACACGATACCGACCCGGATTGGGACTGAGATCAAAATCGAAATCGGAGCCAGGCATGCAGCTAAGGCCCGGCCCTGCTGCACGAGATCTAATGCGGTATCAGGGCTCGAGATGCTCTCCCTCTGCCTTGGCTGCAAGCACGTCGCATCCGTGCTGGCACGCATCGCCGACTGCAGATTGTTGCGTCCCGCAGGCCAATGGGCTCCGTCCCAGCCTACCCGCGGGTGCACCTGATACCCCCTTCACCAGCACTCACCGTCTCAGACGTCTGGCCTTTGCGGTGCCCATGTTAGCTGAAAAGTCATCACACAACCACACTGCTCACCACCCGGCACTAGGAGTCCAAGGTGACGAGGAGCCAAGCTGAGAGTCATCTTGAAGGTTGCCCAAATTGGGAATGGCAACTCACAAAGACAGACATGCGGCGGTCGCCTTGCAGCGTCTCACGGCCCAATCAGACCCTCTGCCTCAGACAAGGCCGTCTTTCGTAAGCCAGGGACGGTGGGACAGCATCTCGCTCTGCCTACCGCCTACCGTGTCGCAGCATCTCAGTGGTTGTCTCTCGCAGGCGACGCAGACGACACTCGCCAATGAGAGCCGCCAGGCCGGCCGTCGACGACCATGGCTGCTTGAGCACAAGCCAGCAGTTCCTGTGGTAGGACTGAGCCGCATGCATGGGGCTCGACTTCGAACAAAGAAGTTGACTCTGGGCTCTGCACTCTGCAAATGAAGTGCTTCTCGCTGGGGGCCGGTCGAATGTGGGAACACGCCGGGTTGATATGTTTTATCCTCGATGCTCACCGCTCCGTTCTCCCGACCAAGCTTCTCCACTCTACATCCGACCGGTCAAGTGGTCTGCACAATGCGTTGGCATTGTACCGGCCACGACAGAAGCTTCCGTTCGACTGTCTCGTCCGGCGGTCCAGCCAACGTACCGTCTCTGCATGTCTGTTGTGCCGGCCATCCTCCAGCCGCCACGTCAGTGTACTTGCTTTTGCCCCCGCGGAGCTTGCAAACACTATCTCCCAGCCCACGCTCTCGATGGTAACAAACACGGGCACGCTATATCCCTACTGCTACCGTCACTGATCACGAGCATCACTAGACTGCGTCATGGTACAGAATTCTCCATGATAGTGGATACGCTGAATCAGGCCAGTTTCCAAGGTATTCATTCTCATTGTCTGGTCCCTCTGTGCAGGTCTCTGCACGCCACCAGCAGATCCTGTAAGGTCCAGCCATCATCTCTCTGCCTGCAGGGCCAGTAATCTACAGGGTAGTTGGCTCAAGGGCTTTTACAATTGATGTGTTTTACTGCTACCAAAAGTCTGCAGACTAAATGTTGGCCCTCTGAGAGGGGATACCTGTTTACTGTCTTGGACTGACACTGATTGCTCCAGTGTCCCTCTGATGGAACACTCAAAGAAGCTTGTCAGTCATGTCGCAGGTGCTCCCAGGCCGCCATGCCACAATGTGTTAGATTTTGATACTAGGTCATGCTGTATGTACTCTATGCTTCTCTCATCTGGAGTGGGCCTTGATCATTCTACCTAGCACTGCGTGAGTCCTTTCTTGCATTTGCAATTCAAGATCTGGCCAATTCGGATTCATGTGCTGGAATCGCTGGCAGAGGTGTGTCCTTGTCAACAGCTGCCCTCGGCAGGCAGGCAATGCATTGACTGTCAATTATGAGGGCTTCATGTTCGTGAGGTTATTCAACACGCATCACTGAATCAATTGAGTCGACTAAGGCTGGATTGAGATGGGCTTCGGGATTGTGGGCTACCCAGATCTCCTGGTCCTGACCCCCCTCCCCATGCCCCTCCGCACTTTTTTTTTCACGCTATTCGCTATTCACGCCAACCGGGGCAGTCGGGGCGGCACACTTGTGTCCGGCAGGCACGGATTTGGGGTCCTGCCGCAACATCGACGAGCGAATGCAGGGATCCTTGGATGCTTTAGGAGTGGTGATCTTCTGCGACCTGCGCCAGTCACAGGCGCCCTAAACCCTTCCACCATCCAGACCGCACCCTCTTGCGACCAACAGACCAAAACCAGAGTTGCGATCAGAACCATCAGCGACGGCCTGCAAGGCACAGAGCTGGATCGAGGACACATAACCGTAGTCGAAGAGAGGTTCTGAAGCCAGAACCTGCCATGTCGAAGATACTGGGCCACCAAGTCCGATAGCGAACCCTGCCGTCTCGTCTCTGGTCTCTGCTTAGCCTCGATCTTTCCCTTTCCCTTCCCACTTCCACTTCTGCGCTTCTCGCCTTCGCAATTCGCCCTCGGCCTCCGGTCCTGCTCTCTTCTTTCTGCATCGCGCGTACGCCCACACGTCTATGGACACCGCCAGCATTGATCGAGCCGCCCTTACACCCTCACACCCGTCCCCTTGCCACATTAATCTCGGTCCCAGTCGAATTTGCATACTACTGTAGGACTCCCAGGGCTCGCCCGCGCACGCAGGATGGATGAGGAGGAGCGCAAGGCGGATGCGTCTCCAGCCATCAAGATGGAGGACGGCTTTCGAGAGAATGTGACGGCCCTCAAGGCACGGCGCAGTGCTTCCACCTCACCCAACGAGTCGAAGCCCTCGAGATCTTCGAGTCTGTCGCCAGGAGCAAAGGCAGACAACGAGAGCACCTCAACACCCGAAAACGACCCTGCGCCCAAACTCTCGAGAAAATCGTCCTCCAAAGCTGTCTCGCGCACACCGCTCCTCTTCGGCCACCTTCAAGATGTCACGGAAGAGTCCATGACGTCCTTCCAGGTCATTCCCGACTGCCTGTACGGCTCGAAGAACATGGGATCATCAGAACACGATGCTTTGGATTGTGATTGCGCTGAAGAATGGCGTAAGTCCCCCAAACCAAACCTGCGCAGCTGCCCACTCCCCTATTTGGGCCTTGGTTTTTTGACCTCTGAACAGAGAATGGCCACAATCACGCCTGCGGGGAAGACTCCGACTGTATCAATCGAGCGACCAAGATGGAGTGCGTTGACGGCGACTGCAACTGTGGCTCCGGCTGCCAGAATCAGCGTTTCCAGCGCCGACAGTTCGCAAATGTCTCCGTCATCAAGACCGAGAAGAAGGGCTTCGGCCTCCGGGCAAATGTTGACCTGCAGCCCAATGATTTCGTGTTTGAGTACATCGGCGAAGTCATCAATGAGCCGACTTTCAGACGACGGATGATGCAGTATGACAACGAAGGCATCAAGCACTTTTATTTCATGTCACTGACGAGGACCGAATTTGTTGATGCCACCAAAAAGGGCAACCTGGGTCGGTTCTGCAATCACTCCTGCAACCCAAACTGCTATGTGGACAAGTGGGTGGTTGGCGAAAAATTGCGCATGGGCATTTTTACAGGCCGTGCAGTGAAGGCCGGCGAGGAGCTCGTCTTCAACTACAACGTGGACCGCTATGGCGCTGACCCGCAGCCCTGCTACTGTGGTGAGCCAAATTGCACAGGGTTCATCGGCGGCAAGACCCAGACAGAGCGTGCCACCAAATTGCCCCTTGCGACCATTGAGGCACTCGGTATCGACGATAGCGACAGCTGGGACACCGCTGTTGCTAAGAAACCCCGCAAGAAGAAGCCCACCGAGGACGAGGAAGAGTACGTCAATAGCGTGCAGCTTCGCGGCCTCGATGAGAATGGTGTCACCAAGGTCATGGCCGCCCTGATGCAATGCAAGGAAAAATGGATTGCCGTCAAATTGCTCCAGCGCATCCAGAACGCCGACGACGACCGGGTCCGCAACAGGGTTGTGCAGATGCACGGTTACCAGATCCTCAAAACCACGCTCAACGCCTTCAAAGACGACCACAACATTGTTCTCCAGATTCTGGACATCCTCTACAAATTCCCTCGATTGACCAAGAACAAGATTTCCGATTCCAACATTGAGGCAGTGGTCGAGAGTCTCACCGCGTCGGAGCATGAGGAGGTGGCGGCCGAGTCGAAGCGCCTCATGGAAGAGTGGAGCAAATTGGAGACGGCTTACCGGATTCCTCGAAGGAAATTTGACCCCGCTGCCCAGCCCGCCAACTCTTTCGAGGAACGCCGAAAGCACGACCACAAGGAAGAGACACCATCAAAGCCGGTCATCGCGCCCGGTGTCGTGATTCCAAAGGGCCCGAAGAGCAACATCCCTCAGCGAAATGCAGCATATTTTGTCCCGCGGCCCCGGCGGGTATTCCCCACCGGCAACGCCCTGCCGCAAGGTTGGTTCATGGCCAAAGACCCCGAGGGGAAGGTGTATTACTACTCCCAGGGCGGAACCGTAACCTGGCAACGCCCGACTGTGCCGGCGCATGCGGCCAAGGTACCATCCAAGCAGCAACAGGACCAGAAGGCCGTCATGGACATCATTGAAAACCTGAGCAAGGAGCCTACGCCTAAACCCTCTGCGTCCCTGACCCCACAGCGACAGAGCACTCCCGTTCCAGATGCCAAGAAGGAGAAGTGGCGTTCTCTGCCGGTCGAAAAGCAGATGAGGATCTACGAGAACACGGTATGTCCAGCACCCCACTGCCCTGACCACTCTGTCGGCTGACACGCAGTGAAGCTCTTCCCGCACGTCAAACATGTCTTGGATAAGTTCCGCCACAAGTTACCCAAAGAGGAACTGAAGAGGTTCGCCAAAGACGTCAGCAAGAAGCTGGTGTCTTCAGACTACAAGAACAACCGCGTAGCAGACCCCACCACCATCAGTGAAAAACAGGAGAAGAAGATCCGGAAATATGTTAAAGACTTCCTTGATCGTGCAGTACAGAAGTACCAGGAGCACGAGAAGCGGAAGGCCGAGCGTGCAGCGGGACCGAGTCACGGAAAGTCGAAGGAGCCGAACAACGAAGCCATCGCGTCTGTTGAGACGCCAGGGACCATCGGACCCACTGGTGACGAACCTACCGCCCTGAGTGACGCAGAAGACGGCGCGACAGGTTCTCCAGAGCGCAAGCGAAAGCGAGACGAAGATGATCTCCTGGATGCTAGCCTCACTCCTGACGAGACACCGTCCATGAAGCGTCTGAAGGACGAAGAGACGACCGAGGAACCCAGCCCGCCACCTCCGCCCCCGCCCCCGGAGGAGGCGATGGATGTTGACATGACCCCGACTCAGGCAGCAGAATTCTCACGCGAGCAGGAGCAGGCCCAGCGGCTTGCCGACGAGGCTGAGCAGGATAGGGTCCGCCAGGAAGAGGACCTGCAGCGTGAGAACGAGGAAGCGGAGAAGTGGTTTGAGCTGGAGCAGAAGAGCCAGAAGGTGGCTGCCACTAACGGGGCCTCGACTGAAGATGCCAGCATGAACGGGACATCGCCAGCCGTAGAGGGTGGCGATGCTTCCCATGAGGAAGCCATAAAGCGTGAAAATGAGGGGCTAAAGCAACTGGTTTTGGGGCAGTAATGACAGCTGGTGGGTCCCCACACGAATGAGGGACGGGCAAAAGGGAGGATAGCACACGCGCACAAGAGAGCTGTCCACTTGCTTTCCCCTGGTTGGTTCTAGAGACGTCGATCCTGAGATGCTCTGGGACACCAGTCAAGAGGGACTGTACGATCGCAATCTCATTTCTTTGCAGCAGCAGCATTATTAGGCTCGTTTGTTATTCAACACGGAAGAGCTGCTCGGACCCGACGCTGTTGTATATACGCCGGTCACATTGTGCAAGAAGGAACACAAACGGGCTGTGTCCACATAGGGGGGGGGTGGCAGGGGCGGCAGCTGTGAACGAGTTTTGGACGGTCGGGGGATCAGCCGTCTTGTTCTACGGAGTTATAATGGAAGTCATGATACCAGCGCATCTGCATTTGGAGACGGCGTGCCTTGAGGGGATTTTGCACTTTTGGGGACCGGCGTTTCGGGGGAGGGGGCAAGGGGAGATTGGCCGAAGGGGGGGTTGAAGGACACCCGCTCTCTCTCTTGGATTCGGGAGGGCGACAGGGGAACGAAGGGCGTTGGGCGGGTGCCTCAGCCATGTCGAGACAGACGACCGATGGAACAAGAGAGTGGCGCACAGGCGCTGCTACGGCAAGAGGCCAGGCCTTGGAAGAGGGGACTGGGAAGCTTTCAAGCAGCTCGACTCCTGCAGAAGATGGCATGGACCTGCGGAACCCCGAGGGGCGAGCTTGCGATCGGGAATAGAAGACCAGGGCAAGTGGGATTAAGGGGGTCTGGGGGGGGGGTGTGATCTACGCGGCGCCTCCTGGTCCCAGCAGACCCCCTCCTAAAGCCGCTTCCCCCATGCCATCAAATCCTCATTCGAGGCTTTTCCAAAGCCCAACAAAAATAATCAATTACAGATCATATTCTGCAAGCTATTTCTCATTTGCTCGCAGAGGCTATTGGGGCGATGATACATCCTGTCTGAGTGCCACAACCATCTCGAAACTCATTGGTTGGTTCATAGACTCGGAAGCCAGTGAAAGACCGGCTGCCTATGTTCAGTTCTAAGAGACCACCGAGGCATCTCGAGGGACTCCAATATGCAGTGCAGAAGACCTACATCTGAGGAGATCTCTTATGGCCTCTTAGTCTATACTCACTGCCGAGTGCCTCTGTTGAGCTTGTAAACCCGGCAAGGCCTAGTATGTCATATTTTGCAATGAGTATTTATCCCATGGCCGTCTGCATAGTGGAAGATTTGATTGAAGGTTGTCATTCAAGCTACATGCCTGGGTGCCCACCATTTCTGCAAGGAGAGTATGCTGGTCCCCCACAGCTACCAGTTGGTCCTACAGTGACACAATGACCCTGTATTGCTCATACAAGTCCCAGTAACCTGCGAGGTATGCTGTAAGATGCACTTTAAAGTAATTCGGCTGCCGTGTAAGACGGGTATCGTCGGCGGCTCGGACAACCTCAATCCCAGGAGTCCACCCCCACCGGGAAGGTCCGGGCTCAACAACGCAACGGACCATCTATCAATCTATCTCTTCCATTCCACCCTCATGACTCCGTCACTTCTCGCCTGTCTCCTTCTCTCTCTCTCTCTCTCTCTCTCTCTCTCGCGCGCGCGCAGATTTCCCAGTCAGGCTACGTACACCCCAACTCCGGCATGACGGGCCCCTCGAACGAGAATGTAGCCCCGGAGGCGGAGGCGCCCGTACTGTGGAGGCACCCCAGCCCCTTCGACACGCAGCTGGCCCGGTTCATGCGCCACGTGAGCCGCAAGTACGACCTCAAGCTGGAGACGTACCCCATGCTGTACCAGTGGTCCATCGACAACGTCGCCGAGTTCTGGGGCGAGGTGTGGGCGATCTGCGGCGTCACCTCGTCGCGCCCGTTCGACGCCGTGCTGCCGCTGCCGGGCGCCGGCGCGGGGCCGGAGGCTGCGGCGGCGGCCATGTTCCCGCGGCCCGACTTCTTCTCGGGCGCGCGCCTTAACTTTGCCGAGAACCTGCTGTTCCCTGCCGGCGTGGAGGTTGACCCCTGGGGTGTGGCTGTCATTACTGCCACGGAGCGGCCCGGCGACGTCGTCGAGACCACGTGGGCGGAGCTGAGAGAGGCGGCGCGCCGGTGTGCCGGGGCCCTGCGCGCGGCTGGGCTGAAGCAGGGCGATGTCGTGGCCGGCTACGTGTCGAACCACGTCCAGGCCTTGGTCGCCATGCTGGCCTCGGCATCGCTGGGGGCTGTTTGGTCCGGAATTAGCCCTGATAACGGGGTGTCGGCTGTGCTGGACCGGCTGGCGCAGCTCGGGCCGAGGGTGCTCTTCGCGGACGACGGCATGGTCTACAACGGCAAGGAGTGGTCGAGCACGGCCAAGACCGAGGAGATCGTGGGCGAGCTCAAGAAGAAGGGGCTCGAGCTGGTCGTCGTCGTCAGGAACCTCCCCGGCGCGGACCTCGGGCTCGACGGCCTCAGGGGAAAGGTCGCCCGCGTGGACGAGTACGAGAACTTCCTGGGCGGCTCGCCGGACGAGGAGCTCCGCTTCGAGCAGCTGCCGCCGTCGCACCCGCTGTACATCCTCTTCTCCTCGGGCACGACCGGTCTGCCCAAGGCCATCATCCACACGGCCGCGGGGACGCTCATCCAGCACAAGAAGGAGCACTTCCTCCACTGCTCCGTCTCGCGCGCCTCGCGGATGCTCTACTACACCACCACGAGCTGGATGATGTGGCACTGGAGCGTGTCCGCCCTCGCCGTCGGCGCCTCCCTCGTCCTGTACTCGGGCTCCCCGTTCCGGCCGCACGGGCACCTGTCCCTGCCCAGGCTCCTCTCCGAGCTCGGGGTCACGCACTTCGGCACCTCCGCCGCGTACCTGGTGGCCCTGGAGGCGAGCAACGTCCGGCCCGTCGACGACAGCTCCCTGGACCTCAGCCGCCTCGAGGCCATCTACTCGACCGCGTCGCCCCTGCCGCCCTCGACCTTCAGCTTCGTCTACGAGGCGTTTCCCAAGTCGATTAACCTGGGGTCCATCACTGGCGGCACCGACATCATCTCGCTTTTCGGCACCCCCTGCCCGCTGGTGCCCGTCCGTGTCGGCGAAATCCAGTGTGCCGGGCTGGGGATGGCGATTCAGGTTGTGGACAGCAGCTCGGCGGCCGACGACCCCAGGCCCGTGGACCCTCCCGGTGCGCCTGGTGACCTCGTCTGCGTGAAGCCGTTCCCGTGCCAGCCGCTGACTTTCTACGGTGATAACGGCGACGAGAAGTACCGCGCTGCATAGTATGTCATATTTCTCCCGCCTATACACCATTTAGCTTATACACACTGGCTGCGGGTATATGAATGAGCTAACATTCCGCAGTTTTGAACGATTCCCAGGACTATGGCATCACGGAGACTTTGTCCAAATCACTTCAAATGGCGGCCGTAAGCATACAATGTCCCTGTCCTACCCCTATGAAATGGCCCTAGACCCACGAGACCGGATACCCTTACCAGATAACTAACACAAGTCCCCCGCAAAAACAGTAAAGATGCTCGGCAGGAGCGACGGCGTCCTCAAGCCCGCGGGCGTCCGCTTCGGCTCGGCCGAGATCTACAACATTCTGACTCGCTTCTTCGCGTCCGAGATCGAGGACGCAGTCTGCATCGGGCGGCGGCGGCCCGAGATCGACGCGGACGAGACCGTGTGCCTGTTCGTGGTGATGGCCCCCGGTAAGAAGTTCACGAAGGGCGAGACGGACGCGCGCGTCCGCGACGTGGTTCGGCGCCAGCTCAGCCCGCGCCACGTCCCCGCCGTTGTCGAGGAGTGCGGCCCCGCTGGCGTGCCAAAGACCGGCAACGGCAAGAAGATCGAGGTCGCTGTCAAGCAGATCCTCTCTGGGATGGAGGTCAAGACGAATGCCAGCGTTGCGAATCCGGAGGCGCTGGCGTGGTTTAAGACTTGGGCGGAGGAGCATCCTTGATCAAATTTACTTCCGTCCGGTAGTGAATTTAAAACGGACAGGCGCTGATTACAAGGAACGCTTTCTTAAAATAAAAATAAAAAAAGGTGCGGCGAAGCTAAAAGAAGCATAGTTATGGTTAAGATTCTGTTGGTATTCATGTCTAGATGCTAGATGCCTCAGGGTCTGTTCTGCCCAAGCATACAGTACATCGCATATGGCACTTGCGACAAGGCATTGTGCGTGTGCACACACGCCACACAACTACCAGGTCCTTCCCAAAGTCATCCCAAGTTGACACCTGAACGCCGCAGATGCTCTAATATATAAGATTTACGCAAGAAACTGAAAACTCTACTCACGGTCTAGCCGCTTGGCCCCGCGCCTCCATTGCCGCTTCCCCGTCCCCGGCTGTCGTCGAGCAGCAGATGGGGCTTGATATAGTCCTCGTCCAACTGCCTGAAGAGAGCAGAGGGGTCATCCGAGGTGAGCAGCTGCCTGATCGCGCCCGCCGCTGATTTGGCCCCTTCCGTCAAAGTGGCAGACCTTTCCCGCGTTCCCGAAAGCACTGGTTGAGTGGCTGCTGAGCTCTCACCGGCTGGGACGCTGGTTGGTGGTACGGGGCTCGCCCGCCGCTTTGGAGCGGCAGGCGGCAGGTCGGAGATGTCGACGTCGCTGCCCAGGTCAGAGTCTGTGACGCTGGCAGAGTTACTGCCGAGCAGTTCAGACTGCTCAGGGTCCGGGAAGTTGGCCCTGGACCCCTTCCGGCTTATGCTCGACGGCCGGTCGAGCCCATGTGGGCTTCGGTGGCCGGATGACCAGCTGTGAGGATCGCTGCTGCCGTTGCGCCTCCCATTCGAGGAGGCATCCACCCGACCAAGAGACAAGGTCGAGTCCGTTCGTCGCGGTATATATCCGATCCCGGTGCCCGAGCGCTTGTAGTAGCTGCCACCACCGATGGCCTCGATGTCAAACTCGTCATCCGAGTCGATCTCTTCCACCACACCAGTGCGAATATTCAAGATTTCCAGCATTCGAGCTGTTGTGCCTCCGAAGATGATCACCGTCAACACCACGACCACCAGGACAGTGGCCTTCAACGCAAACCTGTCGTTTCCGGTGATGAGGGCCGCCAGGGCAACTCCCACGGCACCTCGCAATCCAGCCCAAAACAGCATAGCCTGATAATTGTAGGGTAGCTCGTCCGGCTGGTCCATGATCCCACGGCGTCGGGCCTTGTAGCGGATAAACCAATTGATGGCGCGTGACAAGGGAAATACGGCCACCCATCTCGCTGCACACACGGCCAAGACGGTGACAATGGTGAGCAGGGGCTTAAACTCAAGGTCCTCTCCGGTGAAGAGGGACAGGCCTAGGTAAATGAAGATGAAGTTCTCTGACAGTTGCGCCAGGACCTGGAATAGATACTTGGTCGTGAGCTGAGTCCTTCGTGACATGTTGAAGTAGGCGTAGTGCTTCAGAGTGATGCCGCAGAAGAGCAGAGAGACGATTCCTGACATCTTGATGGCCTGAGAGAAGATAAGTCGAATAGGCGATCAAGACGATCAGACAGCTCTCGATCTTGGGAAATCTCCGGACATAGGTGTACTTCAGACACAGCGCAGCACCGATTCCGACAATAACGCCGATAGCCAAGCTGCCGAAGAAGTCGAACAGGAAAGTCCCGATACCGAAGAAGAGGCTTGCCAGCCCGGACTTCTCGGCGGCGCCGTTCTTTGATTTCTGGGCGGCTTCGAATATGACGATCGCAATGGCGTCATTGAGGATTGATTCGCCAAATATGATGGTGTAGAGCTTGGGGTCGACCTTGTAAGAGGTGAAGATGGCGAGGATGGTGACAGGATCCGTAGCAGACAGCGTTGCGCCCACCGCAATGGCATCCGTCCACCCCATGTTCAAACCATCGAGAGGAACCCGTGTATACAGCCAGAGAATAACACCGATGACCAAAGCGGAGAGGAATGTGCCGGCGAAGGCGAAGGTCAAGATGGTTCCAATGTTCCGGAAGAAGTTGGCTTGGTGTAGCTCGTAGCCGGAGGAGAGGATGATGGGCGGCAGGAGCAGGTTGAAGAAGATCTGGTAGTCGAAGCTGACGAGGTTCTGTAGGTTCTCACCACCGGCGACGCGCAGGGTCAACCCGACGACCATACCTGGCCAGTTGTCAGCAACGGGTCCAACATGCATGGGAGGTCGGAGAGGGGGGCGCGGGACGAACCAGCAAAGATGGAAGCGACAGTCTCGTGGATGGCAGTGACCTTCCTCTGCTGGAGCATGTAGCTGGTGAACAGTGCCACTATGAGCAGGACGATGAGGATGAAGAGGGCCCACGAGGCGTAGATCTCCTTCTGGGAGGCGTCTTCGCCGTCCGGGTCGGCATCTTCAGCCGCGCGCCGAGCGATGTCGACGGCGGGGCCGAGGACGTCGGCCAGCATGATCACGATCCAGGCGGGGTCAAGTCAGAGAGAAGGGCGGCGGCAGCGTGAGGGCGAGTCGGAGGAGTGATCAGGAAGTGTTCATGAGAGGCGGCGAAAAGGTGGCGGGCGCCGCATTCGATAGGTGGTTCAGGGAGGTTGAAGGCGAGGGATGAGCGGGAGCGGGAGGGAGCTGAAGCTCCGTATGGGAGTAGCTGAGGGTGAAGCTTGTGTAAGGTCAAGCTCTCGCGAAGGGAGGTCGAGTGCCACAAGGCTAGGCTTTCTCCAGGAAGTGCCAAGACCTGTATCGCAGTATCGCGGCTGCTAGTGTCGTGGGGCTCGATGTGATGCGATGGACGCCCAGCTGGTCTAGAAGAGTTGGTAGTACTTAGTATGTCAGAGCTGCCTATTCTGGGACGCAATCGGGACCGATGCCACCTGTACTTCTGTCCTCTCGGTCCTGTCCGGAGCTTGCTGGGAGGGTAGACCCAGACCAAGGTGATTCGCTGGTGCTACGCAGCAGGTTACGTCGATAGTGTCCAAGTGGAGACTCGGTGGCCTGGTTAGCAAGGGATACGTAATGCTTCACGTGATAACCTACGGGCCTGTTTGATGAGATCTGAACTGTTGCTAACATTGCGCAGGACCGTACGGGACCCACGTGCCACGACCACATATCCAGCTTGTGGAACTGGACTGAAGCTGAGGAAAGACAGTTCTCGGTTGGCTTCGTTTCCACCTGCATCTAGCTCTCAGGCATTGGGAGTGAAAATCGACTGGCCGGCCGGCCGTGGTGCAGGCAGGCCAAGCTCGGATTATATAGTAGGCTGACCACCAGTCACATTCACTTGTACACCTGATCACATGCGAGTGTCACCCAGGCATCATGTTTGCTAGGCTGAACTGCAGGACGGAGGGCCTACCATCGAATTCATTACGTACATTTAGACTACGCTGTGCAGCTACCGAGAGAGAATTCGACAACAGTTGTGGGGACCTGCCGAGATAGGTAAGGAATGAGGTTAGATGGAAACCTGGGGTAAACAGGGACGATTCTGGAATCGACCGCCCAGAGCTCTGCCGGGCCGTGTTGGGTGGGGAAACGGGGGACGTGGGACAACGGAGAACGGAGAACGGAGAAGGGAGTAGCCTACTGTACTGCATCACCGAGGATTAGACTACCCAGACTACCTGGAGTACCTGCAGGTGCTACTCGCGTGGCCGCCCCAGGTGGGCTCTGACGTCTGCTGCCCAGCCAGGCACGCCTCATCAGCTACTAATAATGTCCGTCTGCTGAACTTCTCTTACGTTCCTACCCAGTAGTGCCCGTCCTATTCGTGGTGCCTGACACATCGCAGCTCTGGACCCTGGGAGTCTCGTGGCATCCTCTGACTTGACCTGTCTGGTCGCATGATGGCCCGCCGTCCCGAGCTGAACCTAATCCGCAACGCAACCTTAACCTCTCGACATCACTCCACACCATCCACCAACGTCTTTCCTTTGAACCTCATCTCGTCCTCTTGGACAATATCCTATACTCCCACCCCCTTCATGGATATCATATAGAAACCTGGCAGAACACCCGATCCTCCTCCTTCCAAGGCCTGGTGGTAGCACACCCTTTTGGCGCACCAACCTTGTCGTCGACTCAATTCCACTCGTTCGGCGGCACAGCCGGAAGTGCGCATCTCCCCAGGCGCAAGCAATCTGGCGATTCAGCCCATAGTTGAGCCCGACATCCCGGCCCGTTCCACGACGCTTGTCACGCATGACTTCGTCATTTGCCGAGTCTTCGACTAGAGGTCGCCCCTCCGCCGAGGCCGACGGTCCCAACACCTCCTCCGCGAGCAGTCAAGGTCCCACGACACCCACCCACAGCAGCTCCTCCCTCGACGGCCCCGACCGTAAGGACAACCCCGGCGGCGTAAACGAGCAATCACCCCTCCTCTCCCCCGAGCTGGACGGCAGCGATGGGGGCAGTGAACGGCATGGCTTTCTTGGGCGACACACCTCGGCCCCTGAGCCCGACGAGTTCCAGTCTACAAAGAGCCTGTGGTATCTGCTTGTCTTGACCATTAGCATAGGTGGACTGCAAATCGCGTGGTCGGTTGAGCTCTCCAACGGCTCTCCTTACCTGTTGTCCCTTGGCCTGAGCAAGTCGCTCATGGCGCTGGTATGGATTGCTGGGCCGCTGTCCGGCACTCTGGTGCAGCCGTACGTGGGCATGCTGAGCGACAACTGCAGGGTGTCGTGGGGAAAGCGGAAGCCTTTCATGCTCGGCGGGGCTGCCGCCACAATTGTTTCTCTGATGATCCTGTCCTGGACCAAAGACATGGTCGTCGGTTTTTTGAGCCTCTTCGGGGCTGACCCGGCATCTGAGGGCGTCAAGGTGACCACCATAGTTTTTGCCGTGATTTGGGTCTACATCCTCGACTTCGCTATCAACACAGGTGAGTGGGAACTTCGCGTGCTGCTACTGCTGACGCCCAGTCCGTACCACTGATGCAAAAACCTCGTAGTCCAAGCTGCAATCAGGGCATTCATCGTCGACTGCTGCCCGGCTCATCAGCAAGAGGCTGCCAACTCAATGGCAAGTAGGCTGACTGGGGTCGGGAATATCATTGGCTATATCGCTGGATACGTCAACCTGCCCCAGATCACATGGTGGCTAGGAAATACCCAGTTCAAGGACCTCTGTGCCATAGCCAGTCTAGCCCTAGGATCAACGGTGCTTATGAGCTGTCTGCTCATCAAAGAGAGGAACCCGCAGCTCGACGAGCCCAACGCGAGGAACCGCAAGCAGGCCGGTGTTTTCTCGTTCTTCATCAGCCTTTTTGCGTCCATGAAGAGGCTACCGCCGCAGATCAAGAAGGTCTGTGTCGTACAATTCTGCGCGTGGGTCGGCTTCTTTCCCATGCTATTCTACACGTCGTCCTACATTGGTGAGATATATGTCCAGCCGTTTCTCGAGGAAAACCCGAACATGACGCCCGAGGAGATCGACGAGCTATATGAGAAGGCAACAAGAGTCGGGACGTTTGCGCTATTAATTTTCTCAATTACCAGCCTGCTCACAAATGTCTTTTTGCCATTCTTCATCGCACCGACATACGACAGCCAGCCCATTGGAGAAGCGCCCGGCGAGGGCCCGGTCACCACTCTCCGGGATCATGGTCAAGAGAAGAAGTCATGGACGGATCGCTTGGTCATACCTGGCTTGACGCTCCGTCGTGCTTGGCTGCTCTCTCAGCTGCTCTTCATGGGCAGCATGCTCTGCGCTGTCCTCGTCCGAACCGTGCCGGCAGCCACAGTGCTCGTTGGCTTGGTTGGAATTACCTGGGCTCTGACGCTGTGGGCTCCATGGGCAATCATCAGCGCAGAAATCAGCCGGAGGGATGCCCTTCTTCGCCAGAAAAGAAGAGCTTTCTCGCCACCAGAAGGCGCAGGCTCTTCCTCTAATGCGGCCCCCGGATTTGACGGGTATACCTCCGATCAAGATCACAAACTAGACGGTTCCGAAGACGAAGCCGACCAGGCGGGCGTGATCCTCGGCATTCACAACATGGCCATCGCCGCCGCAGATTATCGCGACGGTCGGCTCGAGCCTTATCTTCAAGATATTCCAGAAGCCTCGGGGGACGCCTGGCGACCACTCGATCGCCATCGTGATGGCTATAGGCGGCGTCGCGGTGGGCGCTTCGGCGTGGTTTATCCACCTCATTAAGGACGAGCCGGCCGGCCTGCCTCTTGATGACGCTGCATCGGACGCAGAGGAAGGCAGCATGTCCCCGCCTGGCTCGCCGAGTGCAAGACGCGGACCTTACGACAGAGTGCGCAGCACCGAGCCACTTCCACGAGCTAGTCTGGAAAGGGCGACGTTAATGAGAAACAAGAGCTTCTCCGGGATGGATTATGCTTAGTCTGCTGTTCACAGCCGTTATCCTTCTGAGAGCGAGCGAGATTGTGCAGCTGGAGGAACCGAGTCGAGCGTTTCGCTTCACAGTGTATCATATGGCCATGGTGTTGGTTGAGTCTTCCGTTGGATTTCGGTTGATCAAGAAGAGACCTGTTTTGATACGGAGAGCTTGGATAGGTTTGTCTTATTGAATTGTTGGTGTTGACGTTACAGTATTAGATGCATCCTATAGCCTATTCAGAAGACTGAGCACAGGCCGACACAGGCGCGTAACCAACGCACCAGATAGGCAAGTCTCACGCAGTGACACACAGGCTGAAAAAGAACGCAGACATAAGCGCGTCCTGTGCAGAAGATAACGCCCGTGTGCAGTCACGCGTTGACGACAGCATCGCCTTATTGCTACCTATACTGAGTCCTGAGCTCGCGTGCTAAACCACCACAAGCAGCACAACAACAATGGCTGAATGTGCGATCTCTAGCCGTCGTAGTCGTGCTCACCCTACACAGTCTTTGTACGAGAGCCGTGTTGGGTCGGTAGTACCGCACGCTGACGTTCAACATCTCATGGATTGGCGGAAGAGCCCCGACACGGCTGTCGAAGCGTTTTTCAACAAAGCTGCGCGCTATTGCGCAACAAGCGCCTGCATAATCGCAATCTTCGGGATTGGGTATTTCCATCTGTTTCTTCAGAAACTGCACAGCTTGCTCCGATAGCCCAACACAACAGTGCATTCTTCATCTGCTCTCCTCGCTTTTCTTTCGCCTTGGTATTAGTGTCGCGGATTTCTCTTCACGGCAAGTGAGGGTCTGTCCTTTGAGTACAGCCCACATGGATCCATCCCCAAGGCTTGTCAGGTGCTCAACGCTGTCGAGGCACATGAGACCCGTCTACATAACCCATCCAGCATTGCCTTACATATGTATCTTATAAATATTCTTCTCACTTACTATACCAACGAGAATCAGCCACTCGCCAAACTTTTGGGATCTATGCGAGCCGTATGCGGCCACGATCCAAAGACTTCGGCTTGTGCCGATGTGCAAATTACATGTGACGGGCGCGAGCACGCCAGCAGGCGTGAAATATAGGACAGTGGCCTTGGCGAGGAACTTTGTTTCATGTTTAGACTCAAGATCGCAGAAGCGCTGATTCAGGACAATTGCTCTCTAAGTCCCAATGCCGGAGTCGTAGCGGGATCGGTACTTCGGCCCCCTGACCTGAGGCTAAAATGTTACTTTCCGCCGACTTACACCAGGGTAAGGCCCACTTCGAACATCCCTCTGCAGATCTCCAAGACAACGGAACGTCCACTCCGCAGTCAGTACATTTTGCACCCGGGCTCCGTAGCCAGGGGTAATTGAATCCACGTAACCCCTGAGGGGCCCCAAATCGAGAATTCGTGGATTAGGTTCCGAACGGCCATGCCGTTGATCAGTATACTTTCTGGGTGGTAATTTTGGGTCATGGGGCCCCCCCCCCTATTCGACCCGGGGCGGCGGGACGGGCAGCCAGCCCACCCGACGAGCAGCCCGAGTGAGGTGATGGCGTCTCTCTGGGGTTGCTCAAATAAAAGACTGCCTGTCCCCCAGGCCCTGTCATCGCTGCCGGAGACTGCTTGGACGCCATTGAATCTCACCAGCCGTCAAGATGCAACTCACCAGCTTCCTCCTCGCCAGTCTGGCCTCCGTCTCCCAGGCCGCCGTCATCTGGTAAGTTGTTCTCGCACTCTTGTCCGATTTAGCATATCGCAACATACAACACGCTATATTTGAGCATTGTATAAGTCTACAAATTTTTGGTTGCGCGTGTCCGAAGCCACTCTGAGGTCCGGGATCCGATAGACAGGTCACGACACACTAACAAGGAAAATAGGGACGGCAGATTCAACGACCTGGAGACTGCTAGCGACCTCAATGACTGTAGGCTATCCTCCTTGCCTTTAATCTCCTAGCCGAGACATATCCAATGCTCGGATGGGATGTCAAGAGGGACTGCTCATACTGATCTTTGATAGGGTCATGGAGCAACCAAGTCGGGCCCTACCAATACTACATCCACGGCTCCGGGACCGTAGATAAATACATAGCCCTCTCGGCCGACTACGTGAACCCGGCCGACACCTCGTCCAAGCAGGGCGCCAAGTTCACCCTCGACAGCACGGCGTACTGGAACGGCCAGAACATGCGGCGGATCGAGCTCATCCCGCAGACGACGGCGCCCATCAACCAGGGCAAGGTGTGGTACCACTTCACCATCTCGCGCAAGGAGGCCAACGCGCCGAGCCAGTTCCGCGAGCACCAGATCAACTTCTTCGAGAGCCACTTCACCGAGCTCAAGTCGGGCTGGATCAGCGGCGAGGCCGGCACCAGCAACCCCAAGCTGCAGTGGATGGTCAGCCAGCAGAGCAAGTGGAGCGTCGACGAGTGGCAGCCTGATGTCTTTTACAACTTTGCCTACGAGATCGTGAGTCTACCTCACCCTTCCCTCTCCTGACTTGGTGGTGGTCGCCCACATCCTCCCCAATGGCGCCCTGGCTGACTCTTGCTGCTGCTGTTAGGACTTCTCCGCCAACACCGTCGGACTCTGGCACTCCACCGGGGCTGACGACCTGACCCAGGTTGTTGCGCCGGTGTCAGCTTCCACCTCGTCAAATGGTGCTGACTGGCACTTGGGTGTCCTTGAGCTGCCGCGCGATGGATATCCTGACGCAAACGAGGACTTCTACTTCTCTGGTGTATACATCGAGTCCGGCTCTATCACTAAGACTGTTGCAGGCCCGGCTTAGACTATGTAGAGTAGCTGGGATGGATCATAACCTTTACGGTCTATTCCGGAAAGGAATCCAGAGCACTGTACATACTGTCTTGCCAAATAAATTTGTCAATATAAGGTCAAAGATTAAAAAGCTGCTGGGATAGTGTACTTTGCCAGAACAGTACGATCGTCACGCCGCTGAACTTTGGATTACCAACAATAACCGACGGTCGAGTGAAGTTAAAAAAGGAGACGAAGTGTGACATCCGTGCCAACTGACCATTGCAGATGGCCATTCCAGAATAGCAGCGAAGCCAAGCCAACACTGACTGTCGTAAGAAGAGAATTATCCAAAACAAAGAAGGAAGGTTGAAGGGTCCAAGCAAGAAACAATCACACACACCCTCTTGGCTACTGTTTGGCCCGCTATGCCCACTTCCCACAGGCGCATCAACCGCGCCAGTCTCAGGCAAGCCGCATCCGATCGCTGCCTGGCCGAAGGGGTGTAACAGCCGGCACGGGCGAGCCACCATCATCAGTCGTCACCTGCGTATTCTGAGTGTATACAGTCTTGGTACACAGTCCGATGGTCGTGAACACCTCGCCCGGGGTTACGATGCCGAAAGAATTGGTACCCGAGATGCCATCCCAGCGCATGCAGCTACACAGATGGTCTTCAGCATTTGCTAGCCACTGACGGGCGTGTTCAAGTGGGAAGGAAGGGCCATGAGGGAAAAGGGGGTGGGGGCGAATGAGAGAGTCACTCACTATGAGGTCCCGTCGTTGGAGCACCACGAATCGTCGCAGCGGACGCTGGTCGAAGTTGCAGGCGGGGCAGTGAGCGTCAGGGTGAACGGCGCCGTGACCGAGTTCGTGACCTCGTCGCCCAAGCTTGGTGGGAGGTTCTCTGAAAGCGTCGGCGCCGCTGGGGCCAGCTCCTCGGAGCTTGGGGCCAAGGCCTCTGAAAAGTGCGTGCCATCATGTGACGACATGATCTGTGTTAGGGCACGTTAGCAGGTGTAGTGGAAGAATAATACGGGAGGCAGGTGTGAGGCAAGCCGGGGCACTTGTGTCACGCGACTCTTCCGTAGTACCCACGGCCCGGAGCGACGTTATTCAAAACAAAACAAAAAAGGAGGGGGGGGGGGACGGTGTACACGTACGAAGGTAACAGTGCTTGATATTGGTGCGCTGAACCCGGTCGTGAGCGTCCGGAGAGTCGAGGGATGTCGATGGCGATTAGTGGTAGTGGACGAGGAAGAAGACAGGTCGGACGAGCTAACGGGAGGGAGCGACTCCGAAGAGGACGGCGGACCAGCTGGCTCGGTGAGTGACTCAGAAGGGATCGGTGCGGTAGACGTCACAGGCGCTGGTGGAGCTGCCAGGGAGGAGGAGGAAGAGTCTACAGACGACGTGGGAGTGGGAGTCGATTCCTCTGAAGAAGCCAATGAAGTTATGGGCGGAGCACCCGACACAGCTGAGGTGCTAGAGGGAGACGGGGAGGCCGATGTGCTCGAGTTAGCCGGACTTGGGGCCTCAGACGAGCTCGAGGAGGCTGTAGTCGTTGCAGCGGTGGCCGAGGATGGTGGTGCCTCTGGTGAGCCCATCGGGGGGCTGGTGAGAGTCTCCGAGGAGGACGAAGCCTCCGTCGTCCCCTCTGGGTTGTCAGGATCCCTCGTGACCGTAACCCAGTCCGTTACGGAAACGGTGCTCCTCTTGGCGAGTTGGATCTTGGACGCTCCGCTATCTGTCGAGTAGACGATATGGGGAATATGGGTGACAGTTGTGGTTGTGAAAGTCGTGCTCGTGCTGGTCCAACTTTCCGACTTGAAATTCAGCCAGGTTGAGTACCCAGGGGTGGTGTAGAGGTGCTCGACGAAGACGACAGTACTGACGGAAATCAAGGCATCCGTAGGCGTGTCGTCTATCGTCTCCCAGGTGGTGGTGGTGGATGTCCATTTGCCTAGTGGCTGCAGGTCCTCGTTATCCAGTTTGGCGACATCATCGTCTCGGCCGCCCCACAACCTAGCCAAGGTTGCCGGGGCCAGCGCCATCACTGTAAGTAGTAATTCGAGCTTCATGGCGAGTGACAGGTTGTTTACTACTGTGATTTTGGTGTGATGAAGTCAGCCTCGCGACGAGAAAGACGTAGGCTGGAGACTCGACGCCAGTGCTGAAGGCAAAGGGCACTCAAAGAGGTCGTCGGGTGCTCGAAGAAGGAATGGTATTTCCCCCTGTGATAGGATGAGGAGCCCAAAGGAAACCACGAGTCTTGATGAGAAGATTTTCAGTCGGGTGGGAAGTCAAGAGGACGGGACAGGAGTCAACGGAGCTCGAAGGGCTTGCGTGTTGCCTTTTAAAATTTCCGAGTCGGACATATCGACAGTGCCTATAACTTGTCCCATCCACTGAAATTCTCCTATTTCCATCGAGAAGCATGCTGAGTCCATTTCTTTCCGTGCATGTGCCGTCTTGCCAGATGCCCCTTGGTTGACGGCTTCTGAAGACCTGGTGCATGGACAGCAGAGTTGTTTGATAGCACAAACCGGGATATGCAGTTTCCCTTTCCCAGGGAACACAGGGAGGGGTGTCAACGCGAGATCGGGGAACACACCCACGGCGGATTGTCGTCTGCTGTACGGCCTGATATACCAAAGGAGTAAGGACGGATGTCACCAAGACAGCGGCCATGAACAAGAAAAGAAAGAGGAGGCATGCCATGCCCACAACACCGCCTTGAGCCTCAGCCTCACTTGTGGCCAATACAACAGGGTATGCAGCGAAGGGTGCCGAACGCGACATAGATCCCCGTAGAAGGGCATCACAGAGAAATTATCCCACAGATATAATACCACGGCAGGTTACCCCACAGGAGGTTATCCTATAGGAAATTGTCTCGCAGTAGGTAGGACTCTTGCCCTGACCATAATTCTCCGATGACGTGAGCCGCCCCGCGTCCCTTGCCAGACGAAACCATCTTGTCATATCGAAAGGGGTATATCACTGGAGCAAAGCCGCATTCGAAGACTGTCAATGACAAAGGTACAAGAACTGTTGCTGCAGTCAGAAGTGCCTCTTATTTGAAGTTCGGCTCACACGACTGCACGAGATCCAATCCTGAAGTCGGACATCGGGATCGAGACGCACAAGATGATTTCTCCTTTCGGGTGAGTTCAATTCGGTGTAATGGAATGGCTCGTCAGTTCCTGGGCAACATCTCCTTGATCTCATAGGGACACCATCTTCTCCCACAAGGCAGAGAACCGATCACTCCCTGCGCGGGCCCGCATCTGACGACAGTGATGACCTGTTGTCGGTAACGAGGCCGACGTAAGCCATACACAAGGTCCAAAGATTAGTCGAGCTGGGGGCACTCGTGTAAGGCGAGGAGCGTCGAACAACAGTTGTGTGGTGACAGAGAGGCCATCCGGAATCGAACCTCGACAATAACAAAAGTCTGACAAAGGGTCACCAGATCGGCCGGTAATCGTGTTCGTGCTAGATTAGAATCTGATGGCCCGCGGGAGAGGATGGGCAACCAGTGAAGTCCATGCTCGGTTCCACATCACCCCGACGTCAGCCTGACTGTGTCGGTAGATCTGCCAAGTCAGTGTTGGACAACATTCTGGTACCCTTCAGAGTCAACAGCAGTGGCCTTCCAGGCCACAGCAGAGACATCGCCATAGTCTTCCACCATAAAGGAATGAACGCCAATATTTGCATTAGGCCTCGGATAAGTCTCGGTAGACATCGCAGCATACTGTTGGCTGTACCTCGCCGCGGCCGAGAGAACCCACATCTTGAGCGGTAGGCCGACGAAGTCGTACGCGATGCGGAGGGCGTACGAGATCCTGTATGGGCCCATGATGCCCCTCCCAACAGACTCGGTAGCCCGAAGGATGTTTCGCGCAAGCTCTTGGTTCTGCTCGTCATACCGACCTTCTTGGCCGTCTTCGTAACACTGGTTCAACGCCTCCTGAAGGATCAGCATCGTCGCCCAGTAGCTGGTTTCTACTGACCCAACCCAAGGATTTGAGAACTCGAGGACGGTGCTGAACGGGGAGGTCGAGTCCGCGGAGGGTACCTCGACGGGCTGTGCGATTGCGCCCCCAGATATCGCCATCTCGTGCCAGGCACAGCATTCAGAGCGTAACGAGCCTGCCTGCTCCGCAAGCAGTTTGACTCGGCTGGGATCGGGCGTGATACCGTGACGCCTCTCTTCGCGAATGCTGTAACCCCAGCTCAGAACCAGTGGCATCTTGGCCAGCAAGGTAAAGTACCCATCTTGATGTCTCACCCAGGGCGGGGTTGGGATACGTGTAAGCTCCAAAGCCTCCTGAGCCCCATTCCCCTCTTCGTCCACGAGGGGTTCAGACAGCCGTGACGAGAGGTTCTGCCACTTTGGCTGGGCGAGGAAGCAGTCCTGGCCAGAAAAGAGACTCTGCATGATCATCAGGGGCCGGAAACAACTCAGCGAAGCCCTCTCGAACCGTGTGGAGAAGGAGCTGGATCCGCGTGCTTGAACGAGCTTGGACACGCCGGCAGCATGCATCATCCAGCTGAGAGGGTTCGTGGTGCCCGCGAACAGCTCGAACAGGCAGCACAGCATTGTCGCGGCCAGCGTCTCGGCTGACTTCCAAGCGACAGGGTGGTTGAGGGCGTGCTGGAGGCCGACCAGCGACCGGCCGTAGACATCACGGCTCCTGCTGACCTGGGCTTGGTCCCCCTTCGCCTTGCCAACCATCTGGAGCAGGTATGCGGACATAGCCATGTCGAGAGGCTGCGATCTGCCGAGATAGTTGATGAGTGAGGAGAACCAAGGGGCGCTGAAGGTCATCTCCTCGCGCGAGTAGATGTTGAAGAGCTCGCCGATTATATTGTGGATGAAGGGGACGGGTGATCCATGCAGTGACCCTGGGATCTGGCTGTGAAGAGGCCCCTGGAGACCGAGACTTGCTGCTCTTTGGCCCCGATCTCGCCAGGCTGGCAATTGGAGCGTATCATTACTTGTACTCGTCGACCTCGGCGGTGAATTTGACGATGAACCAGGCTGAGTTGCAGAGCCCTTTGGCAGGTCCTGGCCTCTTGAGCGGACAGCATGCTTTACAGAGACGAACTTGCGACCTTTCTCATACCCTGGGCACTCCGCTCCATACTTAATGCAGTTTCCACAGACTGTGAAGATAGTTAGCTTCGAGAGTCTTTTGAGCAAGTAAGAATGGAATGTACAGGGGCCCTACATGGGAGGTTCTGGTCACATTTCACCCGCCTCTTGACGCACAATGCGCAACCCTTACTGCGAGGCACTCCGACCATAGCTGTTGATCTTTCGTTAAATCTTCACACCTGGAAGACCACATACCATGTAACGTCGCTATCAGTTTTCTTTTCTTTTCTCACGACCACGGCTTGCCTCTATGACAATCAGCATTTGAGATCCTATAGGTAACACGTCACGAGGCTGAGGAGCTAAGCCACCCTAAGCAGTAAGCCGGCGTGTTTCCCATTGGGTCGATCTTCAATATCCTGTGGGACACTCCTCCATATCCGATAAAATAGCCTCCTGTGGGAAAACCCCCTGTATAGTATGGGATACCTCACTCTGGGATAGCATATGATAGGGGATAGACAGGCTAGAAGGACGCCCAGGTTCTCGGTGGGTATACAGTATCATCATGCTGGATATGAAGTCAGAACTGCTTCCATCAACTATGTCTTACCCTTGAAGAGCCGAGCTAGGGTTTGACGCCCTGCCGCGCCCCTGGCCTTTGTTTTTGAAGGATGCAAATTACGGGAATCCAACGTCTCTCAATATTTCCGCTCCCGCAGCATCCGGAGGGGTGGGAGAAGCCGGCCTGTCCAGCCGGGGTTCAGAATCCGGGCCGCTGCCAGATTACGAACACACCAAGACGAGAGTCGGTCGCCTTACCAACGGCCCACTTGAAACACACTGCATGTGCCCTACCTGTTTAGGCTGGATAGCACATGTCTGCCCTCCCATACCAATCTAGTTGTGCATGGACAGGCTTTCTTGTGACCGACACCTGGCGCTATGTAGGATACGGAACTTACTGTGTTGACACACCTCATTCCGATGGCCTGCAGGCCGAAACGCTCATGTGAGCAAAGTAGGCGAGCAACTTTCGGATCTTTTGACTTTTCTGGCACGATAAGGAATTCCTCGTATTGCACCCGTTGGCTCGGGACAGTGCCCCATTCAACAACGGGCGCCTCGAGTGCGGATTGGACGGCGCCGGAAGCTCGGCCGCGCCGCCTAGGAGTAGCTGCATTCCGCGTACACATCCCACCACACACACATGCAGGTTAGTCGTAACCGGGGCAAGAGGAGAGAGAGAGTTAGTTTTCTGTGTGTGTCCACCCAGTAACCAGCCTCTTAGGACCGTCTTCGGTCTGGCCTCCTCTGGTCCGTCCCAAGTGTCCGGTACGGCGAGTACCAGGTTCCCAGCCAGTTTCGAGGATTTTGCTGAGGCGCTTAGGCAGGAAGCCGTGTCTCGGTATAGAGTGTCAGCGTCCTTTTTTGGCTGCCGGCCGTGGGCGCTCATCACAGGTGTCACTGCCCCAGGTAGACTACTCGCTGGTAGAATGACATGACGACGCCACCTCCACCCCGTGCGTGCACCAGCGACAGACATCAACTGCAATGCGTCCTGCGACAGTCACGGATCGACGGAGGCCGCGTAGCATGCTCGGCACACAAGAGTATAGTACCCAAGCCGGCAGCCAGGCAGGCAGCCAGGCAGGCCTCGCTGTGCGACGGGCGATGTCGGCGCGACCGCTGAGTACAGAAGGGAAACGCAGCCACCGCCTTTTGTTGCAACGTTTTCATGGTCGGGGGTCTCAGATCGGTTGTTGACGCCTGCCAGCCACAGAAGTGGCGATCAGCCACTGGCACCGTCGCGTGTGGTCACACAGATCTCGCGTAGCTCCGCGAAGAATGAATGAAGTGGGATGGGGGTCCGGACCTGGCGATCCTCAGGCTGAGCGATAATAGCTGGTAGTAGGGCAGTGAGGCGGCACGGTGGGGAGTAGTCCAGTAGTCTAGTATGCGGACCTGAAGATCATCTGAGCTGGGCCACTGCCCGAACAGCAAAGCTGACGAGGAGGGCTGCTAGTCTTCTCGCACACACGCACACTGACGCTGAGGCGGTAGCACAGCGACCCTCCTTCAATACACGTGTCGATGGTGTGACCGTGCGGACGTGGGGTGACGACGCCCAAATATCTCCGACTGGCTGCAGCGTGTTGATCTCTCATCCCTCGTCAGACGAAGTCTCAGTCCTGCATCGAGAACTCCCAGGCCGGAATAGAGGGAGCGGGGGCTAGCTCGTCGTACATGGAGCACCTGCGACCGATTGTGATGGTGGGGTCGAGGCTTGATGAGCAGGTAGGGGGCCCTAATCGCAGAAGCGAGCAGTCGTGTAACCCCTCAGGTGCAGCTGGTTGCCTTGGGGACTTGTTCCGAGGGTTCGCGTCGGATGGCGGCATCATAGGGCAGAGGGTCTCCTTGGACAGGCAGAGCCGGTTGACCGAACACCAGATACAACTATAGCGTCTCTGGGAGTGGGGATGTCCATTTGTATAACACTGGACTCTGATGAGAACTCGCAATTGGCCCTCAGTGAGAAGCTGCGTGTTTCCCACGGAAGCATGCGAAGGGTGAATCCAGGGCCGGCAAACCATCGCCGACTGTTCGGGACAGGGAGACCCGATAGCGCAGAATGGAGTGGGCTTTTCTTCCGTCCGATGTCCGGAAGAGCACGGCCGAGCCGGCGCGCCCCTTAGGGCCTTGGTGCCAGAGCAGACATGCAGCTCCATGGACCCGCCTAGAGTGTTGGGCGTGCAGATTGCGACCGGATATGCAGTGCAAATGAAGCTCTGACCGAGCGTCACCACCAGGCACCGCAGCCTATCAGGCGGTGGCCACATCTTGGGTCAATCTCTAGGCGTGTGCTCCTCGACGAGAGTCGGTGACAGCTGCAATGTCGAGGGCGGCACGTTGATAGGCCGCCATGTGCCGACATTACAACATGATGTTGCTGTCTCGTCGCCGACCTGCCCCAGGGGCAAGGGAGGCTGGCCGCTGCGAGCGATTCCGAGGTCGACCCCGCGCCTGCGAATTCCCAATCTCGGCTCCTCATTGCTCAATTAATGGCACCTCTAGGGTTGCATGCAGGTGATGAGTATGACGCGAAGGAATTTGGCCGCGGCTCATCCCAACGGCGCCCCAACTTGGGGACAATTGCAAAGCTGCTGCCGAACCTATTTTCGTACTCATCTCAAACCTTCCCTTGGGTCGGTCTCGGCTCGGTGCACATTCTCCGGCCAGGCGTTGCTCCTGGGAAAAGAGGATTGACCCGGATTAGACTCTGATCCAACGCCGTGGACATGGACCGCCTGCCGATATCAGCCAAGTGCTTGGTATTTATGTGAGCAGGCTGATGTGTGCGTGGTATGGAACAATGCCTCCGTGGCCTTTGAGATCCGGGCATCCCAGGCGTTATTGGCACTGCTGTATAGCACTATAAATTAAACATATGGCGTCTAGCAGGCCGGCAGCGATAGCCCTGCCGGCCTGGCTCAGCTTGGACACAGAGGACCGAGATCTAAGATCGACCCGCACCCCCCTCTGACCCTCCGAAGTCCCTTGCCAGGGCGGGAAGCGGAATGATCGGGGGTTTCGGCTCCATTCCAGGCGAGATTGATGGCGGAAGTTGTAGACAAACCTATGTTTGAAGCCCTCAGTGTGAGAGGGTGCTGCTCGGTTGCTCGCCTGGATCCTTGAGCGGACCGTGTGCCGGCGGGCGACGGGGCGCATTGGAACAATAAAAAGACGGCAATGGCGGTTGTGGTCGCAAAACAAGCCGGAGCAGCCCTGGAGGCCGAAAGTTAATTTGATACTGATTGGCATTTCCAGTATCGCGATTGTCATTTCTCCATCCCGCCGTAGTCTGTTTGAGGTCTTGGTCCTTTCATGTACAATGTGCAGGCTCGCAATTTCGAGCAATAACACCTGTTAGTTATGTGTGATGCAGCATTGGAAGCCATGCGCTGGAAATATTTCCGCGTATACAACAGCCTGGGTGCTGTCTAGGAAGACCTAGATGTGTAGTCCGCTAGTCCAGGGGCCGTGGGTGATAGGGCGGGTACACTGCGCCATGTCTACCTAGGTACGCCCGGGTACCACGCGGCAGTACTGCCTGGCTGCCTGTTTGGAAATCTTACGATGGCGAGGGGGACCCCTGACTGCTAACTCCAGACCATCACCTAGGCGGATTTGGTTTGATTGACTTGACGCGGCGCGCGACGCGGGAGGAATGGGTCTGTGGGGATGGACGGGCGGATGGTGGACACCAGCGAACACTGGACAGTGGACAGTGGGAGGAGACGCTCCTCTGTTGCGAGGCTGCGGGCATTGGCCAATCTTCCCGTACCAGCACGGCGGTGCTCGCATGCGATCGATCAATCCGTGTGTGTGTGTGTGTGTGTGTGTGTGGCCCTGCCTCAGTCTCGAGTCTGGCCAGTCTCGGGTCTCCAGTCTCCAGTCTCAAGGGTCCAGTGTCCATTGTCAGGCGTCGAGTGTCGTCATGTCCAGCCGGGACCCAGGCCAGAACTTGGAGGGCCAGCCTCGTTTCCTCGTGTGCTCTTGGCCTCGAAATAGACGACCACCACCCAGGCTTGTTTTTTGTCTTTCCTTTTGCTGCTCACCGACTGCCGCCTGGCACCTGCACGTCTGGCAAAATAGGGGCGGCTCAACTCAGATGACAGGACAAAGGGCCACTTTACTCCATACCACCAGGCTGTGGGGAATTATTTGCCTGCGATAATGATCAGATTACCAGATTGCCTACCAATACGAGGCTCCCTGCCCGCATCCTGACGGCGCGGGCCCCCTATCCAGATCCAGGATCCCTGTACAGATCACCGGAATGCAAACAGGAAGTTGGCAGATACCGCCGCTCCTCGAGGTTGACGTGCGCGCATTGTCACAAGCCCGCAAGCCTCACCACCTTTCATTTGCCACCCCGCCTGCACTGCACTGCTGCGAGGCTCCCGGTTTTGCGGGTCTCCGGAGCGATGATCTGAGGGGTGGGGAGGGAGTCATGAGGGTGCAGCTCGCGGGTTACTTTGGCCCGTTGAGGAGCGGTAAGTGAGCGAGGCCGAGGGACAATGGGCCGGAGACGAGGCGCCGCCGAGGTGGTCAGGGTCCCATCAGAAGTGTCGATAGCGGCGGACGAGGGAACGAGATGGTAGGGGACTCATTACGCAGTCCGTCAATTCAGGCAGGTGAATCTCCGGCTCCGCGCCTGCTCCCGGAAAGCGGTCTGATCGCTGTGGTGATGTAGACCCTGTACTATGTGTACTGTATGTATGTATGTATGTATGTCTGTCTGTACTCCGTACTGGAGGGCTGGCGAGCTGGCCCGCTGGTGAGGGCTTTATCGCCGCGACAGGGAAGGGAGTGTGGATTGAGGATGATCAAGCGGGGTCGCCAGAAGAGAGGCTGTCGCCAGTCTCGTCTTGTCTCGTCCCGTCTCGTCTTGTCTCCCGTGCGGCAGTCTCCTATCGCACAGGCGCAGAGAAATTGGCAGACCACGATGAAAATCTACTAGGCAACGTCGTCAAGGAAGGCTTGTGAGATGGTGGTGGACGTGCCTGGCTTGGACGTGGCTGCGTGCAACAGACACAGAGGCTGCGAAGCGTGCTGTCTTGTACTCTGCTGTGTGCGGCGCACGCAGTACTCGGCGTACTGCTTTGCTGCTGGGTACTGTGGTACGCACGGAGGAGTGCTTGTCGAGCTTGCAGGGACAGCCTTGCTTAGCGCGGACGGATTCAATGCCACCAGCCAGAGTGCCCAATCACAGCCGGCACTCAATCTCCCATTCGCCCCCCCCCAATCCCATCCCTCTTGGGGTCGCACCCCCGATCAACAACACCTGCGAACCTCTTGTCGCAGGCCGGGCGTAAAACTGAGTGAGTGTGAGTGTGAGCGTGCAGGTGTGGTGGGTTGGTGTTGTGGTTCCTCTAGGAAAGGAACCCTTGGTGGGTGTATTGCCCCTTTTCGGACTGTGTTGCATTCTGGACACACAATCTTGTCTGGTCCTGCGGCCTTGTGACGGAGACAAGAGACGTGTGTGTGCGTGCGTGTGCGTGCGTGCGTGCGTACATGTACTACAGATACCACAATGTCCTGGTGGGCATGGAGGGAGAGATGGGTGCGGATTACACCCAGCAGGGCAGGCCACACAGATAGAACACAGTGTCAGTCCGTAACCATCGTCATTCCTGAACAGAGCAGGCAGGCAGGCAGAGCGAAAAAAAGGGCAGCAGGAAACAGAAAAGGGACAGACCACGCAATGCAATGCACAACATGCTCCAGGAACATGCCACGGTCGGCCGGATTCCCACTGTCACAAATTGGAGCTGCTCATCAATTTACAGTTGCTTTAGCTGGTTTTGGAGTAGCATCTGCTTGTAGGCGTGAGCGCTAAGCCTCGCCCCCCCTTGGACCCCTGGAGGAGAGAAAAAGACTGGATGGACTGCGGATCATGGACTGTGGACGGTGCATTGTGAACTGGACGCGTGCGAGATCATCTAGAGACTGGGAGAGCAGCGCCGCAGAGGGACACACAGAGAGAGGGAGAGGGAGAGTCAGAAGAAGAGATACACGCAGAGAGGTGTGCACAGGAGGTGCAATGTGGAGTAGGGTCCCTTCCTACTGCCCACGTACCTGGGTGGTAGGGTACCTGAGTAGACTCCCAAACTCCCCCAGACGGCCAACTGAGATGACAGAGCTCCTCACAGTTTGGTTGGCTCAACGAAAAGGGTTGCTCTGCGTCGGGCCCCAGTTTGCCCATGCACCCGTTCCTGCTGTTGCCCCTGTTCCTTGCACCTGCTCGTCTTTTCCATGCAGATTTGTCTGCTTTGTACAGCAGCTGCTCTTTCTCGTTCTGGTCCTGGCTCCTCTCAGGGCTCCTGGCTCCTGGCCTCTTTTTCTCCCCTCGCCGACCTCCTTCCACCCATTCCACCTCCTTCTGTACAACACGATACGACACGACACGACAGGTCACTGTGAAGACACCCTCGTCCCGTCTTCTTCCTTGTTGTACTCCCTTCCCTTCATCACCGCCTCTTTTGTCTTTTGTCCTTCTCTCTCTCTTCCTTGTTTTTTTCTTGTGTCTTTCTCCGGTCCAACCTCCGCCCGGCCCAATTTTGTTTCTGGAGACCCGAGTCGAAACCTCTCGCTCCTCCTCACCACCCCTTGCTCGGCTCCTCCTGGCAACTCCAGCACGGCATCACGATCGCGAAGCACCACGCCGCCATCAACAACAAAAACACCACGAGCCCATCGACTGTCCCAACTCGCCTGCTACCGCCTCCGTCTGCCACCCTCTCAGCTCCAATCCAGTACGATTCGCTCGGGAGGCAACTTCCTTTTTGTCTGCGTCGTCTTTGTGTGTGTTATTACAGAGCATCTCTTGCATTGTCTTCACTCCGCCTGCTGCGAGCCCGTCACGTCCGTCTGCTTGGCCCGTTTGTGCCTCGCCTCGCATTTTCTCCAACCAAAGCGTGCATCTCGCGCCAATCTGCCCCCTCAAGAGCGCCCGAGCGGACCTACCACTCCAGCCAATTTCACCACCAGCGACCTTCACTCTCGTGCTCGGACCTTCTCAAGCCCACGACGCTTCTGATCTAACAGAGGCTCCTCATGTCCTCGCCTTAGCCAGCCATCACCGGGTACACGCCTGGGACTCTTGATCCGACATTCAATTGTCCAGCCTTACCTGTGTAGAGAGGTCCTCTGATCTCACAACCTTCCACAGAGTTCACGGTGACAGTGATCTTCAGTTGAAGGCCGTCTACCTTCTCGCACCCAATTTGCTGCAGGCATCCATACACATCACTTCCCCAACTGTCGTTTGCAGTAGCCCTCCTCCACGCCATTTATTTCCCACCTTGCCACCTTGGGGACACCCAATCTCTCTGGCGTCAACGAATTGGCAAGTCTCCGGCCCTTCACCATCGAATACCTCAGGCCTGCCTACTGGGGCCCCCGCATCCCTTGATTTGACGTTACTCATGCTCTGTTCAGGCTCGTCAGGAACTTTGAGGCTAATAGATTAGACTGCAGGAAGCTTGTGCTTGCGAGCCTTGCTCGGGCGGGAAAGGACCTACGCCGATAGACCTTCTACCTTGCTCGACAGCTTTCGATAGGCGTCTCAAGATCGACATCGCGAGAAGACAATGGCCGCGTTGGTTCAAGCGTATCCTCAGCAAACCAGTACCGTTCCAATGATTCAGACAAGGACCGGGTCTAATTCGAGCATGATGCCCCCTCAATCTCAGACGAACCAGCAATACGCCGGTGCTCAACAACAAAGGAACAACTACCACGGAGTAGCTGGAGGTGTCACTGGTCCAGTGGCTTATAGGGGAGCTTCCGCCCCAATTCAGCCGTACTCTTTCACGGCCACCCCAAGCCTCACTCCGAACGGACAGTGGCAGCACTATTCAGCTTATCGGGCCTCGTCTTCCCCCTCTGTTCCGACAATGCAGAGCCTCGATCCGAATACTTCCACGGGGCGGTCACGGCACGCCGCGAATGCTTCCATGCCCAACCTGCCCAACTCGGCGTTAAATGTTGCCTCGATTGGGTCTCGCGATGACTCCGTGATACCTGTGTCTGGTACCAGAAGGGTCAGTCCCGGCCCTCGGCCGCAGTCCGCATTTCTCTCCAATTCCTCAAATCAGTTGTCCTTGGGGTCAACAGCAGCCGCAAAAAGCCAACCCGACCGATATCGACGAAGCGCGGCTCAACGGTCGCCGGAGTCAGGTGCAACACAGGGCTCAGCGACTCCTTCAGGCTCAGGAATGGCGTCTGTTAACCACTTGTACACTCAGCCAAGCCCCAACAAGGAAAGGCGGCCCAGCCCTTCGAACTTGAGCCGGCCGAGCAGTTTCTACGCGAAGGTACCAGGCTCCGTGGATGATATGCAACTCTATAGGCATCATGAGGATTCAAGAAGAATTCGCCGTCGCAGCATGCCCGCTTTGGATACTACCGACCTGCCCAAAACCCCGCAACCAGCGGATCCCAAGCGATCGGAAGATCCATCTGCGGAGCGCTCAGCTGCCAGGGCTAGCAACGATAAAGACCTGATCAAGACTGCGAGGTTGGTGACCATCAGCAGCCCCGTGGCGGGTGCGAAGAACGGTAGCTCTGATAGTCTTGTCTCGAGCCGGAGCAGCAATTCTCGACCCTCTTCGGTGAGTGTCTCCATATGATCCCACCCCCTGAAACACACGATCCAATCACAATGTCTATGCAGGGCCGGGCCCTTGAAGTTTCCACATGCTGACGACTGATGTATCCAGTCTGCCCACCGTAACAACGTTCCGACCCCGACCGGAAACCCCGCCCAGCTCTCTGAGTCCTCAGACCAAAGCTCCACGAACCCAGACTCTCCCAAGCTTGTCAACATCCCACCTAGGAGCTCATCCTCCGATGCTGCCAAGCGGATTGCCAATCCGTCGCCGCTATCAAAGCCGGTGACAATGGAAACCGAGAAGGGATCCAAGGGATCGAAGGGCTCCGCAGCTGCCACCACCAAGCCAGAGGCCCAAACTGGTGCTGCCGAGCCGTCGTCGAGCACTGGGTTTGATAGCCCTGCTGTCAAGCAACTGGCTGCCATCAACCAGAAAGGGGGCAAACTGAAGAGCAAGACCTCGAGACTCCGCCGAGCCTTGTCCTTTGGAAGTGCTGCTGAGCTGAGGCGGGCCGGGGCCGGGGATGCGGGCAAGGACAACGGCGGGTCCTCGGAGGCGACGACAACGCAGCAGAACCCACCTGCTGATGGACTCGACGCGGAGCAGGCCCGCATCGCTGAACTACAGGAGGCGGCGGGCATCGGCAGTAATATCTATGCTGGCTCGAGGCTATTCTCGGGCTCCACTGATAACCTGTCGATTTCCTCCACGGCCTCGTCGGCATCGATCATGATCCGAAAGATGGGACGTGGGATGAAGAAAGGCGGACGCTCCCTGGCTGGCCTGTTTCGGCCGAAGTCCACCATCGGTGTACCCACAGCGGAAATGCCGGAAGGGAGCCAGGCCGCCGTGACCATGGTGACGGTTGAGGCGGAAAGGGAACGTGTCAACGTCAACCCTGATCCAAATCCCAACAACGGCGGCGGTACTGGTTTTCCACGCCTGGAGCGAAATTCCATGGACGCCACCAATGCCGCCGATGGGATGACTCCCGAGAGAGCCGGCAGTTCAGGAACAGACAACTCCAATTCGCGGAAGAGCATCGTCGGTGGGGACAGGGAGCGAGCCGAAGTGCTGGCCGCTGTACGGAAAGGCATTCTGAAACGTAGGCTACTCTATACCGGCTATATGAAGTCATTCAATGCTAACAAAAAACCTAGACAACGGCGCTTCCACTCCTTCGCCCCGAGTCGAGAGGGGTCCCCTCTTTGATTTGCCTGCGGTCCCTCACGTCGCCGACTCTCCAAACTCGAGTGCTCCTAGCACCCCCAATGACGAAGCCAATCACAACCGGAGTGGGTCCGTCACAATTGGCAGCGAGGACTACTTCATGACAGCCCTACGGCTGCGTCAAGAGACCAGAAGCGCTCCAGGCACACCGCAAGGTGGGCAGAGTAAGCGGAACGCGACGTTCAGCCCTCGTATTGTCTTCCACGACACATGGCCAAGCCAGGAGTACGACCGTCGCTCTGAGATTGCAACGTGCAACCGCCTCACACCCATGCTAGCGCAGCAGATCAAGGAGGAGCTCAACAACTTCAAGATGGTACGTTGCACGCGATGACCAGTTGTCATGTGACCAGGTGCTAACGTAAGATTGCAGGAGATGGAAGTGCATGAGAGCTCCAAGATCTACACGCACTTCTTCTGACAATGATAGTTTCCGATGGAATGTTTACCTGCTGGTCATCCGTGGCAAGCAGGCACCCAAACCCCATCGTGTATTGGCAATCTTTTCAACGGCGTTTCGGGACAAGCATTCAAGTAAGGTGTCAGGGCGTTAATCTTGGGACCAGAGCCTGCGGCAATCAGTAGACGATTCTCGACAAAAGGACGACTGAATTAATCTCGAAAAGGCCGTCTGCGGCTGGACACCACCTCAACTCTCGGACGGGCTGGGTGCACGAGGGGGCCAAGGCGAGACCGGCCTGGAGGCCACCCTCGGTCGGCCTCATGACGGCAGGGCTGATGGACTGAAGATGGAGGAGATTGGGGCCAGCAAGAGCCACGGAGGTATCAAACATATTTAATTACTGGGAGGCCTCTGAGAGGTGATCAAAGTGCTTCTTGATTCGGGCCATATTGCATCATTTGTTTTGTTTTGTTTTCCCTCTGTCTATCTTTTGCGTGCACATGGACCGAAATGTGGGAGAAGAGCGATTCGTGCGAAAAGTCACAAGCATTCAAGGAAAGGGTTGTGTTAGCAGACGAGGCAGGCGGGATTTTTCGGTTGAGGTCTCATTACATTTCCTATCACTCAGCGGAGCCTAGATAGACCGAAAGCAACCCCGGAAGCACCTTTTCAAGCCGAGCATTTGACTCTCTCTGTGCGGGGACGACAAGACACCAACCGAAGGCTCGATGCCGTATCGACAGCCTGCATGTTGACAGTAGACTGAAGACAGGACTGGACTCTCTGGAAGCAGCATTTCATTACCAACATATTTCACATGCAAACAGACGACGGATGCAAGCTAGTATGAGAAATACTTTGCCCTGCGATGTTTAACGTGCATGACATGAGTTTCAAGATGATTACGTGCAGACAAGGCATGGGAAACTTTCGGCTTATGCACGATATGTAGTAGGGACGTAGCGACATGGACGAGGCTGGGAGCGAGCAATGTTATTACTCCAGACTGGATACCTAGACCTGGAGTGCAGTACGTGGCAGGAAGGATGTTGGGGAACATGCATGGCCTACTGCCACCCATTTGTGTGGTTGCCAACGGCGGCCAGCCCTTGCTGGGATTTAGCAGCGGACCACAGTCCGAGGGACATCAAGGTACTTGGATCTCGACCAGTCCCAAGTTCTTGACCTCTTATCCCTGTCAATTCGATGGCCCCTGCACGCAAGGCTGAAGTCGCGCCCGACTAACTTGGGAAAAAAATGAAAAAGAAAAAAAAAAATGGTCCCATTTCTCGACCTGACCGGTCGGCTCAGCCTTGCACACACGCAATTTCTCAACGTCCTCTTCGCGAGTGCGAGCGCACATATTCAGAGTCAATTACCGGCCCCCTAACCAGTCTGGCGGTCTTCGCTGGGCGACTTGGGCCGCGGGTGCCTCCGTTGTCGAGTGCCCCACGCAGAGCGTTTGCGAGCGGGTTTGCGACGGCGAAGATCGCGACAATGGCCGGGGACATAGCTGCTGCTGTTGCAGACCCGGCAGTGCGGCCGGCCAAGCTGCATGGTCGCGCATTCTACGAGAGCATCGGGAGCCCCAGGTACATCGTGGCCCCCATGGTGGACCAGTCCGAGTTCGCCTGGAGAATGCTGTCACGATCCTTCCTCCCCGAGTCCGAACGGCGCAGCATCCTCGCATACTCGCCCATGCTCCACGCCCGCCTCTTCATGGACGGCCAGAAGTACCGCGACTCTCATTTCCAGCCCACGCGATCGTCCAAGTCCCAGATCACCTCCAAGCCGCACGCAGGTGCCGCGACCGGCAGCAGCGATTCCGACGATAAGCCGTACCTGGACGGGAACCCGGCCATCGACCGACCCCTCTTTGTGCAGTTCTGCGCCAACGACCCCGAAGCCCTCCTCTCCGCGGCGAAGCTCGTCGCGCCGCACTGCGACGCCGTGGACCTCAACCTCGGCTGCCCACAGGGCATCGCGCGCAAGGGGCACTACGGCGCGTTCTTGCAGGAGGACCAGGAGCTCATACACACCATGATCAAGACGCTGCATGAGAACCTGTCCATCCCCGTGACAGCCAAGATACGCATTCTGGAGACCAAGGAAGCGACGCTGGCGTACGCCAGGAACGTCCTAAGCGCGGGGGCCAGCATCCTGACGGTGCATGGGCGCAGGAGGGAGCAGAAGGGCCACATGACGGGCGTCGCGGACTGGGAGTACATCAGAAACCTCCGCGAGAACCTGCCGCCCGAGACGGTCATCTTCGCCAACGGCAACATGCTGCAGCACGGGGACCTGCGGCGGTGCCTGGACGCCACCGGCGCCGACGGCGTCATGGCCGCCGAGGGAAACCTGAGCGACCCGGCGCTGTTCGCAACGCCGCCGCCGCCGGGCGAGGAGACGAGGGAGTACTGGCGCGGCACGGACGGCCGCGGCGGGTTCCGGGTCGACGCCATCATGCGCCGGTACCTGGATATCATGTACCGGTACGTTCTGGAGCAGGATCCTCCGGCGAGGCTGCCGCTGTTCGTGCCCGGGGATGACGAGTCCTGGCTTCGGGAGCTCCAGAAACGGGATGAGAAGAACGCAACTGAGGCGGAGGAGCCCGCGCGGAAGAAGCGGAGGAAGGACGGCGGCGGCGGAGCCAAGGTCACGTCCATCACGGCCGGCCCCAACTTCGTCGGCATGCAACCGCACCTGTTCCACCTCCTCCGGCACTTCGTCACGAGGCACCACGACGTGCGCGACGCGCTGGCCAAGTCGAGGCTGGGCGACATGGCGGTGTACGAGGGCATCCTGGCCATGGTCGAGAGGAAGGTCGCCGAGGGCCTGCTCGAGTACGAGCGCACGGGCGGCAAGAGCGTCGAGGACGATGGACGGAACGGCGCCTATGAGAAGGGGTCGCGGGACGCCGACGCCGCTGTGGAACAAGCCGTCAAGGGCAACGGCGAGGCCAAGACTGATGCCGAGGACGTCGTCATTGACGACCCGGACAGCTCGGTTGCCACCGTGAAGAGGTGCAAGCGGCCGTGGTGGGTAGCCCAACCCATCGTGAGGCCCCTCCCGGCTGAGGCGCTGGCGAAGGGCGCGATATCGCTCGGGAAGAAGGATAAGAAGGACGCCAAGAAGAAGGCGGACGCCGAGGGACCGCCTGATGCTGTTGCTCCTGCCATCAAAGCGGACGAGAATGGCACTGCCGGACAGGTGGCAGAGTCCCTGGAGAAGACCACGGACTTCCCCGAAAGCAACCTGGTTTCTGGATAGGGTTTGGACATATAAGGCATACCCAGGGATCACGATTGAACGCAGGCGGGACATGTTTGAATGTCCATGGACCGACAGGGCGCTCCACAAATATACCCACGGCATGCGCACGTGGAATGGCCTGCGCCTTGCAAAGGACTAGTTGGGACCACGCCGCCCGATTCCCGGACCGCAGATGGGGGTCCAACCATGGCTCAACTCTTGTCGGCTGCAGCTTATGATCTGAACGGCATGTGTTGCGCTCGGGCCGGATCCGTGAAGGCGGAGAGCGTTGTCGTAACGCCCATCGGGACTGGGGATCATCACACCTTGTTTACGCATGAGACCCAGCTAGGGCAAAAGGGATGCAGTACGGTCGTGCCGGCACTTGGTCGGTCACACGTGCTTGCAGAAGGCCGACGTGCTGTTCACGTCGACGCCGCCACTCACAGCTGGCGATGGTGCTCTGCATGTTGAGCGTCGGCTCAACCGCCTTCCATATCGTTGCCCGGCTAAGACGGCCCCCAGTGGGCCGCCGTTGTCAGTTCCAGTCATGGACGGAGGGGCCGTCTGAACCGCAAGCACATGTATATTGCGCGGGCACTTGGAACAGAAAATTTCTATGTAGTGTTGATGACGGGTATTATTATACACCTCATGATACCATCTCACAGTTTCCCCGAGTTCTCTGCAACAAGCAACAATACAATGTTCAACGGTCGTAGCTTCGTGAATCATTCTCTCGTGCTCATGATAGTCATCACCTCGTTCAGCCCATGTATATATAAAACCTTGGGTGCTCCTAAAAGTTTCCACAGAAGACACGCACGCTTTTGTTTAGCAGTCCGAATCAATATGTTCCGAAGGGTATCTTCTTTCCCTTCCGCTTCTTCCTTCTCTCTCTCTCTCTCTGTCTCTGTCTTTTGCCCGCCCGGCCGCCCGTCGTCTTACTCCACCTTCTCGGGCGCGTGCGTCCACGTCCTGACCTTGCTCATGGTGCGCTGCCGCATCGTCTTCATGATGTTCTTCTCCATGTGCTCGATGTTGGCCTCGAGGTCGTCGTCCTCCTTGGCGTACCGCGCCTCGCGGCTCCGGTCCCAGATCCACCATATTATCACGATGAAGAGCGTGATGGGGATCGCCACCGCCCAGTATATCCAGAACGTCGGCGCCACTACCGGCCCGTCGTCGTTCTCCGTGAGGCCTGGTGTCAACTGTCAGAACCAGAGGTTGTTTTAACTGCATTTCGTGCGTATGAGAGGTCCAACCGCCAGCAGGAAGACGCCCTAGCGGTTTTCTCGAATTGCGTCCCCACGACCAGGCGTGAGTGGATGGTTCTTGGGCTTACCGTTTTGGAAGTTAAAAAATGTCATGCTAAATATCGAGGCGAGGAGCGTCGCGGGCAGGAAGATGGAGCCGAGCAGCGAGATGGTCTTCATCGATGTGCTGTCCCGCTTGCTCGCATACGCCAGCCGCCGCTGGTCACCTGCCATCTGCAGGTTGAGCTTGGACTCCTTCTGTGCGATAATGTTGTAGAGCTGCCCGGGTGGTGGCTGTCAGTCCTCATCGGCTGCAACTTGGGGGGTTCATCTAGTCCGATTTCCCGGGACAAGAGGAAGTGGAAGGGCGCTTACTGCACTCCGCTGGATAGCCAACCGCTCCAGCGTCGTGTGGACGTAGTGCTCTGTGCCCTTTAACTTGTTGTAGTAAAACTCGAGCCTGCTGAGCATGCTCGACTGCTGCTTCCTCAGGTCCCTGTAGCCGTAGAGGTCCCTGCCGCCGTCCTCGAGGGCCAGGGGCCCCCGCTCGGGGGGCAGCATCCTCACGAACTTCTCCATGCCCTCCTCCATGGCCGTGATGATCTCCTGGTAGGCCTGGGGCCGCTTCCACAGGACCTGGGAGTGGCACTCGACGAGGTCGCGGTTGATCTGGTCGAGGTCCATGACGTCGGCCTTGACGTAGCCCTCCTCCTCCTGGATCTCGTTGCGCATGCTGACGGCGTGCTCGAGGCGGCGCAGCCAGTCGCGGGCGTCGCGCTGCTTGGAGTCGGTCTTGGGGCTCAGGTCGTGCGACAGGATGATGACGGGCAGCAGGAAGGGGTGGGCCATGTGGGAGGCGCACTCCTTGAGGTGCTGGATGCTCTCGGTCATGTCGCTCGAGTCGGTGCCCTTGACGTAGCCCGTCGTGACCCCCGTGCGGAAGTGGTGCGACAGCATCAGCTCCCACCCGCGCGTCTTGCCCTTCTTGCGCACGTCCGACTTGCGCATGATGATCTGCTGGTAAGGGTCGTCGTCGTCGTCGCTGTCCTTGGAGCACCAGAAGAAGGGCCCCACCACGGCGGTGCCCTCGATCGCCCGGTACGGCAGGTGGAGCGACCGCACCATGTTCTCGTACTCAGGCCCCGTGAAGGATATCACCTGTGGCGCGAACGTCTCGGGGTGTTTGACTTTGAGCTGGAGGCTGGTTGCGGTGAGGCGTGTGTGAGTGACATGAGTGGCATCTTATCATTGAAAAGGAGGCGTGAGAGGGAGAGGGAGGGGTATCCACGGTCGATTCCGTCGCGAAGACATATATGAGGATGAAGGGTGATGAAGACATACACTATCCTGCAGCCATTGAGCAGTTTCACCCCATCCTTAAGCTTGGGCGGCGCGAATGCGCCCTATGAGAGTGAGATGGCATGTCAGCACGGACTGGTGTGAGATGACAGCCTCGGGGCATGAAGCTGAGAGGCACCGCCCCGAGAGATGCGTACCTTTCGTTTTAAAAAGTTGTCAAACTCATCCATCGTCAATGGGTGCTGCTCGACAGTATTATAGGATGGATCCTGATGTGGTCAGCCCGGAGCGAATACTCCCACTTCCCCGTGTGTGTGTGTGTGTATGTGTGTGTGTGTGTGTGTGCGCGCGCGGGGCGAATTTGTGAGACAGTTCCATACCGAGTAGTTGAAGATCTCCAGGTAGCTCGTGTCCTCGCTGACATTCCTGCATGCCTTGACATGATTCTTGAAGAAATAGTCGTCCATCGTGGCGATTCCCTCCCAGGGCGTTCCCGATCCCGAGGCCTGGTTTTCCTCTATGCGAGCCGTCCCGTCCTAATCCCGCCGCGTCTGGTTGTATCTCACATAGGCCGTTGAGCAGAGAAGCCGTGCATGCATGGTATATGCCCGAAGTCGCCCCTGGCCATTAGCGTCGCATGCTGTAAGTATGCAGTTTTTTTTTTTTTTAAAAAAAAAAAAAAAAAATCAGGTAGGCCCAGGTCAATGCTTCAATCCGTTTTTAATTTACAATTGGGCAGTACGGAGGCAAATGCAGAGAGGGAAGGCGAAGGAAAGAAGAAACGAGTAAATGTCGGTCAGGGAGATATGCGACCAGAGCAGACCATGCACGCTCTTTTCTCTCACACGGCCAAGGCATCTGCGGCCGTCTGCACGTCAGTAGCACATGTGAGAAAACAGAGAACGGAAAAAATAAGCCGCAAAAAGCTCCATGTACCGTGCGTGCAACAGGTTCTAGATCCGGAACGACAGAAGGGGAGTTGAGGGAGAGGCAGCCAGACCAAGAAACCTCGTTTCCCCAAATTTCCAGCCAGGTGTCAAATCTCCCATTCGCTGGATCCCGTCATCAAACTAATCCCGCGATGTGTCGATTCATGAGGAGCCAGGAATCTGTCAATCCCGGTGGCGGGGATCTCTCCTTTTGGGCGTCGGGCTCGGGGGTGCATCTGTGCGGGGCTCACTCAACTCAACTCGACTGAACTCGCAATCGCAATGGTGCCACCCCGTTGGAGAGAGAGATAGAGCCTCTCGACCTTGGGTATATCCACCCCAGTCAGTTATTACACAGTATATTCAGGTGGCCCCCCCCCCCCCCGATCGGAACTCCACGAACCAAGGATCACAGGAGGGGGGCATAGACTACGTAGACTACCATCTGGCCTGGCAGATAGCAACCAACCAAGCTTCCTCTGCCCTGGCTCCTGGGCTGGCCAGCCGTTGGGCCATTTGCCCACACCTCACCCTTGTTTGGTGAGCTGTAGCTCCCGCCCAGAGAACGAGCTAGACCGCCCACGGTGGGGCCCGCCTACCTAGACCCACCCCTGCCTGTTCCTCCTTCTGGGCCAGACAGGGTACCTACCTAATACTCTGGTAATATGGTACCCCGAAGTGCTTGCATACAGCACGGTAGACTACATCCATCTACCTCTATTCCCAATCCATGCATACCTAGGTACATATGCACATCCTCATGCTGACCTTGGCCACACGATGGACCCTAGATCAGTTGCATCAGGCTGTGGCACGAGACTGAGATAGCATTGTTCTCCTATGCCTTATCATCTGGCATGTTGCAAGAAACACACTCGTCTCCCGTATCCCCATCTCTCAGTACTCTCTGGCCCTCTCTATACTCATACCCCTAGTTGTCTTCATGCTTGTGCTTATAGGTATGTTGCTTTCTTGTTTCATCGTAGGTATGCGATACTTGTAGCCATGCTTCTTCTCACCTCGTTCCTGCTGTTGTCTGTCCCCCAACATACCTATCTTGAGAGCATTTCCCAGAACATGTCCATGCATGAGCCCAATGCAACCAGGTCGCCACCTGCTTTTCCGTTTCCAAATTACACGGCACTCGATACACCCAGCGGCGGTCGTGTGTGTACACGTCCCGCCCCTTCAAAACTGACAAGGACCAACCAGAAACCAAGTGTAGTGTTGGCCAGCTGCGCCGCACAACGCCGGTTTTCTTTGCACAGTCGCGACTATTAGTGAAATTCGACACTTATAAGGAAGCCTGCGGCTCCCCATCCATCCGACTTTTTCTCGCTCCTGCGTCTCGGCACATTCTGTGCTCGATATCGACGTCCTTTCCGTTCTCGAGTCCTAAAAGTCGCCGAACATATGTCCGTAGCTGCATTTGCCGTTAGCAAGCCTGTCACATCCTTGCTCCGGCGATCTGAGAACTCGGGCTCCCATGGGATTGGAACTCACTCATCGTGGCCTCCTTGGCCGTAACGCTCAGGGTCCTCGGGATACCTGTCGAACTGGCTGGCATCGCCCGCGCCCGCTTTGACCGGAGGCGTATATGGCGCATCGATATCCTTCCTTGCGAGCCGGTCCCATGTCACCTCGGCGAACCACGCGTGTTGCTTTACATCCTTGGGCCCACCGTACAGGTTGCCCAACCTCTTCGTCAGGTCGGCGGTGATGAGTCTCTCCAGCAGATCCTGGGCGTCCGGGTTGATATAGGCCGGGTACTTTACTTTCCCGCGGAGGATGTTCTCGTAGATCTTCATTGGCGAGCCGCTATCCCAAAATGGCGTGTACCCGCACAGCATTTCGTATATCAGGATTCCTAATGACCACCTGGATCCACCTGTCAGTACTGATCGAGCCTTGTAGGAGGGACAGTTAGCTGTCACGCACCAGTCCACCGACTTGTTGTAACCTTTGTTGGACACCACTTCGGGCGCAAGGTAGTCAGGGGTACCACATAGTGTCCACGTCTTGTCCGGGACCCGCTTCGCAAAGCCAAAGTCCGTGATCTTGAGGTGACCGTGCCGGTCGAGCAGTAAGTTCTCTGGTTTCAGATCGCGGTAGATGATATGTTTCTCGTGTAGGTACTCGAGCGCTAGGGTGACTTCGGCAGCATAGAATTTGGCGACAGGGTTGGGGAAGCGCTAAGGAGCAGGGTGTCAGCGGAGAGTGTTCCGGGTTCATACATTATCCCCTGAGCCTGGTTGGTATAAAAGGAGAGACGTACGCCGGATTTCCTCAGCAGCGAGAACAGCTCACCACCCTCGACAAAGTCCATCACCATGTACAGATTCCTCGAGTCCTGGAACGTCCCCCAGAGTGTGATCAAGAATGGGTGCTTGACCTCGCCCAGCATCTTCCGCTCGTCGTTCGTGTGTTCGACCTGCTTCATCTTGACAACCTGTGCCTTCTTCAGCACCTTGACGGCGTAGAATCGCGAGTTGTGCTTCGACTGGACGAGGTGTACCCTGCCGAAGCTACCGGTTCCAAGGGTCCGTAGTATGTCGAAGTCGACGAGAGAGTATTTCCCCTTGGTCTGCCTCGACTGCTGCTGCTGCTGTTGCTGTTGCTGCTGCTGCTGCACCGCCGCGGCCTGTTGCGCCTGCAGAGCTTGGGCCGGGCCTGGCTGTTGTTGGGCCATGGCGGCTGAGGGTTGTGCGCCGGGCGCGGATTGGCCGTTGGCAGGCGGCTGGGGGAATTGAGCCTGGTTCAGCGATCGCGACTGACCAGAAGGAGGTGCGAAAGCCGATTGTTGGGCGCCGTCATGCTGCTGCGGAGGGTTGATGAGGTTGGCGATGCTCGGTAGGTTCTGCGGGTCGGTTCCCGGGGACGGGGAATGGGCCGGAGGTGCGACATTGTACGGGGCAGCGAGGTGAGCAGTTGCAGGATTCATGGCCACCTTCGCGCCCTCGGATAACGGCCTGGGCGCCGGTGCGACCTTCTGCTGCGGTTCGACGGTCTGCGTTGATGGCGATGTGGGAAGGGTAGAGTTGTCGAAGCTTCTTGCCGTGGTGGTGGGGGTGATTGGACTCGTGGGCTGACTGGCTGTGGCAGAAGGATCGGCCTCCCTTGTCCGCTTCTTCTTGAGGAAACCGAGGCTAGGCATGAGAGCGAATTGCGATTCGGAGGCACAGAAGGTGCGGACGGCCCCAGGAATGGGCAGGAAAAGGGGTGCACGGAGGCACGGCGGGGGGCAGGGACGAGCAGGCTCGGGAAGCGGAAGCAACAGCGTCCCCTGGTCGTGCCCAGGTCGGCCGCAGGTGGGAGGGAAGTGGTGACCTGTGATGAACCTTGAAAGGCTGGAGGAGGGTGTGGACCCCAGCTGATCTGACTGAGGCTGCTTGAGGCGGCTCGTTGGTTGACTGGTCGATGCAAAGCCAAATCACAGACAAGGAAACTCTGGGATGGCTGATTAGAGCCCTTGAAAGTCAGCAATCTGGCTGTATGCTGCTGTCTTTCTCCCTCCTGCCAGCGCCGACAACCCGAGTACGATCTTGGCAGAAAGCGGCAAAGGAAGTTTGGCAGCAGGATGCCAGAAGCAGGGAATGTCTAGGCTGGGCCTGCTGTCCGCCTGCTCCTGTCTGAAGCAAGGAGAAGCAGTGATGCTGTGCCAGGGTTGGACAGATCTGCCAGGTGCACAAGGTTAATCCAATACACACGCAGAGCTTGCCACTGCCTCAGGTGCTGCAGGTCTGTGCCACAAAGGAATGGAGCCAATTTCTAAGATCCGTACCTGTATAGAGTGATAAAGGTTGACCGGAACGACTACCCGTGGGTCATTGGGGGACTTTTGGGGGTTGATGGTGGACGGGATTCCGGGCTGCTTGCTCTCGTCTCTCTTCTCTGGCAAGTCTGCTGCTGCTGCTCGAGGCCGGAAGGGATGCAGACAGATTGCCCCTCCCTTGCTGACCAAGGTGGGTTGACCAAGGCAGGTGGGTTCACTGGCTGGCCGGCTGGCGAGTGGGCTTTGGGCACGAGAACCGAACGCGGCTTCTGCGAGAAGGCTGAGGCCGTGTCGAGGCTGGGTAAGGTACGTAGGGTACGTAGGGTAGGGTACGAGGGCAGCGGCGGCGGTGCTGCTGCTGCTGCTGTTGCTGCTGCTGCTTGGATCTGTGGGATCGGGCTGAGGCAGTTCGAGTCAATTGTCGCTCAATCAGGACATGCCAGCGGGCATCCGAGTCGAGGCTTGGGCAGTCAGGAGTCAATTCGAAAACGCCGCGCAGGTTTGGCCGGCGAGACTGGACGAGCTGGTGAGCCGGGGTCCCAGGTGCCGTGGGGATGCTGAGCTCGAGCTGTGGAGAGTGGAGTGGAGCGCACACGTCTAGGAGGGGTTTGTAGCGCTGCGCATGGGCAGGGGGACCTCAAATCTCGCAAGAGTGGGTTTGGGCACAGCAGGAGAGGGTGGGATGGCAGCTTGGATTGGTGCGACAGCCGTTGCGGGCTGGATTGGCGCCCACGACAGACAGGGTGGTGGTTGATACTCAAAGGGGAACCGACCGATTTGACTCTGGGGTATCGTATACTGACCGCAACGAGTGAAGTATGGGTAGATATGGATGGGTACAGCGCGGGATGGGATAGCAGTATAGTATAGTTATAATGACATAATATAACAAGGTGTTGAGTATATTGGTACCGTGTAGTAGTAGTAGTAGTAGTATTTGTTTCGTGATGCGAGGAAGCTCGAGGGTTGATCGGGCAAGCACAAGGTTGGACTGGGGAGCTGCGCAAGATCAAGGTGAAGCTGGGGCTGGGGCTGGGCCGGGGCTGGAGCTGGAGCTGCTGGGAGGGGACGAGGGGGACGAGGGAAGGGAGGGATGGGAGAGGCAAGGGCCAGAGTCGAGTTGTTAGCCGCGGGGCGCTCAAAGAAAACGGACGGACGGACGACCTTGACAGCACAGCACAGCACAGCAAAAGCTCAACAGAGCTCAGCAGCAGCACAGCGCAAGGACTCGACCTTGGCCTGGTCTGGTCCGACTCGACTTGACTTGACCTGAACTGGCCTGGGCTGGCCTGGGCTGGACTAGAGGAGACGGGGCTGGAATGGGGGATTTTCTCGACGGCCTCTTAGACATCTCTTCATCCCTTGTTTGCCGGTGGCGCCAGCGAGCAGCAAGCCGGTGCCTGAGCCCGGCCATGTCACCCCAGCCGCACCTGCTAGCAGCCGTGCTCTCACCCCTCGAGCCTCGCTATCTCTGGCTTCACGGCTCGATCAGCTCGGGCAGTCGTCAATTGGTGGGCCGGCGCCGCTGATCAACAGGTGTGGATGGAGAGAACATCCAAGCCCACAAAAGCTAGCAGGTCGCCGTCCGCAGAGAGACCGAAACCAGTCGATGTAGCTGCGGCTCGTGGCGCACGGTGGGAGTGTGGCAGTGGGAGATACGGGCAGAGAGCTGGACGGGGCCCCCAACAGTCCCTACCCAGGACCTGCCAGTCAGGCCTGTCAGCCTGTCCAGCCTGTCCGGCCCGGTTCTGCGCAGGATTGGAACGCAGATGTGTCAGGAGAGAAGAAAGTCTGGGGATCGGTGAGAATGGGCCCCATAGATGTGTCTCTCACCAACTACTGGTCTAAGATCTACCCGTCCTGCCGTCCCGCTGCCGCACCCGACATGCAAACACAGCGCTGCCGACCTCGCTTATCTTATCGCCAGACGAGAGCATTAGTCCCGAGGTCTGGCTAGACTACCACAGTATGTACTGTCGTCTGCTGCGGCTGAGATTAAGGCAGATCGATAGATGCAAATGCAGATGTGCATGCACATGCATAGACTACAAAGGGCGGCATGGCTGGCCGGCTTACGGGGCGTCACTTCAGCAAATGCTTGTCTGTCTGGTCGGTGCGTTACACTGGCATCAGCGCCCCAGCAACAAACGGGGTGTTATGTACTTTTCGCTTTCAGATTCCTCCTGAACTCCCAGGACCCGAGGAAATGACTAAATCTGCCTAATTGTCGTCCTCATCCAATATGTAGGTGATCCCCACCTCGTTGACCGCAACCCATCGTCACATTGTCTTGCTAGCCGCATGACCCCTAGAATCGGCTCTTCCGCAGGCTGTTGGCCCTCCATGCAGTATAACCAACATATGCTCCACCAGCCACAAGACAGAATAGGATGATCTTCGTGAAGAACCACGTCCAGCTGCTGCCCTTCTTCCTCTTTGGCCCGCCGCCCTTGCCCTTCCTACGGTTGCTTCCGGGAGTCGACGACGGGTTCGATGCGTACAGGTTCTTGGCGCTGATCGACACGATGTCATGATTGTCGCTCAGCTCGCCCGTCTCGGAGCTGAAGCCCAGGTACGCAACGTTGGGCAGCGACGGCGGCTCGTTGGTCTCGAAGCACAGCACCCAGTCATCCTCGTTCTTGTACTGCAGTTCCAGCTTCAGCTGCTTGTCCTGGAAGTAGGTGAGGCGGAACTTGGTCGGGACGTTGGCGTGCCGGATGCCCCTGGCCGAGCAGCCCGCGAACTCCTGGAGCTTCCCGTCCGTGTTCTTGTCGTACGACGTCTTGCCGTCGCCCACCATCGCCATCACGTATGGGAATACGGTGCCGGGCCGGTTGTTCTTGTACGTGTCGAAGAAGACCCCGAGGCCCTCGAAGTTGTCGGCGCTGCCGAACACGGGGCCCATTTGTGCGCGCTGTTTCGTGAGCCACATGGCAAAGCCGTCGCCAAAGAGCTGATTCTTGCCGTGGATCTTGAATTCGACCTCTATCTCCCAGTTCGTTGCTGTCAAGGGCACTTTGGACCACAGACTACCCATTTGGGACGGCCGGTCGGAGGTCAGTCGGATATAACTAAGTCCAGTGTCAGAAGCGAAAGTTGTCGCCTGCGCGTAGTAGTATGCGGCGCGGAACTCACGCATCCGTCCTCACAACAGCGTCGCCGCCGAAGTCATACCAACGACTTTGCATGTCGGAGTCAAGATAGGGCTGACTGAGTTAGTCCACTGGTAGTCGCGTGATGCCGAGGCATAGAGGTCTCTCACCTGTTGCAGCGTGTGTGTTCGCAACTATGTGCAGCATTGTCAGCGTTTTCGTCCTGTAGATTCCAGTGCACGATGCACAACAGCAGAAGAGTCTTACCCCGATGCTCTTAATGGTGTTTCCTTCATCATCTGTCCTGACTGCTCCCCAGGCGAGTGTAGCCAGCCCCAAGGCTGACAAGCCCGCGCTGAACCACATGGTGAAAGAAAAGGCTCTGCCAGAATCGGTGGAAGAGAAATTCGAGAAAGAAAGCAGAGGATTGGCTCGTCGGGGATGGAGATGCGGGCAGTGGCCGCTCGCTGCTTGGTGGTTGTGTGGTCGGCTGGTGAAAGTCCAGGTCAGACGTGAATCCGACGTTGGTGCGCTCGCCCGCCCAAAGTTGCAGCTTGAATCGCTAGCTGGCCTCTTTTTCTGCAGCATGCGCTACTCGAATCTGGGGTCCGGGATCAGCTGCCTGCCGTTCGGAGCCGCGCCTCACGGCTGACCAGTGCCTAGCTGGAGGAAGCTATGCCCCCTGCAGCAGAATTGGAGACAGGGGGCTGCGGCCGAGAGTCAACCGAAGCCGAAACGCGCACGGCGCAAGCACCGCCACAGCTCTCTTGGATTTTCTCGGACCGCCGATGCCATCATTGATCTCTTGCGGCAGCCTCGCCAACAGCGAAATCATTCCCTCTTTGCGCCTTGCCCATTGAAGCCCATAAGACCCACCATGGACTCCAACACGATCAAGCAGACTGTTATGCGTCAGGTTCAGCTCGAGTCCAACACCTCGAATGCCCGGATGCTCATCGAGGTGCGCCGCTTTGCCCTGGGGACTCCCAGCATCACTTTGCGCCGGCTGACACAACCCGCCAGAAAATGAACGAGGTCTGCTTCGAGAAGTGCCTGCCAAAGCCCGGATCATCCGTCTCGAGCGGCGAGCAAACGTGCTTCACTTCATGCATGGAGGTAAGGGGCGAGATCCAGAATCCTCAACCACCCACACAGCGCTGGCAGCTGGATTCACTTGATTCCACGCCCAGATACTAACGGCGGCCCTAGAAATACATGAGCGCATGGAATCAAGTAAACGCTGCGTACATCCAGAGAATACGACAAGAACAGTCTGGGTTATAAGAGAAACGTTGGAAGTGGATCGGGGGTCCCGGAGGTTGCTGGGGGGAGGGGGGCGATGATAGAGTAGGCATCACAGGCACACGAACAGGGATCGAAGGGATCACAAGTATCTGTGGACAAATTGATCAGTGCACCCTTCGAGTGGGATAGAATTCGGTGGAATGCCTCCGTGGGACAACTTCCGTCGGCTGTGTTTTGGTACCAAGGCATAGGTCAGTGGGTGGCAGTCCTTGGGCATATCTGTGAACCACACGCCATTGGGACAACAGATGGCTATATGCGAAGTTGGAGCAAGGAGGTCTCGTGGGCGCCCTGTTTTTCGAGGCAAATTAGGAGTGTATTACGTTGATACCAGCGTGGTTCAGCGCGGCCTACGAAGCGGCACGCTGCGTGAGATAGACATAGAACATCTCAACACAATCAAAATCCTTCTCAAATCTTGGGTTTCATTCTTGTCCGTCTATGGTCCGTCCTGCTGGCCATTCTTCTTGGCCTCCTCCGCAGCCCTCTTACGCGCAAGGTACCTCTCTTTGGCGCTCGATATATCCGATTCGGTCTTCCTGGATTTTGTCTCCTGCTCGACCTTCTTCCTCTCCTCCTCCTCCTCCTCACGGGCCCTCTTGAGGGACTGCTCCAGCTGCTCCTCGAGCATGCGCGTCTGCCTCTCGCGCATGGCCTGCTTGCCCCCGGAGCCAAAATTGCCCCTCGACTGGTCCCGAGATCTCGAGTCCGACGACGAGCGGCCCTGGTCCTTGGGCGCCTCTGTCTTTTTCTTGGCGCCCAAGTTGAGCCCGCCTTGGAGCAGTTGGCGCTTGTCGACGACCTCGCCGTCCTCGTTGACAATGACGGAGCCCCCTTTCGCGTTGATCTCGCGCGCCGCGTCCGTCTCTGTCCGGTCCTTCTCCTGTTCTTTTCTCTTCAGCTTTGGGGAGACCACCCACAGTAGCCGCCTGAGCAACTATCTTCTCCATCTCCGCCCTGCGCTGGTCCTCGCGCTCCAGCAACTCCTTGTGGAAACCGGTCATGCCGCCAAATTTGTTCTTCTTTTTCTCTTCCTCTTCCCTCTTCTTCTCTTCCTCTTCGGCGATCCTGTCTTCCTCCTGCTTCCGCTTGTACGCCTCTGTGACGAACTTCTCCTTGTCCGCGAACTCGTCGCCCTCTGCCTCCCTTTCCCTCTGAATCTTTTTGAGCTCTGCGATCGAGCGGTCTCTCTCGCGCTGCTCGGCCGCCTTCGTCACATCCGACATGTATCGTGATTTACGCTGCGCATTCTCCTTTTTGACCTCAGCCTCGCGCTGTTTCTTCGCGGCTTCGATGACATCATGCGCAGCATCGTAGTCGTAGACTGAAGGATCCAGAGCCTCGGCCGCTTCAGCGTATTTTTTGGAGGTGAGCGCAGACGACAGGTCGCCAAATTGTCGGCTGGAATCGACTTTCGATTTGAGTTTGGGTGGTTCTTTTGGTATTTTGCCCTTCCTGTGTTTTGAAGATGCCGAACTATCTGTGGTCCTTGTGGGTACTGTTGCGAAGCCGTCAAGCTCTGTGATTGTCTCTTCATTCTTGGACGTATGTTGGGCCTCGTCGTCGGAGTCGTCACCGCCGCCGAACGCAGCTTTTCGTGGAGGAGCGCGGGCCTTGGCTGGGCCTGCCTTTTGGCCCAGACTGAGCCCGAAAGATAGACCGGGCTTGCTCATGGTAACTCTGTAAATGTGTTGTAAATGTAGACAGGAGCAAGAAGTGAGCGTTGATGCAACTATGCTGCGACCTGCGTTTTGGGGAAGCAACGAGTGCACCAGCCATGATTCCCCACATAACCCCTGTCGCCCTTCCTCCCCAGTAATTCCAGGCACATGCTAGACTACATACAGCTCGGATTCCAGACATTCGGGAACAGTGGATATTTCTTGAGGAGCAATTACGTGCGATGATTTACTGCTGCGGGCCAATACATCTTATGCTATGTACCACGATCTGTAGCACTGTGCTCCAGGTAGAGGTTTTCGAGTCGCATCTTAAGACTGCATGCTTTTAAAGTACTTGGCTGCGTTCGGCCCCCGCTACTCAAGGAATCCACCGTTGTCAATCTTTGGATTATAAGTGGGTTTGCTCTGTCATTCTGGACTAATTGAGAACTGACTACAGACTTGCATCCGCTCACAAGACTTCATCTTCAACAAACTTCAAATATACTTGGCCAAAAACTCAGCAACCTGCTTTTATCCCTTCTCATACTCCCTCGCGTTCGTCTCGTCAGACAGGTTGGCACGAGCACCCATCCAGCCGTGAAACATGGGGCGACCGTAGGTCTCGACATGGCCGATCTTACCAGGCTTTGACAGGATCTCCTTGAGTTCAGCAACCGCCTCGGACGGCTCACCAGCAGAGGCGAGGCAGATATGCGGGACAGTCAAAGCCGCACCGTCAGCCGGGTCGAGAGCGCTGTGCAACAGACACTCTACCGTCAGCATCATATCCTCGGGGATATCATCAAGCAGGGAGAATGGCACTCACCCGGGATGCGCCGTCCAGCTAACAGTAAACTTCCTCCCGGCACCCTCATTGCCAGGCCCGCACGCCAGCACGGTGATCTTGCCGCCCCAGCAGAGCCCGGACGTGGTCCTCCACGCCGGGCCACTTCTCCCCGACCTCCTTCCGCACCTTGAGGAGCTTCTCGACCGCCTTCCCCGCGTCGCCCGGCCCCGCCCGGAACTCGGCGAAGAGCTTCTGCTTCTCGGGCGTGTCCGGGGGCAGCCAGTCGGGCTGGACGTAGTTGCCCTCGAGGAGGTCCGGCACGAGCACCAGGCAGTCACCGATGTGCTGCGACAGCCGGTCCGCGCCCTGGATGGTCTGGCTGGCCAGCCCGAAGACGTCGTAGATGTCAATCACGGCGCGGGTTGCGTTGGCGGGGCCCGTCACATCTGGGCGCCCGGGGGATGTGAGAAAATTCCTTGTTGGGGGCTCTCGGGGGTGAGTTATGTTTTGTTCTTGTTTTGTTGCTCACTTACACGTCTTCAACCCGGCGATTGCCTCGTACGTTCCCTTCTCGGTACATTCCGCGGAGACAGGGGGTAGTTCCTCGCACGCCTTGCAAGACATCCTGGGCTTTGGGTTGTTCTTTGTGGTTTTTGTGAAATTGAAAGCAGAATTGAGGGCAATGAGGTTAGTGCAACTCAAATCGGCTCGCAATTGACCAATGTACCATGAGGGTGAGACTCGAGCTATATTTATCTAACACATGAAGCATCGCCCAGCCGTTGGAACTGCCGAAGAAGGCACCGATGAATCGGGGGCTCCGGACTTTATGACCCGTCTGTTAAATCCGGGCCCGTCTTCCGATGCCAAACATTGTCTATCTATCTCGACGATGGCGGAACTGCGCACCAGACGGCTAGATAGATTTCGGTGCCGAAGACGCCTATCTGTACGATGGCGGAAATCCTCACGGGACAGCAAGACCGATATTCGGTACAGAGACTGATTCCTACACTTCCCGTTGGTCCAAAGCAGCGACCCAGAGAAGAGATGTGCAAACCCGAGACGCCAACCACGCCTTTGCAATGCTATGCCGTACATTCCCTCATATATCCTCGCGGTAAGTTTGTCTACAACAACGCCTGGCCCATGAACATGCTCTCCTTGACCTCCGCAACCACATCCCTCCTGTCGTCCTTGCCGACGATGACGATGCCCCTGCCCCCGCGCGTGCCCTTCCTGCCCACCCTGCCCAGCCGGTGGATGAAGTCGATGGTCGTGTGCGGCACGTCGTAGAGCACCACGTGCCTCACGCCGAGGGTGTCGATGCCCCGCGACGCCAGGTCCGTCGCCACGATGACCTTTGTGTTCTGCAGGTGCCTCTTGCCCTTCACCGGGCTGCTCCTCTCGACGTCGTCCATCAGCCTCCTGACGGGCACCGGCGACGTGAACGTGGCCAGCATCTCGCTCTGCCGCTGCTCGGGCGTGTCGCGGTGCAGGGCGACAGCGTCGACGCCCTTCGACACGAGGAAGTCGGCCACCTCCTGCGTCTTCTCCCGCTCGTTGACGAAGACCATGACGCGCTTCACATCGACCTCGCCCGGCACCGCGCCCTCGTGCATCGAGGCGCCTTTGCCGATCGACCAGATCGCGTCCGCGCAGGCCAGGTTCTTGTTGTTGCGGTAGGGGTCCTTGCTCGCGTCGATCACGCCCAGCTGCACCCGCCTGGGGATGGCGTGCAGGTTCGGCGTCGCGATGCGGTTCATCTTGGGGAAGCTGGTGGACAGGTAGTGGTCCAGCCGCTTGGGGATCGTGGCGGAGCACATAATCAGCTGCTTGAGCGAGGGCATGGCCCGGTCCATGATGCTCGTCGTCACGGAGCTGAAGCTGCGGTCAAGCAGCGAGTCGGCCTCGTCGATGATTAGGTGCGACACCCGTGACAGGACGTTGGGGTCCGACTCTGCGATAGATGCCAGCAGGTGAGGCGTGGCGACCACCACGTCCAGCCCCTCGTGCCTGTAGATCCGGCGCTCAATGACCTTGGCGTCGAAGTTGGCTGATATCTTCTCCACCTTGAACTTGACCGAATGTGACAGTTTCTTGGCCACCCCGCCCACCTGGTCGACGAGCTCGGCGGTCGGCACCAATATGATGACTCGTGGCCGGGCTGTAGTAGGATGCGGCTCCAACAAGGACTTGCCCTTATACCTCGGATCAGCACGCAGCGCCTTCTCCTCTTCGAGCCTCTTGTTATACGCCGCGACGTCCTGGTCCTGCGCCTCAGCAATCTTCATGGCGTTAACCGAGGGGAGCAGGTAAGCCAGCGTCTTGCCCGATCCCGTCTCGGCCGCCAGTAAGAACTCCTGCCTTGCTTCGCTGGGAACAGCTTTTGTTTTCGTACGCCTAGGCGCACCGATATGTTGACCCAGGAGAGCTGGGATCGCAAGCCTCTGTACCGGGGTGGGCTGGATCTCGGCCTTGTCCTTGAACATATCCTTCAAGCCACCCTCCTTGATCGCCGGCAACAGGTCAAACTGGTCGAAGCTTTCCACCTCTTTCATGCGATCTTTGAGGTTCATCCTCTGTCCATAGCTGAAGGACGTCAGGGCCCGTTGCATACGCAGGGCTTTGAACCTGGGTTTGGCGTCCTTGCCGTCGCGTTCCGTGCCCGCTTTTTCGTCCTTGTCTCGCCCCCGCGCCTGCGCTATCCGTCGCATGGGATCGATGTTTGCGACCGTTCTGTTCATGCCCGAGAAGGGGCCGTCGACTGCTCTCCGCCGCGGTTTCTTGCTGCCATCGTCGTCTCGTCGGCGCGTAACGTTGTCGGACAGCACCATCCGGGAGGGCGTGGAGCGCTTTTGTCTGTAGCTCGAGGCGAACCGGTAGGCCCATGGCTGAGGGATTGCATTTCGTATCGCTGGCCTCCTCGAGTCGAGCGCGAACCGACAAAGCGGACACACGGCTTCTGAAAGAGCCTTCCCAAACATGATTGACAATGTGGACCAGGAGTCGTGGGTACGAAGGTTAAGAGAAGTAGCAAGAGCCTTGAACTAGACCGAACTGCTGGAAATTTTTGGTCAAGGAGGTATCCCTGCCGCAGATCCCGCGCCACCGAACCAGGGTTCCCCACGCGGGAGTGTGGGCCTGCCTCTGTCAAAAACATCAAACATCACAAGTGGATGAGCACCAGATTGTACCACGTTTCGGGCACCACGAAGCAGCTCTTTTCTCATATCGAAAGCGCAACGCATTCATCACCATCATCGTACATGCCACGTGTTCATACTACCATACTTGACGCCCAATATTTCACCTATGTATGCATCCAAGCGCAGAAGACAAAAGCAACAGTTATCGCAATGTTGGGCGAGCTGCCTCCTTCCCTGCCCAAGAGCATCCCCTGACAAGTTTCACGCGGACTCCCAAATTCAATCTGCTCGCCGTAACAGTCGCCATGCATCTTCCTTGAAATCCATACCCTTGATGTTCCAAAGCCAAGCGGCTCCAATTGCGACCAAGGCCACGCCGGTCGTGACAAGTCTAAGACGAACAACATCAATGGGAGTGTCTTGTCTGTCATGGGGGTGGCTTCTTACGTAGTCTTGCGTCTGCTTCCACACAACCTACTAACGAAACCACCAACCCAGTCGACAAAGATCAGCCTAAAAAAGGCCGAGAACCAGTTTCCGTTCTTGGCCGCCTCCCAATCATTGTCCGGGATCGGTGCTGGCGTGCCGGACCGATCTCTGGAGTCCGACTGAGGAGCAGATCGCTTCTTCAACGAGGAGGACTGGTTATCCTCGATTGCAGAAGACGTGGCGGCCGGCTCGCTTCGTGAGCCAGTCTCATCCTGATCAGCGCTGGAAGAAGGAGCCTCGATGTCCTTGTGCCCGTTGTCGTTGGATGATGGTGCTTCATCAAGCGCTTCTTGAGGCTGTATATCCTCAGCCTCGGACACCACTATCTTTGGACTTGGCGGCACAGGAATAGTCTTCTGCCCGGGTTCTGTCACGGAAGCTGCGTCTTCGACTGGGCTCGCGGTGTTTGGGGCAGGTTCACTCGGGCTGCCAGGCTCCTCTGGCTTGGGAGTCGTTGCTCGCTCCGGCGTCAGATAGCCCGTGTGTCCATTTTCCACGCTCTTGTCCTTGCCCTTGCCATCCTTCATCACCACAGCCTCATCCTCATCACTGACCGGAGAGATCAGGTCGTTGTTGTTCTTGACCGATGGACTTGGGACAGTCACTACTGGCCGCGAGGCAGACTTGGCGGGATCAAGGGCAACATCGCCCTCTGCGTCCTTTGCCACCTTGATGGCCTCATCCGCAGTTTCGGCTTGCTCGACAATTGGTGCAATCTCCTCGGCCGTTGCAGCATCGGCCTCGTCATCCTCGGCGATAGAACCGAGAGAGGCCGCCGAGAGGGAACGCTCGCTCAAGCTCTCCTGGGGTTGTGCCACGGGCAAGGGCAAGTGCTGTAATCCCTTAGAAGATACCGGACTCAGTTCGGGAGAGTGTTGTTCTCCGTGGTCATCACCAGTGCTCCGAGTCCTTGTTCGGAAGACAGGGGATGGCGGCACTCCTTCGTTCAACGTCTGATTGGCATTGAGACCGGTCTCGACCTTTCTGACAGCAGCAAGTATTTCAGTTTTCGATGAAGGGAACCGCTCAAGTGTCGGGTCCTCGAAGTCTTCCTTGGCTTGGCCACGGGTGTTCCCATTCACGATCTCGGCTTGTTGCTCGTCTTCCGGTACACCTGGGATCTCGTCGTCTTCATATAGGCCCGCACATTCATCTGCCACGCGTTAGTCACTCCTGATGAGAATGGAATGAAGAAAGGTGAGTTTTCCCCTAGATGGGGGGCTAATCAGGCGAGCTTATACGTACGAGCAAACAACGGCACTGGCTCAGGCTCATTACTGAACCCAGCGATATCGAGATTGTCCTTCTGAAGGTCCTCTTTGATGTCCGCAATGGTCTTTGGTGCAGGTACGACGGTCTCCGTGTGCTCTTCGGCCTGAGGGGATTATTAGATTCCAAGTCCGGAAGCTAGCGGGATAGATCCCAATGAGTGATGCGGTTCAAGAATGCTCACCAAATCATTGTCAAGATCCTTAGCTGTATCAGCGACCTCAGCGGCCGTATCAGCAGCCTCTTGAGGCGGAGCGGAGGCAACCGCGTCAACGGTCTCGGGCTGGGGAGTTGGCGGGTCGAGCAAGGCAGCTGACTCGGCCACTTCTGCTGCAGTCCTTGCATACTCGGGGGTGCTGGTTGCCGATCGATCGACCTTCCCGGCCTCTTTGAGAGCTTCAAGTCTTGCAACCGGCTTTGGCTGATGGACATGGTTTGTACTCGACAGTTCGTCGTCATTTTTTGTGGCTTGGATTGGCTCCTCTGGTTTGGTCTCTTCCGCAGATGGAGCCTCGATGAAGTTATTTCTATTGCCCGCATCGTCGGTCACTATATGGTGTTAGCGGAGGGTAGGAGGGCAGTGGAGTCGGATAAAATACCAATAGGTGCAGCCTCATCAAGAACCCACCAGTCTCCAGGGCCGACACGGAACTTGTACTGGATTTTTGAGTTTGGTTCAACATCGAAAGCTTTGGAGAAGGTGAACCCTCCATCTTCACCAGTGGTATAATCCATCTCCTGGGGCACCCATTGTGGATGGGAGAAGGTGCCGGCGACGAAGAGTGGAGGCTGAGTTCCGGGTGCTCGGTAAGCGATGGTGATAGGAACTTTGATGTCCGCCATGATGAAGGACGCTCAATTGAATGATGCTAAGGTTGTCGAAGTGATGTACGAGAGAAGACCTCTAGCGATGATAGCGTGCTTCGTAGTAGTGCTTCGAGGAAGCAGAGTCGGAGGGCGGGCTCTGACCAGAGAGCACGAGTGCAGGCGTGCCTAGCTGATAGCTTCGAGTCTGCCGGTCTCCAAAGTCAATCGACCTGGGAGACGATGCAAAGGTAGACGACCAGTCTTCTGATGAAAGTGAAGCGGGAGAGGAAGAGAAAAAATGTCAGTGGTGAATTTTCTGGGTGTTGGGGAGGGTGGAATCTGGGGGGAGGGGGCGGGTGGGCAGTGGCTTGATCAGCTCGTTTGGCAGACGCATGAGCTATGCCCCGAGCTTGTTTCCCGCCTTGGAGTTGATTTGCGGGGCGGGCAGCTTTCCTGGGGAGTGCATGGGGTGGAAAAGTGGCTTTCAAGCTGGGTTTATGGGGCTGCGTGACAAGTACCGCGTTGTACTCGGTACGCAGCAAGCTCAGCCCAGTTGTTACTGATTGAAGAAGCCGGCTGGAGATGGCACTGGAGATGGAGATGGATGGGCGACGAAGGCAAGACAGAGCTCGAGTTTGACCTCCTATGGAGCTTTGTCATGTGTCTTACGGTCCAATGACGGGCAAAACGGTTGAGGCCAAGGTGTGGGCTGAGGCCTGCAGTCTGTTGTGCTGGGTGCCGAATCCTGCACCTAGTGCTCCTGGAGGTGATGCGGCCGGCCGGTGGCAGGATCCCTCTTGTTGTACCTATTTGGGGATGCAAGCTCCAGCAGGACGATAGACCTTGCCTGTCTGTTACACTCATCGGTATCGCAAGGTTCCATGTCACTATTACATCGTCCGGCGGTGATTGGTGCTTCGTACTGCAGGTGGTCAGCCGTTTGCAGCGGAGCTACCGTCGAAAGGTAATTCGGCGACTACCTAACTTGCAGCTACCAAGTACAGACATGCCTGCCCCATTCGTCCCGCCTCGGGTTTGAGTGAGACCGTTGAGACCATGCTACAGTATTGATTTCGCTATCAGAAATACCTAGCCTGTATGCTATTCTGTCGATGAAAAGAAACCACCGTTCTGCTTGAATCTGGCGCAGAGGACAATCCATTCTCATTGTTCAACACTTACGCTACACGCCCGGTGGGCCCCAAACTCACAATCACATGTTAGACCAGAAGTCGAAACTCCCCAAGTCCCGCCCATTGTTGACAATCAAGCATTTGTGGCCCACGAGACGGGGCGAAACCCATCCAGCTGCGTGAGAAATCACCAGGAGACGGCTCTGCTGAGGGCATCATGTTTTCGGCCTCAGATGCAATGGATACCCGTTTACCCAAGTACCTTAGCTCTTGGATACTTCTACAGTACTTGGATGGATCAAATGTGTGCTGTTCTGTGGAGTCAACATGGCTACGTCACCTCGCGAGCAGGGATGCGGATAACGATAAGACAGGGGTCTTGTTGACATACCCTCAAAAAATGACTGAACCACTTTTTTTCAACCCTTGGGAGCCGCAAGCAATCACTTGAACTCACATTCCCTAAGCCTCGACGCATTGCCCCCACCATTCCAACACGAGACTCCCGCCAGTCTTGTTGACTTTTATTACGAATAAGTAATTTCGAGGTACAACACTACGTTTCTGTCGAAAATGTCCATTCCACCTGAGATCATCCAGGTGAAGCGCCTAGTCAAGAAGCGCAAGGCTGCCGATGACGATGATGAAGGCATCGTCGACTACCTTCGTCCGTAACTTCCATCGCATCTTCTGCCTTGCTGTCAGCTTCATCATACTGACTCTCGCAAAAGGTGTCGACGGCGATAGAAAGCGACCCCGTAGCGATGCATACATCTACCAGCGGAGGACCCAAGCTTCCGCCGAAACGAGAGCACTGCAGGTCGCAAGCCACCCAGTAATCCCCTGCCCGTGATCCATGCGTCAAAGCCCGGCGACGAGAAACGCAATGCCGAAAAGATCAACCACTCGCAAGAGGCTAAGCCAGACATCTCGGCGCAAGGCCGTCCCAAAGCGCAAGACCAGGCACCCGCCGCGCCTACTGCCCCAGCAACGGTGCTCAGCGTGTCCAAATCTCAGCCCGCCCCAGAGCCACGTCGATTCCACATGTCCCGGCAATCGCTTGTCCCATCTCCTCTCTTTAGTCCAGGTGTGACCACCGGAAAGAGGTCGCGATATAAGACACCGACGACTGTCTTCGTGGAGCGCGGCCACAAGAGGACGAGGACCGAAGACGTACAAATGACCGACGTGGACAGTTCGCCGACAGCCAAGAGCTCAGTAATAGATGGATTCGCGGAGGACAGCACGCATGCTAGGAAACAAAAGCTACCCGGCTCAGACCGGAAGAGGGCAGAAGGCAGGCACACGCAAGCGGTGAGGAGGGAGGTTCCAGAATCGTTCCAGAAGGAACAGGATGCCGACATGGACGAAATCACTCGAAGCATGAACGAATTTGTCATGCAGCAGATCGGTGAAAACCTAGCCAGAATCGAAGAACGCGACCGTAAGGAGGCGGCGGCAACGGCCAGGAGGGCGCCGACAACCACCTCGCCCCAGCCGTCCAAGTTCAAGCCCAGGGCTCCTGTGAAGCGCTATGCGGAACGTCATCCAGAGATCTCAGTTGCACAGACAGACACTGCGCCAAGTATTCCGACCGCTGAGGGATATGAGAGCCTTAGTGACGATGAGTATATCATCGAGACTTATGTCCGTGTTGCAGCTGGAAGCCTCGACAAGAACCTGGCTCCGGAGAAGGTCGGCTTGCTTGTCTTCGACAACGAGCCTGACGTGGATTTGTTCTTCGGCGAGGAGGGCGATAGCGACGATGAGTGGCCTGAGGACGACGAGGACGAGAACGGTAAGCCTGCGACACGCTTGTTGACCTAACGGGCTTCTCAACACTTGACTTTGCTAATCCTATCACAGCTGAGGATTACTATGCAGCAGACTATCCAGATGAGGAGGTCGACTCTGAGGACGAGTACAACCGAGCTGCATACCAGTACCGTACTGGCAACGCATCTGACCTTGAGGAGTATGACGAGCGAGAGGGCGAGATCGCCCTTGACCACGACGGAGAGAATGACGGAGAGCCCGACCCATTTCGCGCACGCTTTGGGACTCGACCCTCTGCTGCGTTCGGGCGCCCCTGAAAGGCGGACGGTTCGAGGGATCCTGAGCCCAACTGAGAACCCAATTGCGGTCCACTGGGAGAGATGTAGTGATATCTCGTCAGGCAAGGGGCATCCTGTGAACCAGTCAACTGGATTCCAATCCATTTCTTTGTACATACATGTACAGGCACTGCATATAATTCGCTGACCAGCTCTGACCACAGAGTCATTATAGAAATCCAGAATACCCATACCACCGTTACTTGAATTCGACTTTTTGTTCCCCAAAACCCATGTGTCACCTCCCTCTTTCGTAACAGCATCAACGGTTCCCTATTCTTTTCAATTATACCCACAAATATGCCAGTTACTCTGAAGCAAGAAGGGGGTAGAGATCCCAAACTGCGAAGCCACTTCGTACCGGACGAACTCTGGTGGCAGACTGGCACCAGGCAGAAGACTTGTTTTAATCCTCCTCCATTTTAGGGGCCAGCTCGCAAGAGCGCATCAGCTCCGGCAGCGCCTCGTCCGCGTCGCCGTCCTTCGCCTTTGGGGTCTTGGTCTTCGCGTTGGGCGGGTTCGTGTGCCTGACCCTCTCCTCCTCGTTGTCGGGCGCCCACTGCGGCACGCCCTTTTCCCTTCTTTGATCGGGCGCGGATCTCACCTGATTACACAGAATGTCGTTAGCTTCAAATTTCTTTTCTAGGTTCGCATGGCTGGTCGGTCTTGAAAGACGAGGGACACGACTGGAGTCACGTCCCTGATTGGTCCCGTCTTCGTGGCTCCTGGCAGAGGGTGGATGGGGTGTGTGTGAGAGTGTGCATGTGTGGACGAAAGTACTTACAGTTTCTTTTTGCCCGCGCGTAGACCTCGGCGTGCCTCGCCGGCGGCACAAAGTGCTTCACGAACTCGTCCCAGTGGTAGACGACCTCCTCCGGGTACCTGTCGACCATGCCCCTGGGTCTCGCCTCGGCGTCACCCTGGTCCTTGGCCTTGCTGCCTCTCCCGCCGCCCTTCCTCCTCTCCTCGCCCCTGCCCGCCCCCTCGCGGCACTTGGACGGCTCCGTCAGCTCCCAGGAGCGGCCGCCGTGCTCCACGAAGCGCAGCCCACTGCCGTCGGGCGTCAGCGCCGGCATGACCTCGTTCAGCCGGTAGTAGAAGCCGTTGATGCCCGCGACCTCGCGGTTCTCCTCGATCTCGGGCTTGTACCCGCCGCGGTACAGCACCGGGAGCAGGTCCACGCGCCGCCGGTTGATCGCCTTCCACCCCCACCCGCAGTCCTCCTTGTGGTACAGGATAAAGAGCTTGACCGACTTGGGGTACCGGAGGTTGAAGTGCGGCTTCTTCTGCTGCTTGCCCCTGGGCGGTGTGCCGGGCTGGCTGCTGTTGCCGCCGCCGTCGCGGCGTCCTTTGTTGGACGCGACGGTAGAGTATGGCGCATGGCGGGAAGACGGCCTCCGTCCTCGAGCGGACATAAGTCCCCTCTTGTTTTTTTGTTCCAGGCGTTCCAGCTGTTTCGCCAAACAGACCAGAGTGAGTTTGATCTTGAGGTCATCCCCCGGGGCAATTGTGTGGTGCGCCTCAGGAGTTCTTGGGACAAGCCTGGGAGGTGGGCTGGCCGTCGACAGGCGTGAGAGCTCAGGCACGCTGGTGAAGCTTCCCTGGAACGAGGACTCGGAACCAGTGCTAGGCCTCCTGAAGCTGGGTTCAGGCCCCGGAGGGTCGAACCCATAGCTGCGTGGCCGGTCCCCGTCCGCGATGGCGAACAAGCTTTGGATGGAGGGGATTCCGTGTGATTTGGACTCATTTGAAGCCAAGAACGAATTGCCTGGAGCTGGGTGAGTACGGGAATGCGAGCATACATGAGACGCCTGGTTGGATTACACATACCGAAGGTGTACTCGTGGAAGTCGGGGCTTGTGGGAGAGTCGGCAGGGGAGTAGACACCCGGCTCCTGAAGGCAGACGGCGGCGTCTGCAAGCCCGTCAAGTCTGTGGCGGTCCTGTTGAATGTGGCTGAGGGGAGGTAACGTCCTGCCCGTCTCCTGCCTGAGGAAGGGGCTGGCTTGCAATTGGATCATCATGCTGGTGGAGGAATGTCAAGAGCACAGGCCGTGAAATTCACCCAGACAACACAGACATTCGTTGGAGACAAAGGATGAGCAGGAACTGAGATGTGACCGGAAGCGAGATCTCCAGGGTCCCGCCTATATATGAGATCGGGGGAAGCGAGCTTCGCGTATCTACCACTGCTGATCCGATGGTCCTGTCACTTCTGATAGATCTGGGATATTCGACCTGGCCACGGAACAGACTGATCGCCCAGCGACCCTGGGGAGCTGCAAGATGAGTTGCGGCCATCCCTGCGCACCTCGCCGCCATGGGCCCTTGCACATTGGGCCTTGGAGTTGGGCTAAGGCAACCCTCGCGTCAGTGTGAGAGAGTACCTCTCGCGTAACAGCGGTGGTACATGCAGTCGTGCCATGTCGTCGAGGGACCTCGGGGCGCTCTGTTTGTGCGCCAGTGTCGCTTATTACATGGCCGGGAAGGAAAACGTCCCCTAAACTAGGAGGGAACCAGCTAGTGTTGGCAGACAAACCTCATGCTAGCCCTCAACGGTCTGGAACTGGCTGGCGAATCAAGGCAGAAGCATGTCGTTCATCAAAAATGCAGGCAAGGGGCACGCTTTGCTGGTGCTGGTGTTGGGATCTTGGTGCGTCGCACCAAGGTCGACGGAAGATGCCACTCTGTAGCGGTTCTCTGCCGTGTCCATCCTCAAGACGAGGTTTCATCTTCGATCTCTGTAGGGCATCCCGCATTAGGAATAGTATGTGAAATGGCATCTCCGAATAATTCACCTGGGCTCGAGACCCTTGTGACATGGGACTTGATTCAGAGCTGGGCTGTTGGGGACAAGTGAGTTCTGGAGTATACACACTTTTGCGCCGCGACTTTGATCGCTTCGAGAGCCTTGCACCACTGGCCGAAGATCAAAGAGCCAGTATTCGGCCCGCGGAGGTCTCGCTACGCCGCACACGTGCACATTTCCCACGTCAGATGCTCCTGATGTGAACCGAAAAGCACAGCTTCGTCACAAGGCTATTTGCGGTCGTTCGCGAAGCCGGATGACGAAAATACTGCCAGGCCAGTGCTTAGCGTGTTTTTTAAGATCAAAGATGGCCTTCGGTGCCGAGACCGTATTCTCCAGAGCCCGAATGAAAAAGAAGCCGAGTGGAAAAGAAGCTTGAGCTAATTCTGGCATCTGCCAACGCCGTGACAGGTCAGTCTCTGACAGCACTGACAGCCGCCAGGTTGGCTGTGATTGGTCTGTCCCCCAGCCTCTTTCCTCTGAGGTCTGGACCGCGAGATCGTGGGGGTGTATTCCAAGTTTGACACAAGGGTAGTCACGTCCTCTTACAGCTAGGCCAGGTCTGCGCTGGGGTAGTGTCATTGGTTGCCCTCGTCTTCAACAGGCAGTGCTGTCGAGTATCTCTGCCAGATTGGTTACTTTTGGCTCAACCACGGATCCGCAAATGATTATACGATCACAATGACTTGTATTCCATGAGCGCGCTGGTATTCAAGTCACAAATGGAATCAGTGATGATAAGATCTCGTCTCATAATTCCGTTATTTTTTGCCATTATGGGTTGTTCACTAGGGCAACGCCAACCTTCGTGGACCGATGTGTTGCCTGACTCTGGCACCTTGCTTTTTTGCTTCTGGTGCCTGGAAATTTTTACTTCCAACAGTCCTGATCGCCTTCGCCTCCCCGGAATCTCTTTTATGATTGAAATGGTCGGTCCAAGACAGTGTTGATGTTACCGGGCCGATGCGTCATCCGGGTACAAATTGACCCTCTGCGGCAGATTCTGCAGCTCCGTGGTCTTTTCTGAGCCGTCCCTGTTGCTTTTCCCTGTCTCATCGACGCAGATCAATATGCCCGATCTACGCAGCGAAGAGCGGCAAACAGGTATTACTAAATCCCCAGAGCACAAGCGTGGCATCGATGCTTCCAGAGAGATTTCGAGGGACGCGATTGCTTTGTTCACCAGCAAGGGAGCGCGTCATGCGCAATTCCGAGTGCTCACAGCCACTGGCGGGTTGGTCGATTAGACTGCGGCCAGCGGAAAAAAGACCCGTGTCTCAGGGCCTGGGTGACTTGGTCGTTGGTCTGTTGATCCCCACAGACATCCTGGGAGAGGCGTAAACAGTGGTGTCCCTCATCACAGTGAGAGGCTTGTGGCAAAAAACGTCGTGCCGATCTCGAAGGCTCCTTCCGTCGGCCAAGCACCCAAATTCACAGGTTGTGTTACACAACACCCCCGCCCGGTAAGTTGTGGGTGCCTCATCTCTCTCGCAACCGTCGACAAAGACCAGTATTGAGCGTGCAGCGGCCTCAGAACCAGAACCAGGCCCAAATAGCGTGTCTCAGGCGTCTGCATGGAACTAGTGAAAGGTCGAATGATGCGTCCTGTACCTGTGCGCATGCTCCTGCGATTGTGAAGAAGAAAGTCCGACCTAGATGCCTGCGCTGTCTGCTTTCCTGGGGATAGCCCTCGAACAGGGGGCCGGGCTTTACAGTCTGGGGTCACGACTCCTCCCCTCGACAACGACCCCGAGCTCCACTCCTGCGTCTTGCTGCGCGCTATTCTGGCCAGCGTTTGCGAAAGACTCATCCCCAGAAAAGCGCCTGGGTCGTCAGTAAAATGGATCAAGACACGGCAATTCTGTGTGAGAGCGGGAAGTGTGGAGCAGCCACTCACCATCCCCTCTCCTCACCTCCCGAGAGAAAGCTGCAGTCGCCGTTTACTTCGCAAAGCCACCCTCCCCTAACTCCTCTCCCGTCCTTCCAATCCACTTCTGCTGAAGAAGGATCGACCAGGTCCTTACTGTAACCATCAGGGCTTGCAGTAGCCTGTGAAGTTGGCGTCCGAACGTTTCCAAGGGTGCGCGGAGCAGACATGGCAGCGCCTTCGCCGGCGTTGTCGCAGGTTGCAGCTGGACGCCTTCTGAATACAGACAAGCCGCAGGTAAAGGCCCGGAAGTCCTCGGCCTCGACGTTCTCGGGCATGTTCCCGGTCAGAACTCGGCCCAGAGCAATGACAGTAGCCGCGTGCGAGCAGAGCAGCACAGCCCGCACGCCTGCCTCGTCGCATTGCTTGATGAGTGCGTCCATGGTCAAGGCAACACGGTCGTGCAGCTGGGCGATGGACTCGCCCATCCTCGACGGCAACACAGCCGGCGCGTAGGATCTGTCGAAAGCCGGGAACAGCTCGGCCAGCCTGTCGCTGGTGGCAGAGGTTGGGTGCTCGAACGATGCAGAACCGTACCACTCGGACAGGCCAGCCTCACCTAGGATGGCGGGCTTGTTGGCAGCATCAGTCCTGGCAGACTTAGCCCACAAGCCAACAAAGGGCTCGACCGTCTGCAGACAGCGGTAGTAAGGACTGGAGTAGACCCGCTCGACGGGCGGGTCAAGACTCGTCAGGTGAGCAGCGAGCTCATGGGCCTGCTCGACGCCATGTGATGTCAAGGCTGGATCAGTAGCGATGCCGGTAGGTGACTTGAGGTAGGACGAGTAGTTGCCAGAGGCGTCCACAAGCCAATTGGACCTGAACTGCAGAATCGACGCAGCGAGGTCAGCCGGTTTCCGCTGCGGTTGAAGCAGAGGCATCTGCAGGTGACAACCACCGGCTCGCGCTGCGCTGTGGGAGGCGTCTGGACTCTGTATCTGTATCTGGATCTGGATCTGGATCTGGATCTGGAGATATCGCACTTACGCCGTGCCGTGTCACGTAGATAACCTCGAGCGACATGTTCGAGCAGGGTGCCAAGGTTCGGTTGGGTGGAGGATATGTGGCGTGGCGTTGTGCAGGATCGAAACGGCCGATGCAGCAAGAAAGGTTGTGTCTTGGTGAGTGTAACTGGATTCACAACGGACAGGAGAGGATTGATTGTGTGTGTAGAGAATGAGTGGTGTACCGATGTAGGTCCCGGTAGCCGAGCCGAGGTCACCTAGACTACTAACTATCTACCTGGTCAACTAATACCTGGGGGAACGCCCGCGGTGACCCTCCATGTGGTGGTGGCTGAAGAAGGCGCGACTGGGGGTGCGCAGCGCACTTACCCCTGCAGGCAAGCGCGGAACGAGCTCCCTTTGGCTCACCCTACCCCAGGTCTATCGGAAGGATTCCGCCCTTGTATGCATATCAACGACATTAACAACAACATGCACCACACAGCGAATGCTGTGCATGGTATTCGTCGAAGGCCTCACCTTTGCAGATGCAGGCAGACAGGTTGGGCATACTCGAGCCCGCCGACATGCTTTTCCCCAGCACCAGAGGCAGCTGAACAGCTCTCCCAATGTTCCTGCCACGTCCTCCGAGAGTCTCCTCGCTCACCCGGGGGGCTGCTTGACCGGCTGCAAAGAGGAGGGTCACGGGCGCAACACCCCGACAAGATTGTCAACAGGGATCGCTTCATCGTCGACGCTGAGACTGGGAATGAGACCAGCTGAGACAACCGGCCTGTTGCTGCAGCTTCTGCTCGTACAGCATCATCCAGACATACGTGTCAGACACCCTCGTTACGCCCGACGTATCGCGGCGGAAGAAAAGGTCCATGGCCAGGGACACATTCAAGCAGGCTTGTCCTTCACCGGCCCAGTATATGCGCAGGACTTGTTATCTGGCATGGGTCAATATCGAGCCCCATGCTCGCTCATGTTCAGCACTTGCGGGTGAAGATAAGATCTCTGCACCACTCTCGGGCCGTAGATACTTCACGAACGCCTTGCAGGCCGCCCGACTTGCGACTGGGGCTACAAGGCCTCCTTCCCGAGCCGGAAACAAACGCCAGCGCAAAGGTCAAAAAAGCAAGGCGTACCCAGTCACACCACCGTGGGCGGAGCTTGACCAAGTCTAGTGTTCGGTCTGGCCGTGATATGGGACAAGGCAAAATTCGCCTTGTCGCAGGCGCCACCAAGCTGCCTACTTTTTGAAATGCGCATGTCGTCGGAGAGGAAGGAAAAAAGAGGTCTCTGATGAGAGAAGCAGAGGAAACGAGTCAGGGTCTTTCCCCACCCATCTTGGTCCAGAACATGTGGAATCGCGCAGCAGCCCAAGCTTCTTTTTCCCACAACCCTCCCGAGGCTCCACCCCACGATCATTCCGGCATCCACAACCGCGCACACAAAACGCCCCATATAATATCACTGCGCCGGCTGGATTCTTCATCAATCAACCAAAATCAACAGCGCCAGTGGTTTAGCGGTAAAATCCATCGTTGCCATCGATGGGCCCCCGGTTCGACTCCGGGCTGGCGCAGAGATAACATCACAACAGCCTCCAGAGTCTTCTCCAGACGCAGTTGCTTTTTGGACTTCCCACCTAGGCGCCACATGGCAGCTTCTGTGACACTCTTGGTCGAGCTTTCGCGGCTTGGGCGGTCGGGACGGGAAAGAAGTCCCTGTTCCCCTGGTGCTGCCCGGAAGAGACCTCGCTTCCTTCTGCCTTTCGGAAACCTTCTCTAGTATGCTGAGGCGTCTATCCATGTGAAGGTTTCTGTCTTGATGTTTGTACGAGACTGTAACAACCAGTTCTTGACGACGCCGGGTCTGTTAGAGACGTGATCCAAGATGCAGGAAGACCTGATGCTGGACGTAGATTCAATGACAAGGGAAACGCATAACAAACTCAGCCCAGAGCCCTCTGAAATGTGACAGGCGTGGCCCATACAACACGTGAACGAAGCTGAGCCACTGAGAATAGAATATGCGCCTAGGCTGGCCTCCAAAGAAAGAGTCCTCGCTACGAGGGGAAACGTAGAAAATTCCACCTGATGTATGTGGTTATTAGTGGAGGTAGTTCTTGACAAGGAAAAGGTGTGAGCCAGAAATGGCATGAAGGAAGCCTGTGGACAAAGCGTCTTCACGTCCAGTCCACTCGGGCACACACATCCAAGGTGCTCGCAGCAATTGCCCCAGTCTTGGGTGCCCAGGTATGGGGTGGACGACAACATCCGGGCACTGCGCTAACCTCCACTGCGGTTTCTTCAAATCCTAGAGGTTGGATTTCTTCCTATATCCTCACAAGGCACTCACTCAGACACCTGATTCCAAACTCATCACAAGGTGGCCACCAGCACGCCGCAAGCCAGCACGGACGCGGCTGCCTCGCTAATTCTCTAAGCAGAAACCACTGCCCATGGTTGTGTTTGTTGGATATATAATGATATGTATATATGTATAGTTGTCTTCGAGCCGTTCTCGTCACAGATCAGGCTGACCATGCGGTAATCCGGTCCTCGTCCGCGTTCGACTCATCACATGCGCCCTTGCCCCTTTCCCAGGTATCAATCAACCCTCACCTATTCGTTCTATCTTCGTAAGGATCATTATCGCTGTCGAAACGATATTCTCGTCTTGGATTTCGCCAGTCGTTGTGCGTGTGATCCATTGCAAATGTTGAGAAACGTGTGCTTCATCCAGTCTTTGTTTGTCTGCTCGGTCATCATCCTGGCGTTTTCCTTTTCGGATTGTCTTTCCGCAGCAGTCAGCTGGCTTTGAACGTGGAAACACATGAAGCACAGCTCCCCCGGGGCCCCCGCTCTCGCCTGAAAGCTGGCAGCCTCCGCGCCCTCAGCGTTGCTTCTTGCAATAAAAGTGTGCACAGGCTAACGCTCAAGAAGCTGTCGTGCAGGGTTCTAACAAACCTCTTCGTCGCACACGTCAATCACCATACTTCAGTCGTCCCCTACCTGGCACCATGGGTGCTCCAGAACCTGGTTGATATCGTATCTCTGCTCGACGTCGCGATCCAACATGCAGCGAATGAGGTCGATACTCTCGTCGCTGATTGTGTACGGCACACGTAGATCGCGATCCATGATCTCATCGATACTGTAGAACGGGTTTTCCTTGTAGATGATGGTGTAGAGCAAGATGCCCAGAGCCCATACGTCCTGCTCTTTGCCATTATAAGGTTTGCCGGCAAGGACTTCCGGTGCGGCGTAGTCTATCGATGTTTTGTTAGGTGAATACATGCTTTCAAATTGGACGAGGCGAAAACATACCTATAGTGCCCACGAACACGTCAAAGGGACCACTCTTAATGTACGCCGCACTGCCAAAGTCAATGAGCTTGATGTGCCCTTCTCCGTCCAGCACTACGTTCTCGTCCTTGATATCACGGTGAACAACTTTCGCCTTGACGTGCAGGTGGTGGACCGCCCGTGCGACTTGGACGAAGATGCTACGGCACTCATCTTCCTCCATGTTTGTCCGAAGCTCGATGTAGTCGAACAAGTCCATGCCGGGCAGCCCGTGAGGCCCCATTTCAATGTAGTAGTTGACTTCATCTTCGAAGAAGTCCTCCATCTCAACAATGTTGGGATGCCGAAGGCCCTCTCTCCGCAGGTAATTCAAAACGTGTATTTCCAGGGGGACGGTGCCCAGCTTTCGATCCCGAGTCCACGTGTCGACGAGGATCCGCTTCTTTGTGACGTACTTGAGAACCACCTTCTTTCCGCTGTCTTTGTACCTGGCTAGTTTGACCTGGCCATATGCGCCCTGGCCCATCTCTTCGAGGATAGCAAAATCTTCAATGGACTTCTTATGCGATGACTCGGCGGCCTTGGGTGCGGGTGGGTTCTCTTGCTTGTCCTCATCCTGAGCCTTTTCAGGTGCTTTTGCGCCGGTAATCTTTGCGGCAGCGCTCAATGCAGCATCCTTGATCGACCGAGTGAAGTTCGATGCTGGTTTGGGCTCCTTCTTGGGCTCATCAGAGTCCGAGAGGTGCAGCTCTGCAGGCGTCGGGGCAGGAGTCTGGCCCGGACTGGGCTGTCGGAGGGGAGTCGCCGTCCCCGAAAGCAGAGGAGACGCAGCGCCCAGGTTTGACCTGGTGGCGTGGATGTGCCTAGAGTAAGTGATCCACAAGGCGAATACCATCTCTGTCTGCGTGACTGGAAACTCGTCCTCTGTGACGGCGGACTCCCCGTCGCTTGCTTCTGCCAGAGTCTCTTCGTGCAGCATGGTTTGTTTCTCGCTCTTGACAACCCTCATCTGAACATCGACCTTGAGCTCCGTCCCGTCGCGGTGCTTGGCGGGGAGACCTTCCGGCCGCAGGAAGCTGTTGGTAGCGTCCGGCCGACCTTCCCGCAGCCCCAGAAACGCATAAGCCTTTCGGAAACTGTGCTCAGGAACAACAATCCCGTCGACTAAGAGAAGACCGTCTTGCTCGGTCAAAATTCGCAGCACCTTATCAAAACCCGGCAGGAGAGACTTGATGTCCATGCCGTTTGGCTGTTCGTGGCCGAAAAGTGCGCCGCAGAATACTGAGTTGGAGCTCTTGACAGTCAAAGACGCTGGGTCCACGACGATGATGCCTGCGATGTGGGGGAAGCTCGAAATGCGCAACTCCGTCCTTCCTTGCACCTGATTAATCGTTGCCGGAATATTTATCCTATCACTGTTGCGACAGGTATAAAACTTTCGTTTTGCGATTTGCGCATAGTCGATTGCACCATATCTTGGGTCGATTCCTTGACGCGGGATTCGAGGGACCAGCTTGCCGACATCCAGGCCCGGCTTCAAGCTGTCATCGCCCCAGATGGATAGCAGTTCTCCTGTGAGCTTTGTAACGACACCATCCTCATCGAGTGTGACGTAGGCGACATCTTCGTGTATCTCTTCGAGCACCCATATCAGCCCCATCCTCTTCTCCTTGACCCAGAGGCTAGCCGACCCCGTGGCCCCGTTCCGTTTCTGGATAGGTACGACATCCCCACAGAGAAGCACGCCTCTAGATTTGTTGCTCTTGTGGTTGGAGTGGCCCCCGCCACTCACTCTAGGTGGTCGCCAATCGCCACTGTGAAAGGTTTCTGGTCTTTTCACTGGACTCATTCTCGGGGTCTGTGCTCTCGAGCTTGGCTTGCTCAGCAACCTAGCTGTGATGCCACCACCTCGCGCTCCTAGCAGGTTGGACGACACCTTCGCCTTCGCCGGCGGCTGTGTGACCTCAGTTTCCGACTCCGCTCCAGCCTCGCTCTCGAAATCCCCATGTTTCAATTTGTTCTCAAGCCAACCCCTGCGCTCCTTTTGCACGATCTCCAGTATGCTAGTGGATTTAAAATCCGACTTTCGGAACCCGTAGACCAAGCAAGCCAGGTCGTTTGCAGCGAGTATCGTCCATGGGGGCTTAGCTTCGGTGGTGAAAATCGCTTGGGCAGCCGGTACCCATCTGCTGGAGTGGCCATGTACCGACGAGCCCCTCGTGCTCGGCGTGTGCAGTGAAGGGCCGAAAGATTGAGACGACTTCGGCGAAAGGACGCTCTCAGGATTACCTGACTGTCCGGCGACATACGGTTGGGCCATGGCATCCATAAGCTTTTGCTGCATCGAAGCGTGAATGGTGTCAGTGAAAGTCCGTTTTAATACGCTTGGCCTCCTCGACTCTGGGGGCGAAGTCTTCTGAGTCGTTCCGCTCTCGTTTGTCGGTGTTCGGGACGAGTTCTCAGAAGCGTCTCCGTCCCCCGGCGCTGGCGACAGTGAATCTTTGCGAGATATCTGACGTACGTCTGGGGTCGCGCTTTTCCCCTTGTCCTCTTGAACACAGGTATGGAGACCTGAAGGTTCGGTTTCATCCGGAGACACTGAGAGGTCCTCCACAGGCTCTGGGCTTTCGGTTCTGGGTATGAAGTTCTTTTCAAACATATTTTCGCCTGACAAATCTGCCGGCCCCGTGAGAGGGCCAAGAGGGTGTGATGGGTCGCTAACGCCCATCAGCTGCGCCTTTGCCAAAAGCTCCAGCATATTTTGTGTTTCGATGTCCCCGGTCACCCGTGCCTGCACGCTTGCCAGAGCTGGGTTGGAGGTTGCGGAACGGCCAATCCGGTCCTTCATAAACTCGATAGAACGTCTCAGTACATTTTGGCGGTTGTGTATGAACTCCTCGGACTGGTGGGCGAAGGAAAAGGAGTGGAGCGACTCGCTGGGGAAGCGTTCCAAGTCGTCGATGAAGGCGGGCGACGATGGCCCTGAGGCCAGGGGCTGCAACATGGTCATCGAGGTGGACCGCGAGAGACTCAGAGACGGGCTCCGTGAAGTAGGATTGGAAGGCCCAAGTGTGCCGTTTCTACCGGGTTGGGACTGACGTATTCGGCGGAGTCCTGACAGTCCCAGCCCATGGTCGTGGTCTGTCATAATGGGTGATCTGAGATCTCGACAGGTTAGCTGATGAGAAAGGGATGCTCCGGAAAAAGCACCCAAAGCGAGAGCAAGTGGAGACGAGTTGCAGGCAAAGTCATAGTAGATGCATGGAAGCGTTGAAAGAGCACATGGTTGTGATAGAGTGGGTCAGCGAGCCAAGTTGAAGGATCCGGACTGTCCTGTCTTGCGAGCTGCTACACAGTGAACAGTGTGGCAAGCCCTTCGTAGGGACCTACTTGGCCGTGGTAGTATACGGTGTTGACAAGGCTGACGGACCTGACCCTCCCGCCACTTGACCGAGGCACGCGGACATGTCACTTTACCGTGAGGCTTGGTGTTTAGGGTCGGGGCAAGAGGCGCAAACCCCGAGGGACCAAGGGACGGGGGGGCAGCTGGGCTCACCTTGCGAGGATGTCATACTCGGAAGCAGCCGGGCCAGCATCGAAGGACATGCGTACTCGAGCCTTTTCAGAGTTGTCTGGGACTGCGAGGGCCAGGTTGGAGAGGCTCTTATTCTTTGGCATTTGCAAGGGCGGTGAGAGCTTGTCCTTATTTCTGCCTCCATCTTCCCCGCTGTGACCTTGTATGTCGGCGCCTGGGAGGATGGCCACTGGTGTCAGCGTCCGCATCTCACAAGGACGCTGTGTGTCCCAGCAACGTCACATCACTACCGGACCGTACCCACCTGGATCAAGACCCTGCTCTTGTATTCTAGGCATCGTAGGTGTGGAGGTACAGTCGAAGCTGGGGGGCTCGGGAGTGGCTTCGAATCGAGGAGAATGGGGTGGTCGCCGCAGGTTCTGTCGAATGGAGCCTCGGCGGATCGACTGCGCAAGACCCGCGACAGGAGGCCCAGGAGAACAAGTGCTACCAGGATAGATGAGTGTGCCTGAGTATTAAGGAAGCCGGCATCTGGGGCCAGTTCAGAACTCGTGGTGACAGTCAACCGGGCGGAGGGCCGGAATCATGGGACGGCGGAAGAGTAGACGCGGTTGGGCTCGTCGTTCAATGTGGGCCGCGATGGCGGGCTCTCGGGTCCGGGAGAAGGGCGTCTGTCTGTTTCTTGCCTGGAGAGGGCAGGAGGCGGCAGTGGTGATCGTTGACTGCTCACGACGGCAAAGGCGCAAAAACTGGAACACGCGGGAAGGAAACAAGTCAATGCCGGTCTAATGGGTATCTCGATTGCTGCATTGAAGCAGTCATGCAAGCAATGGAAGGCCGTTCGGGCAATCCTGTGATAAAATCTGGTCTATCTCTAGGTCGGCCTGTGCTGGGTGAGGGTGGCCGCGAGGGAGCTGGTGCTGGCGTGGTGCTGCGGCACTCGGGGCGTTGAACAGCCGATGTCTAGTGTCGAGGCCGTGTACAAATAGACAGATCTAAAGTCGTGGGGGGAGCCGCCAGGTCGAAGTTCGCGGGGCGGGCGGACAGGAAGGAGGTGGGCGCAGTGGAAAAGGGAGTAGAGTAGATAGCAACGTAAATTCTTGGGGCGGTCACGGCAGTTTGGACGTGTAGACAAAACTGTATGTGAGGTTTGAGCGAGGGTTTTGGGGAGGCTCGGCCCCTCCACACAAGCAAACCTTGGAAGCGTGGGAGGATGGAAGGCCCAGATGCTGCGTACAGTGCAACAAACCTTGGAGCAAATGCAGGTGGGAAACTCTATTTCAAGCCGTCAACAGACTGAGAAGAGAACCTTTGGGTCTAGCGGCTGCGGTACTGTGTAGTCTATCTTAGCAGCTTGTTGAGGCGACACGCAAAAGGCTTTGCAGTCTCGCGCAGCATAACGCACTGGGTCATAGGTAGCTCCAGGTACCTAGGTAGACAGATCTGGGTAGATGCCTGGCTAGGTAATTAGGTACCTAGGTAGACTACGCGTAGTCTGAGCCCTCTAGAGCTTCTGGAACTTCTGCCCCCAACGGACCTCGGATACAGTACGAGGACAGTGCTAGTCCTGGAACGGGGCCCAGCAGACAGACAGGCCGTCATCCTCCACAGGGCCAAAACCCTGGCAACCCAACGGCTGTCCTTCTCCAGACATGCAACCCGTTTCAAGGAGGGTCTTGGGAGCAAGAGACCACACTTCTGATTTCATCTCTGTGGGACAACGCTATCCATTTCCCACGTTGGTCAGAACAACAATACGAACCAGGGGAGATGAGAGCGGTCTTCGCCCCTTCCTCCTTACTCGCGAACATGCCCAGGTGGTGACAAGAGCTGGCACAGTGCCATTTGCACGTGAAAGAGAGACAAGACAGACCGACAGGTGCACTGCGTCCGATGTCAGGACGGCCTACCAGCGCTGCCTCTGCAGCTGCCAAGACCCTGGGCTTGGTTTCCCTGCCGCAGCCACTTGACCTTGCATGACAAGGCCGATCTTATCACATCCGGTCCCAACCTAGCTCCCATTCTGCTGAAGATCGAGCTGCACCGGCCCTCAGGCTGGCAGCCCGGGCCTATCGTTCATCGATGCTGTCGACATTCCTCAGGACGTCCTTCTCGACCAGGCAATTGCTCGGCCGCAGTGTCACCACCTGTTTACCTAGCTGGTTTCTCCTACACCAAACATCGGGCCCCGACTGTATGCCTGGAGCATCATCAACCGCGAGTGGGCCGGCGAGGGCACTGTTGACGTCGTGCTCGCCACCCACCCCCAAAATCATGTCCATCACCACTGCAAATCATCTGCCAAACAGTGGATAACGGGTTGTGATAATCCCACGAGCGACCTTGTGATCAAGTATCGAGTGTTACATTTGTCTCCGACGCCGGGAAGAGTAACACTACAAAGCAAGCACCCGGTGCCATCTCTTGCTCACACAATGTCAGACGCATCTATGCTTTACCGAGATTTCATGGTCTTAGACAAGCTGTCAAGGGGCCAGACCCTTTCTAGCGTTTGTTGTCTTTGTAAGTCCAGCACTTGTCCCCGGGTAGATAAGAAGTGAGACAGAGTGCCTTGTTACCGAGACTGAGGGGGGTAGTGATGTGGTCATGAGAGACAATTTCTGCCCGTGCGTGCAACTAGACATCTACCTAGGTAGGCTACCATCGCAGATCCTCGATAAGCACGGCAGCGTCAGCAGATCCTGCTCCACGGAAGCAGTCAAGTCTCACACCAGGCAAGATCTCCCAGAGATTTGCATGTTGGTGCTGACCGGCTGACCAGAGGGACGGAAAAGAATGGGCGTCACGGGTCGATCAGTCTCCTCTGGCCGACGCTCGACATCCGGGAAGATCTGCCGGCCGACACGGAGGCCACCCTCATCACAACCCGGCTCCGTGCCGGAGGCAAGACGGAGTATGTTCGTATTGGTCGTCCGAATATTTTGTTATGCGTCTTGGGACCATGCACGACTCATTGTCCACATCCACGTACTGCCCTATGCTCGCTGTTAGTAGCAAAGACTTTCTGCTGGGCTGCTGTAGAATATATATTTCACCGTCGATCCCTCACAGGGGCTTAACAGCAGTTTTCACCAGCGTGTAACTCATAGCAACTTTATTACAGTCTTAGCAACGACAAGCAGCATCGAAAGCTACCGAGACCAAACTCGAAGGATCAAAGGATCCACTGTACAGAGAGAGGATATTCCTGTACTGTACGTGTTCAGGTATCCATAGCCCGACGGTAGTATGCACCCCGCCGTCTTTTTGCCCCACCATGTTCACTGGCGGCGGATCACAGCCCCTCCAAAACCCCGCTGTACCCCGCAGTGTCGCAGCGGCCAAGGTTCTCCTCAGAGCCGGATTCCCCGACGTCCTTGGCCCAGAGCCCCGGGAAGGAAAGTAGACTAGGAAGCAGTCTGCCACCCAGGAAGACGTAATCAACGGCTCAAATCGAGCAATATTTTACTACGCATTACACACCTGGGCATGGGCGAGCGGCACCAGCACCTCGACGGGCGCACAGAGCGGCGTTGCCACGAGTCAGAGACTCTGCTGGAGTCGCCCGCGGTAGGCCTCCTCTGTCATGCTCCAAGGCTCGCCCGCCAGCCATGCCAGGATTACCTGAGGATGTGCAGGCTGCTTGGTCCATGAATGAGGCGAGATGCTCTGCCAATGTTGCCAGGGAAGGCGGGTCGTTCCGGCCACGCTGTCGTGCCTCACCCGGGGGCTGCCCTCGAGATAAAATGCCTCTCTGTCTTATGCCCTGACACCCGCTCAGGGCGGGTGCAGGGGAGCTCCAGGGCAGGTGCGAGGGTTCGTGCTCGAGCACGCGGACCTACTTGTGCCTGCTCGGGACCCCCCAGCTCCCTGGGCCAGCCGAACGCCTCGCCGTGAGGTGCTGCATGATGCCCCGAGCTGGCCCATGATTGTATGCGAACACAAAGTCCTTCATGCCGCTGGTTAAGATAAGGGAAGACCCTGATGCAGTTGTACAGCGTGGCAGCCGTCTTTTGCTTTGCGATATGCAGCAGCCAATGGAGTTGCGGCAGAGGCAGAGGGTCTCGTCCTCTGTGGTCACGGACGGCGGGTTGCAAAGGCCACGGGGACCACACGAGCTGGTCACCTGCAGCTGCGCGTGAGGTGCGGTTGTCAGGCTTGTAAGCGGGACACCGGCGGGTTGGATACGGGCGGCGGCGGCAGCAGGACCACTCGCTCAAGGTTGTGCACCCTGTCTCATTCCTCTTGTTGCCCTGACGGGCCAGCGGGCCTGCCTTCTGCTTGCCCCCCATGCCCGCGTGCTCAGGTGGGCTATGGGGTCGAAGCAAACCGTGGATAGGTGGGAAGGTGACTACGCCAACCCGCACTACTGCATGGGCATCTCTGGCGTCTCCGGCTACTACGAGAATGGACTAAGGAAAGGAGGGCCTGTGCTGTACTGAACGCCAAACCGAGCAATGAATGTGTGTGCGTGCTGGGAAGCTGGGAGAGCTGGTGCGCTGCTGAGCTGGCTGGGCCTGGGGGAAGGATGCAGGGGTGGTCGGGCTAGCACACCCAGGAGGATGGGGGCCATCCATGGATGCCATGCAGCCATCAGCGTCGGTGCAGGACCCTTCTTTTTTAAACTTGTCGAACCCCTCCGGTTAACTTTTTCCCATCTTGCCCCCGGGCTGACTCGATTCCACGTCTGGACCACTACTTTAATTTTTTGTGTCGCTCCCGTCAAATCGTCGTGACGTCTCCTCCTGCTCTCCATCCGTCCACCATCCCACCTGAGCCTGACACGAGCCAGACGAGAGAGAGACAGGCCAAGCTCGCAGCAGCAGCACAACGAGGTAAGAGCCAGGCTCTCAGCGCATACTGCTGGCCCCGGTGTAACCCCACCCTCCTCACCTGAGAGAATGCCATCTCTTATCAGTCCCAAATCCCATGCGCCAAATCCACACTCAGCCCACGCCATCTGTCTGTAAGTGCCTCGCTGACGCTGACGCCCCTTCACCAGAATTGCAACTCTTGCCTCTCATATGTCCAAAGCCAAAGCCTCTGGGCTGCTCAACTGTTCCCGTCGTCCTGCGGCAAACACGCAACAAGCAGCTCTGGCAAACAAACTCGGGAGGAGCAACAGCTCGCACGGGTCCAGCCTCGCCCAGTCCCCTCCACCACCACACCACCCCGCCTTTTTCTCGGATCGGCGCGGAGGAAGCTGGTCGAGCTCTCCCCAAAACCCCTTTGTTCTCAAAAGACGAGACTAGGAACGCCCTCAGGCTCGGGCCTTCCCAGCAACCATTTCGCTTAACAGCTCCAGCTCTTATCTCGAGAGTCTCCGTCCCGCGAAGCCTGACCCACGCCGACTCCGGCCGAGCCGCCTGGCAATGGCGGATTGAGTCGAGCAGAGAGCTCACTCAAGAAGCGCTGTCTGGGCCGTGCTGCTTACAATCGCCTCACCCCATTTAATCTCGCACCTTATTCTTGGATGAGACCACGCCGTGGCGGTGTTGCGCTTACCGTGACCCCACTCCGCGTATACGGGTCAGCTCTCGAACCAGGTAGGCTGGACCCCCAGACGAAGTAGGGGAAAGTCGCCACCTGCTGGTTATTCCCGAGGCCACGCCGAAATTTATAGCACTGAGGGCCATTTTTGTTTTGCGATCTCACGAAACCACTCCTACGGATTGTGTGGTATTTCGGTGGGAGAATGGGCGAATCGCTATCTGCCGCAGCCATGGCGGTCATGGCGATTGATGCTGAGGAAATCGATGCATTCACCAACGATCCGGCTATTTTGGATGCGCCTGCAATCCTCGAGCCTGATTCCACGCCCAGGAAGAAGGGGAATCGCGAAAGGTTACTACGAGGGCTTCAACGCATGTCCTCCTCACCGTCCTTAGCCCGGCCTGGCCGTGCGCGAGCCTCCACCAGCCCCTATCATGGCCCAGGGAGCTTCTCTTGCGTGAGCCTAGCGACCAATCCGTCATCCTTCGGCCAGCCAGGCTCTGGGTATTTCTCTGCATCTTCACATGGTGGGCTGTCGACTGCCCCGACGTCCATTCCTGGTACCCCTGGCCAGGATTGTCGCCTTGACGGCGGCGAGCACGTGCTCGCGACTCGCAGAGTGACGAATATCGACATGGCTGCCTCTTCAACCTTGACCGTGCCGCTGCCAGTGGACCTGAGACCGAAGCGGACTGTCTTCAATATATGGCAGCATCTTCCTCGCGAAATCAAGATCCAGGTGTTGGCCTTCCTACAGCCCAGAGACCTCGTCCTGGCGTCGGCTGTAAGCAGGGAATTCCACGACCTCTGCCACGACGGCCAGCTGTGGACTTCGTTCGATGCTTCCGAATTCTACCAGGATATACCGGCCGAATCTCTGGCCAAGATTATTGTTGCTGCCGGGCCATTCATCAAGGACCTCAACTTGCGAGGCTGTGTCCAAGTGGAGCATTATAAGAGAGCAGAAACTATTGTCAAATCTTGCAGGAACCTTATTAATGCCACCCTGGAAGGCTGCCGGAATCTGCAACGCACGACTCTTCACAGCTTGGTGAGAAGCAACGACAAACTGGCCCACCTCAACCTTACAGGGCTCACTGCAGTGACGAATACGACTTGCAAGCTCATCGCACAGTCCTGTCCGTCTCTGGAACTTCTCAACGTCTCCTGGTGCAAGCACATGGACGCTGAAGGCATCAGGATAGTGGTGGAAGCCTGTCCCAAGCTGAAGGACCTGCGAGCCGGTGAGGTCAAGGGTTTCGACGACTCAAGTGTTGCGTCGGCCATCTTCAAGACGAACAGATTAGAGCGGCTGATCTTGAGTGGATGCAACGATCTTGACGACGTGAGCCTCCAGATCATGGTCCATGGGACCAACCCCCCGATCGACATCTTGACAGACCGACCAATTGTTCCTCCTCGGAAGCTTCGCCATCTCGACCTCAGCCGATGCAAAGCCTTGACCTCGCGTGGTGTGCAGGCGCTCGGCCACTACGTCCCAGATCTTGAGGGGCTGTCAGTCGCCCACTGCGCTAGCCTGACCGATGCGGCCATCGAGCCAGTACTGGCCACTACTCCTCGACTGACACACTTGGATCTGGAAGACTGCCGAGGTATCACCAACCACTTGCTGTCTGAGCATCTGGCCAAGTCTCCCTGCGCAGCAAACCTCGAGCACCTCTGCATCAGCTCCTGCGAGAACCTGGGCGACACCGGCATGCTTCCTGTGATCCGCAACTGCAAGCGCTTGCAGTCGGCGTACCTCGATAACACCCGAGTCTCCGATCTGGTCCTCGCCGAGGCGGCGTCCATGGTCCGCAGGCGCTCCAAGAGGACAAACGACCGCACACAGCGGCCGCAGGTCGGCCTCAGCATGGTCGTCTACGACTGCCAGCACGTCACCTGGACTGGGGTGCGGGAGGTGCTCTGCCGCAACGCGGAGATCAAGAACCCGCTCAACGAGGACGGCGAGAGGCACCAGACCTACCCGACCGAGATCATCGCCCTCAAGGCCTTCTACGGGTGGCAGATGACCATCGACGAGCAGACGAAGCGCGTCCTGCGCGGGGACCTGGCGGCCGCGAACAGGCTCGAGCGCAAGTGGGCCGAGTACATGCAGGCGAACGAGGAGGCCGGCGTCATGGGTGCCGGCGGCAGGAGGAGGCGGAGGCGGGCGAGGGAGGCTCAGATGGCGCATGACGAGGAGGAGGGCGGTGTGGGTGTTGGCGGCCCTGGCGGTGGAAGGAGGAGGGCAAGGACGGCGGCTTGTGTAGTGATGTGAGCAAGGCCTTGGAGGAAACGGGAGGTTGGAATATGTCACCTCAGCTGCGAGTGGATTGTCGCAGGACGCAGCAGCTCGATCGACTTGGCTGTACCCCGTGCAGGGGACATGGGGATGGGCTTGTGCTAATACGACATTATTTCGTTGCTAATTACACGCATAAGGGGCGGGGGTTATCTGGAATGGCACAGGATGGGACGGTTGCCCAGGGGGCATTGCTGTTTTCTTATTTTACCATCTCATTATTTCAGACTCACTGTCAACCTCTCTCACCAAAGTTCATGCCGAGCAGGGCTGGAACACCACGCTAGACTTCCCCCAGATTAAGACTGTTTTCAGAGCAATCTTCTTATGTGCATCTATTCATGTCGTACTCTAACTCTACCGGAAAGTATGTGACTAGGTAGTAGGTAAACACAGCTGCCGTGACGCAACGCAAGCAAATGTACGCCTAGGGCTCAGAGGGAGGGGTGGGATGCAACGGGCATCACACTTGGCCCCTCCCCTACCCTTATCGCAAGCCAAAAATGCAACCAATTGGACATGATATTGTCCGTCTCGCTGAAGAGAAGATGAAACAAAAGAAAGGAAGCGGACGAAAGAAAGGAAACGACTCGTCTATGGCTCCCCTGAAACCCCCTCCCTCTAGCCATCCGACAAGGTGCCCCCAAACAGGTCCTCGTATTTGCCCCTCGCCTTGCTGGGCCGCCTGTGCAGCGGCTCCAAGCCGAAGATGTCCTCCGAGGTGAAGGCCTTTGGTCGCCGCGGCGGCGGCGGCCGACTGGTCTGTGACCTCGCCGAAGAGGAAGGCGTTGCGGTCGCGGCTGACGCTGTCGCGTGGGCTCTTGCGGTAGTTGCTGTGGTGGTTCTGGGTGGGCGTGGCGCCGGCCGACGGCAGGGACGAGGGTGAGTAGGCGGAGGATGCGGAGGGGCTCTGGTCGGGCTCGAGCATCAGGGCGAAGGAGGACTGCGCCATCGTCGACCGCGTCGGGACGGCGGTGGGACGGAGGAGCGGCGGCGCCGGCTGCGTGGGTGACAGCGGGGACGAGTGCTCGTGCTCCACGCCCTCCATCGTCGCCTCGGTCTTGGGCGTGCCAGGTGCCTCCCCCGGGTCGACCATCATCTCGTCCGCTGCCACCATCAGGCTGGGCGAGGCCGCGTCGTTCTTGGTCGCTGGCGGTGGGTTGGTGTCCGCCACTGCGGGGACGGGCAGGGCGTCGTCATCCACTACTATTTGTGGTGGTACTCTATCGTCCTCCCGAGGCTCCTCTGTTGGTAGCTCGAGCGATGGGTTTTCCAAGTAGACCTTGACGAGCTGTGCCTTGGCGGCGGCTAGTTCAACTCCTTCGAGGGCCTTCTCCTTGTCGCCCTCGAGTTTCGAGGCGGACACTTCCTTTAGGCCCGTGATCGCTTCGTCCAGGAAAAGGGCCAGCTGCTTGTTCCTTTGTTCTAGCTCTGCCATCGTCTTTTTCAACTCTTCAACGGGAGAGGCCAAGGTCCCGTTGGAGAAGATGTCATGTCTTCGTGTATTTGAACTGGAGCGGCTGTGTTCGGTGGGTTTATTTCTCGCTTCTTGGAAATCTTGCATGTTCTTTCGTATCTCTCCCATGGCGTCGCGCACGGCCTGGTTAATGCCCAGCTTCTCGCCACGCTCGATAACATTCTTAGCGGCACCCTGGAACAGAGCCTCCACGCCTCGCTGTTGGATGAATCGCGCTGGCGATCTGAGAGGGGATCGCGTGCCGCGAGTCCGGTCCCTAAGCGACAGGCCCTGGAAACGTGCCTCGGGTGTTGAGGGGCTCTGCTCGGAGATTGGCGCTGGTGTCTTGCCCGTGTACTTCATAATGATCGACGAGCCTCCTGCGGCATGGTAGTGATCCTTCAGGTATAGGGCATCGTCGACAAATGTGTGAGGCCCATGTGGTGGTTCAGGGGCGGGGTACTTCAATAATAACTGCAGCGCATTTGTGTAGTCCGCCTCAAGCACTGGTAAAGTTCAGCATTCCGCCATGAGCCCTGGGAGCAAGTGTAACTTACAGGTCCATCGTATTCTCAAAAGCATGGCGACGCATACGAGGTCTATAAGATCCAGAGTCGGGTCGAAGGCAAATATGGTGTCCCAGAGCACAAGCTGCTGCTCGAACGGGAACTCCCTTCCGAATAGTAGACGGATCCACCGACTGGGTGACATGACAGTCAGTATTCAAGTTCAGGACAGGAAGGCAGTGAAACCCACATCAGAAATATCTGGGGCAGGATCTCAATATTCTGGAGATGTTTGGCCAGCTCGGGGTCGATTGTCATGAGCGCCACTTCGTGAATCATCCTGCTCTTCTCGACAATTGCACTTTGTTCCCCCGACAGTGGGCTGCCCGCGTCCACGCTAACCTCATAAAAGGGCTTGGTATGGTCCATAAGCTTGGAAAATAGAGCAAATGTGTCATGCTCGACGAAGTAAGAGTCCAGCATCTCGACCATGTTGGGGTCTGCTATCGCGTCACCGACATTCTTACGATCGGCTGCGTCTCTGTCCACCACGTAGAGCAGCGGGGCCAGCAGCTCGTGCATGCCCTGACGATAACCGCCCAGATCGGTATTCAGCTTAACCCATATGAACAGGATGTCCAAGATGAGCGTTTGCGTGCTCTCCTGGTGGTAGAAGGGCTCATCGGGTAAACGCTGAACATCTTGCAAGATCTCAGCACGGATGGCCTCGTCGTTCCGGACGGCGGTCCATGGTGACTGTAGCTCGAGTTAGACAGGCTCGTGACAATGTACAGTATTGACAAGGAGGAATAGAAAGGCCTGGAGAGGGTTCCTACGTCAGGGTCATCGGCAAGGGGGTCCAGAGGAAGCTGGTTGAGAAGCTCTGGGTGCTTGATGTACTTGAGGTAGTGTTCTCTTAGAGTACTGTATGAGTTTCTGTTCTCAAGCAGAACATGGGACCAGTTGGACGCGTTCACATCCTTGAACAGCAGAAAGGCCTGGGCAACTGTCAATATCGCAGGATCTCAGCTGTGGATGTATGTCGGCCACGGCTCCGGGCTCACCTTCCAGCAGACGGATCGACAGCCAGACATGCACGGGCTACCAGGTCCGTTGAACTTGACAGCCCGCTGCAAGTCCGCGAAACTGGAGCTCTGTTTAAGGGTCTCGTCCCACCGCGTTCTGCAAAGACGGTCATTAGCGCCGATTTGGTTGTGGGTTGGGTCGACCACGGCCGGCGCAGGACGTACTTGGACTCATCCAGGGGTCTCATTGCGATGACGATGTTTGGTCAGGCGGGCAGGAAGGATGCAGATAAGAAGACGGCTCGCTCATGTGGAGGAGAGTCTCTTGGACAGAAATGGCAACTTATGAAGAATCAAGCAAGCTCCCAAAACTATTTCCCCAGCAGTCGCGTCGTCTGCCAGTGCATGGTTTCCAGGTCGAAGGAGTCGTTTTTCTTCATGACCAGGATTCTCCAGTGACCAAGCGACGACGCATGGCGTCGACAGCGACGCGGCTGCAGATCGACACTCGCCAGCCGCAGAAGGTGGGACGAATGCCTGGCACCGGCCGCAGGGGTCAGGATTTGGGCCAGTGGAGTGAGCTGACCAGGCCCAATGAAGGACCACATTTGGAGAGATGCTCTCACTGACCCCGGTCCGTCTGTTCTCCACCCGCAAGCCAGATTCGTCGAGGCTGTGATCCTGGCTGTACAAGCAGCACCAACTCGGCATGGTCCAGTCACTGCTGACCCTTTTTCGCGAACTACCCTGACTGCACACCAACGTTCCTGCGTCCAACATCCACAACCACTCCTTCGCTCGCCTCCCGCATGCCCCTCTAACTCGCATAACCCGCCGCCCGTCCACCGTCAGGGGGAATATGACTCTTTGTGACCTGCGTGTCTTTCTCGTGTCCGGCCCAGCTCTCTCCCTTGGTGCAGCTCCATCGGGACGTGTAGCACCACCCCCTTGACGCCCTCGACATTAGTCGGCCAAGCTTGCAACGTTGAATCTCATGCCTTCACCGACCCCTATTGTACAGGGTGCGACCTACAACCATGTCTGCTGACCTCTTTGCTGAGTTTGGCACATTCAACTCGGCGGCTCCGCAGCAGTCCACCCAGAAGCCGAACTTGTCCAGCCCCGACCCCTTCGCTTTCTTGTCGAGCCCTACGGCGCAGTCTACCTCACCACAGTCCTTCCAGCCGCCGCCGCCGCCGCAGCAGCAGCAGCCATGGTCAAACGTACAGCATCGCCAGAGTGCCACCGCCGGCTGGTCAAGCTTCGGGACACCCAGCCCAACTCCAGTGGTCCCGCAGCAACCAAAGCCCAACGAGACCGCGGACGACGATGATGGATGGGGTGACTTTGAGGAGGCACCGCCCTCTGCGACAACCACGCATCCGCCGGTTCCGATACCCGCCAGCACTCCAACCGTTACTATGGCTGCTGGACATGTGACTGCCTCGAACCCGCCGCCGATGAGGACCCGAATCGCCCGGGTAAATACTTTGGATCTCATGGCAAATAATTGGGGACCGGCGGCGGGTGGGAAGGAGAAGACTGGGCCTGGTTCGCAGCAGACTCGCCCATCGATGGGGCCGACAGCCACGAGTTCGTCGAGCCTGTGGTCAACGCCCCAAGAAACGTATCAAGCAGCACCTCCGATTTCGAAACCCCACGCAAATAAGGCGAAGCCAAAGAACAATGACCCCGACGTACTCTTTGATGCAGACGACTTTGACGGAGAAGCACCGGATGATGACGAGGACGATTTTGGCGATTTTGAGACCGGCGAGGGCGAGACTACGGTCAAAGTGTCGGCCCCTGCCCAACCTGCAATAGCAGACCTGATGTCTCTTGACTTCGGGCCTCCTGCTACACAGCCAGCGCCAGCGCTTGTGCCAGCCCCTGAGCATAAGCAGGGTCGGAAAGAAGCGCCATCACAGCTTTTGTCTACACTGAGCATCGGTGGTCCACCACACTCTCCGACATCTCTTTACCCACAACCGCCCAAATCTCCGGCTTTCTCAGACAGGAATCCTTTTCCAGGCCTGTCTGTGACTACTCCAGTATCTGGATCGTTCCCGCAAGATCTGAAGGACGATGCGAAGAAGTCACCGGATCCTATGACTGCGTGGCCAGACGGCGATTCCGCGACGGAAAAGGAGGACTGGGACGCATTCGCCGACCTCCCACCTGGTGCTTCTAGTGCCACACCAGGAGCTGGTGGACCATCAGCTGTGTCTTCGAGTTGGGACTGGGATGCGGTCGAGGCGCCTCAGGTGACCTGTACATCATCTGCACCAAAAGCCGCTCCGCGCAAGTCATCGGCTTCTGAAAGCATCGGCCCACCCCCGACAAACATCCCTCCTCCCTCCATTCTCCTCTCCATTTTCACTGAGCTGCTCGAAGAAGCGGAGACCAAGCTCTACAAGCCTACCGCCAACCAAACAGCGGCCGTGAAAACGCGGATTTATGCGGATCCTGGAACTCTGGCTTTTCTCAGGGGCTACATTGTTCTCGCCACTGTTGCAGCTCGTATCCTAGTTGGTCGGAGGCTGCGGTGGAATCGTGACAAATTCCTCGCGCAGGGCATGTCCATCTCGGCCGCTGGGTCCAAGGGTGGCATGAAGCTGGCGGGCATAGACAAGGCCCAGTCCGCTCGCGAGAACCGCGAAGCCGCAGACGTAATTGGCGTTTGGCGGGACTACGTGGGGAAACTGAAGACCGCGGTAGCCCAGGCCAATATCGGCATGCAAAAGCAGCCCGTGAAGATGGAGCCGCTCAAGGTTCCTGAGATCAATGATCACATGGCCGTCACCACCGCGAAGATGGTGCCCACCGCGCCCAAGGCGTGTGTCATATGCGGGCTGAAGCGGGAAGAAAGAGTCAAGGGCGTGGACCTTGAGGTCGAGGACAGCTTTGGGGAATGGTGGGTCGACCACTGGGGCCACAGGACATGCCGGAATTTCTGGCTGGGCAATGAGGAGAAATTGCGCTCTCGATGAGCCCGTATGAGGCAGAAGGAGCTGGGGGGGATGTTGCCCTTGTTGAGTAGGGCTGCTTGCTCAGAACCGACATAGCATGGCGTTTTAAGGGTTGTTGAACAACGTAGCCAGCGATTCACTTCACTTAATTGTAGATTATTCCACCAGTGATGTATATAAATATCTGGAGTTATCTCCAGAGCTGAATTCTAGAAATTCGCTCACCTCTGCGTTTCCAAGAAAGCAAAACCGACACACACTCAATGTCCTAGCAAGCACGCGACACTCCACAAGGCTGTTCATATGGCTGTTCATATGGCTGTTCATATGGCTGTTCAAGTTGTTCCGAAGGCTTAATATCAGTGGTGTATCTAATAAATGCCATTCGTGCTCAGAGGCCTGGGCATCACTGGGCGCCTTGGGCTGCATGAGACATGCAGCCCAACACCCATGTGCTCAAGTCTAATCCCTCCTTTGACAGATGGAGGAACCAACAGTACGGACAAGCTTTGCATTGGTTGCAGGGTAGGATGAAGACGAGTTACAAAGTTCAGAAATATTTTGCGCTACAACTATCCCTACCTAGTGATGGCCTTGGTCGCTTGCTTGCGAGGAGGCTGAGAATGATCGACGCGGTGCCAAGTGCCGGACTCTCCCTCCATGTTCTTGGCTGGCCTTCTGGCATGCGACCATGCAGATCCGGATAGATGGGGTCGTCGTGGCCGACTTGTGGTCACTAGTCAGGTTCAATTGGTGTCTAGCACCTGTGATTTATAGTTTACCGGGTTTGTCTTGACTTTTAAGCTTCCGGTCTTCATAAAACACTAATCACTATGATTGTATCTGCACAACACTACTATAGTCCTGTCGAGCTAAGAGGATATATTCGGCGTAGTAGATAATTAATGGTGCGGTGTTCCGCGAGTTTTTGCAAAGCTCCCTCACCAGTAGATGCCGGTGTCCTAGTTGTTTGATAAGCAGAGCACCCGATGCAACTCAAAAGGTACTCAGAACTAGTCAAGACTTGAGAGGTATGGGGCTGGCTATGTTTGAGGCTTGAGGGGAGTGGCCTCCCACATACTCCGCCACCGCATCCGCCTGTGTCCCATTCTTCAGCTCGTTGAAATTTCAGGCTTTGGTCAATCATTTCTATACCGCAAGTATCAACTGATGTGGTTGAATTAATACAGTTCATCTACAACTTAGTGATTGAGCACGGGCAACTCTGAGACTTCGCTGTCCTTAGTGGAATGACTTCATGTCCAAGCTTGTGAAATTTCGAAAAGTGTGACACAGTGACGACAGCCCGGACGCGTGGGCCCCGGTGGTGAGGCAGAGTTAACAGCGTTGAGGAATATGTGATTTTGCGTATATCGTACGTGACATTAGAACCAAGACATAACAATAATTGTGATGACTTCTGGCCGGGTTCGAGGTGTTGTCCTTAGCGGCGAGTTTTGTCCCTACCTTCCTGTATTGGGTGTGTAGAACCATGGAAGCATCTCAGGCAAGTGGTGTCCCCTTCACACACACCAAACGGCGTGAGTTCTAGAGGCACGTAGCTGAATCGCATGTACTAATGTATCTGCTCACATTGGTCACATGTATAATAGATACCGAGGGCGTGTGGAAAGGACGGCTGGCATGAGAAGTGTGTGCGCACCGTACAGCTGCACAGGATTGCGTGAGCATCAGAGATCTCTAACAAAGTGGCTATGTGCGGTATGGCAGCACGATAAGTAGACTCTTTGTGCTCTAGACTATGCCATGTGTTTTCGCTCTGCCCAGGATTCAACGGTGCTGCTTTGCGAGACTTTGGGTTCCGGAAGGTTTGGCCCCCAAGCGGGGCCCAGCAGCATCAGGGTTCTGAGCTGTGTAAGATGATTGGGCGAACCAGCGTGATGTGCCAGGCGTGCCTGGTTCGTCATGCTCTTCTGCCACTCCCCATCAAGCCCCATGCATATTGCAATGCGACCGTCAATGCAGCCATGGATCTTGATGGGGCAACGTATCTGTCTTGATGCACACACCCTTAAACACCAGCATATTTGGTGCCTGACCTTGTGCCTGGACCAATGCCTAGTTGCCGAGGTATAGGCACTTGGACTGGGAGCCCAGGTAGTTTTGCTGCATTGCTATGCTGCATTGCTATGCTGCATTGCTTTTTTTCCTCATCCCATTCTCCTTAGTAATCGAATGCTCCAGTGGGAGAGCCTTGAAAATATGGATCAGATCTCACATGGGTCACTCCACTGGCTCGGCGAGCTGAGCACAGAGAAAGAGAGGAGTGGTGAGAATAGATTGTGCAGGCCGAGTCTGCCCAAGTGACCGCAGCTCCCTGCAGCAGAAACCCCAGCCGACGGGTTGAGGATGCCGGAGTAGGTAGGACTGCGCCGGACCAAGAAGTCGCGGACGACGGCCAAATGAAGGAACGTAGTAGAAAAAAAGCAGCAGCAACTGGGCTCGCCATTTCCTCGATGGGACACAAAGGTGTAAACCGGTGGTTGGCGGTTGGAAACTGTGGGCCTCCCGAACCTCTTACACGAGCTGCAGTCTTGTGTGCAGCGGCCAGACAGCCAGTGATGCTGCCAAAGAAGCAATTGCCAGCAGGCAACCCTAGCCGGCCATGTGAAATAAGTGGCTTGCAGACCACGTTGGCAGAGCCGAGGAAAGTCTGACAGTTGCATTTGCTGTTATCGAACTTTGAGGTGTCGTCGATCAGAGGGTTCGCATCTCGTTGACGCCTTCCCAATCAAGGGCGATGAATGGTCCAGGTTGGGGGCAGCGGCCCAGCGATCGGTCTTTTGTGCGCAAAGTTGAAGATACATAGGATTATTAGCGACGTGGGGCCACGCCGAGGTACTGAATACTTCGTGCTGGGGTGCTCCACCGCAACTGCCATCCCATCCCTACCGTGCCATGCCATACAGACCACACCACACAGCACGGTACGCACCTGCATAACGTGCACGCCTAGGTCTGTCTCTTTTTTTGCACTTGCCCTGACCTCCCCTCCTCTTTCTTCCCGTCTTCTTGTCGCGTCGAAGCAATTCCCATCCCGGCCTGCTTTTGTCTCCCTCCTCCTCTCTTCCTCTCCTCTTCTTCTCCCTTCGTCCAGCTCACCTTTCATCACCCTCCCCCGCCACACATACGCCCCGGAATCCTGCTCCGTCGTCCCTCTTCTCGCCTCCACGGCCGCCGCTCTCAATCACCCACCTCCTCCCTCTACCTCAATACGCGAAAGCCTTCCCCACCTCAACCGCCTCAGTCACATTCACGCCCGCTTTGGACCGCCGCACTCACCACCCAAGGTCTTCGCCCCTCCCATCGCCTCGACTCCTGCCGTGCTTGGATCAGGACCTCTGGTTATCCATCCATCCATCCTCTGCTCTCCGACCCTAGCAGCAGCAGCAGCAGCAGCAGCAGCAACAAGCAGCACGCAGTGCGACTGTGCCTTATCGCTGCTATCTTCCCCGCTCACCAGGGACTCTGGCCCGTCTGTTCACTCGCGCCCGCGCCCGCGAAAAGCACCACCAACCCAGACGATTTTGCCCCGCCGCAAATCCTTACTTGCACGTTACGTACCTTAACGTAGGTCACCCCGCCCCACCAATCAACATCATAGCTACAGTCCATGTCCGTCGAGGGAAGCTTTCTCTGCAAATGCATCCACCCACCCTCTGCCCACCCAATCTCTAAAGCGCACAGATGACCAAGAATCAACTTGAGCTTTCCCTTTGACCACCCTCCGTTCTCCCTTGCGCCAGCTCAATCAGGCATCTTCACTTTCCTCCCAAGCCCTCCACCACCTTATTTTCCGAGCGCAAAACCCCAAAGCTAACCCGGACTGCATCACCAGCTCTGAGCCGTGCTATTCTCCATCGTGCGACCGCCACTTGGATCCAGTCTCATTGAATCGGTTCGCGCCCAGCCCCACCACCACACACCACCAAACATCGACAACCCCAATCCTACCATGTCTGCCAACCAAGACAACCTCTCTCCCAACGGAGACGACCTTTCTGTCGGTCTGGACCGCGTCAAGCTCGAAGATGGCGAGCCCAGACTCGGACCTGATGGAGAACCTGCGCCTCGGACCGACGAGGAGTATGCCCAAGCCCAGCTGACTCTGCGCGCTATTGTGTCCTCCAAAGAAGCCGGTGTAATCATCGGCAAGGGTGGCAAGAATGTCGCAGAGCTGCGCGACGAGACTGGAGTCAAGGCCGGAGTAAGCAAGGTCGTGCAAGGCGTTCACGACCGCGTTCTGACCATCACTGGCGGATGCGACGCCATCTCTAAGGCGTACATGGTTGTCGCCCGCGCATTGTTGGAAGGTGCACCTTCCATGGGCATGGGCGGCGTCCTCTCGGGCAACGGAACGCATCGTACGCACCCACCCCCCTCTTTTCAACCTACTTCGAATCTGCAACAGGTGTGGCTAACATTCTGATCACACAGCTATCAAGCTCCTGATCTCTCACAACCAGATGGGCACCATCATCGGCCGCCAAGGCCTTAAGATCAAGCACATCCAGGATGTGTCAGGCGTACGCATGGTTGCGCAGAAGGAAATGCTGCCACAGTCGACTGAGAGAATCGTGGAGGTGCAAGGAACACCCGAGGGTATCCAGAGGGCCATCTGGGAGATCTGCAAGTGCCTGGTGGATGACTGGGAACGTGGTGCGGGTACCGTGCTATACAACCCCGCTGTGCGCACCGCCCCCACGACTGCCATCGGCGGCCCAAGTGCATATGCCACTGGGCGAGGCGATTACGCCACCCCATCCCGCGCCATCCGCACCGGGAACGGCGCCGACTTCAGCAATGGCGCGACACCCCGCAGCTTCAACCGCCCAAATGCTGAGATCGGTCGCGGCCCACCAACACACGATGAGAATGGCGAGGAGATCCAGACTCAGAACATCAGCATTCCTGCTGACATGGTCGGCTGCATCATTGGACGTGCTGGTAGCAAGATTAGCGAGATCCGCAAGACCTCTGGTGCGCGCATCTCTATCGCGAAAGTAAGTGGACTGCACAGCATACTCCGTATGATTGTTTAGTTACGCCGGAGAACTAACGCAAACCAGGCTCCTCACGATGACACCGGCGAGCGGATGTTCACCATCATGGGAAGCGCGAAGGCCAACGAGACGGCCCTGTTCCTTCTCTACGAGAACCTGGAGGCTGAGAAGGTGCGCCGCAGCCAGGCCCCTCCGCTGGAGTAAGGGCGTCGGCTGGCTAGCGCTCGGGAGGGACCTTGACGGAGGTTTATGTTGAGGTACTCGTACACTTCACTCCAAGTGATCTCATAATTATGGTTGGATTTGGCCACCTCACACTCAAAAACGACTGGGGCTTCTCCAGATCTGACTTGCCGCAAGGCTGAATATTGGGCGTGGAGTGAGGAGCCAGGGCAAAATGATGTTACGACAATTGTTCTTTTTTCCCCTTCGAAAAGCATTTGGCTTTTTTTTCTCAAATTCTTTGGAACTGGTTTCACTCCTTACCTATGCTACGTATTGTTTTGGGGCGGGGCCGGAGGAGGCTACGACGGCAAGCCTGGGTTCTGGCTGAGAGCAGCCGAACGAGACGTTCGCACGAATCGACCGGAACGGACTACTCGCTCCGCAGACCACACCCTTTGACACCCACACGCCCAGGCCCGATCGCATTGGAGTATTTTCCAGCATGGCCTGCAACACATCCAAAATCGACGTCTCCACGAACCAACGAGAAGCGCCATAATCTCGTTTTTGACGACACGATACGACAGGACGGCCCTCCAGGATTCGACTTGTGTCGAGATGTGCAGTTTTGGCCGTCAGAGCAGATCAGATACCCCTTTCCCCAAGGACTCGAGCCTTTTCGAGCCTCTTATGTTATTCTTCCCCCCCTTTCACTCGACACGTCGACCGTTGCCTCGGCGCCCTATTCTCAATGAAACCCACGTCTTTGGCCCAGGCTCAATCACTATCCTATCGACATAATCTCGCAGCAACCCGAAATTTCCGCTCTTCCACAGTTTTAACTCGCTGCTACTCAAAGGCTTTTGACCTCTTTTCTACGACATCCGACTCAGGAGTCCCACGACTCGTTACACCGATGGCTCTCACGGAGCGAGGAAAAATGGATGAGAATATCTAGCGCAGATGACAGAACCATAATGACAAGGCTCGCGAACCAAACAAGTGCAGTGTTGCTTGCTCAAAGTGAATTGACGTGCCGTACAGCAAGTGGACTGGATACGTGCAATGCGCCTCCCTGCACCCCCACGTGGAAGTGCTTGGTGCCTGACTGCCTGCGTAGGTTACTGGGCGTGTTGGTGCTCGGGAGCGAGGACCCTAATGAGTAGCTCCGTGGTGGAGAAGACCCCACCCGAGCTCGGCGTGCATGCTTATCGATAAGTTAATTTCGGGATGCACTGTCGCATATGAATGAGCCTGAATCTCTCTTAGGTCAATTGAAGCCAGCTTGTCAGCTTCGCAACCACGCCGTGTCTTTTTTCTCTCTTTGCGACCGGGCCTCCCCCAGTCCTTTCACTTTCTTTCTCTATTAAACTTCACGCTCGCTGTTTTCATCTGCATACCTCTAATCAGTCCAAGTCGTTCCCTAGGAAGTCGGAAGACTGTTGAGAAGCCGCTTTGCTTGCGCTCACGGCCTCGTTCGAAGTGCCCAGCACCTGCCGTCCCCTCGAGTCGCCGACGAAGCCCGCGTGCATACCGCCGCAAAATGGCCAGGTCTAAGCAAGCCATGCCAGTGAAAAGGGCGACGTCTTCCGAATACATCACCAAACACGATAGATTTCCCAAGAACACCACAGAGCTGGCTGCCAGGGCCAAGGACAATGCGCAGGCGCTGGCAGCGGGGGCCCGAGATGACTCGGGCTCCGGGATGCTCCAGCTGCTGATCTGCGTGGGAGGAATATATGCTTCCTTGTGAGTTGTACACCGTCTGGGCTGCCGCGACATTGCAATTCGCAGATGGAAGATGAAGGCTGACCTGGTCCCTTCCCCCCGGACTGCAGCATTAGCTGGGCATGGCTCCAAGAGGGCGTCACCACGACGCCCTACACCAACCACGACGGCTCGACCGAGATGTGGAAATTTCCCGTCTTCCTCCTCACCGTCCAGTCCATCCTCTCCTCCATCACCGGCTCCCTGTACCTCTGGTGGTCCACGCCCCGCGGCCAGCCCGTCCCGCCCATCATCCCCACGAACCGCATGCTCCCGTCGCTGCTCCTGGTTGCCTTCACGCAGGCGCTGGCCGCGCCCTTCGGCATGGCCTCGCTCGCGCACGTCAACTACATCACCTTCACGCTCGCCAAGTCGTGCAAGCTGCTGCCCGTCATGTTCCTCCACGTAACGCTCTTCAGACGGCGGTACCCCCTGCAGAAGTACCTGATCGTCGCGGCCGTGACGGCGGGCGTGGCCGTCTTCACGCTGCACTCGGGGAGCAAGAAGCACAAGGGCGGCGCGGCCGCGTCTCACAGCGGGCAGACGGCCTGGGGCATGCTGCTGCTCAGCATCAACCTGCTCTTCGACGGGCTCACCAACAGCACCCAGGACTACATCGTCTCCGAGTTCAGGCCCTACCGCGGCCCGCAGATGATGTGCGCCAACAACATGATGAGCTCCGCCCTGTCCGGCGCCTACCTGCTGCTCAGCCCGTACCTCGTCCGCACCTCCCTGGGCGAGTGGTTCGGCATGGCCGACGTCACCGGCGGCGGCGGCGAGCTGTACGCCGCCCTGGGCTTCCTCGCGCGCCACCCGGGCGCCTGGTGGCACGTCCTGGGCTTCGGCCTCTGCGGCGCCGTCGGGCAGGTCTTTATCTGTAAGAGTTCCCACCCCAGCACCCACCTGTCTACATTTTCGCTGACACTCACCTCTTTTCGCGCCACAGTCTATACGGTCGCCAACTTCGGGTCCGTCACGCTCGTCACCGTCACCGTCACTCGCAAGATGCTCACCATGATCCTGTCCGTCGTGTACTACGGCCACAGCCTCAACTACAAGCAGTGGATGGGCGTCGGCCTCGTGTTTGGCGGCATCGGCTTCGAGGCGTACCTGAAGAGGTCGGCCGAGTCCAAGAAGGCCGCCGAGAGGGCCGCGAAGGCGAGGGAGGAGAAGGCGCAATGAGACGGTGTCAGGCGTGCCTTGGTCTCGGGTCGCAGATAAAGCCAGGACTGCTGGCCGCAGTTATTAGAGTAGAACCTGTAGAATTTATCACATAACACACAGCTTAACACCATTTTCCTATCACGTCTAGTGCGTCACTGTGATCTGTCAGATTCAGTAAAAAAGACACTGAGCCAAGGGCAAGCAGGCAGGCACCGGGGCTTTTTGAAATGTTCATGATATTTTTATCTGCACACCGTAGTATGCCTTTCACCCTTTAGACTATCCTCAAGAGTGTGCTTCACTCAAGGGCCGACCCTCTCTAGCTTTCAGAGGTATCTCTGCTCTCCTCATCATATGTTTCGTAAGTCTCACGTCTCGTCCTCCCCTTTCCATCTCGAGCAACCTGAGCAGCGCTCAGTCCCATGATATCTCCACACAACCCTCATATTCCCATCCTCATCCCATCTTATGCCTGGGGAATCATGATTTGAACAAAGCAGGACACAGAACAGGTAGGAAACCAGAATGCTAAGAGCTTTTCCTCATCATACGCCCTTCGCAACCCTGACACCGGAAAGGCCTACCGCCCGTCAAGAGAAGGCCCCTCCTTGAGCGAGCTGTATTGTGATCAAGGCCTTGGCCTCAGCCTCGCCAAACCTTGTCCCAAAACGTTCGGTACGCCTGTCAGAAGTGAAGTCATTGTGGCTCCCTTCCAGATTATACATTTCCATTTAAGAAATAAAGTGACCTTTCTGGCCACTGAGCGATCGGTAACCTCCCAAAAGGAAGAGTAACATTCGACAAAGGAAAGTTGAATTGATTCAATGAAAGCTCCTCGTGGATGCTTGAAGTCTCCAACCCCGGGGGGTTGGTAGTGAATTGCATGTGCCCCAACTCCGATTCGATGCGTGCGGATTGTGATGGATTTATTATCGACGCGCATTGCGAGTCATGACGCGCGATGTTGCGCATTCGGGATGGATGATGCTTCTTGGGTGTGATCGAGTGGACGGACCATCGGGTCTATATGTAATCATCGATGGACCTAATGATCGGAGCCTCGCCTTTGGTGGGTGGGCTTCGAGGATCCGAGACTTGCCGAGGTCGTCCAAAGTGGTTGAATGTGTCTCGTGGGAATGTGGATTCCCGTGGTGAGAATAACGCCTGCTCTTGCGCTGGGCTTGCGGAGAAGCTCTGCTCGCTGGGTGTCGGAGGCACCTCGACGAAACGCAGACCGGTGAACTCAGCGAAGGAATTGTGCACCGGGTTGCTCGTGATGATCTCGGCTCGCGGTGACAGTAGCGCCGCATCCTCGGGTAGAGAGTTTACTACATGGACCTCGCGTTCCGCCTTTGGAAGCTGCTCAACACTTTCAGGCCTCGACAGCGAACCAAAATTCAAAGGAGTAAATCCGAAGCCGCGCTTCTCGCCGAACCTGTGAGCCCCAAACCCAGGCGATGATGGGGGCTTTGGAGATGCATCTGGCAGGAATGACCCAAACGCTGGGGACGGTGGGGGCCTCGGGAAATACCCTGAGTTGTTCGATGATGTGTTTCCAGGCCGGCTCTCTTCTCGAATTGCAGGAGGCGTTTGGAAGATCTGCGAAGGACTAAAGCGCCCGAATTTCCCAGGATTAGCCTCATCCTCCTTCTCCATCCACGAGAAACTCGACGGTGCCGATGACGGGCCGGGAGAAATGGTGATCTGATCCGGTGTAGAGTTGCCGCGGGCGCGCAATGGCGAATTGCTCGGACTAGAGCTTTTTGTTGCGCCATCATCGTCTGGCAAAGGTGCTGTCCTCGGCTCCTTGGGTACGTCGATTGCGTCCACAGAAAGTGTCAAGCGGTGCTTTGATGGGCTCCGACCGCTTCTTGGCTTATAAGCCGAGTTCGGAGGCAGCTTCCTCTTGGAGACCTCCTTCTGGAAATCCTGCAGGCAGTACATCAATCGCATGTTGGGGCTAATCCATTTGCTCTTGCCCTGCGCCGCATAATACGCATCATTGACACTCATCTCCGGGTTCTGGTAGATGCCATAGGCGATGATCAAACTGGCTGACCGACTGGCTCCCTGTTGACAGTGTACCAAGACCTTCTTGCCGGCGAGTGTCTTTCTCTCGATCGTCTCACACAGGAACATCAAATCCGACCCAATGTCCGTGTTATGGTCCCACGGTATGTGAATGTACTCGGGTTCCTTGGGAGAGAATTGCGCCTTCGGGGTTGTTGGGGTCATGTCGTCGGGCTGGAACTCAAAAGCGGTCGCAAAGCTTGAGCTAGTCACGGCCGTGTCTGGGATCGGCGATGTATCCTCCATGGGTTCGTCTTTGTCCAATGCGGCCTTGAATGGATTCGGAACCTCACGAGCGACATTAATAATGACGTCGAATCTGGAAGCTTCCTCAGCAGTTGGCTCCATATACAGGTAGACATCGCTTCCGTAAATGGCAACAGGGCCGTCGGGATATCCCGGAGACTTCTGGTCCTCGTTGCTCTCCTTTTCATGGTAAGGTTCAAAGTCAAATGCGGTACGGTTGGCCATTTGGCTCCTGATAGGCGAGTCTTCCTCCAAAATTGCATCGTCCCTGTCGCGGGGTGAAGGTTCTTTTCCAGGTCTGAGGAAGGACGAGAGGCCAGACTCGTTGCGTTCGAAGACCGTCGGGAAGGTCATACCACCGGCAGGACCAAAAGTCGACGACTTCAGCCCACTCAGCATGTGTGGGGATGAAGTGGAGTGTTTCAGGGCTCTTCTCTGTGCGAGCGCAGGTACGGAGGGACTTTGCGGGACTTCGAGGGTTGAGCGGCCGGCCAAGTCATCCGAGTTTGTTTTCAAGCTGAGCTGACTGGGCTTTCTCTTCATGGCCGGGATTGTTGGTTTTATAAAAGACGGGGAAGATGGCTCAGACATCAGTGATGATGAGGCAGCCGAGGCCGCAAAGGGTGGCTGTATGGAGAGGCCCTTCATATTCCTCGGTCGCCGGGGCGCAGGTGAGGTCATGGGGCGTATCAGGTGGTTCCTAGGTTCGGAAACAGCCAAGGTCGCCATGGACGGCAGGCCCCCAAAATTGGTCGATGGGAAGGCATTCAAGGGAACCAGATTGACTGGAGAATCTGGCGACGAAGAAGGTGAAGGATCGGATAGCGACGAGGAATCTGTGCACGACACAGTCGTCGTCGGAGACGAGTCCGCGGACTCGGATGTTTGCGTTGATGTGCTATCCCGGTGTTGATGGTTTGGTGGGATTGCTGGAGGCTGGAGGAGTTGTGAAGGGTCGGAAGGCAATTGTGGGTTGCATTTTGGTTCGATCCCCACCATTTTGGGATCAACGACGGTGACGGTGTCCTGGTCTTGCATGGCCTGGTCTAGGTCGAATACTGACATGAAGGATGGTATCTGATCCTCGTATAGTCGACGAGCCGACGTTGTATACATGGTCGTCTGGCAGGCTGCAGTGTGTGCTTAGGCAGTGAGGATAGACGATTCTCGTCGACGAGGTAGGTTCTCTTGCTTCAGGAAGACCTCTTCTTGACCCCGTTCGAGCAACTTAACACCGTTCGTGTCGCGCAGCGGTGGGCTACTTTCGAGTAGTTTGTCTCTGTGAGAACAGGCCGCCTGTTGGAAAGGGCAACAGGCCGGGCGGGGATTAGTGACAGATGTCGACGGATGAGGTCGGTAAACGGGACAGCGCTGCTGTATCCTGTGTTACGCGCAACCCAAGTCCTCCTCTTTAGATAAACGAGTTGGCTTCGACCTGTCACGGCCTGCCTTTCTCCACCGAATTGGCCTTGGACAAGATAGGTCTCAGGTACCGGATCTCGGGGACCGGTGAAGGCGCAGTCAGGGGAAGGATTCGTTGACGTGGTGGTTGGTTGTTTGTTTTATTTATGGGATGCGCTGGGAACAATAGGGCTAAGCGGCGGAAAGGAAGGGGAATAAATATTGGATATGCAGAAAAAGATGGAGCAAGAGACAAGATGTCACCACATGTTTGGATCTATCCAGACCGCAACTCCAAGAGAGACAATGATGATGGCCGGTGGGGAGGTGGTGTCGAAGGAGAAGATGAGACGAGAGACCAGTGGTGGGCCGGGTCGGGACGAAATATCGTGAGGTCGTGGGCCTAGTGGTCTTGTCTTTGTCGTCCTTGGAGGCGACTCCCTCTATTCTTGGCCGCTCTTGACTCGACTCGACTTCAGCTCAGCTAGGCTCTGCTCTTCTGCACCGCACCGCGCGGAAAAGGGAGGCTGTCTGTTTTTGTGTTGCGGGCTGCGCTGAGTCGCCGGGAGGATTAATCGGGATGGGGGAAATGGAGAGAAGAGAACGAGGTGACGAGGTCGAAAAGAGGCGTAGAATTGGCTCGACTGGGGGCCCTGGGAGGGGAAGCCAGCGACAACCAGGATGCGGAGGAGAAAAGGGTAAAAAGAGTCGCAGCAGGGGGGTCACCCGGTTCACAGTGTACAGTATGAATTCCAAGGTTGCCTGGGGTGGAATTGGGAATGGAAACGGGGGAGAGGGAGACAGAGAGAAGACCCTTGCCGTGCGCGTGCTTGCCAGGCTTGGGCCCAAGGATCTGGCCTAGTCTTTTCTGATTGCAGCGGTAGGAACAAGCGTCGTCGTGAGCAGGGCTGAATTGACGAGACCCCGGGACTCGTAATTGCGTAGCGTACACGGGCGCCAGATGCTTCGAGGGCGAGGAACGAGCGAGAGAGAAGTTGGAAAGAGGGCAGATCTGGAGTATCGGTCTCAGGCGGGCTTCCCAGGTTAGCTGCCGTCGTGGTGCGTTGCTTGGTGCGGCTGCGGTGCGGTTGGTTGGTTGGTTCAGTCGTCGAGAGCGAGCAAGAGCCTGGACACGGAGGGGGGGGAGAGCAACGCAGGCGCCGAAGTCCACTTTCAAGCGCGGAGTCCAGCAGCCCTCCAGCCACTGATGTGCGAGACGGCAGGAGGGAGCAGGGGTCGCAGGGCAGGGCAGGGGCCCAGAGGTGCCCTTTTCTCGGAGAACAATGGGGACGGCCAGGGAAGCTGCGTCTGGTAGCAGGGTGGGTCCCGCCGCCCCAGCCAATGACCGCTGCCGTGACTGCAGGCGTTAGCCGCTACGGTGCATCTAAAAATAGGCGGGCGTTTCAGTCAACGAGCCAATGGGGGAGGGGCGACTTTGTCGGCCAAATACAAGTACAGTACAGTCACCGTACCGAAGTACCCAAGTACTGGCAGATGGATGTTCTGCCCTGCCTGCCTGCCTGCCTGCTGGGTCTAATGGGTGTTGGGAGTAATGAGCTGTGGTACTTGGTAATTTTAGACTCGCAGTGATCTTCGCCTGTCCAGGGCAAGAGAACAAGAGAGGGAACAAAAAAAGAAAAGAAAGTGTCCGTATCCCAAGCCTGCTCTCCACAATCTGCCGTCTGCGAGTCAATGGGAGTGATTCCTTCCTCTCACCGTAGCGAGGCCTGCGAGGGGCATACTGTGTGTTGTGTGTTGCTGTGGATGCTGTGGGTGTTGCTGTGTGTTGTTGTGCGCTGATCGCCTCCGGGCAAGTTTCAACTTCCGCCCTTGGTTAGGCCTCGTCGCAGGACGGCACCTCGCCGTGCACGCTGTACTGTACTGCACGGTTTATTTTACGCACACAAGCTGCACCTCACCCTGGCCCATCTCCCCCCCCCCCCCCCAGCATACGCCAGTACTGTGTACTGCAGGCTGCATACAAGCATACCAGCCAGTCAGCCACCCAGCCCTGCAAATCCCCAGGTGTCCAGTCCCACCTCGTTGTTGCAACCCGAGCATGCGGCACATGCAGCTTGCATCGCCTCAACCAAAGACGCCAGTGGCCAATGGTCAGCCGAGGTCGGTGGCTTTGTATCGCATCCTCCATCTCATCATCAGCCTGCCAGGCCGGTCCGAAGAGGAATGTTTGGCTTGGTTAGCATAGCGAGCATAGCAATGCAGTGCAGTGCAGAGCAGGCTGGTGCCGTCGGCCATGTCACAGACGCTGGTGGGCTGCGACTTGCTCACGAATGGGGCCTCGTCGCTCAGCCTGGGCAGACCTTCACCGCTCGCTCACGCCTCGGTCCAGGCCCCGTTGTATCCCACGGCTGTGCTCCCCATCTCAGGCTCGTTTAACCTTCAGCCTCATCCTCCGTCGGGCGTCTTACACGGAGGTCGTAACCGAGCAGCAGGGGAAACGAAACACACGGCGGCGGGCGGGAAAACACCAGCAGGACGCTGTGGCGTGTTTGCCCCTCGGTCTGTCTGGACGAATCAAGCTCGGACGGCCCTGCTGACTGCTGACTTGCCCATCCTGCCATCACGGGTCGACTCTCTAACAACCGAGATCTTCAGACGACACCTCTTTTCCTGGTCCCACACCTTACGTCCCAAACCTCCACCGATGGAGGGATCCAAGCCCGGCTTCCGAGTTGTGCTGTGCCCGGCTTTGCTTGCTGTCATCTGTCGCGCCGTCTTATTACTCCCAGACACTGACACCCAGACAGTCAGACCCGACGGCAAAGAGACGGCGCCCTCACGGACTCCCGCGATTATTTCGATCAGCTGCCGCTACAATTTGGCCAGTGGGCACTGTGAATTGCTGATCGATTGCCGAGCACAGTCCGATCACGGGGACATTGCCACTGTCCTGACTGCTTGTTTTCTGATACGACAATTTGAAACGAAGGGGCTTGGGAGGGACCACAACGGAAAAGAAACTCCCAATTTGGCACCTCAGATCCTGCCTGGGGTGGTTCAAATCTTTTGACTCGCAAATGACGAGCCGAGGTTTTCGCGACTGGTTGATGACGACAGGCAATCAATCGCAACACCACGGCCGCTTGGATTGCCAAAATATTCAACCCTCTTTGGGCATCTTTTGGCCAGGCCTGCTCCTTGCTGACAAAAGTGACCGCGCCTGAACCGCGCTTGTTGGACCAATTTTCTTCGCCGTGGCGGCTACGGGCACCCCGACAGTTGATGAGGCTGAGGTGTCTGCTTCGCATCCAATGACGGGGCCCTGTGGGGACGGAGTACTGTTTATTTTGAGCCTCATCGTTTATGCTCACAACGTGGTCTCGTGCCTGCCAACCCTCTGCTCACGGTGATTTTGCCCCCTCTATCGTATCTAAGAATAGTTGGCATTGAATGTTCATCACAGTAGTTAAGAAGATAGCGGCCTTTGTCCGGATTATTTGCTACTTTGTCACCGAGACGTGCGACGGGATGGCCAGCAATCGTCTGTCGGACGACTCGGGAGTTGAGTTGAGAGACGCTAAGCGGAGCTGAGTGGTTGCTTGCGCAGTAGTTCAGGGTCGCCAGAACGCCAAGGTCGCTTGTTTGTTTGGGTGCAGGCTTGGTAGAGCATCGTGACGATGATGCGACAGTAACTGCACCACACTGGAGCTGGGCATGCCGAGGTGGTTGAGCTTGCTCGCGTGAACACAACGCGTGGTCTCCGCCTGACCAGCTGAAAGGTTTTCATTTCCAGACACAATTCACTCGACACTACCTAGGTACTCCTCAATTGGCGAGGCGAAAGCTGACGTGACTGGAAATCGCGTTGGTCTCCTCCACGTCGACTGGATGCCTCAGACAGAGCCGACCCCCAAGGCTACCGGCCCAACTCTCGGCACATCTACACGTTAGTTCTCATTATCTGATCCAGCTGTGCGAATGTATCGTAATGTTGTTGAAACATACGCAATATTACCCTCACCCGCAACTTTGGATATGCAGACCTCGAGACAACGGGTTGGTCTGATCACACAAGGTTCGTCGATCTCACATGGGGCAGACCTGCGGACGCTTGCATAGACGACGCACAGTCCACACACCTGGTTTCTCTGGGGATTCGGATGTTTCGAGCTAAGGCAACAACGAACCTTAAAGGAACGTCGAAGCAAGATCGGGATTCCGGGGGCCGAGGGAGGCAAGAACAAAGTTGCAGGAAAAGCTATGTTGACAGTTCTCTGCTCTCCCAAAGTTCGTCTGAAGTTGAGTGGGCTGGGCTGCGGGAGCAGAGCAACTATCGACGACTCTGGGCTGACACCAAGCGGGAAGAGTGTCCAACAAAAGCTAGCTGGCATCTACCGCAACCTGGAATCGCGTCGCCGTTGTCTAACCCCGGCAGTCTAGCAGTCAGGGCACGGCATTGGTGCCGCAGAAAGACGTTGACTAGGCCCGAACTCGGCGCCTCGAGATCGGGTCCGGCAGCCAGGCCTCGACTAGGAAAGAAAGGCACGGGAGAGGATGCAGGGCGAGCCCCATAGTGGGGACGTTCACATGGAAAATGCCCGGACCATTCTTCATCAATCTCTCGCCAGGTTTCTTGGCCAGGAGCACAAAGGAATTTCAAGGAGAGCTAACCCTGACCAAAACGGTCAGAGCGGAGGGGAACGACAGCCTGGGCAGGTCTTCTTAATCAAACCAAACCAAATCAAGCCAGTTTGGCTGTTGAGGCCTGTCCAAATTGGCGAGCCGCGCTCTGTTCGCTCTGGCCGCCGCAGTGTCTGGTCTTGGCTGCCGGGCTGCTCAGGCTACTGTAGTCCGATACCAAAGGAGCAGTGACTGTCACGGTCCTGACGTACAGGTGGATCCACAACTCGTCGCAACACATTTCTTGAGCCCACCCACCATGCGGCAGCCGTCCAGTCAGCGACGGTGAAGGAAGGCCTTCTAGAGCGGCCACCCTGCCCTGCCCATCACACCTCATCATGCGCGTAATTTAGCCTGATGACCACCCCCGATGCAACTCGAAAGGGGGAGGTGCCGGGAGGAGGCCCTAGCGTCTGCCTCGACGCACAAAGCCGACGAGAGGGTCAGCGTTCTAGGCCCGTTGCGGCGATGGCGGGTGCTCGATGTCGCCCGAGTTGGGTCGACAGTTGCGGCGTCCAACCAGCCCAGCCAGCCAGTGCCAGCCAGTACCAGCAGACCAGCGCATCAGTCATCAAGGGCACCCTCGACGGACGGAGATCTGAGTGCTCGGCGGGCAACGCTCACGCTCACGCTCACGCTCACGCCACCGTCTGCCGGGTTTCAGGTCCCTCCTTTGGTAAGGGGGGGGGGGACCCGCGCGAATTGCGTCTGAGACTTCTTTTTTTGATTTGCGGGACTAGCAAGTGGCCCCGCGTGTGACGACCTGACATGATGATGGTTGATCCCAGCTGCTTGTGAAGTTTGATTGCAAGGACGGAGATCAATCTTTTTACAGCCAAAGTCTCGGCCTTTTTTTTTTTTTTTTTTTTTTTTTTTCACACTCCCTTCGAAATTAATCATAACGAAATGAGATAGATGCTCGGGCTGTCAACGAGCCAGGACCGGTGCCTGCAAATGCATCTCCCAAAAGGGACGAAGATCAGAAGGATCAGGGTCAATCTGCAGACCGGTAGCAGAATGCGTATGCGAGGTTCTGGGGCAGATTTAATGGGGTCCTGCGGCTTGCTTGCGACATCGAGACATGGAACCTTATATCCAGGGCTACCCCTCGCAGATCCTGTGTTGCATCCAAGATCACGACTGCTGTCAGCCTTTGGCCACGGACCGTATGGAGTTTCTGGGTTGCTATAGACATGGGGTGCACTGTGGGGGACCGACCGCCCACAAACAACTTGGAAGTCTCGGGGGGTTACCATCGTCACGTCCCAAGGAACTGCCCCCGGGCTCGTCGAAGGTCTGCAAATTGCAGTCTGGAAATCACCCGTGGCACGGGCGCGCAATACTCGTGGTCGGCGGGGCCCGCAGCCAGTCAGGATGCAGATGGTGGCACACTTGTTCTCCGCTTCCTGTCCCGTCCAGGGCTCTTGCTGGCACCGGTCGGCGGGAACCCTGGCCAGAGTGCTCGTGAACAGACTCTGCAGGTTCCGGTGAGTGCGTGTGATGAGCTTCGACCGAGCCGGCGGCGGTGGCGGCACGGCCAGCAGCAGGATGAGCAGCAAGAGAAGCAGCAGCAAGAGCAGCAAGAGCAGTAAGAGCAGCGCACATCGCAGGCTCGTGCATCTTGCACACTACATGAACTTACAGAATTTGCGTACATAGGAGGCCGTCGATTGCGCTCCGGCCTGCGACCATCGATCGTCAGACAAAGTCCAAGTCCCAGTAGACGTCGACCATCTCCGGGCATCATAGTCTCCTGTCCCTCTTTTGCTCTTTCTTGTCTCTTGTTCGTGTCCTAGATGTCAGTCACCGTGCAACCGTATTCATAATTTCACCCGCCGACCCATATTGTCGCGCAAAGACCTCCAGCAATCTGCTCCCGCCGAACCTTGATCCGAATCTACCGTGTTCCCCTAATCTAAGGTGTGGTTTGCGGGACGCGCACATACACACACACTCACACATACACGACACATTTACATACATACATACACCCAGTAGTACCCCTACCGTTCCTGCCCAAGTAACAGTCAATTTCCACCCAGATCGTCTCGACGGCGACTGCGACTTGAATTACTCCTTCCCCCCCTCCCCCTCCCTACTCAACCAATTGATCGGACGACCCGAGTCAACGACGACCGAGCTGCTTCTGCTGCTGCTCTTGACGTAGCACCGCATCATATTGGCATACTTTGACAATTGGCATTCGACATTGACATTTGACACTGTCTCAATTTCCCCGGCAGGGACATCGGACTCAGACCAAGACCCAGACCCAGACAGATTCCAGGCACAGGCTCAGAGAGACCGGGCTCGCTCAACAGCTACGACAGGGTCTCGGGAACTATCGTCGCCCTTCTGGAATTAATCAATGCTACCAGTGAGAACCGAGGGGCCGCCGCCGGGGTAGACTGGCAGACACGCAAGGGAGCAGCCGATGGGACCCTGACGATAACAGGAGACGGGACAGGCATTCTGGAACAAAGAAAAGCAGAGAAAAAGAGAGCAGTTCGTGTGCAGGCCATGGCTTCCTCGTCAGCGACCGTCGAGGTGTTTGAGGACGTTGGGTCCAGTGACAGGACCGACCAGGAGCTCGAGCTCCAGCTCCAACTCGAAACCGAAACCGCGGCCCCAGCCGCACCAGGTGCTGACCTCCACAGCAGCGACGCCAATCCTGTCGCTCCTGTCGCTCCTGCCGCTCCTGCGCCCGCGCCCGCGCACTCGCCCGCGCAGCCCAGCGACCGTGACAGCGACGGCCATAACGAAGAAGAGCACGAGGTCGCGCACGACGAGCAATTGACATCGACCGCAGACACTCGCCAGAAGCAGCCATCATCCGGGTCTGCAGTGCACGCCCACCGCGTCAATCACAATTCGTCCAAATTGCCTGCATTCCGTCTGAGCGACCGGGCCCGGTCCTTGCTGCCACTACCCGGTTTGCTACAGCGGGACAGCAAGCAACATCCCCCCTCATCTGCAGGGTTGTCCGAGTCCCCACAGCACCAGGACGACCGCCAAAAGGTCACAAATCCAGCGCCAGAGCCAGAAAATAGGCCTGGCACTAATGCTGCTGCTGACGATAACGCTGATGCACAACACCTCCAACACCACCAGAATCACCACCTGCATCGCCCTGTGACCGTGTCCGCGCCCGCGTCCGAACCCCATCCTCCTTCAACCCAGCAGCCGCCTCCGAGCACGCCCCATTCACCCGTGACCCCGAGACAAAAACACAGCCCGGCACGATCACGGGCTAGTACCTATCAGACGGCCTCAACATCCGCCCCTTTCACTCCAACTGCCGCTTCCAAGCGACCCGCTCCATTTCCAGTCGACAGCAGTCCTGGCGACGCCCTCGCTTTTCAATCGCCCACCGACGAATCCCCTTCATTCTGGACACCAGAAACGCGACCGCCCACACAGCCGCTCAACGCCACCCCCGGATCAATCAGCGCCGCCTCCCCGCACGCAAGTCATCATTCACAAGGCATACACACCCCAGAATCCACAACAAAGAAGTGGGCTCAGGGACAGCGAGCCCTCGCATCACCGGCGGCAGTCAACGGCGACAAGCTCCATGACAGCCAGGCCGAGCGGCGAACATCTACGTCACGACCACCAGTGTCATACAAACCCTTCCGCTCTTCCTCAAACCCTAGCCGGCCTGTCATCCCTCCTATCCGCTCGTTTCGCTCGTCAGGCTCGCGCAAGAGCCTCCAGCTAGACATGCACAATTCTTCCTACCGCTCTTACGATGATGGCCACGACTTCAAGGACTCGAACCACAGGGACCAGTCGCTACGGGCGCTTGAAGGCCGGAACAGCGGCGAATGGACAAGAGACATGTCGGCTGCAGATGCAGACGACGAGGTCACTGCGACCATTGAAAGCGAGAGCACGGCCGATATCTTCATGAGAATAGCGCACGAAGACCCCCCCTCATCATCCTCGCGTACAAGAAATGACGGTCGCGATGAGGATGATCGGGCCAGCACAGTGGTGAGCACTCCTTTGCCCTCCGTCTTTATTGCATCAACGCTCCCATGTGCCTGACGCTCTCGGGCGTTGAACATCTGTCCCCACAAGTGGCCCAATTGTGGGATAAAGGGCGATGCCCGGACCCCTGAGTGAGGAGTACCTGCATGTTACGAGTCGTTGTGGAGACTGTAATCCTCAACATACCAATCGTGCGCGGATCCATCCTTGCCCATCCCGACGGTTCATCACCCTTTATCTTTCTTTATGGGCAACGTGTTGCACAACACTCGCCGTCAAGTGGCGCATGTCTCGAATCCCGCATGGAAGCTAATCAGTCCCAGTCTCGGGTCGTGCGATCCGCGCGTCAAAGACCGCTGTCTACCGTCATCCCTTCTTCATTCCAGAACCCTACATCACCCCCTCGGGTTCCACGGCGCCTCTCGGACCAGCAAGACAGGGCGTCCCGCGTGAGGCGAACGACGGAGGACCAGCCGGCACAGCACACCGAAAGGGAAGTGCCTTACCGAGGTAGCACGACCGAGAGGCCCTCCCTGAGCCTCGATGCCACCCGAGCTCGGTCTACAGTGTCGTCCTTGAGACCGTCGCCAATAACCCCTCGGACATACGGTGGTCTGGACAACACCGCTGAGGGCAACTCCATATTTGCTCGGCGACCGGCGACGTCTGAACATCCTCGGAAATCGTCTCACAGGCAACCGAGCGGCCTGTCCAAATCATTCCAATCCTCCCCTCTTGTCCCAAAGAGTAGCGAATCTCACCACCCCCGGGGCGCCTCATCACGAAGCGTCTGAATCGTCGAACTCAACCGCCGCGCCTTCCACAGTCTGGGATGAGCTCGACGAGTTGAAGTCCCGCATCCACCGGCTGGAGTTGACCGGAAAGTTGCCGAAGACATCTGGCGCCGCCATGTCGAGAGCATCCGACGAAAGGCCTCCTACGGCGGGGACTGGCGCGACTACAGTGTCTGGCTCACCAAAGCGCGCTTCCGCAAACGGTGCTGCGCAGACGGAAATACTGAGCATCACCTCTTCGCACCGGGATGCGCAACCAATCTTGAAATCAGCTCTTTCCAAGACAAAGCCATTTGTAAATTCCGACATATATAACGCCGTTGAGGCAGCTGCCAACGATGCGATGTCTCTGTCTCAGATGATGGGTATTGTGGGACAGCCAGGGCCAATTTCGAGCGGCGCAAGCACTATTGGAGGAAGCGGCCAGGCTACCGTCACAGACAGGCTCCTGCGGAAGAAAGTCGACAGCATGTGCCGGAATCTCACCGAGCTGTGCCTGGCTTTGACGGATGAGGGCAGCCAGCGGAAGGCCGCAACTCAGCAACCAAAGCCGGAATCACGGGAAACAGTAAAGCCGAAGGAGCAGGAGCAGCTGAGCAGCCCGCCGCCCATCAAAGTCTTTACTGGCGCACCGCGGCGGGAGACTTCCAAGCCCGACGAGCCTGTTCCGAGTGTTGAGAGTAGCGTCAGCCCTCGCGTGACTAGGCTGGAGAAGCGGGCCACCTTCAACTTCACGGCTCCATCGGTTCCAAGCCCCAGGTACGCACCAAGCGCTTTGGGTGGCGAGGCCACAACCCCCGGGCGAAAGTCATCTCTTGTCGTGGCGCGAACCCGACGGGGCGTGACAGAAGAGCCCGATGACCAAGGCAGGAAGACGTCGCTTCTACGGACCCGGCGCGCGGGCACAGATGAGCCCGAAGAAGGGCGCAAGACCTCTTTCCTGCTTCCCCCGCGCCGCGTCACCACGATTGCTCGCGGCAGTAACATTGATGAGGAGCAAGACTCTCGTTTCAGGGCACCATCGAGGGCCATTACAGAAGTCGCCGGCTTGAGGGTCGATGTACCCTCGCGAGACCGAGAAGATGTAACGCGAGGCTCTTTTCAGATGCAGGAGCCGACATCCGCCAGCTCAGCCTTGCCCCGGCGTCGGTTGATCACCTCAAACCTGCCCTCTGCAAGTGCTGCATCATCTCGTTTTGCGACCCCTACAACTCCCAGCTCCCGTCGGTTCCTGGGGGCTGATAGGTTCGGTCAGGAGAGAGGTGACAGGTTCGACAGGGCGGACAACAACAATGTCACAGAGAGACTGGCCGAGGAGCGAGGACAGCGACAGTACTCGGTTGGTCAGTCAAATAATTCAGTGGTCGGCCGGGAAACTAGCATCAACCGCAAACGACACAGTGGAATTCCCAGCATCTCCGGGAGTGCCTCCAATTTCGGTGGTTACAGATGAGTGCGACCTATCTCGCGCATGTACGATGCTTGACGATTCACGACACAGTAACGGGTGCAACTACACAAGCGTTGTTTTTCTGCATTGAGAAGCATTTTCTGCAAGAAGCCGAGATTCACGCATGCATTACCGGTGTTATTAAGTTTCTTCTTTTTGTTCTCGATTTCGCGTATTCAGCATTACCGGATGACACCGGCAAGTGTCGTGCTGTCTATGGCGCGAAGGGCGGGGCGTGGGCTTTTTCTATTCTTTCGTAGCAGGTGCACGCTCTACACATATTGCGGTACTTCGCTGCATCTCACGATATGGCGGGCAAGTAGAAGGGGTTAGGATGAACAGCAACACACGGCGAAGACGTTTCCTTTGTCGAGAAGTGATGTTCGTACGATTGAGGAAACATCCGTCGGAGATTCTGCGGAGATGGACTCCAACCGACTGCAGACATTTGCGAGGAGTTTGGGCGCGCAGAGCGCAAATATCGATACCCGCTGGTACTGGAAGAAGAGGACAGACAGCCTTTCAGGTGTATATAATGTATTTGTCTTGGTACCTGTACGAGACAGTTGCTATTAATGTATTATATGCATGCGCAGCACATCTTTGCCACATAATTGAGATCGAGAATGCGTCCTCCGCCTCAAGCTTGTGTCTGCCGCTGGGGTCTGTAAAAGTATGCGCAAAATTCATAACAAGTGGATTATATGCGCAATCCAGCTAGGCTAAGCAGCATGTGTTTATGAATGCGGTACGCCTGCGTGGACGTTGGTGGTTTTAATGCGCATCCCCATCAGATCCGGTTGAGTCAGGCCGAAAGCCTGTGGGCGGTTGAGACTCAGAGTAAGCATTTTCCGCAGTGGGAAACCCGGGACCCTTTCAAACAGCTTCCAAGAACAAAAAGACAGCCAAGATACAACAACACCTGCTAAACGGATCCGAAACGTCTCTGAATTCAACTGACTTGTTGATGACTGTCCCTCTGACTTGCTGGACCAGTCTCAAATTCACCAGCCCAGCAACTGCGTCAAGGGTCTTCTTGCGAGGTCCGTTTCGCGGGCGTGGGGCTATACGTTGGCACTCAGGACGAACGCCGCGATATTCACCCTCATCGCCTGCCAGCAAATTGCAAGGCCACCGTGAAGGAAGGAACTTTTCAAAAACCCCTTCAGCCGCTGCTACTGCAAAGAAAGGCTACCCAACGACACGAGACCGCCCACCTCAGCCCACCATGGACGCGGACGAGCTAGCAGCACAGTTCGAGGACAAGGCCTCCGTGCGGGCGGCGGGCAGTGGCAAGACTGGCGGCCGCAAAGCAGGTGGAGGCGGCGGCGGCAAGGCCGGCGACGGGGGCAAGCAGAGGGAGAAGCAGATCTCGATGGCGCTGTCGAGGCTGCTGCGGCACCAGGCGCTCAACGCGGGCATCAAGCTGGACAAGGAGGGGTACGCGCCCCTGGATCGGGTGGTGAGTGCTGTTTGCTCTTGTTCTTTTCCTTCAGGCTTGCTGTTTGACTTTCCCTATGTTCCAATTCCTGGGTGAGACGGTGGCTTCGTGTCAGCGTCTTCATCAGCACATGCTGCGTACCACGTCGATTTCATTTCGACGGGCCCTCTCAGCCCTTTGATCTATCTACCTGCGTGCTCCGTTTCTTTCCCCCAGACCTCCCTGACTAACAAAGGCCCATCCACAGCTCCAATGGGGCGCCCTGCGCACCCTCAACGTCACAGTACAAGAGGTGACCCAGGTCTGCGCCGACAACGAGAAGCAGCGCTTCGCCATGAAGCCCGCAGCCGGCGGCGAGGGGTCCACGGAGACCACCAACCCGGCGCACTGGCTCATCCGTGCCAACCAGGGCCACAGCATCAAGCTCGAGTCGGAGGCGCTGCTGAGGCCCGTCACCCTCGAAGCAGACAATGTTCCCCCTGTGGTCGTGCACGGGACCTACTTCGCCTTCTGGCCGCGCATCGTCGAGTCGGGCGGGCTGCGGCGCATGGGCCGCACACACGTGCACTGCTCCACGGGCTTGCCAGACGACGAGCAGGGCGTCGTCTCGGGCATGCGGAGGGACGCAGAGGTCCTGGTGTACATCGACGTGAAGCGGAGCCTCGAGGACGGGACCATGACCTGGTGGATCAGTGACAACGGCGTCGTTCTCACCGAGGGCGTCGGGGAGGAAGGGCTACTGCCTGCGAGGTACTTCAAGGAGGTCGTCGGGCGTAAGGAGGACATCGGAACGTTGTGGAAGGATGGCGAATGGGTTGCAGATCTGCCTGAGGACCTCAAGAGCCGGCCGCCTCCTGCCAAGGGAGGCAGAGGAAGAGGAGGTGGGCGAGGCGGGAAGGGTGGAAGAGGTCGAGGAAAGAGCGCGTGATAATGTCCTGAAAGGGGAACTTGCATTAGAGATACCATATCCCTTCACCCGCTCTGCTCTGGTCTGCCTGGTTGGAAATCTATCTAAGTATGGTAATCCACCGGTCCTGCAACTGCATATGCGACCATTTCGCATATATAATGCCCAGCCTCAGAGACCCGTTATCAAACTAGTTGTTGATGACTTCCTCTCCAGCACCAAAAAATGCACACCCACACTCCCATAATTACGAGCTACGCACACAGCGACGTCAACACAACGTAGAAGCATGGACACCTTCCTTCCCCCAGCCGGTTTCATGCTCATGCTACGAACCAGTCGATTCTGAAAGCAGCTGCAATTCCGCTTCTCTTTTCTGGTACATGTCACGGAGGTACACCAGCAACTTCTCGGCCATCTCCTGCTTCGCTTTGTTCGTCCCGGCCACACCGGTGATCCGGCCCAGGTCCTCAGGAAAGCTATCGGCGTCATCACCGAAATCTGGGTACCCGTCGAACACGTAGTTCACGCGTGGATCCGTCAGGGTGAGTTCGTAGCGAGGTGGATGCAGGCCCATACTTTGGCAGAGGTTATGGACTCGCTGGGTAGCGGGTAGGCTGTCGTCGTCCGCATCTACAGCGCCAGTGGTACCCTTGGTCTGACGCTTAGGGGGCGGCGAGAGGACGCCGTTGGTACCCTCATTTAGCCGCTTCGCTGGCTGCCCCTGCAGGTCAGGGAGGGCCCGGGCAGAGGGGACCTTCAGGAAGGCGACGTCTCGCAGGTTGGAGGGCATGAGGGACTGCTGGATCAGCCAGTCGATCGCATACTTCGCGGCATCTAAACAGGCGTCAGGCACAGTTTCTCAAACACCAGGAGAGACAGCATACACTGCTTGGCATCCTTCTTCTTTGCAAAGGCGGGGCAATGGCCGGTTGTGTCGAAGCCAAAACCAGCTGCCGGGAATGAGGGGATGGCGGGCTCATGGGTGAGAGCCTCGCTGAGCTCGACCGTGCAGGTCCAGTGGGGGCTCGAGTTGATACCACGGATCCCCTCAGTGAATGCAATATCCTTGCCCGTTGGGTTGGCCTGTCTGTATCCTATATCATCTCTGTCAGCATGTCTAGTGTATTCTTGCTTCTCAGACCGGTGGATACTGACGACATAGCAGGCTGACATAGTCCATCTGGCCGATATCCGGAAGCGGTGATCGCGCTCTGAAGCCCTCAAGGAACATCCGCTGGACGTCGGTCAGCGGGGCAGGTGCCTTGTTCTCCCTCTCGAAGGCCTCCTGCTTTGCGACCCAGTCTTTGACCTTCTGGTATATGGCGTCTGGGAAGGACGGCTCGTGATCGTCAGGTGTCGCCATGGTGAGTGAGCAGTGGAGAGCTTCCGGGAGTACACAGGTCCAGCTAAGTGCCTAGGCATGCGAGATGTTCGGGCAAGAGAAGTAAGGCCCCTCTGGTGAGAGGCCTGTGGAATTTATTGGCGCGGGCAGGTTGCTGGAGCGAGGCCGTTCAAGGGTGAAAAAGATGTCGTTGGTTGATCAAGGAGGCGTGGTCGGTAGGCCTCCCGCAGGGCGAACTGCAATGGGGCGGGGTCTCGGCGGCAGGATGCAGAGACTTGCATCTGCACTCCTCGCGCCTGCACTCTTTGTTCTTTTGTTCTACATGTCGGCTCTTCTTCCCAATGAGCAGGAAGGCGGAAGAGGAAAGTGAGACGAGTTGGGAAGCTGCGGTGTGGGCTGACGTATGCACCCCAAGGTACCTGGGTACTTCGTCACCTGTGGTGTGGAGGAGCGTAGCACCATGTCACTCTGTTGCAGCCATAACTCTCTACGTGTCTAGTTACGCAGTACCTAGGTAGGCTGTAGGCTACTAGTTGCAGCGAGCCTCATGAGCATAGGTATCACAGAAGTTTTCTCCATGGCGTTGGAAATCCCGCGCAAAGCAGCATTGGAAGCTTCTAAGTGCCCTATATGACTGCCGTACGCATGGTGGGTGGGTATCATGCCGAACTGCTCCTCGTGCTCAAGCAAACTGGAACGCCGAAAAGATGCTGAATTACGCAAAGAAATCTTCCCCAGTCTCGCCGCTGCCAGCCGGCCCCTTTTCATTGAAGATACCCTTAGCACGTCTCATCCGGCGATTGCCCTCTACCTTAGGTACAGCTTCTGGTTTCTCCGGCTCCTCTGCTTTGGCCGTGGGCACAGATTTGACGACAGGGCTGGGTTTCGAGGGCCTGATCGGCTTCTCCCTTGCTGCCTTTGGTTTGGGCTTTTCTGGCTGGCGCTCTTGCGACTTTTCCGGTCGGCGCTCTTGCAGCTCCTCCAAAGCGGCCTGGCCGTTCCTCATTGCCTCTTCGACGACTTTCCACATGGGCGGCCGCTCAGAATGAAGGGCCCGGATCGCAGCGGGCCGGCCTTCTGCCTCGTCACCCTTTGAGTCCTCCGATGCGGTGTACAGACTCTCGTACCGTTCCAGGAATGGGAAGTATCTGGTGTAGTGGTAGTCAACGTCGGCGATGTGAAGATCAGCCTCGATGCTGGCCTTCTCCCCCGGGTCGGTGGCCTCATCGGCCTGTTTCTTCAGCTTCTTGCGCAGTCTTTCCGCCTTTTTCCTTTCTACACAGGGCGCGTTAGCTACCGAAATATATGGCGAGGGTAGCAGTCGCGCCGGATACGTACCAAAAAAACGGACCCTGTGATACTTGGAGATCATGTCCTGGCGTCTCTTCTTGTGCGTTATCTCGTCTATCTGCGCCTTGCACTGCACGAGCTCCCGCTCGAGTTTCTGTTTGACGTCTGCTGGGAGATCGTCGCCTTTGGCAAAGCGCCGCTCGATGTTCCGGGCGCGTCTCTTCACCTCGTGAAGGGAAACGCCTAGCTGTGTCGAGTTGCCATGGGTGGCTGGCTTGTGGCTCTGGAAATGGTGTTTCGTTCTCTTGTTCGGTGCATTGTGTCGTGACGATGCGCCATCAACATCGGAATGGGGGCGTTTGGAGCCCATACTGGTGGTATGACAGAGTGTGGTGTGGCGGCAGTGGTAGTGTTGAGAGAAGGAAACGGTAAACCATCTCCAAAGAACTTTAGATCGTCCGCTGCGGCTGTCGAAAGTTTTCAATGGAGACAGGCTTGAACCAGGGACATCTGGGGTCCTTATCTTATCAGTGTCTGGCGTGCACCCGGGGTACCATAGTGGGGTATTGGAGCACACCAGTGCTAGGTAAGCACTGAGCTCCATGTCTCTTTGCTGTAGATGAACTCCTCCACTTATTGCTGCATATCTATTGACCTTTTCCAGTCCTCTTAATCATCACTAGAATGCCCTCGGGCTGCTTGACCCCGATACAATGCCCCATATGCCAGGCTCACGCACACATGGACAGATCTTGACGACCTAAGTGGATGCGTATCCAATCCAAGCTCACGTGAGCTATAGTATACACGGCGGACCGCGCACGTCGCCGTCGTTCGCGGTAGAAGACAGACATTTCTTCTCGCGCAGGGCCGTTCAAAGTCGCAGCGATGGACCGTCCCGAGCCGGGGCTGCTGAAGTGGTCGCCAAATGCCAACCGTGACTCTTTTCTCCACATCAATCTGCAACACAGGGTTGTCCAGCTCTATGAGCCCACAGGCCATGCCCACCGCGGGCGCTTCGACTACCGGAAGGTCTCAAAACACGATGATGTGCCGCCCCTGACCACTTACGACTGGTCGCCTTCGACGCCAGGCTTGGTTGCCGTTGGCACCTCCACCGGTATCGTCAACCTGCTGAGGGTCGACGACAGCTCTAATGCCTACATGGAATTGGGCCTTAAGGTGGCCCGAACCTGCTTGGCTGTTGCTTTCAACACCACCGGCCTGCTTGCTGTCGGACTGGATAGAGTTCGGAATGACCAGTGTCTGCATATCTGGGACGTCAACCGCCTTTCCACCATTCATGCCTCCGGTTCGGGCTTTTCCGCCAGTACAGAGCCGTTCAGAGAACCTTGGAAGCGGCTTGAGCACAATGCTTCCATCTCGAGCATCAAGTTTTTTGAGGACAATCCTCAAACTTTGGTGGTGGGGATCAAGGGCTCTGGCCTGCGGCTCCATGATCTTCGAGGTTCTGCGCCCCTTGCTTCCTATTGCAGGATACTAGCTGATCCAGAGCACAGAGGGGAATGAGGCGGTTGTTACCTTTCAGACCAAAAACAATAACAACCTTGCTATCGACTACGCAGACCAGAACTACTTTGCTTCCTCAGCTTTGGACTCCCCAGGGGTCATGGTGTGGGACCGGAGAGCACTCAGCCGTAATGTTGCCTCTGCGTCGTACCTGGACGCCGTGGACGCGGACGATATGCCTTTCGGCGGTGCTCTGAAGCTTGACAGGGCCGTGGACATAGAAAGTGATCCTCAGGCCAGAACGGACAGGAACTCTTTCATTCGCAAGCTTGCCTACTGCCGCGACCACAGAGGCATGTTAGCTGTGTTGTCTCGTCTAGGCCAGTTAAAAGTGTTTTCCACGCAACCGTCCGAGTATCTATCGACAGACGCGGAATCAGACAGCCCACAACTGCTACAAGTTAGAAAGTCGAACGAGATGGATAATTTCTATTCAGAAGTCGATCGGAAGAATGAGCGCATCGTCTCGTTCGACTGGCTCACCATGCCGTCTGCTGCACTCCGGCCGAGACTCCTGGTGCTCCGCGCAAACGGGGCATTCGAGATCCTTGAGGTGCCAGCTTTTACTAGAACATACCCATATAAGCTGACCCCATGGCAGCCCCCATACAGAGGCTTAACAGGTAAGCTCAATTGCACCCATCAGCGGACTTGGGTTGACGTACTTACCAAGTGACAGAGGGAAGCTCATACCACAGCATCATGAAGTTTGATACGAGTCAAACCATTGACACATTAGGGCCTTTCTTTGTGGAAAACGCGCTTTCCGACATCCCTATCTTCGGCCAGGAGAAAGCCGATGTTGGTGCCATAGCTGAGGATGCCCTGAAGACTTACGCCCCGGAAGATGACCTCTTGGTAGACGAGGCAGCAAGCACAGTCCCTCTTCCTGAGGCTTTTGTGGGTGCAAAGACTGTCGCAGAGAAGCTACAAGCATTGAGAGCATACATTCAGAGTATCGCCCGCTCAAAAGGACCCGACTCTGACACACAATTGGCAAAGCTGAGTAGCATCTCACTGGATCCATCCCCAGGTTCCTCAAACCGGTCTCTCCACGAGAGTCTTCTCCGATCTACGGTGGAACTCACTGGTTTTCCGAAAGCCGCTCAAGTCGTTCTGGACCATGTCATGCTTCTGAGAGCAAAGGAAAAATATCTCTTCGATTGTCGCGTCAATCGTGCTGTTGTCGCAGATGACCCTTGGCTTAAAGGTGTTTGGGGCTGGATAGGAGGTAACTTCGCTTGTGCTGTGTTTTGATGGTCTCAAAATCGCTGACTCCAGCTAAGGTGCCGAGGAAGCCTGTGAAGATAGTGGCATGATGTCGCATCCCTTGGACCTCAGCTACCTGGGTGTCAATACGGTCTGGACGAACAATCTTGGTAGGAATATTTGCTAAAGAAGTGGAAGGTGAAATTGACTGACAAAATCCAGGGGAGAGACCGAGTTCAAGAATTATCGAGGGAGCACCGCATGTTGGCACAACCATCTGGCAGCGTTGCATCAACGGCATATGCAAACGACGTGGGTTGCACAACTTTGACGGTGTCGATACAAAGAAACCTTACCATCGCCAATTGATGCTGGACATATGTTTATGGGGGGTGTCTGCTGTCGCCGAAGACACCGTGGACATGAGTGGCAAGAGCATCGAGAAAGCATCTTTCTGGTATACCAGGATGACTGCTCACGCTCTTTTCAGCGGTGACTCGGAGGGAGCAGTGCGAATCCTCAAAGACGCCAGCAAGACGCATCCCGAGCTTCTTTTCGTTTCACTCGCTCTTCAACTTGCCAGCAAGGGAGACCGGGACGTGGCGGCAGAGAAACTGGACTTTGATGAGGCCGTCGCTGCAAAGACGGACCCCTACCTTCGCGCAATCTCATCCTACATTGCAACTGGCGACTGGGCAACTATAGCGAACCAAAGATCTCTACCCCTGCGCGACCGCACATTCGTAGCTGTGCGCAACTTCGATGACGACCACCTGACTCAATGGCTAGCTGCCGAAGTCGAAGAGGCCATCAGCGAAGGCGATATCGAGGGTATCGTACTGACAGGTATCACGGAGAAGATGGTCGACATCCTGGCCAAATACGTCGAGAAGTTCCACGACACACAGACTGCCACGCTCATCATGTCCTTCTGCGCGCCCCGCTACATAGACGACTACAGGTGCACAGCATGGCGCAACGCGTACCGTGCGTACCTGCAGCGCCACAAGGCCTTCTACCAGCGCACCAAGTTCGAGGTCGAGAGCACTAAGCGCAGCAAGCGTGACGGGCGCCCGACGATCAAGCCGCCCTCGCGACAGATCGCGCTGCGCTGCGTCTACTGCGATGCTGAGACCTCCCTCCTGCGCGCCTCACCGGCCGCGCCCCTCACCGGCGGTCCAGCGTCCGCGTCGATCCCTGGGCCCTTCCACAACGGCCGTGGCGTCGTTCACAACCCGTATACTGAGAAGATGGCGACACCGGGCATTGCCTGCCCCAACTGCAAGAGGCACCTGCCGCGGTGCGTCGTCTGTCTCGAGGTCGTGGGTATTCCCAGGTCAGATACTCCGGCGGCTGCGGCTGACCCCGAGGCGACGAAGCTCGCCTCGCGGTTCCCTACCTTTTGTCTAAAGTGCGAGCATGTCCTGCACCTGGACCACGCGAGGCAATGGTTTGCGCGACACAATGAGTGCCCTGTCCCAGAGTGCCGGTGTCGGTGTAATTTCAGGGCGAACCCGGAGTTGAATTACCGTTGACGACTGAGACAGCAGTTGCAATAGAACGACCAGCTTGCAGGACGTGAACGAATAGGTACAGGGTTCTATATTTTAAATCCACATCTGGTGGAAATTCAAGTCAAGATACCAATTCACAAAGGCGACAGGCGATCAACTGTATGGCTAGTGATGGTGAGACATTGTTCATGGCATCATGTGCCTCCTTCCAGATGCGCCATGAACGGCAGTGTTTTACCCCTCGATGGACGGATGCCATATGGGTTGGATTGGACGGGAATTATGTCTTCAATCACGGTATGTAGCCTTCATGGGTAAGACAGGCGAACATGGATCTTTTGCCTGCCAACGTGATTCGAAACGGGGTGTTCCTTCCAAATATCCCAATATGAAGCAGAGTGGAGGCGGGCAAGACATGTTCGCTTCCTCGAGTCCAAGCCCCAGGGATGAGGTGTATAACCAAGGTGTACCGTGACAGCTTGAAAACAAAATACATTGGTACCAAGCCGTCTACGTGATGTGTACGACCCACAGACCGGAACTATCCGGTGTTTACAATAGCATCGAGATTCGACTCCACGTCGACGTGTTTCAAGAGCTAACCGTTCGCGAGAATCCATTCGCTGTGGGGCACTGCTCAGGGAGCACCACCAACAACCCCCCTGCCATGACCATGGGGTACGGATCAATGGCGGCGGCTTGAGGTGTTCACGTGAGCCTCTGTGCAAGGGAGGATGTCGGCAGGTACCTTGCTGTGAGATGGCTCCCGCAGAGCTCGCGTCAATTTGCCGTATCAAGTCGTCTCGCGTCTATCGTATTTGGGCAGCACTGTCCCGCCACAGATACTGTCTGGAAAACCGTGGGTGCACTTCCTAAGTCTGTTCTTTGAGAAACTGTGCACCGCTCGGTAATACTGTCTCGAATATCATCCTTCGCCGTTGTCTATATATTGCTGCTATATTCCTCCATCGGGATCCCTACTATTCTTATAATATCTGCTTTGGGTGGACCAACTCCTATACCTCCTCCGCATTCGGTCGAATGTATATGAATCCCCCCTTATCCACGAATCTTGGAGTGACTTGAAAGAAACATGTCCACTTGATGGAGGCGATGACAAGGTGCATGCTGAATGTATGTATTTCGTATGTTCTCCGCTCATAACTTTTGGCGTATCCTAATCCTCAACCTTGTCTAGGGGGGGGGAAGGGGGTATCTCGAATTTCCCTTTTATGACATTTGCCTCCCAGCCCAGCGCATGTAAAAATAATAAAAAATATGTAATGTATACCCGACCACGTCCAGCCGGCGCGCTCGCGTGCGTGTGCCTCTCAAGCACATATCCACACAGCCGGGGCCTCTGCTCCTCTCTCTACCCCTCGCTTTCAACGAAACGACCGAAACGACTTGTGCGCCAGGGGTGACGACGCAGACGCAGCAGTCAACGCCGGGGGTCCCATCATCCCGCCACCACCGCCGCCGCCGCCGCCGCCACCGTCACTCTGATTCCTGCCCGTGTATCGCATCCTCCCGCCACGCATGTTGGGCGTGTTGGCGCAGAAGGCACAGATGTATACGTGGGGGACGTCCTGCGGCGTGGGCACGTCCACACAGCGGCCGTGCAGCATGTAGTCGCACGAGTCACTGCGAAACGGGCATGTTAGCATGTTCGAGCTTAAAAACTCTGCGCGCATGACGCTGCTCGAGTAAGGGCCGGAGAGACGACTCCAAAACAGCAGACAAGACAAACAAGTAGACCATGCTAGGGAGAAAAGCGTGAACGTGGCGTCTTGCCCAGATGTGTGGGAGGGGAGACCTAGGCACGGAAAAGACGGCAGATAGGCGTTGGAGGAATGGGAGTATACTCAACGTACCACTTGATCAGATGCAGCAGCCCATCGACTTCCGCCTCAGGCCGGTTGCACACGCACCGCACCTGTCCCTGGCTCTGGTTGTGCGTCGGCGACGGTGTCGCCGAGATAGTCGATGAGCTGCTCCGCTGGCCGGGCGTGAACCGCTGCCGGTGCCCACTGCTGCCTCCGCTGCTTGCCGGTGCCACTTGGGCCGGTGCGCCGGGCCGCTTGCTGGTGCCCGCTTGCATTACTTTCCTCAGCTCTGCCGCGGCGTCTCCTAGGCTGCCGCCCGTGGACGGCCTTGTCGGTGTTGGTGCTTCTTGTTGGTCGATTTCCATCTGGTCCGCGAAGCTGGTGGCTGGATCGTTTCGAGGGTTTCGGCGGAACGAGGTGGAAGAGAAGGAGCTCCGCTCGCTGACTGAGCGCTGCCGCCGGTTCTGCGACATATTGCTTGCGGCAGTGGGCGGCCTTGACATCGAGGAGGCTGAGCTCCGAGGGGGCTCGGGAAAATCAAAGGATGTGTTGCGACTCGGTATTATTATGGGCTCGTCGTCAGATGAAGAGGAGCACTCGTCTTCATCAATGTCGGGCTTGACCGGAAAACCTGTCCAAGAACTGCGCTGGCTACCTGGCTGGTTGCTGCTTGGAAGGACAGGCTCGAGGTCGTCCTCGTCATCGACAACGGTTTCGGTGCGCGCCCGCCCGTCTTCGTCGATGACGAACTTGACGGACGCCAATTTGGCACTCCTCTGCCGAGCTTGTGTCCTAATGGTGTTTTCAGGGATTGACGTGAGGCTGGATAGCCGGTGGTGATGCAATGATTTAACGGGCGATCTCCTGCCGCCGGATCGCACAACTCGCGACTGCGTCAAGGCGTTGCCTTGGTTGGCAGTAGGGGGCAGACTGGGCTGATGCACAGCCACGGGCGCTGGAGCCAACGTGGGCAGGAGGGGACGGCCACTGCCTACTGTGCGCTTGCCGGGTCTGGCACTTTCACTGAAACTACGGGACAAGCCCGGTTTGGCAGCTGAGCTCTTCGTGGGAGAAATCGCAGCCGGTGGGCGGGCCGGCTGATTGCGCTGGCCTTGGGCTCCGGTGCTCTTCGATCGGCGAATGTCGTTTGTGGGCATAGGCGCACTCGACCCATCAAGCCCGGAGCTGACAAGCGGTGCTGAAGACGAAGGCCGCTGTGGTGACGGCTCCAGTGGTATTGACAAGGACGATTGCTGGCTGAACAGCAACCCTGGGTCGACTCCTCCAGGACTAGTGTTGAATGGATCGTCCATGGGCATCTGGAAGGAAGCGAACGAGTAATTCTGACCAGGAGACGCTTGGCTGAACTTCGGGCTCGACGTGTTGACGGTTTTCGGCGCAAGGGGGCGCTCACGCCTTGTCGGCTGGCTTTGCTGGACAGCCTGGACCTGAGACTGCTGCTGCTGCCCAGCCACATTGGTCTGCTGGAAGACCTGGTTTGCGCTCCCCCAATCCAGCGAGTTAACAGTCTGATGCGGCGTCCCCTGCGCCTGGGACGATTGGAAGATTTCTGCCCCGGCAGCCGAGATGTCTACGTCTATGCCCATCCCGGTCGTGTCCATGTCCATCCCCCAGAAGGCCCTCCCGGTTATTGGCGGCGCCGTGGCCGGGGGCCCATTGGGTAGCCAAAGACATCCTCTGGACTACCTGTCACAAACGCCGTGTTGAGCTGAGGATGCTGTGTCGGGGGCGCATTCGAGAAGTCCGGCTGCGCAAAGTTCTGATGTTGCATAGTGTCGGTCTGAAGCTTGGGCGCGAGCTTGCGTCCGCCCCTGGAGGATGGGGGAGGGGTGGCAGTCTGCGCCTGAGGGGCGTCCCTGCTGGTAGCTTCCGACGAGCTGCTCGACCGGTACTTCTTGGCCGACCGCTGGCCAGGCTGCTGCGAGGCTGTCGGCGTGGCGCTCGGGTCGGTCGAGGTGCTGTGTGTGAGTGTTAGGGGATCAGGTGAGGAGGGGAGACGCCGCGCTGGGTCGACCGGCAGGAGATTCTGGGGATTTGTCGAGAAGTGGTTGGCATGGGTCGCGATCTCGAGGGCAACGCCTTCAGCTGACAGTGGTCGCTTCTTTCCCGTTGCTGGAGCCACTGGGCTCAGCGGCGCAAACTCCGGGTGGAATGCGCTCGAGGACCCCCTCAGGTTCCCGGGCGTGGAATTGAAGACGGAATAGTCCTCGGCAAATCGAGGGGTCCAGCCGGAGGCCTCGTCGAAGCGACCCGAGTTCTGCTTGGGCGTCTCGAGCAGAGGACTCGAGAAAGCGGCCGATGTGGCCGAAGTAGGAGTCCGTTGTGGAGTTGGCGGCCGAGCGTTTGGATCACCAAAGCTTGGGGAGAAGTGGTCAGCATCTGCGGGGGTTGCAATGCGTGCCTAGCACGGGAGCGGCGTTGGGCGATAAGAGGCCAAACCATACCTGGGTGCCTGATCGTCGCCACTCATAGCAGCTTTGACTTGTGTGTTTAGCTGCCGTGTCCCTTCCGCAAGGACATCACCGAGTCGTGGTGATTAATGGGATTGTTCTGGGGTCTTGTGCGCAAGACTCGGTGGTGGCATTCGCCCTGCCTAATGCCCCGATATGCCGACAAACGGCGAGGGTATATGCGGATGGATGCTTTCCGGCCGGGCGGTTGAGGTGTGTGGCTGGTAGCTCGCGGCGCGGTATTGGTGGACAGGCGGTGGTGCCAACGTTTCAGACAAAGGATGTGTTGTAGCCTTGCGTGTCATTCATTGCTCATTAGTGAGGTCGTCAATAGTAGTCGTGAAGGCGAGAGCCGGAGGATGGTCATTAGGTGAGGCAGGATATTCTAGACTAGATGCTGAAGCTGGGCCTCGGAGGTCAAGTCAGCCGACGAAACAGGTCATGATCTCGGAGGCGGTCGTGAGAGAGAGTAAAAAAGAAAATTGCACAAGTGATTGAAAGCACTAGAGTTTGTCAGGGCGGAGGACGCAAGAATAGGTCATACAGTAAGGAAACCGTCGTCGTGAGAAGTCGTTTGTCAGAAGAATCCAGGGCCCAGCCGGTATTGCCCTTCCAACAGGCAGCTCCAGATGGCTACAACCAATCCCGGGGCTGGAACGGCAGGGCAAGCGGGATCGCTAATGGAGTTTTGGCTCAGGTTCCGGTAGGTAAAATTTTGGTGGAGTCTGTGAGCCGGATATCTCAAGCTGTGCTGTGCTGTGCTGTGCCGTGCTGTGCTGTGCTGTGCAGTTCAGTGCCGTGCGGTTGCTGTGCGGGCGGTGGGTACTCTCGGTCCAGACCAAGCTTCACGCTGATCATAAGCGCCCGTGTAGACGGTATGTCTCTGGCATGCCAATAAAAGCCCAAAGCGACCCTCTCTCCTGGCCTTGAGGCTACTGACCCGTCTGACAATGGAGCACGAGACCAGACGCAGCGGATGGAAGTGTAACGAGCAGCGTAGGCGGCCTGGCGAGTGAGATGGAGAGCGACAGCGTGCGGCAAGGTACCCGAGCTGAGCACGATGCACCCTACCGGGTTGTGGAGGCGGCTAAATCAAACGATCGTGCGGCTGCAGGAAAAAAGGATAAAACAGATGAACAAGAAAAAAATAATCCCAAAAGCAGCGAACGAATTCGCATGGACGATCTGACCTGTTCACGAGAGTCCTTGTCCAATCCCAGCAGCCCAGGTTCTGCTCAGGGGCATCGAGACTCACTTCGGCACCACCAGGTCTACTTCTACATTCTGTCGCAGGCTAGACCAGCATTCGAGCAAGTGGCCGTTCGTCCCTTGACACCGGCGGAATCCTAGGCGAGGGGTGGAATGGATTGCATGCCCGGACTAGAGCCAGCCACTGCCTGGCATAAACGGACCGACAAATTAGAGGCACGTTACTAGCAAGTCTGGACTGGCTACCCTGTCGCAGTAGACTGGCCTGGGTATGCTGTAGTGCTTGGGACCTTCTCAACGTCGACAGCTTGTTAGTCTAGTCTCACTGCTCACTCGGCAGCTACCAGCGGGTGGGTCGGTGCCTCGAGCTGCTGCTGCATCCTCCCGTTCTGTGCCTGGCGGACCCCGTTGTAACCCAGGCAGAGCTCGCGTGAGCTGTGCTGCATGTGGGTCAGCCAGCCTGGAGCGGAGCAGGAGATCGCCGCCAAGAGCATGCTATGGCAGTAGCAGCAGTTGTTGCCTGTCCTCGACAGGCAATTTGACCCGACTTGAGCATCTCAAGAGCACGGTGCTTGTGCACGCAAGCTCGAGAGCCGCCCGGGCTGCCAGCTCACAACCCAAGCCGCCACCAAATGCACAGCTTGGTCTTGCAGGCGGCAGGAGATGAGTCAAAACGGAGAGTGCGAGGGTGGCATCCTGTGTAAGCCGCAGTGGGGCTTGCAGCCATCTTATGCCGTGGTCTTCCGCCCTGGAACGAGGCTGGAGTCTCCATGCCGGGTATGGCAGCCCGTTCCTTGGTTACCTCAGCTGATGGACCGCGGCGTGGATGGTGCTGCAAAAGGCTCTATATGGCTATATGGCCGAAGCGTGATGGTGATATGCGGTCTTCCGAGCCTATATTGGCAGCACTAGAACGCACTCTCAGCCAACAGCTGGCAGCAAAGCACCTCCTGCACTCTGATGTTCGCAGGTCCTGATCATACGCCATGTTGGATCTGGCATGTCTCAGTCACGCTAAGAGGGCCACGGCTTACGGGACTATGCGCTGGGTTTAACGACTGTCTTTGTGAAGATCCAAGGAGTCTGGTTCAGAGGACAAGCAGCCGCCGGAAATGCTGGTGGCGCCAGGAGCAAGAGCTGGATATGCGGTCAGGTCAAGTTGACCCAAAGAGCTGTTTACGATCAAGTCACTTGGGGCAGAAGGAAGACCAACTTCAGTCCTCTGGAGCCCAACAGATCCTGATTCATTGGTGAGCTTTGCTCGATGTGAGCCAGTAGCCCAGATCAGGGGCTCGCCGTCTCGTCTCATACAGCAAGCCGTGTGGCCCCTAGCTGATCGAAGTTCGAATGATGGGCGAAACAAGGCATTGAGTCTGTCCGCTTGGTAATTTGTCTGCAGCCCGTGTGCCTGCAGCCTGCAAGCCTCTAAGGAGCTGGACAAAGTCGGCGCTGCCTAGTCAGCCAGTAAGCGACCAAAATGCCTACAAGAGGCAGGCGAGACGAAATGAGCCGCTGCATGTTCCTGCGTGAGGGCGCGACGCTACCAGATGCACGTCGGCGGCCGACGGACTGCTTTTTTTGCCTGCGCGACTGGCAGCTTTGGTTCCCTCTGATAAGCCCTCAGACAGACAGAGAGAGAGAGAGAGAGAGGATGGTCCCCAGGCCCCACTCCATTGCAGCAGGCGGTTTAAGTGCTTGCATATGCAGGCCAGCGCCATTGGAGGGCCATGACGTGTGAGATGCAGTTGGCTGGAATGGCTCCATCGCGCTCGCTCTCGCCCGGTGGTGCCATGGCTGATTCGCAATTGGGCGCTGGTCGAGCAATCGATGCCTTCGGGGTCTCGGACAGAGAGGCTGAGCAGTTCTTAGCGCCAACTGCAAGACTATTACACCATAAGGATGACGGATAGCGGGCATGGGAAAGTAGGACATGCTGTATGAGTGACTGAGAAGCGCAGGAGAGTTCATCGAGGTGAAGGCCAGGAAACGGAGTGGGTACGCGCTTGGTTGCTGATTGGCCACCGGTTCTTGGGGAGGCGCATTGGAGAGCCACTCGTGCCCCTCTTTGTTCATGGCCTCAGGTGCCAGAATTGCCCACCGTCTCTGTGCCTGAACTGCCGTCTAGATATCAAGTACATCCATCATCAACCTACTTCTTCAACCATCTGGGCTAAAGGGTAGTGAGACCTGAGGCGGCTTCTCGATCCCAGAACCAGCTGTGCGCACGATCAGCCAAGGAAGGACAGGGCGCATCGAAGCCAAACTGACTGACCGAAGCTCCTCTCTGGAACGCCTACCTTGTCCAGCTTGTGCGTCCGAGGATGCACCCTCCACGCCGACGCAACACATTTCCCGAACGAGTTCGTCGAGCAACCTCAAAGGTGACTCATCCCAAGAACGCGCCAGCTCACACTAGAACGTGTTCTGCCGGGGTCTTGTTTTGAGCCGGATCAGGAACCGTCGTCCTTCGTGCCCTGAGGAACGTCATTGAGCAAGGGCTCCAAGGGCTCCGCATGAATCTGGGAGATGAGAGATGAGACGGCCGAGCCCTCTACCGGGGGCTCCCCAAATCCCAGGAATGCCACGCTCCCGACCTCAACTCTGGCAATCAGGAGTGCGCCGGTGCAGCAGCAAGAAAGAAGCCAGGCAGGATGGGTACGCCTGCACACCACCAACTGGTCGCCGCGCTTTGCTGGGCAGATTTTGGTTTTAAGCTGGTTTGCGATGGTTTGCGACTCGTTTTCGCTGCTGAGGAGCCGTGTTCCGCTCGCGATCGGGAATTCCACCACCGAAAGGTTCAGCGCGCGCCCTGTTCCTTACCTCCCCCCCAACCGTTCCCCCCTACCGAGAATCATCGTCAACACCACTCGCAGCGATCAGACCCCCCCCCCGGGCCAGCTTGTCTTGCGTGTCTAGCCTCAACGCCTGTCAAGTTTTAGCATGCCCGCAGAGCTGCGGCGAGCTGCGGCGAGCTGTCAAACTCCGAGACATTTCCCTATCATCGCGTGCAGACGTCAGTCCCGGGGCCGATCTTGCCCACAGCTCGCTCATTATGCACCCGTTCTTTCTGCCTTCGTCTTCCTTCCATCGAGCTCTAGTGAGCCGCGTTGCCATTCTATGCCGTCGGCCCTAGCTGCTCATGCATGCCTTCCATGGCTCTGATCAGGACCCGCGGATCCGCAATGGGCTGTCTGGCTGGTGGGGACATGGGGGTATATTCTATTTCCCGGATTTCGGTAGATCGACGTCGATGCCACATCCATCACCACCTCCGGGGCCCTGAGCTTGACTGACAGCGCCCCCCCTCTGCCCCTCCCTCCCCTCCTCTGTCCACGTCTTTCTGGTTGCAGCCTCGTCTAGCGACTGTCAAATGGGTTGCTTGTCCTGGGCGGAGTGGGCCTTGGGACCACGGAGAATTAGCAAGAATACGATTGGCATTCCGTCTCAGTCAGGGTGCCCTTACGTATCCTCACACGTCCCTCACAGGGGCCCCTGTGAGACCGGGGGCATGCGGACAAGGCACATGCCTTGCAGCCCAAGTACATACCCTTTGGATGGATCTTTAGGGCTGAAGTTTGGAGATTGGCCCAAGAGTTTCCGTGGGGCTGTCCCGAGGCACGAACCATTTACTACTGAGATCTGGGCTGAAGTACGGCCGAACATCTCGGTCAAGGGATCGCCACGCACGGCAGTTTTACGGCTGCGCTTCAGAGTTGACATCAGACGGGGCTGGGAGACAAACGGCCAGGGGCAGCGCAAAGAGAGGAATCCAACTGCCATGGCATTGAGTCAATTGCTATAGTCCACGTTTGTTTGATAAGCCGGAAGGCGAAGCCTGGGGGCCCGGGTCGGGTTTCTCCTTCAGCCTTTCTCGGATCCCCCGACTCCACCTCCTGTCACCCGGGCTGGCCTTGCCTCGTTCTCCGCCGAGACTGCCGGAGGGGGGGGGGTGGAGGGGGACGTGCAGCCTCGCTGGCAGGATCCCAGGCTTCCCTCCCCTTCCCCATCCATCACCCAAGGCCTAAAGATCCGAGATAACCCCAAGCAGGCTTGACAACTCGGATGAGCCCTGCCAGAACGGAGGTTCTAGGTCGCCGGCCGTTGAAACTAGAAAAGGATGGTAGAAGTTCCCCGGAACCTTCTTCTGGACAGCTCCCTGCATTCGTCATCGGGGGACAGGCTCGTCTTCGGTGTCGGTCCGGTATCACATTCACGATGGGTTGGGGAGCAAAACCTGGCTCGCTGCTGGTGATGATGATTGCCCGCCTCGGACCGAAGGCGCCCCCTCCCCTTCGTGTAGGCGGGGTTCGAAGCACCGCTGGCCTTGGAAAGCCTTGCTGCACGGCCGATAATACGCCTTTTATACGAACATGAGTTTTTGTCATGTCTCTATACTAGAGGCAACTGTGGAGAGCTGCGCTGCGGGTCGCGACCGGTTTGGCACACCGGTTTCTAAATCGGTCACTACGCGAGAATTTCCAAGGGTTCGCTCAACTCAAGCCTTGATCGGCACTTCTCATTTCAAGGTCCGTGTAAACATAGTGCAAACGAATTTTTATTCAGCTACGCTCGCCCAATTGATCGTATGTCCATGGCGCGTGGGAGAAAAAAATGACCCCCAGCTTTGTCCTTTGCCTGTCCTACCATCAGAGATGGTTTTGGGTATCCTCCTCTTTTTGAAATGATCCTAGGAAAACTTGACCAAACATCGCCGTTTTGCGCCTCGCTCCATACCCCCCTCTTCCCTCCAGGAGGGCAGGACCTGGTTGGGTAATAACTATCTAGTATTAGACTGACTACCTAAGGGAAAAATTTGGTAAAGAAGATGCATGAATAAACTGAAAACTGGGATAAGACTGATGAAAGAGTGAAAGAAGATGAACGAAGAGATATCAGCAACGGGAAGAGACGAAGAGGAAAAAGATAAGAAACGCTGCGAGGTGAGGGCTGGGGACTTTTGTTGCCATTCATCCCCTCCCCTGGGACCCTCCATTTTTCGTCAACCTGAAGCATCATATCGTGCTAAATCATCAATGGCCGTAAAAGACAGACTTGGGAACCTGTTGTTGTTGCAAACAGAGGCGTGCGAGTAAAAGGAAATAAAAAGGAAAGAGAGACAGGATGGTATTTTTCTCCCGTTGATTCGAGTGGTTTTCGAGATGCCCAGAGACGTCGAGGGGTAGGTATCCAAGAGCGACTTTGCTGCGGGCTTTTGTTCCGTGTGTTTGCTTGCAGCTCTTGCATGAAGGGACAAGAAAATCGAAAAACAACCCAGAAATCCCAACCAACCCAACCCGTAATGCCAGTCTATGGTATCCCTTGATCCCGGTATCTTCCCCATCACTTCGTGAACTATGTGCGATTTGAAAGATGATTCGATGACTCTAGAGAACTGTGCGTTTGTGAGAAAGAAGGAAAAAGGTCTCGTGACACGTGTCTCGCGCTCGGGTGACTTTGTCTCGCCAGTCATCCTTCGCAAGGAGAATGATGTATCGTTCAGACTGGGAGGTGGCTGTCGCATCTGGAGCCGGGACCATGTCTCACTAGACGGTTCAGATCATGTTCGTGACTCCATCCATAGGCGAGCCCGAGTTTCTCTGATGTCCTGGGGCGGACACTTGAATCTGCATGTGGGCAGGAACGGGCGGAGGAACCATTGGCTGCTGGTACTGATGCTGTTGATAGCTTTGACGCTGCTCCGCTGGCTGTTGCTGTTGTTGGTGATGCTGCTGATGCTGCTGCGGATGAGAGGTGATTTGCGCATGGGTTGGGGTGTTTGACATTGCCATGGAAACAGCAGCCGGTTGTGGCGTCACCGGGGTCTCTTGCTGCAATTTCTGGCCTGGCTCGACTTTGGGTTTTGCCATGGTGGAAGCGGCCAATTTTTGATGGCTGCTCTCCCTACGGCGCTTGGGAGCGTCCTTGATCTTGGGATGGGTGTGGCACTAGGAGATGCGGTCAGTGGACTATCGGGGCTATATCTTTGCCTTTGGATACTTACTTTGTACGCATGTCGGAACCACGTCGTGCCCTTCTTCTTGCTGCTGACCAGTGCTATCCAGTCGTTGCAGCTACCGCAGAGGCCTTCCCAAACATCAGGATTGCCATCCATGCGTCTCGTTTCCTGTGGCTCGTTGAAGGGCTGGCCAGTCGCCGCGCTGATTCCGTGTGTGAAGCTCTTGTCGTACCAGAATGCCGAGTTCTTCAGCACCAGCCACCGACCAGGCTTGCAAATGCCGCACCAGCCCTCGCGCTTGTTGCCGTGGCCGCGCACCCATTTAGGTGTGTACAAGTCTCCGTCGAAGCGTAGCTCCTGCTCGTGAGGTACCAGGTCTGGGTCAGACGGGTTCATGTCCTCGGGAGGCGGTGGTATTTGCTCCTCGTGCAGCGACGCGAACAAGTCGGGCGGGTCTGAGAGATCCGTATAGTGGCCGTGGAGGGAGTGGGGGTCGGCATTGCTCTGAAGCATTCGGAAAAGACCATGAGAGAGCAGTGGTGGCGGATTCTCGAAGTGGTGCGCGTCAGGGTGGAAGCCTTGGGAAGGCAGTTGAGAGGGCAGCAGCATGCTGTTGCGCTGAAATGCGGCCGGATGGGCCTGGCCCATGAAGAACTGCTGCTGCTGGGTTGCTTGTAGATTGCCAAAGCTCAATGGCATCTGGCTAGTCTGGACCGTGGGCGACGAATGCCTGGATGACATGCGCGGGCCAAAGGTCTCAGGGGCGTGTTGATAGACAAAAGGCGACGGCCGTCGATTTGGCATTGTGCCGTAAGACCCCGTCGACCAACGTTTGTTGCTCCGAGAGCTGTCTACAGTGTATGGTGCGGATCGCATTCCTGGTCTTGGAGAGGGCGAGGCGCGGCCCCGGCTCTGTGTCCTCACAAGTTCGGATCGGCTCTGTGGCGTCATGCGTGGTGATGCCACTGGTGAAAGTTGCGTAGAAGACATCATGGAGTTCCTGTTCGATGGTGGAGGATATTCAGAGCTGAACGAGGGTGCATCGGAAAGAGCTGCTGAGAAGTCCTCGTAAGATGTCATGTCTGACAGCCCACCGGACGTGGACATGGTGAACGACGAGCCTGACATACGTCGAGGATTCAAACCGTTATCGAAGTTCATCGCGTCACCTTCTAGAGGTTGTCCGGGGTAGCGCAGGTCGAGGATCGGGACAGCTTCGTCGGTGGTGTATGCCTGACCAATACTCATATCGGTGTCGATGCCGTGCATCTCCAAGTTGTCCTCTACGGGCTTTTGCATCCAGTGACCTGGCCTTGCGGTCAGCTTCTGCGCACGACTGAACAGTGACGATTCCTGACTTACCGTTCTCCAAGGTCGTTGGCGGGTAGAATTCTTGGTGAACTGAGATTGGCCTCGAAGAGACCGTGTCACTGGGCGTGTGTTGCTGCTGCTGCTGGTGCATCGGCAGAGTCGAGGAGTCCCAAGCTGGCAGGCCTTGGTAGCTCTCGTCAACGCAGTACGAAAAGCCCTCGTGAATGGTTGCTGGTCGTGGTCGGATGCCTCCTGAACTTGGTGTGGTCCACACTCCCTGTGGCGTGGTCGCCATGGCTTCAGTCTTGACTGGCATCTCACTTCCGGTCATGTTCATCATGTGGCTGGACCGTGATGAGGGGATATCTCTGCGGTAGTTGTTATGGAGATGGAAGGCGAATGAGGGTGAGGGTATTTGCTGCCTTCTGTGATGGAAGTTGTGTAAGCTAGAAACTCTCTGGACAACTGCTGTGATGTGAGGCGGCCTACAGTTGTGCCTGACTCGAATCCATGGCTGCAGTGTTCCTTGCAAGGGGAGGCCAGAATATAAGTGTGTATTAAGAAAGGCCAGCAGCTAGGTAAAATCCCATGTCATGTTAGCATGAATGAACAGACGGAAGAGCCAAACTAAGAGGGGAGGGATGAGTAGCCGGGGGTTCCACATTGCCAACGTGTCGATGAGTGTATCATCATATATCCTCAGGCGATCTTTGTAACTTACTTGGTAATATAGGCAGGCCGGGAACAGGGCAAGAGAAAATAATGTCCGATATGGCCCAAAGGTCCGCGCTGGTGCTTGGATGTCGCCTCTGAAAAGCTGTCAGGGTAAGGGATGGTGGGTGGTTAAAGTAAGGAACGCGTAGATCTTGGGATCGGATATCGGTCGAGATCTCGAGTCAAGCAACCTCTGTGTGTGAAACAATGGGAAGAAAAGATTGCAGAGCCTCGTGTCGACGGCGGATGGCCGTTGGCCAGTGTTGTTGCTTTCGGGGGTGGACAGGGTTAAAGGAGTGTGATGAATTGTATAAAGTACAACTCGTTGACGACGTGACGGATGGGGCGCAGGCAGTGTGCGAGGAAGAGGGCCAGCTCTTGCTATATTATAGAGCAGCGATCGATAGCGGGGAGGGCGCTATAGGCAGGCTGAGAAAGCAGGAAAAGGAGTGACTGGGCGGCGGGCTGGGAAAAAAGTCCTGGAGGGACAGTGGGCACGACGGGGGGAAGATGGGCAGAGAAAGGCCAGATGGAGGGGCAGTGCACGAGGACCCCAGCAGTATAAAAGAATGTACCGTAGCATCAAGAGGCATCAACCCTGAATAGTCCAATAGTCTGGTAAGGACAGGTTCGGAACGTCGGTAGGTGGTGAGCCGGAATCCCTGATACAAGCCTGCCCTGTCGTCCGTGAAGTCGAGAGAGGGTGGGCAGTAAGAGATCTGCTTGGCCTCGCTCAAATGAGCAAGTCTGGCAAGGATTCAACTTTAAACAGAGTTGACAGGGTTGACAGGGTTGCATCTGGACCTCGATGATGTGTGGGAACTGGACCTCTAGCGTTGCCTCTCAGTGGGGAGCAGAGAAGGCCGACGAGCCAGGGACGGTCCCCGTAGGTTCTTATTTTGGACGTAGGGAGCAAGGGTCCACTGGGTACCTCGTCATGTCTGCCCACGGACTCTGCAACAAGGTCGCGGCTTGCGAGAAGAGCAAGGGCGAGGGCGACCATGGCACACGAGGGACGTGGGGATATTGATCAAGAGAAGAAAGGGAGGCCGGGGCCATCAGACAGCGGACACCGAACAGCACGCCGTCAACGACCTCACGACCGGCTGGCTGCCACGGGCGGGCGCTGTTCAGTGCACCACCTCCGTCGGCTTACTGTACCCAACAGGCAGGGGCGAGAGTGGACAATAACCGGGACAGGAGCGGAATGAATGTTTATCCTCTGCATCGAGGATGAGGATCTAATTCATCCAGTCCATCCATCCGTCCCTCCGTCTGTTCAGCCCTGAGCCCTTGGTAGTGGAGCAGCAAGGCTTGAGGTCGTTGGGAGGGGGGGGGTCGATGGATACCGACGAGGGGGCGCTTGTCTCAGTTCTCATACCCACATCAGATGGAAAGTTCGGCAACTACCAGTGAGCAGGTGGGAGAGGATTGTGCAGAGTTGCTTAGACTGGGCTAGACTGGGCTGGGGAGATTGAACAACGGTCAGGTCGGTGGTTTCAGCCGCAACAAGACGCTGGCGAAGCTGTGGCCCACGGAGAACTCCACGATGCCGTCATACTGGGTGACGTGGTAAGGATGACGAGCGCCAAACCGACCTCGTAAAAGAAGTCCTGATCTAGTCAAAGGCTATTTGGCACAATTTCGCACGATTTGGCATCAGGGAAAACGACCGGCTCTGGACAACGAAGGGGTTTGAGTCTTGGAGACCCGGGCCCAACCATCGTGCTCTCGCCGCGAATCGTGGAATCTTAGCGGTAGCGTCTGGAAGCGGACGACGACGGTGGTATCAACAGCAGATGCTGTGGTGCTGTAGATGCCCTCGGTAGACATGTGCCAGGCGCCTCGAGCAAGGATGGGTCCTGTCGACCGTGAATCTTGATTCCGATATGATGGACGGCCGAACCAGTAGATCAAGGCCGCCAGATTCTGGGCCTCTGGTGATTCGATATCCAGGCTAAGGAGAAGACGAGGCAGGAATTTTGCGATTGGACAGCGTCGAATGACACGGAGGCTGTATTATCAGCCAGCCTGTGCCGGCCCTCTGACTACGGCGAATCTGGCACACAGCACCGCAATTGCACAGCAAAAATAGAGAAGCGCCCGGGAAGGAAGGTACGTAAGCCCACGGCCCGTCTGTGTTGTGGGCGCGGGCGCGGGCGGTGTTGGGGAGGATTGCGAGTGGACCGGTAGATCTGGGGATAATTAGACTCGGCCATCCGAAGCTGGTGCGTCGAGCTTCTGGGGAGGTGACGGGTGGTGGTGAGGCTGGGTTTGAGGTCATGTTGAATCCGGCAAGGTGCCGAGAGACATCAGACAGAAGCGATGATTTGAGGACATGGAGTGGAGGGAATCTGGAACACGGGTCTCTAGCGCAGACTTGACAGCGCGATCCAGGGCAATGACCAGTAGTCGATTCGTCCGAGGCCAGCCTGCCTTTGGCGGGGGGGGGGGGTGTTTCGCTGCACTGGCTAGCCGAGTAATGTTAATTGGAATAAGATGGGCTGATGAAGACTGCCTACGATATCCTCACGGACAGAGTGTGGTGGGATGAGAGTGTGCATCAGCCAGGACACACACACCCACTTTCTTTCTCACTCCCTCTCTCTCTGCACGGCCAGAGCACAGGCTGGGTGAGCGTTGGGGAGTGCTGACGCGACCTGGCATTAGCTGAGCTGACATGACTTGACAAGAAACAAGTCGAAAGAGGGTATATGGGAGGAGGGCGGGTATAGTTGCCGGGCGTGCAGCCGGCGATGTTTTGGCGGAGCGGAACATGTGTCGTTGGAAGAGGCACGAGAGCGGGGGCAGGCTAGAGTTTGAGGTTCATTCTGAGTGGATGAGGCGGACAGGTCGGATTGGCCAGATGCGCCCTGCAGACGCGGAAGGAAGCAAGGCAAGGCAAGGGGTCTGGGTCTTGGGTCCGGGGTCCAGGCAGGAGTGGGCAAGGTGGAAAGGTGGGCAGGTGGGGCGCCTGGGCATCCGATGGGGACATCTGGACCAGTCAGACACATTAGATTCTGACGAGGGCTTGTGCCTGCTGGGCGCAGGCTCCAAGTACCTGGGGTACCTGTCTGCTGGAGATACTGTGTAGGGTAGCATCCAAGTCCACGATGCCGTGCCATAGCACCTCAGAACCTGATGGATGAGTCTGTCAATTGAGACGGATGGGCCGACAGAATTGTAACTCACTTGTGGTTTTGGACTGTGAATGCTGTTCTGCCGCCCGGGTTTCGGTCCCAACAACTGGTAGAAACTCGAAACCAGCCGTGGTCGGGATTTGCCTGATTAATGAGGCGCGCTGTCGGACACACACTGCAGCACGGCCCAGAGAGCCTACACCAACTAAGCCCAACAGTACCTGGGGGGTCGAGGACGGAGGACATCGCGTACAGCGACTGTGTGCAGTGTGCAGCAGCGACACAAACATACATACACCCAGGTACCACAGTGGTTAAAGACCCGTGGTTTACCCCAAGAGGCGTAGGGGCGTAGCGTGTCTAGATTAGATGGACGGGCGACGCGAGGGGGGCTCACTGGCTCACCAGAAAGAGTCTCAGGGGTCGAGGTGTTTCAGGACCTGTGTCAGAGCCTCGGACCCATGCAAATCAGACGCGGCCCACCACCCACATGCAGCCCGCTGCAGACTGCGGACAGCAGACTGCAGTGGCGACCCCACCCCGCCTCCACCCCGCCCACCTCCAACTTGCAAGTTGCCGACCCGCCTGCCAGTCATCAGTCATCAGCTACCACCCCTCCACCCCTCCACCTCCGGCAGAACTCAAGTCGCTGTCTGGTCCTGTCCTGACGCTCGAGCTTGGTGCTTAGGCCCAGACTCGCTCTTGGACCTGGACTGGGACTTGGGCAGACTCCAGATTGACACTGCCAACACCAGCCAGTTGCTGTCAAAGTGCACTCAATCTCAATCCGAATTCGCCTGAACATCACGGCTCGGCTTGACTTGTATGCTTCCAGTCAGCTCCTGTCAAAACCTTCCCCCTCTCCCCTGCCCACCCCGGCCAGCACTGCGCGTCGTCCGCCCAAATAGACTTCTTTAGGGTCCCAGCCTGACCGACGTGTACCGCGGCCTTGCCGCACCTTGCCCGTCTGGGCCTTCCTCCTTCATCGCCAGTTTGGGCCCTGTCACAGTCTGCACAAGTGATACGATGAAAGCGCCTGGTGAATCAGATTCCCTGGAGATCCAATCGGTACCCGGTAACGGCTTTGGTGCTTCGCTTCACCTCTCTGCTCCTGCTCCTGCTCCTGCCACCGCTGCCAGTCTTGTTCTGAGGCTGTCGGGCAGCCGGACTGCGGCAGATCATATCGTCTCGGGATCTGCCTGGTCTTCTGGCGCCTCTTGGCACGTTTGACGTCGCCGAGAGCTACTGAGCGGCTTTGGCAAGTCTCGTGAGGCCGGACGCGTACATCACCACCCTCGAGCGCCATGGCAAGCCTTGACTCGCCTCTATACACTACCAAGTCCTCACTTAGCCTGAGGGTCTCCTGCCATCTACCATGTATTCGCCATGGCTCTCCTCGGCACGAGTAGCACGAGCACGGCACACAACTCCATGTCAACTCCTCTGGCCGATCGATCAAGCTACTAGGCAGGCTTACGAGTTTGCGCTGTGGATGGTGTGCCATCATTCCGACGTAGAATCAGGCTGGCTAGCTTGTCCATCACAGGCCTGGCATCGATGCCGCGCGCAGACTTTTACCTAGTACGAGGCAAATCAGAACCCAACATGCTGATCGCTCCATTCCTTTTTTCCCCTTGACCCAGGCAAAGGCCACAGGCGACGATCCTTAACAGCCATGCCCGTGCCATGGTAGTCAACAGAACGCAGGGGACACGATAAGATGGAATCCGCTGTTGATCAGCCCGCGTATTGCTAGGTGCCGACCTCCCCTCGTGCTCAAAAAGCTCAAGCACGGGCAGGTACATGGGTACCCCATCCTGTCGGCCCTTCAATCGTCGACAACACAGCAATATTGACGTGACTTATAGCCTGATGTGTGCAAGGGACCCCTCGACAAGTCCATTCATGCGCTCTTCTCAACTCCACCGCGGGCTCAAAAGTTTCCCAGGTTTCTGGCCAGTTAAGCATCGACACCAGCGGGTTCAGCACCCTCACCTAATCAAGACGTGCCGCGGCACTCACCATGAACCATAAAGACCCTTTGTCGGCGCCTCCATGAGACCCGCTGTGCCTGAGACTATGGGCTGTACCTGCATGCAACGCATTCCAGTTCGTCAGTCGAACGGCACGGGATCGTGTCCCTCGAGTGTGTGGGGTTGGGACTTGAGGTGGACTGTGATCGAGCCTCGTTGGGTTTCGACCTCAGCCTGAATCCATACCAAAGATGTCAACTCTGGTGTGCCTATCAGGCCCCGCTTACCGTAGGACCATGTTCCGAGCGACATCTTTGGCCTGCAGCCCAGTAGGCAGCTACCGCTTGTCCGGGAAGAGCTTGCGGGCGCACGCTGACGTCTGCAACGTCCGGGCGCTGGGCGCGCCTCCCAACCCGTCATCGCATCTTTCGCAAGCTACCCGCGGCCTGTACGGCGCCGTCTCCTATTCTGAGGCAGTCGGGCGAAGTTTCCCGCCCGGTGGCCCAATAGCCCAGCAGCCCAGCAGCCCAGCAGCCCTAGAGGCCAGGATGTCACTGCGAGACTGGGCCGTTGCCGTTTCGATTTGCTCACCTTACCCAACCAGCCGAGAGCCCAGTGCTTCCATGGCACCTTCGAAGATTTGTTCTTTCTGTGGGTCCACGGACCATCGACACCATCGACCTTCCTCCGGAGGGTCCGTAACAGGGGCCGGCGTGTTTCTCTTCAAGGGCCGTCTGCCAGAGATTAGCGATTTGTCGCATGACAAACCCGGCTGGATTGGGAAGTTGACCGGGATCGCTCGCTAGCAGCCGTCGGCGCCGCGGTCTATATTTCGACTCCTATGGAGATCACAAGGTGTCCAATGGTGACGCGATGCGGCCCTCCGCTGCTGGCTGGGCACATTTCGCAATTCCCCTTGCCCACCACAACCCCTCCCCCACACCTCCCTCACCCAGGTGAGAGAGGCCGCCGGTTTCTTGTCCGGCCCAGCCTGGCTCGCAGCCCTGCCGCGCCGTGCGAGGTTACTCACACCACAGCGTGTCAGGCTACGGCCATCGCGTGTAAGCCCGAGGACTTGATTGGTCGCTCTCGCGCATACTGACGAGTCCTCTCGATCCACCACGCAGAGTGAGCCAGCGCAAATGTGAGCCGTGGGCTACTGCAACGGCAGCATTATCTCACCCTTCCTTTCTTCCTGTCTCTCTCGTCTGTCGAGTGGCTTGCAATTCGTTCATCGCAGCCATGTACCTCGTATCCAATCGAAGCCCATCCTGGCAGAGGCACTGCTTGCGAGAGTGCCGTCCTCTCGCAAGTCTCCCCGCCCGAAACCTTTTCTTTCTTGTCTGCCTAGGTTCAAACCTCGGGGTTGGAAAACAAAACTTTCCAAAACCCCCCCTGAAAGCGTCCCCGCTGCGCCTCTCCCATGGCGACGTTTCCCAAGATCGACGGGTCGACCCCCATTACCGGTAACAACCAACAACCCGCACTATCTTGCTCAGGCGGATCGTTTGATGTCTGGACACAGCCTCACCTCGTCCCGCCCTGTGCGCGCAAAGTAGCCCACCCTCCCATCCATCATCCAACCAGCCAACATGCGTTCTTGGCTTTGAGCACCCTCCACTGCCCGCCCTGCAGGGCAGGTCACGTAGATACTGTAGCAATGGCCCCAATTAAATTGGAACCCAGCGAAGGGATCGACCTGCATGCACAAGGTCTGCTTTTAATCTCCCGCGAGTTTGCTGTAAATAGAAGCGCGCCAGAAAAGGCAAAACGGCGGCAGAAACTTTTTTTCCTCCATCTGTCTTCTCGGGTCACAACCTACTCTATTTACTTGTCGATACCTGCGCTTGTTCCCAGACCGATGACGGAACTGCCGGGCTCGTTGCGCGGGTTTTGTGTCACCCCCCACCCCCCTTCTTCCAGCTCCTGGCTCTGGGCGCCCTCCCCTCCTTCCCCTGGGGGGTGGCTTGGCTCTCTATCGTGCACAGAAACTCCTAGGCTGACCGAGTATATCGAACGGTCATATCCTACCACGAATGGCGCAGTCGTCCGAGGATGCCGAGGCTTTTGGTTCCCCGGAGAGACCTGGCGGTGTCCAGACGAGAAGGGAAGGTTTCTTGATAATTTACTCGCGGACACCTAGCCCGACAGGTAAAGTCATCGAGATGAGCCAGGAGGCGGCTGAGAGGCTCGGTATAGAGGCGCGCGCGGAACGCGCAAGTACTACTGTATTTGCGTGCTTTCTCAACTGCTACGTGCTACTGCTGAATATGATACACCGGGGCGAGCACGCTCTTCCGTCACGTCATGAGTGACCAACCCCCAACAAAACTTCCCCTATTGAACTCTCGCAACCACGAAAGGCCCGACTCCGCCTCCCTTCGCCCCTGACAAACCCTGAAGGACTACCTCGTCACCCCTTGTTCACCCTCTTCCACACCTCGGCCTCGGCGCCTGCCAGCTTCTCCCCGGCCGTCGCCGCGAGCTTCTTCGCGGAGCTCCAGATGCCCTCCCCGTCCGCGCCGTCACCGCCGCCGCCAAGGCTCCCAAAGCTGCCGCTCCTCTCCCGCTCCTCGGCCTCCAGCGCGTCCTGCCGCGCCCGCTGGTACCGGTCCATCTCCCCCGCGTGGACGTTCTGCTGGTAGCCCGGCGGGTGCTCCAGCGGCGAGGCGCCGGCCGCGGGCCGGGGGGGCGAAGGCCGTCGAGGTTCCGCGCTGGGCTGCGGGCGCTGCTGCTGACGAGGTGGAGGACCCCGCGGGCGGGGGGATTGCCATCTGAGGTGGGTAGGGCACGGCTTGCTGCTGCTGCTGTTGTGGGGCGGCGGTTGTCTCCCCGGCCCTGGGCGGGGGTGGAATTGTGGACGTCGCTGTCACCCTGGGGGGTGGGCCGCCTGCTCCGGGCGGCACTGGAACTGCCCCGGGCTGAGGCGGCGGTGGGCCCTGGGTCCCTGGGAGTGGTTGAGTTGGAGTCGGCTGGATCGGTGAGTAATGTCGCTGCGCAGCGCCCGTTGGGGCCGGGATGGCTGGCACAGCTCCTGGCTGCGCTGCTGGGTATCCTGGGCCCGCGGCTGGTGGCCCAGCACTGGCGGCTGCTGTGGTCGTCGGAAGGCTCGAGTCAGGAGGTGCGTTCTGGGCCTTCTCTGCTGCTGCCGTCTCGGGAGACGCTCCGGCGGCCTTGGCCGCGTTGATGGGGCTGTGAGCATAGATGGGAATGGGCGGCATTTTCGCTCAAGGACAAGCTCGACTGTGAGTTGTGGTAGTCGACTGGTGTTTGTCCGGTTTGGGGAGCTGGTAAGCTGATAGGACGGCTTGCTGGCTGGCTGCCCGCCCTGGAATGAATGCTTGATGTGGGTGTTGTTGTCAAGCGCCTTGTTGTCCTCTTGCAGCCTGTGGAGCTCATGCAGCTCTCTTTATCCTGGTCAAAAGGACGGATGGTCAATCATAAGGTAGGATGAAAACACCTGTTGGTCAATGGGATTTTGGAAAAACGATGTTTGCTGAGTGAAGTTGCAGAGTGATGTGTGTTCAGTTGCTAGGCGCCGCGCTGTTTCTGATGGCCGCAAGCAGAATACGTCATCAGTGTCAGGTGACCCCCATCCCATGTTCCGGAGGGAGACTGGAACGCTGTTCAGAATCAGAACATATACTGTAATAAGAGAAGAAATTGTTGACAAGCAATCGGATCAGTATGATTGATGACTTGCTGAGGCCTGGGCCACCTGTGGGACTGGCATTGTGGAGTTTATCCAACTGGAAGTTAATCTTGCGGCAGCTTCTGATGGTAGTATCCACACATGTCTGGGCAGTACCACTTGAAGTCTGTTGTTCTTTGACTTCTTTGACCTGTAACTCTGATTAAACACAGTCATGGGTGGGAATGGCTTGTGACAATTCGTATAACATCAGCCCACTGTCTGTGTGATGGTTTGCTGCCAGCAACTGGCGATGCTCTGTCTTGGCTTTGAAGGGAGTCTTTTCAACTCGTACCACATTGAGGCTTCAAGGTTAGGGCACGCAGGCCGGGATTGTTATCACTTCTAAGAATGAATTCTGTAGAATAAAAGAATACCTATATTGAAGAACGAATATGCGAAAGCTCCAGATACCGTGTGAGCCTTAAGCCAGGCTTATATGCTTCTGACGGAGAACAACAGTCAGTCAGCAGACCTGGTTGTGAGCTTCTCAGTCCTAGTAACCCAAGCATCAAGCCTGGAGAGATTCCTCAAGGCTCTTAGCCCTGATTCAGGGATTGTCTTTGCAAGAAGAGAGAGAGAGAGGGAGAGAGAGAGAGAGAGAGAGAGAGAGAGAGAGAGAGGTGATCTCATTAACTGTAGGGAGACAAGAGACTGTCATCATGACATGTAAAGCCGAGGAGAAGAAACTGATCAACAGTACAGGTTGAGTGAGCCTGGAAGAGTGAATCTTGAGGTGGTGTTGCACTCCTGCACGGCAGACGGCACGGGCCAGCTCTGTGAGGTTGACGGGCGCTAAGCCAAGAATGGACACTAAACTCTGGCCGGACAGCAGCAGCACTGTCACTCCGAGTGCTTCTCGACCAGGGTTCTGTGGTTGCGCGCGATGCTGCAGGCGGCGCAATTGGAGCTCTGGGCCACGAACTGCCAGGCCAACTGGAGATTTTCGAGATGTAATCCGCGCCTTCAGCCCTTCGCCTCCCCAAACCCCACAACCTCACCCTCACGCTCGTCGTCAACTCCATCCCCATCCTCATCGCCGTCCAACCTACCAGCCATACTCCACGATGGTTGGAAAAGTCAGCGAGCGCGTCCTCGCGCGGGAGGGTAAGCATCCCTGAGCACAAGCCGCGACGGGCCACCACATGCTGGTTAGCCCGTCACCGGGCAAAGCATCATGGCTGACACCACGCAGGTCTCGAGCGAACGGACAATGGCATGAAGCAGAGCAGCTGGCCGGACGTTGTCCCAATCAACCAGAAGAACTACTACACGTGAGTCTTTCCCACCTCTACCATGCTTGCGGCCACAGACATATACTGATGGTTCCTTCCCCGTCAGCGAGTATATGAAGCGTGACACACAAATCCTACCATTGCGACTCCAATTCGATGCGAACCTCGACAGAATCGCACAGAATGCCAAGGACAGAGATCGCGAGCGCGCCTTGAATCCTAAGGGGGAGGTCCCGCTGGGTTTGCCGGAAGAGGACGAATATGAAGCCCAGGCCGAAGACGGCAGTGTGCCTGGCAAGAACGCCTCTGATCCCTCACGCATCATCATCATCCACCCTGGCAGCCAAAACCTGCGGATAGGCTTTGCCAGCGATGCACTACCGAAGACGATACCCATGACCCTGGCGACGAGGTTTCCCCAGACAGAGGCCGAGCAGTACGAGGCGCTACCCCGGCGACAATTTGAGGCCAAGACCACCGATGAACAATACGGGGAAGAATGGTCGAAGAAGTACAACAAGATGTGCAGCGACTTGAAGATCGACATGCGCGCCAACAAGCGAAAGGTCCTGCCAAACTCTAAAGAGCTGGTGGTTAATTACAACCGGCGGGCTGACCCCGAGGTCATTCCTGTCCACAATGATCCTCTGCAGGTCGAGTGGACCGACGTCAAGTCCTTGGAGGACCCCAATTCCGTTGCGTCTTGCTTCATCGGCAACGAAGCCCTGCGAGTTCCCGACGATTCAAGCCCCAAGTTCAAGTTGTGGTGGCCAATACAACAAGGATGGATGAATGAAGACGACTACACGGCAGCCGAGCATCTATACGATGACTTCGAGACTCTACTTGATAAATCAATCCGACAAGAACTCGGCTTGACTAAGAATAGCTCTTGGAAACACTACAGTTGCGTCTTTATCATCCCCGACCTATACGACAAGAAATATGTTGAGCAGGCATTGCGGTCGTGTATGAACTGGTTCGAATTCTCAAAGACCTGTTTCATACAAGAGAGCATGGCAGCAACCTTCGGCGCTGGTTACACGCAAGCTTGCGTTGTTGACGTTGGTGCGCAAAAGACCTCGATCACCTGCGTCGAGGACGGGCTCTGCATCGAGGACTCGCGTGTCAACTTGAAGTACGGTGGCTATGACGTGACGGAGACGTTCATCAAGATGATGCTCTACGACAACTTCCCTTATGCAGATATCAACCTCCGGAGGCGGTATGATTTCTTGCTGGCAGAAGAACTGAAGATCAAGCACTGCACCATGACCCAGGCAGACATCTCCGTACAGCTCTTCCAGTTTCACCTCCGCGCTCCCAACCAGCCCACCCGCAAGTATCAATTCAAGACGTACGACGAGGTCATCCTGGCTCCCATGGGTTTCTATGACCCAGAAGTGTTCGACAACTCGACAAAGCTCCGCGGGCGAAGGAAACTCATCGACCGCTCCTACAACGCCTATGATGTGGAAGTGCCAGACGACCCTTTCTCAGCAGCACAGTTGGCTATTTTGTCACTGAACAAGCCTTCGATAAACCAGATACCCAGTGCTATCCCTCCGGGGGCGGAATTCTCCACGCCGATGAAGGAGAAGCCCAACCCATTCAACCACCTCACTCGCGACGGAACCCCACAGGCGTCCAACGCCCCTTCACCCGCACCCGAAGGTGCAAGCACTCCTGTTCCTCCTCCGTTCGTGTTTGGAAAGGACAGCACCAACGGAAACGCCAGTCCATCCCGCAACGGCGGCACACCAGTGCCCCAGACCAACGGCGGCCCTGCCCCGAACAACGTGTCCCAACCCCCCCCGGGCATCTTCGTCGAGCGGGAGGAGCACCCACTGAAGAAGCTCGCCGAGGAGCGGGACGAAGTCATGCCGGTCGTCCCGCTCGACATCGCCATCCTGACCTCGATCCAGAACGCGGGCAAGACGGATGACAAGAAGGTTCGCGACCTGTTGGGCTCGATCATGGTCATTGGCGGCGGCGCCAAGGTCCCGCACTTCACCAGCTACCTCGAGGAGAAGCTGCGCGCCCGGCGGCCCGACATCGCTGACAGGATCCTCGTGTCGCGCAGCGCGAGGGACATGGACGAGCAGGTCGTGGTCTGGAAGGGCGGCAGCGTCTTCGGGAAGCTCTCTATGAACGACTCGTGGATCACGCCGTTCGAGTACGAGAGGCTCGGGCCGAGGGTGCTCCACCACAAGGTCCTCTGGGCGTGGTAGGTCCGCAGATGCAATGGAGGTATCTCATCGGTCGAGGATGAGGGATAATGAGGTGTCCGAGACCGGAGGTGGCCACTTCTGCGCGCGGTCGATAGAGTGAGAGAGAGGTGTAACAACGTGGGAGCATTCGGAGTTCGGAGTCATTCTGGGAGGGAGGGTCCTAAGGTAGATAAGGACACGAAGGGAAAGCGGGATACAAGATATTCCTTAGTTAGGTTCAGGTTGTCGTCGAAAGAACTGGCTCTTGTCAAGATGCGCTGGCGGTACGGCCAAGCGGGACAAGACGGAAATTGAAAATATTTGAATTTGACTGCCTCAAACAATGGACCTTGCTATGTGGAAGTTGACTTAGGATGCTGATTTAGGATGTCGAGTTAAGACACATCGATCCCTAACGCCGATCGCTACCTTGAGATGAACTACTTGATGGAAGCACGTAAGGCCAGAGGCTGCTTAATACACCTTCTTACTAACTTTCACGAGCAGGACGCCATCGGTCTCCTGGCCGTTGGCATCCAGCAGATGCACGAACCTGTAGCCGGTCCGCAGCCGGTCCAGCCGCACGCACGCCCAGGAGGCGAGGTCGTCGCGGCGGAAGGACTCGTCGTCCCGGATGATGAAGCGCACGAAGCTCAGCTCCTCCACCACGCCGGGGATCCCCTTGAGCTCGAGGCTCTCGCCCTTGAAGTCCGGGTCGCACGTTCCCTTGATCGTCGTACTGCGCGCCTTGTACTGGCCCTCCTTGTCCTCGTCGCTTGAGGCAGCCCGCCGGGCCGCCTCCTCGCCCTCGCGCCCCAGGTGCCCGTGCCGCTCGCCGCCCTCCTCGACATGCAGCTCCAGCTTGACGTACGGGTTGAAGGACTTGGCGGACGTCTCATCCAACGGCATGGGAAGACTCTGCCCCGCGAAGAGCTTGACCTCGAGGTCGAGCGTGCGGTGGGTGACGACGGGCTGTGGCTCCGATTCGTGGCCCGGCTTAGCGCAGCGGTATCCTTCTGGTTTGAGGACGTATCCCCCTGTGCCTGCGAACATACCCTCATTCAACCTACGAGGTGATGTTAATGATATGTCTCTTGGAACTTTGCTGGTACTGGCGGTGGTTCACTTACATCATGCCCTCGTCCCAATTTTGCCAATTCAGCGCCACGATCTGGATACCTTTTCTCCAGAACGATGCCGGGTCCAGATTCGACGAACCGATTCTCAGTCCCGATGGGTAGGCCCGCATCATGTATTTACGGTTGTGGTCAAAAAGCTGTATAGCCTCCTTCTCGTGTATCTCCGCGACCGTCTTCTCGGCCAGGGAGAATATGTGCGTCGGCATGGTCGCCTCTGGCTGCGTGAGGGACTTGAACGACACGCCGCGGGTGTAAACTCCAAGGTCACTCAGCGCGTGGATAATCTTGGAGGGCTTCTTTTTCTTCTTCTTCTCGGCGGCCGCGGGGTCGACCGGGCCCGCGTCCTCGTCTGATATGGCAGCTGTGTCTGTCCCCGGGGGCGCGTACTTCACCTTGACAAGGATCTTGTGGCGGTAATCGCCTGGTGGCGGCAGGACGCCTGCGTCCTTGTCGGGAGGTGGTACGAGCAGGCCGTCCCAAACCCGCTTCATAATGTCGACCATGATCTCCTGCTGCTGGGCACCCGCGTGCACTTCGAGGGACACGATCAGCGGGAGGTCTGTCACGGCGAAAGCATGGTCCTTGATGGCCACGCACACGTCTCGGAACGAGACTTCCTTGGTGAGAGTGTACCCGTGCAAGACGCGCGGCTCAGTGGGTGCCACCGGCAGGGAGGGCACCTTTTGGAGCACAGCGGATGATGTTGACTTATCGTCTCCCTTGGCCACTGGCTTGGCTTCCTTTGCCGCCGAGGGTGATGGTGATGCGGGAGAGGCAGCCTTGTGCTCCGTCTTCTTGTCCACATATTTGTCGAGTTTCTTCCCCAGTGACGTCTTCTCCAGCTTTGATAAGATCGACTTGGGGAGCTTCTTCTTGGCCTTCTCTACCTTCTGTTTCCTTTTGGCGTAGATCTCTGCCTTCTTGGGGTCGTCGTCCTCAAGGTCGCTGCTGGAATACTCTGAGTCCGTATCGTCACCGTCCCAGACGTCGATCTCGACGCAGCGACACCCCCTTAGCAGAACATTTTTGAAAGCATCCGTGCTTGACTCGCTATAGAGCTGGTTCCCGGTGAGGTAGGTGTTGTGACTAGAGCTGATGAAGTAGCTGGATAGGGGGTAGGTGAGATCCTGGTCACTGGTTCTGCAGGGCCCGACAATGTTGCTGGCATCTGAGGTCATGTAGTGCAAGAAGTCGTTGAAGTCCAACTGCTCTTTGGTTGCCAGTTCGGCGGGCAGCGCCTCGTGTTGAGACTCAAGGTCGCCTGCTTGGGTGCAGCGGATGAATGTGGCGGCCTGCGCCTTGTGCCATGACTTGTTCTCGTCGGCATGGCAGTTGAAAACGTTGGTAAGATAACGTAAGATGTGCTCGTGGACTGTCTTGACGTGTCCGTGGTGTTCCTCGCCGCTTACACCACCGCCGGCCTGATGCACGGCGTCCTTGGGCGGGGGAGCTTGTGAGGCCTCCTCTGTCATTTTGGACCGTGGATGTCAAACGCAGATCTCGCGCAGGTTGGGGGGGATGTGAGCGAGACCGTGGGCAAATGTCTGCAAGTGTCCACGGAATGGAGAGAGACTCATGTCATTAAAGAACACCTCACCGCTAGAAATAGGTCAGGAGGCTTGGCCGGTCGCTTTGATGAAGTCGAGCCCTGATAAGTGGGTTCGCTTCGAATGACCGTGTCGTAAGTGACCAGGGAGCTTGTACGAGAAGATGAGCTTGCCATACAAAACCCTCTGCGTGTCACTGCCTGCTTGTGCTGTATGCCCCGGTGGGTCTCGGGCCAGCTGGTGACATAGACATGGGCACACCAGACGGACGCACCAGAGAGGGGACACCAGAGGCCAGCGACGGTTTATGCTCAGAACGGCTCACGTATCATGGAAACTTGCGATGTTATGCCGGGGACAAAGGCCATGAGAGACAGCAGCGCGGCTTTTAGGATGGCAGGTGGCGTCACTCGAGTGACAGGTCAGTCGTCAGACAGAGACACATGCAAGGGCGCCAAGGCCTCCAGCTGTGCACCTGCAGCTGTGCACCGGTTGTTGTGGTTCCACACCTGGGGGCCTGGGCACTGGGGCTGCTGGAGCGGCAGCTTCGAATCGTGCTGTGCATGCAGCCCTGCTGCCCTGGAGCTCACCCCACACAGCAAGGTCCAGCTGGGGGCCCGGTTTCAGGGCCCTGGCCCGCCAGCCCGGATCGTGTTGGATGGGCCTCTCAACTGCCAGCCTGCACGCACCAATTCAGGTGTGCGTGCCGGGGAGCTTTCCCCGCACCGTTCCCTGCCTGCGGGCAGGTGCCAAGTTTATTAGAGGCTCACGAGCTCCTGAACACCAACTTCCAAAGTTGGCGCGACTGCGGTAGAGGAGAACAAATTCCCATGGTCAGGTCTTCGCATTCTCTGTGCCGAACTGTTCTCAAGGAGCTGCGTACGTTGTACGAAGGTAGGTAGATGTGTACATCGGTTGTCAAGATGTCCTAGGCCAACCCACGGACACGTTCTACCGTATTCGCTTCCATGTCGAAGAGCCACTCGCCAGTCTCCTCATTCCACGGCGCAGTGGCTTCATCAGAGAGCTCCCAAAATGACGCTTGGCCCATAAGGTCGTCCAGTGCCTCTTCCACGTGGACCCTAGTGCGCGGCTTCCCAGGGACTAGCTCTGCCTTGTCTGTCCCCACGCCGGCCATGGCCAGTGGCCTGGACAAATCGAGCGTGTCGGTGTTGCCAAACACGAAGGACAGGTGCCGCAGCGCCGTCAAATCGGGGACGAAGTATCCGAGTGTGCCCACGTCCTCGTCCATGAGCATGTGCGAGCTCAAGGCAAGATGCGCGATCTCTCGGCAGAAGGGCTTCGTGCCCTCCGGGAGCTCTCCGTTGTACTCGTCGAACTGGGACTTTCGAACGGCCGCAATGAACTCGTCGAAGTACCGGTACGGCACAAAGAAGGCATCCTTCTCTGGCCGGTATGGGCGGCATGGGATGTTGATGTTTCTGACCGTGTCCTCCCTGAATGATAGGCGGCTCTTGGCGTACTCGCGAGACTCGTGGCACACGTGCATGATGGCTGGGAAGGCGACTACGACCTCTCGCTCGACCTCCCAGTCGGATTCGGCCTGGTCCTCCTCGCTCTCCTCCTTGATTCCGAAGTCCTCCGGGTCGAAGAAATACACGCCTGGCATGTCTGCATCGGACAGGCACTCGGCCCAGATTTCGGATCGGATTTCCCCAGGCAAGTCTTTGAATTCAACCATCTTGCAGTTCTTGGCTTCCCAGGCCGTGCGATGCGTTCTGTTGACGATGGTGACCGGTGGGAGGTGAGTGGTTTGCTTTGTGAATTGTGCTGAAACGTTGAAATTATAACAAGAGGCTTGCAAGACGCGTGTTGATCAACTTTAATTGTCGCGTCGATGTGTCCAAGGGAGGCAGGGATCGACCCACCCCTACGTCTTGTGGTATTTTCGACTGCCACCCCGCGTCGCGTTCAACGTGTATCATGTAAAGTACGTAGACGAGATACTGGCGAATTGTCTGGAAGGGGCAGAATTCGATCGATCCCTATGATCGACCTCCCATTTGAGGCTCTTTGCCCGAGACATGTCACAAGTGGGCAGCAGCACGGTGACCCATGAATCCGGAGCTTGGAGCCCGGATCTCTAAATCGGAACCGCAGGCATTCGGCACGGGGGGAGTGCCCCAATGTCACTACCCGTCCGGCTTGCAACTGCGGTTTCGACCGCCTACCTAGACACGTGAGCAAGATTAAGTGTGAGCAATGCGGACTGATCAATTGCCTCGAGTGCTATTCGCCCAGGAGACAAGACAGAATTGCTCCTTGTCCCCGTTTTGTCAAGAGAAAAAGTGGAAGTGGCCCGACAGTGACCCTTTTTCGGCCCCGATCTCGGAAGGTGGGGCTCCTCTCAAAGTGCAAAGCACAGAAAGCAACCGAGGGGCACGCTTTCCTCGTCGATCAACCTTGCCAGCAACTCCAACCACCCCGTCGCTTCCCCTCCTGTTCAAAGCTATCTCAGAAAAGCTCCCACTCAATTCAACATGGCAACCCACGACATTGTTGTTCTCGGTGGTGACCACTGTGGTCCCGAGGTGAGTGCCAATGGCCCACTGCAGGCTGTGCATTGCGATGTGTCCCGCCCGGCAACGAGCTGTTTAAACTTCCGGGTGAAGTCATGAGAATGGGGCGAATGCTAACAGAACTTCGAAACGCAGGTTGTGGCCGAGGCAGTCAAGGTACGCCAAATGGAACTCGGGGGCGGACCTGGCTTGCATGCCACCATCGTCTAGCCTCGAACCGAGCTCCCCGCGAGCTTGGACTCGGTTCAAGTCGTTGACCAGGAGTACTGACCAATTCACAGGTTCTCAGGACGGTCGAGTCTCTGAGCCCTTCGGCTGGCAAGTTCAACCTGCAGGGGCATCTGTTTGGTGGTGTAAGTATCTCTGTCGCTCTGGACGCACCCTCGTAGCTACCCCCACATCAAAGAGGCCGAATGGGTCTGCTGGCATCAAGAGCCATGGGCTACAGTCACGGTCAAAAAAACACAGCTAACCCTGCCTCAGGCTTCCATCAATGCTCACGGCAAGCCTCTCACTGAGGAGACCCTCGATGCCGCGAAAAACGCCAACGCCGTTCTCCTCGGCGCCATTGGCGGTCCCGAATGGGGTCCCTCTTCTCCCGTCCGCCCGGAGCAGGGCATTTTGGCCCTGCGCAAGGAGCTGGGCACCTATGGCAACCTGAGGCCCTGCAGCTTCGCTTCCGACTCTCTTGTAGACAGGTCCCCTCTCAAAGCATAAGTCTGCCGGGGCACCGACTTCGTCGTCGTCCGTGAGCTGACTGGAGGTATCTATTTCGGCGGCCGCAAGACGACGGGTCCGGGTTCGCCCTGGACACGGAGCCCTACAGCAAGGCAGAGATAGAGCGGATCGCTCGTCTGTCTGCTCACCTGGCTCTGGCGCAGAACCCTCCTGCCAAGGTCTGGAATCTCGACAAGGCCAACGTCCTGGCCACCAGCCGTCTGTGGAGGAAGATCGTCACGGAGCTGTTCAAGAACGAGTTCCCCCAGCTCCAGCTCGAGCACCAGCTGATCGACTCGGCCGCCATGTTGATGGTGAAGAGCCCGCGTACGCTGAACGGAATCGTCATGACGAGCAACCTGTTTGGCGATATCATTAGTGACGAGGCCAGTGTCATCCCCGGCAGCATTGGTCTGCTGCCCAGTGCTAGTCTTGGTGGTCTGCCAGATGGCAAGAGCAAGTGCAATGGAATCTACGAGCCAATTCACGGTAAGTTCGCAAATCTCCCAAATCCTAGATGGCTCGTCAAATCCCGAGAGGAATGCAGTGGGCTAACACACCTCACCTCATCTAGGCTCGGCGCCTGACATCTCAGGAAAGGGTATCGTCAACCCTGTCGGCACAATCCTGTCGATTGCAATGATGCTCAGGTACTCCCTTGGTCTGCCTAAGGAGGCGGATGTCGTTGAGCAGGCAGTCAAGAACGCCATCGACAGCGGCGTTGTGACTAAGGACCTTGGTGGTAGTGCTAGCACCAAGGAAGTGGGTGACGCCGTTGTTGCGGAGCTGGAGAAGATCTTGAAGAAATAAGTGGTCAGATAGACAGTCTTGGCCGCCTCTGAGCGAAGGAGCGTTATGTATTGGAAAGTAGACAAAAGCTAATGTGTTCTTTTCCTGCACGAGAACGGCTGAACTTTTCTGCAGGTATATTGCACTGCGCATACCTCGGCGCCTGGATAGTCGCTCGTGGATATCTGCATGTTTGAAGTCGTTGCCCTCTCATTTGCTCGCGTTAACATGTGAGACATGTGTTGGGGCACGCCAAATGCCGTTGTACATGGTATACTAGGTGGAACACTCAACATCTGGTCAGGTTGCGAGGCCAAGTAACTGCCGGCCGATGCCCAAGCCAATCTGACCGAGATCTATGGCTCCATAACCGTGCAGTCTTCGTACGCTGTGGGATCGCCGACCCGGGACGCTATCAACTGGTCCCACGGTGAAATGCAGAAGCTGATGTTGATCGCGGCCACTTGCTTGTACCCGATTACCTAGCCTTTGACGTTTCTCTGGGACCACGTCAATGTGAAGAAGATGCCGAAGCTCGTGGGTCTGTTGATCTAGGCTCGGCGTCAACACTTCACGGCTTGCGGATTGATGACATATTTGTGCCTGTGTTTCATCATATGACCTAAAAAAGGGGAAGGAAAGTAGGTAGTATGATAATCGACAATGCCATTTCGGTCTGCTTGACGGTCCTCAGTCGGAAGCAATGAGTATGCTCATGTCTCCCCTCGCTCGCCACTCCAGATCTGTGACCTGAGCCTATAAGAGCATTCCTATGAAGTAAAACGATGATTTCGACCCTAGGGAAATGCAGGGGGAAAAAACAGGATGTCAGTAGGATCTGCCCACACGTCTATCCCCAAAACTTAGATGCCGAATGCACGCCCAAATGTCTGGAAATGCCCTACTCAAATCTAAAGGTGTGGCCAACCTGTTCCTGTCCGGTTCAACTCTGTGCCCAGATGTGACTCTCTCATCCCCAAATTCCTCATTACGGGCGAAGAAGAGATCAAGAATTCGTACTTCCTCTGCATCCTCAAGCTTCCCCTCGTTGACCACTCGGTCTAATCTACCGTTATCAAATGCAATGCCATGCCAAAGCAATACACCGAGGGTATGGGCGGCCTCAAAATTCTTCCTGAGGTCTTGAGGCCCTGTGTGAGGTCTCAACTCGGATATCTCGGCCTCTAGCCTTAGCCAGAAATGCTCTCGCAGCTCTTGTGCCTCGGGGTAGTAGCCAAAGCGGCCATCGTGAGCAGCCTCGCCCAGCAGGGCCTCGAGACCGTAAATCCCCACGCCGAATGGGAGATATTCGGCCTCGGCCCAGTCCAGAAAGCCAGACAAAATTATCTCTCTTGATGAGGTACCCTGTGATTTTCGAACCATCATATTCGCCGGGACGACATCACCATGCGTCAGAGCCCATGGCAGCGCCTCAATGTCACCCAGCCGCTCCAATATATCTCTCACGGCGGGCTGGAATCGCGCAGGGAGATGAGCTCTCATTTGTTGTAGCCTCCATCTGATAGATCCACCTATCCGGCCGCGGAGACTCGAGACAGCTGGGTCTGATGCCGAACGTGAGGACTTCCAACCGATGGCGATGAACCTGGCAAACTCGCTAACCACGTCTTTTCTCTGCCGCCGTAACTCGGCTTCCGGCGACGGAGACTGTGCCTCGGAGGCGCGTAGCTCGGCTACAGACAGGCCTGGTATCCTCGACAAGGAATAGACGTGGAGTGAAGTGTGAGACTTGTGGCAGCCATCGTCGATCACGACTGCCTCGTCCACGGGCTGTCGGTGTAAATTCCCACCAACATCATCAGGCGAGCATGAGGTGGAAACGTCTATAACTTCGAGAAATTTGGTCTGCGGCGCAAGGCTTCCATAGATGGTTTTAGCAGCGTCCGTCACCCTGACATCGAGCTTGTGGACTGTAGGTCGGAACTGAACAATAGTGTCACGTCCAACGCAGAGCGTGTAGGAGCAATACCCTTGAGGTTCAATCTCCTTGATTTCTTCGTTGGGAAATATACGGCGGGAAAGATCCAAACATTTTGATCGAGTATTTCGAGGGAGCCCGCAACGCTCGAAGAAGTCACTCACATCATCGTCGACAGAAGACTGACATGGGGCCATTTGCACAGGAAAAGATTATGGATAAATTTGTTCTGGCGAGGAACCACGAACCACACATGGCCGAGATGAAGCTCGATGAAAACAGAAAGTGGAGGTCGACATGCGAGGTGGGATGATGTCCTTGTGGTCCGCTGCCCCGGCTGATCTCATGCAACCCCCACGTTTGGTTGGGCATGCCCGCCACACCTCACCATCGCACTCACGACTCATCCGTCTTGCCCGATTAGGTAAATCCCGCTTCATTCCTTGGCTTTGGGGTCAGGAAATATCTACGTGCCGCATCTGAGACGTTGATTTCGATTCAGCAAAGGCATTGCACTGCGTGATTTTGAGTAGTTGATTTGGTGACATCGTCGAGGGTATTCCAACAGTATCTAGCGGGCGACCGGATGGTGATATAATCGATTGAAGATGCTTCATAAGTCAGGCAAAGAAGACGCCTGCTGAATAAATTGTAAGCAGGCAGGATAATCTTCTGTCAACATGGGCAGACCTGGTATGCATACTATGCAGTGCTTGCTGCTGAGTGTATGTCTTCCAACGGAATCTCTCTTGCCCATCTCACTTTTTCAAGCTTGGCGAATTTGGATGCTTTTCTGCTCAAGAATTTGCTCTGCAAGTACCATCATTTCGATTCACAGCGCGAAGAGAGACTCCAACAATCGACGGTTGCCTGAAACTCAATAGACGTTGTTGAAGATGACATGTCTTTCACCGTTTCCTCCAATATTCACCGGTGCGCCGCCTCGATAATGTCCAATGACCAGCGCACGCACTGTGATCAGTGTAATAAGCCAGAGAATGAATACAGTCGCTCCTTCGACAAGGCTGAAAAGTTTCTCTGTCTACAACTTGGGTTCCGACGGCGAATGGTTCATGGTGCCATGGTTTCTAGGATGAAAGATACGACAACTCGTGACTGCTTCCTCTTCGAACCAATGTCCTTAACACAGCCTTGAGGTTTGTTGACCAATTTACTGTTCCGAAAGTTATTTATGTGGGAGCAGACACACGGTCATAAAATGTGAACCTCTCACAGTGGGTGGCAAGTGGATGTTGGGTAGGAACAAACTGCGAGTTGCACCTTCTTGAGAATTAACAGTAGCACATCCTTCAAGTACCTTGCTGAGAGGAGTTCGGCATGGTGGCTCCTGCTGTACGGTCGTTCTAGCTCAATCGACATTGTTTTGCGTCGTCTCCCGCCTGTTTCTCAAGACAAGAACACAGCCTGGACAACAAGCAGATCCCTCTGATTTTGAAATTGGTCGAACAGCAATTCCTTGAATCTCTACAGAATTCCTAGGTATCCAACAACCACCGGCATACTCGAGGCACATTCAAGCTAGCTTTCCAGGATGAGTTCCGGAAGACGCCAGAGCAGTGCCGCCGCCGCCGCTCCCCCCTCTGCTCGCCAGAAGAAACGACTCATCGTCTGCTGCGATGGAACCTGGATGAACTCGGACAAAGGTTGGGAAAAGGGCAAGCCGCAGCCCCCATCCAACGTTACTCGTCTAGCCCGGTCCTTCAACCGTGGTTGCTCGGATGGCTCGGTTCAGGTCATCAACTACCAATCTGGCGTTGGGACCGGAAGCACCATGGCGGACGCCTTCTCTGGCGGCGCCTTTGGCAACGGTGTAGCAGAGGTGAGCGCTCTTCCTGGCGACACTCCACTTCTCCGCCATGTCTGATACAGTATCCAGCACATACGCGAGAGCTATGCATTCATATGCGGCAACTACGTCGACGGCGACGAAATCATCCTCATCGGCTTCTCTCGTGGCGCCTTCACCGCTCGAAGCATCGCCGGCATCATTGGAAGTCTTGGCCTCCTCACTCGCGAAGGCATGGAATTCTTCTACCCTATCTTCAAAGACATGCAGAACTGGCAAACCAAGAACTACAAGGATCCTTACCCAGGTGTTCCTTTTGAAAACAAGCCCAGGGGTGAAAACGCGGCCGAGGACTACCGGCGCGTGCTCATCGAGAAGGGTCTCACGCGGGTCTTCGAAGGCGGTGGCTCCGGCAAACTCATCACCATCAAGGCAGTCGCAGTCTTTGATACCGTGGGCAGTCTTGGAGTCCCCTCGATCGCGTGGATGAAAAAGCTCGGCATCGACCACACGACCTCGGAGCTTCGCTTCTACGACACGAAATTGTCGGACCGCATCCAGAATGCCTTCCAGGCTTTGGCCCTGGACGAGCCACGACCGCCCTTCAGCCCTTCGATCTGGGAGCGTCCTGCTTCCAACAAGGGTGTCACCAATCTGAAGCAGGTCTGGTTTCCTGGAAACCATGGCAACGTCGGTGGTGGCTGGCCTGACCAGGGCATCGCCAACATGACCATGGCTTGTAAGCAACATGCCCCATCCTCTAAGGGACCTACCAACGGCTCCGTGTTTCTTTCCACTTGGAAGATGTCTGACTGCCTCTATCAGGGATGATGGATCAACTCGTCAGTATGGGCGTCGAGTTTGACAGCGGCTCCCTCCGTCGGGCCCTAGCAGACACGGAGAGATATTACCGCGACCATCCCTCAGCAGCTGCACTTCCAACCAAAGAAGCCCCAAAAGCAAAGGGAAAGCCCCCGAAAATCATCGCAATGGCCACTAGAGTCGTACCAGACAGCCTGAAGGCATCCGCCGCAAAAGTCTCAAAGGTGACCCCCCCAACATTTTACAAGTGGGCCGTTGACCCCATCCTCGAAGGTAATCACCCCTTGCGGCCATGGAGCACGGGTGCTATCCTCAGAGCTCACAGTCCAATGTACACTCTTGCGGGTACCATCACCCGCTCTCCTGGCATGTACCACAAGCTCAACTCGTACAACGGAAAAGAGTTGCCCGAGTATCTAGAGGATACAGGCGAGCAGGTTCACCCTTCCGTGCGAATCCGCCTCGCAATCAAAGGCTTGGGCTACGATGACAAGAAACAATGGAATGCAGCCGCGCTCACCAACGCCGACTGGGAGCTTGCGAAGAAGACGGATGGAAGTTGGGTTTGGGTATACGAGGGCAAGGAGGACCTCCCAAAGAAGATCCTCGAGGAGTCAGAGCTGGGTAATTACGAAAAGAAGATGTTGGACCTGGCGGGCGGATTTCCGGACATTCTAGAGTTTGTCGACAACATGACCCTGGAGGAATTTCAAGACATCACGAGGAGGAAGACCTCTGTGATTCCAGTGCCGGTAGAGCCATCAAACACCTCATGAACATGCCTCCCCATGAGTCTGTTTTACCAAGATCACTCACGGAAGTTATGAACGTTTCGGTGGAAGGTTGAGAATGTGTATTTAGACTTTTGTTCGCGCACTGGATACCCGCATTACCTATAGAGCCTCCTGCAAGAGACACAGACTGTCTCTAATACCCCCTCATTTCAATCGCGAGTGCGGATTCCAGGGTTTCGGGGTAGGAATATGTCCCGCAGGGTGCCTAAATAATACCGTCTCGAAATACAAGCATACGAGAATATTGTGAATGTCCCGGTGTGGTCTGACATTATTTGTGCAATTGGCCCATATACTAGGCAAACATATGAAACGTGAGTCCCTCAACAAATTTGAATAGACATCTGGCCATTTCAGCATCGAATTACTCGGCTTTTCAGCAGACGACATGCTACTGGAACTTCAATCCACTGCGCATTGATGGAACTCGGAACAGAATCGAAGAAATGAAGCTATCACTTGAGCGTTGGGGAGATGAGAACTGTAATTGGACCTCTCTCCCCGCGCTGTTATCATCCAGTCGCCCAGCCGACTAGCAGGATTCAGTATACTCGACAAGGTCGAGCCAGATTTAAATGGTTAGAGATGGTGGATAATCCAGGTATGTGTGATATGGCCAAGTTGACAATGATTTGATAGTCCCCGTGTCCGACACCACAGCAAACGACATTCCCCAATAGAATGTCCCTAGGTAAATGATTGCAACTGGCCATGAGATATGAATGTATCCAAGAAAGCACTATAATCTGAGATGAGGCCATGTACTTGCAAGTACCTGCTGTGGTAAACGTGACCACTGGGATCACCTCGATGACGACAAAAGAGCAGCTTTTAAACATGACTTTCGTGTTTATTGCCTCTATGCGGAAGTCTCTGACGACTAGGAAAATAAATATTGGAGCTGAAACGGTGAGAAGAAGGCTATAGGACATTCCGTGAGAAAAGATCAAATCAACCGTAATGAGTTGGTATCGTTCGAGTATGTTATCCTGACCATCAGGTGCTTTCCTACCATCAGATATTCGTGTCGCGCCATGACTGCAAAACAGTGCGATACGAGACACGGTCAAACCGGCTCGAGCTCCCTCGGCTCTATTGACACCGGCCAAAGCGCATAAATAATTTCGCCATCGATCAACTCAGGACCAAACTCTGATCCGACCGGTATGACAACTAGTGGTATACTCTAGTAATCCACAGTGGCAGTTGTGCTCTAGGCTGTGCTGACCGATCTTCGGAGGCAGTCACAAAATCTTGGAGGCATGTATCCCGAACATCCACGACGATATGTGCTCGGACTCTTTACTCAAGGGAGAGCGAGCTATGAATCGCCTGTGTAAGCGCTGGTGGAGTGTGTGTGTGTGTGCAGAAAGACAAGGACCCAACGCTCAACACTCTCGATCAAGTTCCATTCTCCTTGGCGAAGGCGTGCTGGCTTCTCAATGGGCGTTTCCCTGAAAACGGGCCCTGTCCTACGTCAGTATAGGTGATTCTTAGTGATCAAGTGCTGACAGTAGCGATTGCGAAGCCGCTGTTTGATGATGACTGTAATTCACACAGTGATGACCACCCCTCCAAGTGCACACAAGTGATCGTTGGACAGCCAACGGCGCGTATCCTAGTCTTTGCCGTCGACTCGCGCTTTCGAGGAAGAGCGAGCTCGTCGATAGGCCGTCCGGCCGTCAAGGTCCCTTCGTCAACCCCTGTCGCGAACAGACTCCCCGTCCTCGGTCGCCTGCCCGAGCGTGCATTTTCCTTTTTTCCGCATGGGCGATAAGTTTCGAGGTTGAGTGATTGTCTGTACGACGTCACATCGCGTGGGAGACCCGAGCCTCCGGGCCCAGCCCCCCCGCCTCGTTAGGCTCGCGGCCCCACACCGTCGCATGTTTTGCTTTCGAGAAGGTCAGTGACAAGGCTCGGGACACCACCCTGGGAACACGAGGAGCTGGGCTTTGCTATCTTCCCCTTTTCCATCTCTTTTTCGAAGCTACTTCCCCCTAGCCTTGTCTGCTCATGGCGGACGTGCCTGAGCTATTGGGGGCGTCTTCCATAGGCCCGGGTTTGAAGCCTGGAAGACGAGAAGCTTGGTCCATCTGACCATTGTTGGGACGAACAAGAACTCGTCAAGCTCACTTGCGGTCCAAGTGACGTGAGATCTGCAGCAGGGATTACTAGCCTGTGGGTCCGAGCATCGATTGGGCCCTACGGATCTTGGGTCTCGCTAAAGAGCACAACCCTGTTTTTGCCCTCGCAACCAACAACCCGGCCCACCTACCTCCCCCCCTGTCGAATTTTCGACAGGCCTTCCCCAGAGAGGAGCTCCACCGCGGCAGCAACGGCACGGGACCCAGAACCTCTTCTTCCCTCACCGGCGGCACGTTCGGCCAAACGCCCAGCCCTGCCAGCCCAGGAACACACAAGAGATACTGAATACGAGGAGGAACCGGTCACATGGTCCGACCGAGAGAGAGAGAGCATGATGCTACTCGCTCACTCACTCACCTAACCTCGCCCGAGTCATTCCTGGGCTATCCATCCCCGCCTACTGTCAGGTACAGGATCCACCAGCGCACCTCTGACAGCTCATCGCCGATGCGGGCCAACCTTGGCCCACCCTGCCCTTTACAGTAGGCAGAAGCAGATCGACAGCTCCAGCTCCAGCTCCAGCTCCAGCTCCAGCTCCGGCTCCAGCTCCGGCTCCAGTGCTGCTAGGTCTCTGCCTGTCTGCCCCTCTATTCATAGAACGAGTCAAGGATGGCCAGGCGACTCGCCCTTAGCTCGCCCGCCGTCTTGGGAGGCTCCATGCTGGACCATGAACGTGAGATTCGGGATGCCCAAATCTGTCATGGTGTGTTGACTCCTGTTGAGGCACATCAGCCCGTGCGCGCCAGGTCACTCTCTCACAGGCATCTCGCGGCGTTGTGATCTCGATGTCTATCTCCTTGGAATTAATCAATACTACTAGGTAGTAGAGGTCTAGTCAGAGAGCACCTTCATTACAGCCAGCCGAGCAAATTCCCACGGTATTTGCCCTACCGTGTTGGTCCCTGCTCCCGCCTGTTGGCCTTCCCAACCCGCGCATCTGCGAAACAGAAAAATAAGAATAAAAAGCAAGGCGATTGCCTCTCCGCCGATATGCTTTCATTCCATTAACCATCTCCCTTGCCGAAAATCCCCAAATTTTGCCGCCTTTTAAAGTCCCAGGGTATACCGCTTCATGATATCGTAAAGGAATGTGAGAGGCCGTGAACTCATGAATAACCGTCATGACCGACCTATATGCTATGCGCCCCTGAATGTGCAAGGAATGTAGAGAAGTGTAAAAGAAAAAGTAAAGAGTCGTCACACGTTAGTGGATGGTGCTTAGACGAGCGCCACGAGACCGATGAAGCCAGCGAACAGGGCGGCCGCCGGGCCACTCTGGGAGTTGGCACCGGCTGTCACAACCGGCGCCGACGTTGCTGCTGTTGATGCAGTCACCAGGTTGGATGTCGTGGCGGTCGTCGGCACCTGGACCGTGGTCGGCTGCAGCGACCTGGTCGAGTAGACAGTGCCGTTCTGGGTCACCAGGTAGGTGGTGTACTGTGAGACGGTCTCCGCAGAGCCCACAGTGGTCTCGATGGTTGTTTCCGCGTGCTTTGTCTGGGTCACGGCAATGACCTCCGTGGTCGTGTGGACCTGCGTCACCGAGATGTACTTGGTTCCGGTCTGCGTGACGACTGTTGTGGATCCCTCGATGACAGTCGTGTAAGAGTACTCCGGGTGAGTAACTGTCACAAGCACATCCGTGGTCTCGTCTTTATTGAACAGCCATGTTAGCCAATCTCCGTTTTTGTTGACGCAAATACCTCATCCAGCGAGTTGCCTGGATCAGTCGGGGAAATTACTTACAAGCAGTGGTCAGAGAAGTAGTGTAAGCGGTCTCCTTGATGGTCGTTGGCACCTTTGTGACGATGGTCTGTTGGGAGTTAGCGGCCGCGTTGCGAGACAAACTTTGAGCAGTTGGAGCGTACCTCGGTGCTAGTCTTCACAGTCGTGTAGGTGCTGCCTCCCTTTGTCACGGTTTCCGTGTAGGGGCAGAGCGAAGTGAGAGTAGTGTAATCAGTAACTTCCGCTGTCTTGGTCTTGTCTGGCAGGTGTGTCGTTTCATAGACCTTGGTAGGGGCCTGAGTCACAATGGTCTACTCGGGGTCAGCAACAGTCCAAAACTCATGGCTTCGCAAAGAACCTACTGAAGTGGACGTCCATGTGACCTCGTAGGTGCTTCCACCTTCCGTCTTGGTCTCCGTGACTGGGCAGTAAGAAGTGATGGTTGTGTAATCCACAACACTACAGGTTGAGCAGTCAGCCGTCAAAGTCCTCAGCATCATTGTCGATAATAGAAGTCGCTTACCCTGTTGTCTCGTAGTGGGTGGGTCCTGGAACTGTCTCGTAGTAGGTTGTTGGCACAACCGTCTTCACGACTGAGGTAGTCTCATAAGTCTTGGTGTAAGTTGTTCCGGGACCGGTGACTGTCTCCGTAACTGGGCAAACGGTAGTGTAGGTGCTACTCCAGAGTCAGATACTGCTCGACCGCGACCTAATCAGGGTAGGGCACAAGGCTTACATTTCGACATCCGTAGTGGTAGTGTATTTAGTTGGACCAGGCACAGTGACCACACCGCCACACTCTCCTCCAGGGCAACTGGTGACAGTTTGCGTGGAGGTAGTCCAGTACGTGTACTCCTTGGTAGTACCATGATCCGTGGTTGTCTCAGTGACAGGGCAAACCGTGGCTAAGCTTCACGTCAGTACACGCCATGTCTGGGTGGAGCTTGGCCAAAGAACTGAATAGACAGGCCTGGGACCTTAGATAGACTAGGGTTGGACTTGGAATGGGGGAGGGGGCTTCTTCCCAGCCGTAGGTAACAATCAATGAGACAGAAAATCAAAATCTGTATCATACGTACTTGTAGTGTAAGTGACTTTAGTCGTCTTGTCACCATAACCCCAGTCGCCGCCGCCGCCGCCACCACCTCCACGGGCAAGCAATTCCTCCGCGAACGCCGGGGCCACCAAGGCAAGTAGTGCAAAGGCCTTCATGTTTGCGGTCGTAGTCAACAACAGGCCAGGCTCTCGGTCCAGTGAATGTGTTGTAGTGTGATGAGGTGGTCAACGAAGGAAGTTTGGCAACGATGAGTGATGAGATTGGGCAGCGAGGGTATAAGTAACCTGAGCGAGATGGTTACAAAGTCCTATGGGAACGAGCAGGCTGGTGAACCAAAGACGGTGTGGAGGAGAGGGAAAAGAGGAGGCTGAAGGACCGGTAACGGGAAGCAGGCGACTTATATGGTACTATCGTGGGAGGACTGCATGCGCCGTCGAGAGAGCAGGCGTAGATGTGATGACATGGTAGGATCTAGGGATCCTGATTTGTCGCAGCAGCTCGGCTGCATGGCCCTAAGGCGTCCTCTCACCATCCCGACAAGATACCAAGGAACACATGACTGTAGCCGTGGTTGAGTCGAACACGCGGTGGTACGGCACAGACATCGCAGTGTCGAGCTTCCCAACTGGCGTGGGCCCCAGAGGAGGTTGGGGTTGGTCGACCGCGGCCACGTCGGCCTCGCAGAGAATAGCTCAAGCCAGGATCCTGAGCTCATGCACCCTGGCCGATCCTGGGCCGATCTCATGTAAGCTTGAACTCCATCCTGTCTGTGTCGAGTGGGATCCATGACCAACAGGATCATCCTCTGAGTGCATAGCTCCCATGCCCTGTCCGCAAGAATGGACGACCTTCGGCTGCTGCAGTCTGCTGCGAATAATACACATGGCTGGTACCCGTCAGCCGCCGTGCAGCACGGTGACGAATAGGAAGAGGGTAGCACACCTGGTTGCCCAGGTATCCTTGGCTGCTAGGGATGGGGTGGACATCCTTGTTTTCGATGGCGTCGAGGCTGAAGCTACCCAGAACCCGACCAGAGCTATATGACGACAGGCTTGGTTGATAGAAGAGCAGTTAATCTATTCTCTGCCGGAAAGTCCAGTTGAGGTTTCTTACCCGACTCCCACCAGGTGTGCCGACATGGATTGTCCTCTCGCTGCTGACTGATAGGTCCCAATCGACTGCTCAGTGCGGCCAGGGAGGCATTGCAGATACGAGAAGCCGCAGGCAGAACGTTTATGAGGGGGCACCCTTAGTCAAAAGCCCGCTAAGCCCATGGCATTGAGTTTGTCTTAGAGTGCAACATCGTGCTGTCTTGCAGGCACGTTTCTGCTCACGTCGTGAGAGCCACGAAAACAATGTCATTGTGATCCTCGCCCCAGAGAGGGTTGACTCTGTGTCATGATTGTTGACAAGGAAACATGTTGAGGAGAGGGGAAAGGGGAATCATGTGACAAACACCACGTACACTCCGTGGTCAAAGGTTCCATTACCGCGATTCGCAACGTCAAAACAGCAGAACTAGCGCCGGTCAACGGATGCGATGTTGGTCCTGAGCCAAGCTACCGGCTCTTGGACGGTCGAGCTCTTGGGAAGGATCCACAAAAGCAAGAAGTGACTTTGCCCAAGCTCGTGTTGAGCGAGACTAGCTGCAGGTGAAGCAAGGCTGCACGACTGGTCCCAGGCACGCGTTGCCGAGCTAGTCACCCAAGACCCCAAGAGCTCCAAGGGTTGTTAGGCCGCACCTAGGCAAGCAGCAAACGTCGCTCTGTCACAGTTGCACGAGAGCGTTGGGGGGTTTGAAGAGACAGCGTCGTCGTTGCCGGCTATACTCGGACGACGTTTCCAACTTGCAGCCCGCTGAGTTGTTTCCGGGGGGCGAGTTTGTGTCACCACATTGTCCCATTAAGCTGCAGATGCCAAGCCGATACATGGGTAGTAGAGGCGGGGCTTACAGGTGAGATCCTCTTGGAATCGGGAGACCAGGCGACCGCCTCAGTGAGACCAAACCTGGGACCCAGTCCTCGGCCCCTCCCGGTTTATATAGAAGCTTGAAGACTGCGGAGGTGACATCGCAACCCTAAGAATAGCAGAACTGACCGGGAGGACGGGGCGAGACGTGTGGGATCAGTGCAATGAGGGCGCGGTTTTTTGTAAGGCTAGGCTCCAAGTCCAAGCTACCCACAGGTTTCGTTGTGAGAGAGAAGTGAGCAGGAAAAAGTGTTTGTCTCAATGCGGAAGGCTCTCGCAGATGAGGTGAGCCCGGTGAGGCAACGGGTGCTGATCAAATGGCTGACTTGATCGTGATCGGCGGGGAAGAAGTTCGCGTCCAGCTGTTGGCCAGGTTCCCAAGCCATAGCTGCAGGGCGGGTGTTGCGGCAGTTTGTGGGCTGTTTGGGAGACGTAGAATCCTCCGAGTTCAGAGCTGTTGTGTGCCTGTCATACCGGAGAAGCTTGCTGCTCGTGGGTCGGCAAGTCACGGGAATCCCGTGGACGGCCTAGTTGACACCGCGTGGGCTCCAACAACAAGGCACACATCAATTCAGTCCAGACATGACCGACATACTGGCGGGTGTTCTTGGTTGCGCCAACATATTGCTCCAGTCCCGTGGCGGATCTAGCTCCGAAAGCCCATTCACTTCGGATGCGGGGGAGGGTACAGCCCGATACGAGGTGACCATATATTGTGGGCTGGTAAGCGTCTGTCGAGTGGTCGCCCAGAGCTGGGCTTCTCTCCAGCATGGCTGTCGAAGAACCCGAGGCTTGCTGATTCATGTCCAATACCTCTTCGTCCACTCGGTCATGCCGTGCGCCGAAAAGGGGAGTCAAGCGTTGCCCGATGACCGCGAAGCAACGTTCCACAGCCATCAAAAAACAATATCCCAGTGTCTGTGCTGCAAAGTGGGGAGGCCTAAGACCTACCGAGACATTTCTCAGCCCTGGGGCGTTCGCCCCGCGGAGCAGCGAGGCAGGCTGACTGAGGCCATGCGTCAATCGTCCGATGTGAAGGGCTCGCTTGGGAAGAAGAGGTGGGGGGGCCGGTGGGCGAGGATGGGCCGGCCGGAAGGCTACCGAATTGACGAACAGCACAGGGAAGAAGGCCCTCTTGGAAGTGCCGTCAGATTTGGCGTGCCCAGGCAACCGGACTGCATGCAGCAGCTGGTTGGCACTGCACGTGAGCCTGGTGGCTGGCAAGGCTGCCCCTGCCATCCGCGCTGCCCCTGTCAGCCCATTTTTGTGTCGCCCCACATGCACGACAGGGAAACCACGAGCCACATCTTATTCCTTCCTGCCCAATTATGGCTCTGGCCGGGCACTCCACCAGCCCCACTGTTTCTGATCCCAGCTCACAGCCCCTCATCAGCACCTTCCTCACAATCTTCCATCCCGTCAGCCTTCGTCTGGTCTTCAGCGCACTGCTCACCGGTCGCAGCGCACGGCGACCTGCTGTGGCCTCGCACCCGGCCAGACAGCAGACCTGCGGGCCAACTTCGCCGACTACCTGCTGCCACCAAATATACAGCCTGCATTCCGAATTCACGTCAATGATCCTCCTTGGGCATGCTGAGAGATGGAGGCTGCACAGAATTCTGCTCTACGTCTTTTGGATGTTCAATTGCTTGCATTTGAGGTAGTCCTATACTTGGGTACACTTTCTGCTCCGAAGATCCCCACCTCACTCTTCACACACCTCAGATTTTGGAATCCTGGACGTCCATCCTCATCCTCTGCTGCGTTTCTGTATCGACTCCAATCGTGACGTACCCAATTATACCGTTCTCAATATTCTCACCGTCGAGCGGCACGATCTGGAGGGTGGGGTCCCAGCCGTTGGCAGTCTCAGAGCCAAAGATGTCGTCAACGTCGTTGGTCGTCCGGTTGATCGTCGTGTGGCTTGCGTATGGCTCAAGGGCCATGAGCTGGGCGCTCAGTGTCTCATTGATAAACACTTGGCCCGTTGACACTGTCGTTGAGGATGCCACGGTGCCGTTGGCCCGGATCGTCCAGTCCGTGTGCACCTGGACGTGGATGTGGATACTAATCAAGCCGTGAATCAGCGATATATTAAAGCAAGGGTCTCGCGGGCCGTGAGACATGATCCAGAGACGATCGATGGTCCCTTCGCCTCGATGACCTTCAAGCCACATCTCAAGTCTTTGATGGGGTAGACACTCAGCACTACTCAAGAAAAGGGGACTACTAACGCTCGCTCAACATAGAAGCCCGGGACAATTCCCGTGAACTCGACAATACCATTGCTGTCAGTGGGCCACTAGAGCGTGGAGTCAGCACACCTCGGATAGAAATTTGCCGGGTTCCTTGCAAAACTTAGTAGGGCTCGTTGACTCACATGAGCGCGCAGGAAGGTTGTGTCGTCCGTGTGAAGATCATCGCCAATAGTCTTGTTCAACTGCTCCAGGAGCTCCTCGAACGGTGTGTCGGGGTTCTGTTTGCTGAACGAGCTGTAGGATCCCGTGGCGTTGCAGTACCAGATATCGACGAGGACATCATCCAGCGGCTCGCATGTATTGACGTCCATAACGCCAAGATCAAGGAGCATTGGCACTCCCGCCTGGTCCTCCGTCATGTCCTGCCGCAGAGTCTGTGACTGGGGCCAGATGTATGGCCCAGTGGTCACCTCCTCGGTGAGGATACAAGTCTCATTTTGAAGGACATGGTAACGGCGCCTCGGTGGTGATGGAGACTGTGGTGTTGCCGTCACGGCCAACGAGATGCTTATCATTCCGCTTCGACCACCGCTTCTTGTTCATCGCAGCAACAGACGATGCGCATCTCTTGGACAAGTCGAACTTGCGGGCGTGCAGCTCGGGGCTGGTCTCATGGGGATGAGCAACAGCGAAACCGGAGAGCAGAGCCACGCCAGCGGCGATGGTAGTGAATGTGCGCATGGTGGATATCAGCGAAAGTATAGGCGTCTTGCCTGAGATTTCAAACGAGTGGCTTGCGGAGACGATATTGGCATTCAAACTATCCTCGACACCTCATGAAAACGTCCTCACAGTCTTTTATATGCCTATGTTCAAAAATAGGACCCATTGCCCCTTAATCGCCACTGACCTCTTCGCCATGGCCTGGAAGTTGGTCGAAGTACGCGTCAGGACGTCTCGATGCACCGTCACCTTCCCGAATAGCACTGTTGGCCACCACAAAGATAGGAGAAGTATCGTGCTCGCCAATTGAAAGCCTTGTAATGCAAATATATTCTGGATCCACGTAAAATTGCCCACCGTGTGTGGTGAAGAAGACCCACAATATCTTGTCCCCGGTCCTCCTTGCCCACATCCCGCGTGCGGGAGCCCCATCGCGCCGGTAAGGCTTAAGATCTGAGTCTCCGCCATCTGACAGGCGAGGAAAGAAATTCCGTCGAAGCCCACATATTGCGGCTGTTCTTCTTTGCAATCCGGGTGTGGCACTGCCCCCCCTGAAATCTTCCACGTCCTCTCTCGAAGGAAACGCCCGCGGGCTCACAACGCTGGATTGCGCATCGTGTCCCACTATTGATGGAGAGCTTAGGGATACGGTACAACCCATTGGACGGACCGGCCCCGAATTCAGGATTAGTATACTGGGATCGCCAACTGCTTACGAGTCCCGCGGGCTGTGTGAATCATGCATGTTTATAACCAGTGTGTCGCAGAGGCCAACACTCGGGACGAACTGGATCGTCACACGGGCTCGGGATCTGCTTGTCAAGCCGAAACTTGCTGCCGTAAACACAGCGTTTGCTGTGTACCATGCAAGAGCTGTCCTCGCTCACATGGATCGGGGGCCCCTGGAAGCCGCCAACCTTGCGTAGATCGCGTGTGCGACGAAAGGCCGGCAGCCTACATGACATTTGCGGACTCCGGGCCGCTACGGGTCGACTTAAATTCGGCTGCATACCGGACGTCGGACGAATCGCCGCGTCTTCTTTTCCCGTAAAAGGGAGCTTCGTTGCACTTAACAGGAAACTAAGGCTTCATGAGCTGGCTCTCACAACTTGTTCGATTTCTTGCGACTAATAAAGCAGCTACCGACGCGTAAGGGAGGGAGAGCCACACTGTTGGCTGGGTGGGACGACCTGCAGTTGGTGTAGGTGGTCCTAGATATACCTATACTCCAAGGTTCGCCTCGAGTCATTTTCCAACATCTTTGATGCGGCCTTTATTCCTTGGACGAGGCCGACCACAAGTTCTCTGGCGTTGGTCCAAAGGTCGCAGGGTCAAGCAAACGCCGCAGGAGCTTGCTTGGTCGTGCTCGGACTGATGGGATACCGCGCTCTTGTCTTTCAGACCCTCGAAGACCGGAATTGCAGATAACACAGAAGATTGGTCTGAAGACAAGCCTTGATCCTCCAATCGTGCAATTTAACAGCGTGTCGTAGAGATGCATGCGAAGAGAGAGGGCTCTTGAAGCTTCGCTTTTCGGACCGCTAGCCCATGTAGAGAACCCACCCTCAGCAAGTTCACAACCCGAGTCTGTCTCCTTTTTCAAACCTGAACGCCTTCGCTAATGCAGAATACAAGCCCGGAGACAGTTTATCCCCTGAGCTTGCTTCAACTGGGGTGTCACCAAGATTATGCTTGCTGCGATAAGGTCGCTTCACTGCAGCAACTCCTCACAAGTCCAGTCCTCGTAGCTAAAAGGGTTAGCAAGACGGGTGTGCCAGTAAGGAGCCAGGAGACATACTATCCATCGGGCATGTACCGCCGCACAATCAGGGGAACCTTCTTCTCGCGCAGCTCCTTGATAGCTATCTGCAGCGGGTCGGTTTCTCCCTCGAGATCGACGAGGACAGGAGCGTTCATGCTGTGCTAATGTCAACCTTGTCGTCCTTGAAGTATTGCGCCAGCCAGAGCCGGCCCACAACGCGAGCGCGTACCTGATCTGCAGGGCCCGAGTGCCCAGGATACGAGCCTTCTCGTACTTGGTCATGTAAGGCGTGGTCGTTCGCTGGTCGTTGGGGATCTTCTTGTCCTTGTGCGACTTGAGGCTGTCCTTTGCGGCGGCTGCAGGGTCGCCCGAGGGGACGATGTTGTCGGCGTCCTCGTCGGCTGCGCCGTTTGCGCCTGGCTCGGCCCCATCCTGGGGCTCAGGCGAGTAGTACTCCTCCTGAGGATCGTCGTCGTCGTAGTAGGGCTCCTCGCTGCAGAAAGAGAGCTGCCTTAGCACACTATTCCTTCGAAGCGCGCAACGGCGCAACCAAAGCTGAGACTTACCCTCCTCCGGCGCCTCCAACCTCGTTCCCGAAGTCATCTTCACCGCCACCGTAGTCAGACATTATGCTCTAAGTATGCTGGATGTGTTGGCGAGTGTCGAGTCGGGTTCGTGGGTGAGCGGGCGAGTTGGGATCGGTCCTTTGTGCTGGCTGGGACGGGAGTGGAAATGGCTGGCTTTGCGACGAAGCAGGCAATCGCAGAAAACTTTAGCTGTACCGAAAGGCTGAAATTCACAGGTATGTACTTCTAGTGCTCAGCCAATCAGCAGCCACAAATTTTGCTAGGGCCCCACAACAGCTGACTTCACATCGGCCAAGGCTGTAGAAAAAAGTTCAAGCAACTGCACTTAACGATCGACGCTCAACTCACCCTGCTCCACTGACTTGTCTCTCGCACGCCGCCAAGCTGCGAGCGCCAAAATGAAGCGCGAGGCAGATGGCGAGGGATCCCAGGGCCCATCGAAAAGACAATTGGTTGATCCCGGCCTCGAAATCAGCACAGGCAAGTGAAATCGCCTGATATTAACGGGCTCACACTCCATTGCTAACCGTACTGCAGCCGAGGAGAGCGTCTCTCACATCGGCAGCGACGATGCCACAAGTCTCCAGACGCCAGCCGAAGCTCAGACCTCACCGACTGTAGTGAGCGCGACTTCCAGAGCCTCCAAGAGACGCAATTACCCTTCCGAACAAAAGACGAGCAAGTGCACCTGGCCGGGCTGCCCAAAGACCTTCAACCGACCTGCACGCCTCCTGGCCCACTTCCGCTCGCACACCAACGAGCGGCCGTACAAGTGTACCCACGAGGGCTGCGACAAGGACTACACCGAGAGCAAGCACCTCAAGCTGCACCTGCTCTCCCACACCAAGGAGGCCAAGTACGCCTGCGACAAGTGCGACAAGGCCTTCGCGACGGGCACCAGGCTGCGCCGCCACCAGGCAGTGCACGAGGGCCAGGAGCGGTACCGGTGCAGGGACTACCCGCCGTGCAATCAGTCGTTCCGCAAGCACCAGACGCTGCAGCGGCACGTCCTCAAGGAGCACCTTGGCAAGAAGGCGTTCCCGTGCGCGCAAGAGGGCTGCGGCGCGTCGTATGACACGGCCAACGCGCTGCGCAGCCACCGCGACAGGGACCACGGCGAGATCCGGTTCTGGTGCGGTGAGTGCTGTGAGGAGGCGGCGCGGAGCCCGGGCGACGAGACCAAGCAGCCCGTGGGCTTCACAACGCAGTTCCTTCTGGACACGCACATACGCCAGGACCACGTCAACTGCATCTTCTGCGACGTCCGCTTCGCCGGCCACTACCAGCTCGAGCAGCACATGGAGATGTACCACTCCGGGCTGTCGGTTGAGGACCGCAAGACGGTGGCGTGCACTTTCCCCGGCTGCGCCAAGAAGTTCACCAAAAAGGCCAACATGAACAACCACTACCGCACAGCGCACGAGGGCAAGCGCTTCGTCTGCGGCAAGGTGAACACGTTTGACGTCGCCGGGCTCGAGGACTGGAATTGGACCGAGGAAGGCTGTGGCGAGGGCTTCGTCGACAAGGCCAAGATGTCGCAGCACATCCTCTTCGTGCACCTGGGCAGGCCCCGCCCCGCGACTGGCCCGGGCTCGACTTCCACGGCCAAGGCCTCGTCCTCGGGCCACGTGGCCAGTTTTCTTAACGAGATCTCCGGCGTCGCGAACCAAGAGCGCCGCCAGGCGGTCTGTGCCGTCCCCGAATGCACCGCCCGCTTCATCCGCTACGCCGACCTCCACAATCACGTCCAAGCCCAGCATCCCGAGCACGCCGCCGGAGTTGAGCTCCTGGAGGAGTCCGAGGTCCCGCGCCTGCACGACGGCGAGGTCATCTGGGGCGACGGCGGTGTCGACGCTGATGGTGTGGCTGCGCCGGGTGAGCCGCAGTCCCCGGACTGGGGCCTGGTCGATGACGACGCTGTCGCCAACGCGGGTGCTCAACAGCCGCCGGACTGGGACAGCGAGGAGGCGAACTTGATGCAGCTGGTCGATCTGGATGCGGCCATCGACCCCAGTCTCCTGCTCCAGGCTTGATGTGTGGATGGATGAAGACAGACGTTGTTGTGGAAGGGGGGAAGATGTTTGCTTCTTTGCTTTGTCGATGGATTTGAGCTTTTATAGAGATACCCCTTTTGGTTTGACACAGGCGCAAAAATGGCACGGAAAAGTGACACAATACAACGGAGAAGTACAAGGAACATCCGATGGCCACAGCAAAGTGGATGGATGGATGGATGGCTATGAAAATATTTGGCAGAGGTTGCCGAACCAGCCACCTCGGATCAAAAGAGCAGTAATTGATTGATAACAGACTCTTGAAGGCCACAATAATACTGCTTTGATTCCATGTGATGGTGGTGCTGAGTCCTACAGCCAAGGTACATGACATATTGTCCTGGTTTGGCCCTTTTCCCAGACCAATTTTGGTATCCTCTGATGATGAAAACACTCGAGATCCTCAAATATGAAATGTCCCCCCATGGCACCTTCTTCCAAATTCCGTGAGAACTCGCGATCTCCCCAGGCATAAGAGACCGCAAAGTAATTCACATGATGGTCTAAACGACGGCGCTGGATGATTGAGCAACTAAGTGGAGCTTCCTGGTCTGCGGCGCGATTGAGTACGATGAGGCGTACAAAGTCATCCGCTTGCAGAGGCGCATAAGAATACTGATTAAAGGGCGGCATTACGCCGCTTCCAGCTCAGACGACAAGGCAGTCAGACTTGTGAGCTCAGTAAGAATTGTGCACTGAGCACTTCTGTCAGAACATGGAGAGGTGGAAATGCTCGAATCGGCTCTTCGGCGCCGGGTGACATCGCTTCTGCAAGTTTCCCATCCTGCAGCTAACTTGCGTTGCTTGCGGCCCAATAATAAGCCATGGTTGAAGATTAGATTCGAGGCAGGTAAAATGCAAACGCTTCTGCCTGCGACAACTTACGTGCATATGACTACCCCAGATTATCGCCTAGGGGATCACCTCCCGACGTCTCACGTCTCATGCTGACCATGGAGCCGTTCCCCCTCCCCAAAAGCATTTCTCACCTATGACCATATTTTGAACAATTTGACTAGATCGAAAGGTTAAGCCCAAAAGTTTACATAAGACCAAAGAGTCTTGTGGGACATCAAGACAGGCAAATTGATAGGCGGAGTCCGCAGCAGACTGCCTACTGGTACATCGACTCGTCACGCGTGAGTGCCCAAGTCGGGTTTGCTTCTCGCACCGGATCTCCAAATACATGTTCAATTCTAAAGCATTTCAGAGTGAAAGCTGAACTCTACAAGCAGTCTAGTATTTCAGTTTTCTTGCGGTAGCTACTGTGCAGCTCGAAAGGCCCCAAAAGCCTTTTCTCGCGATCACGCGGATGAAGATATTCGAATGTCTCCCAAGATCCGTTTTGAATAGCAGCCTGCTAGCAGGGACCTTGGTGACGCGTTCTCCACCTTTCCAGAATGGAGGACCACTATCAGCCGTTAAATCCTTTCGCTTCCATAAGCGGCCACGTCGAGGGACGATGCGACGCGTGCGGGCACGATTTGTCACGAGACTGGCCTGATCTTTCCTCTGTATGCCCCAGATTCTCTTATAAAAGGTATAACGACAGCGAATGGGAATGGGATAAGGGTGTACAAGCTGGGTGCTCATTCTGCGGTCTGATTTCAGATGTGTTCTGGGACGCTTGTGGACGGTTTATTGGCATATCTGACGATTCGGATTGGCCTTCTGGGTACTATGTGCGTCGGCGGGTTGGTATACGATTGCAGAGCAGTACTAGTGGGCGTTACCTCCTTATTATCAGTAATATCGGCATGCCTGCTCCTCAGATTGGCGGGCTTCCGGACTCGAGAACGTGGACAACGGGGTATATCAATGTTTGTTTCGACGGTAAGTCGCTTTTATAGTCACACCCGAGGACCTGAGAGAGCTCCACATTCCGCTCCATGTCCTCGCAGCATCCTCATCGCCGACTGAGAGTCTTGCAACGCTTCTGCTGACAGGAAAGCTCAGGTACAGGCCATGCAGAGTCGAATCTCGAGCCATACCAGAGAATTGCATCGCATCCTAGCTCCCCTGAATCGATAAACCGTGCTCGGGAATGGCTCTCTACATGCAGGAAACATCATCATGCATGCTCCCTGAGCAGCACCAGCAAGGCTCAGCACGTTGATACGTCGAATCGAATACCAATCCGGCTGATCAAGATAAGTCAAAGCAATCCTGTACTGGTCAACATTCCAGTGAACGAGTCCCCTCCTCACTATGTGGCTTTGAGCCACTGCTGGGGTTCTTCTCCTCCTCTGAAAACATTAAAGGACAATATTACCGATTTCGAATCGCAAATTCCCATCTCCCTCATTCCAGAAACCTTCCGCGATGCCATTTACGTTGCTAGGTCGCTCGATTTTGACTATATCTGGATCGATTCACTTTGCATCATTCAGGATAGTAAGGAGGACTGGGAAATGCAATCAAACCAGATGGCCAACATCTACAGTATGGCGGAGCTGGTACTTGGGGCAGTACGTGCTTCATCTGCGCACGACGGCTTCCTCAAGTCTCGCTTCCCGCACCGCGAATCTACGCTGAAAGTTCAAAGTATGAAAGAATCAGGAAAGGAGTTCCCCATACGCTACCGACTACTACCCTTTTCAGATTCACCACTCCTGGTAGAACACCTCTACACTCGCGCGTGGGCACTCCAGGAGAGGCAATTGGCGCGGAGGTTCCTTGCGTATGGGCTATGGGACATGAGCTGGGCATGTGTGGAGTCGTCATGTTGTGAATGCGGAGTGAGAGGAAGTCAGTCGCCTTCCGACCCTGGTTGGGCTGTGCCCCATTTCTCAGAGGCTCTTGAAGATTCGAAGGCACGGGGTCATGCGCCACTGATTGGCATGGGAACGCTTTGGGAGGAAATAGTGCTCAAAGCGTACTTTGGCCGGCAGCTGACCTTCCCGCATGATAACTTGGTCGCTGTATCAGCTCTAGCCTCGAGATTCCAGGCGGAATCTGGGTGGACTTATCTCGCAGGACTATGGCGAGAAAATGTCATTCGTGGGCTGCTCTGGGGGCCAAGTGTTCTTGGACTTGACGGACCTCCAGGACCAGTCCAACTGGATCATGTTGCCATTAAAGACCGACCGAGTTGGACCTGGGCTTCCCTCTGCACCCTGGATTTTATTCCACACACGCATCAACCTAATGAGCATGAGCTTGTTGAGGTCCTCGAGACGAAAGCCGTTCCATCTACAGTTGACCCTTTTGGCGCAGTATCTGAGGGGCTCATCAAACTGTCGGGAATATTATGGAGGGCGTCGGCTGACTCTGATGCTACCAAAGGCCTTCAAATTCACGTACATCATTCTGAGAGATTCACGAGCGAGAACTTCAAACACGGAACCCGCATTGATACCCTGACACTGCCATCGTCAGTCGTCGTCCTGGATGGAAGGACCGAAGTCTCAGTCAGAAGGGCCAAAGAAGAGGACATGCCGCTTCCTCCAGGTGCTGGGAAAATCTCGGGTTCTTTCTTTGCGATCCCGGTTTTGATGCAAGACGAAAGATTTCCTGGCTACAGTCTGGTCTCAGGAATACTTGCGGGTTGGTCGCCGTCGGTACCTGGCGGCCTTGAGAGACTAGGGGTGTTTGGACGGCTTGTCCCAAGCAGTATAGGATTGGAGGACATTTTGGAAGGCTTCGAGAAGCAGAAAATTTGTCTCGTCTGATGCAGTTCACTTGATTCGTGACGTACCCGAATGTTCTCAGCTGCAGATAGCTGGAGTTGGCCTATGCATCCAGTGCGAGTTTCTTATTTGAGTAGATATTCCCGTTCAGGATATCGCCACGGTGGACTGCTTATAACTTGGCAAGCCTTTTGTTGTGGTCTGGCAAGCGTATTTCATGCTCTGCCTGTAAGTCCATGCGCTCCGCGACTTCGACTTTCTGGGTGGATTGGCATCATTGTGGCAGGGTCGATTTGGCCTGGCAAATACGCGATTGTCTGCATTCGAAGTGGGCGTATGGCTAAGTTCTGGGTGCAGAAGGGGCCGTAGGGCACCCTTTTTAAAGACACACGGATATAGGACGTATCCCCTATTCACTGGTACTCCCTATCCACCACCACAATCGTCATACGATTTCCTGGGTTTTGGATTGGCCAAATTAACAAGCTGATTTCATTTTCAATTGAATACGGGGATTTGCACCTGCAAAAACAGAGGGTACACCGGCACATCTTTAGAGCAAATCACCCAGGCCTAATTCACACACCCACACCCACACCCAAACACCTACACACCCAATTCATACGCCCAATCCACACACCCAATTGACGTACACAATTTACATGCCTAGGGTTAGCCAGATGTGCTAATTGGGTATATAAATTAGGCGTTGGGTGTGTGAGTTCTCAGGTGGTTTAGTGCTGGCAATGTACCGGTATACCCTCTCTGTTTGCAGGTGCGAATCTCTGATTTCTTTTTATTTATTTTGGGCACCGAATTCCTAAATTCAGGCCTTATTGTTTCGTCAAACCTCCTATCCCGAGCTTCTTATTGAATTCCTCTGATCTTCCATGGTCACTTGTGGCCGAACCGCCATGACTGTGAAGACTCTGACAACTTCCATCGCTGTCGTTGCAGCGATCTCGACGAGATCTCAATTTAGTTCCTGACTGTCAACTGCCCCAATAGCTTGAAAAGGGGAGCTTGGCGCTCTCAAGATATGAGCCCCACCAGCAGCCAAAGAATTCAAGAACACTGGCTCCAGATTCCCCAGGGCAAGACCGCGTGTTCTTTTTGTGGACGTTCTCGTTGTTGGCCGAAGCTGATGCAATTTCCACCCCGACCCACAGTCGCGCCGGGTAGCCTTATATTTGCCAGCAATAATGGATCTCTGATGGGTCTCGGTCTGGCAGCATGTGGCGGAGCCGGGCCGGGTATTGAAAGCGCTCGGTAAGATGGAAGTCGTCTCGGATTATAAGATTGCTTGATCGTCTTCCTACCGGCGATCGTCTCGCTTCCAATCGTTCTTGGTCGTCACTCCTATTAATCATTCCACCTTCTACCACCCAGTCTCCCTCTATCGCGAGCACCACTTAACAATAGTTTTTCCACAGCTCGAGTTCTCGTCTCCGCTTGATATGAACCAGAATATCGATGGATGCCGTGGGAAGTCGTATATATTGACATGTGGCATAAAAGTCACCAGCATCGTGGGTATAAACAAACATCGTGTCAAATTACCATCAAACAGGCTTATCACCGTCAAGCGCCCGCCAATGCTTTACGCCATAGAAGGATCCCTTGTGCGACCGCCAGTAGTGCCGTCGTAGGATGGCGCTGGCCCAGTAGTGCCTTCATAATATCCTGCTGGCCCAGTAGTGCCGTCGTAATATCCTGCTGGCCCAGTAGTGCCGTCGTAGGATCCCGCTGGCTGTGTCGTGCGGATAAGCTCGATCTGGTCGGTGACGACAATGCCACGCGAGTTATTAGTGCTCGAGCTGTGATCCGTCGGCTTGCCACCCGCGAATATCCTCGTCACGTGGTTGTAACGTCTCGAGCCGTCCGAGTACCCGGGCCTGTAGTTTTGCGAGCTGGACGGTACGATGCCCTTGAAGACGCGGCGGTATAGCGGTCGGTATGTCGCGATCGAAGTCGCGAGGAATCCGACCATGATCTCCACGTCAGCCAGGAAGATAGACGGCATGCTGTCCCCTAAGGATCGCGGCGCAATTAGTCAGCCTGCGTGTAAAGACCTGCGGGTTTCTGAGGGCGTCACTCACAGCTGCCATCTGCAGTACTGCCCAGATTGGTGATGTAGCGAAGCTGGACCATGCTGACGATACAAGCGCTGGTATCAACGGGTCAATACTCAAACACGCCTGATTATTGGACACGAGCGTCTTACCTTCCGCCGGCGACAAAGACGGCCAGTAGCCCTCGCTTCTTTGACTTGGACGCTTGAAGTTTCCGAACAACTGGGATCGGCATCAACAAGATGGTGATATCGGTGGATATGTTGATGATGTAGGCCACGAGGGCCTCGACGCCGTAGTTGATGCATTTGCCATGTATCGACGGGTCCCAGGTAGCCGAGATCGGAATGCACTGCAAGTTGGTAGCTATGATCACCTGCAGCGCCAACTCGGCGACCAAGGCGGTGACAGCCCAGGAGAGAATGTATAGCCAGCGCGTGTTGCCAAACAGTTTCCGGTACAGGCTCAGGATGCTGAACTTCAGCAATGCCAAGACGACCGCATAGATGTTTTCGTCGATGAGAAATAACTATTCGCAGTTGACGTGGTTAGTGATAAGGTCCCAGCAACTTGGAATGACGGTATCGATCTTTTCGCCTCGGGTTTGCGGACAGTGAGTGAGATGATAGGAAACACTGACAATCTGAAGCATGCGTGGATTAGTTACAAAAATTATGTGTCGACCAGCGCCGTACCGAGTGATCAGCCCTATCACAACATTGTAGGGTATGTAAAAAACCTGCACTTCGTCAGTCTCGGGGGCCACGTCAACCTGGATCGATTCAAAACACACCCAGGCAGCGATGGACAGGTAATCGCTGGCGTCCAGCTTCAAGCGGCCATGGTTGATTCGTCGGGACCACAGGCGGAAAGCAACGAATATTGTGGCCAAGATGGGACATATCGTAGCACAGGCGATGAGGTTGGGAACGATGTTGTCGCTTGCATGCTCTTGCATATATGCGACCTGCTCCGGGGTTGGAAGAGTAGGACCTGGCATCTTCTCGGCCGCACAACCGCGGAGGACACAGGGTGAAGCCCAGCAGTGTTAAGTCGACATCAACGAGGGTACTTCCCGATGATCTCGATCGCCACGAATAATAATTCGAGCCGGGTTTTGCAGAAGTTTGCGCCTGAGCAATAGCGACTCAAGACCGTGAAGAAAGAAAAAAAAAAAAAAAAAAAAAAAAAAAAAAAAGCGTAGGGGCGGACAGTTACCACATTCAGACCGTGTCCGGTCCTTACCTGGAAAGTGGAAATTCTTGGGGGCAGGATGTCCTGGGTCGAGTTTGCTTCTGCAAATGTCCCATGCAACAGAGACAATCAGCACACCAGCTCGGGTCGTCCGAGACCATCCGAGAAAGTTACAGTAGCGTGATGGTCGCCATGTATGTATCTGACCTGATCATTCGCTGACAGGATTGATTGACTGCAGACGCACTCTCGCCAATGCATCGAGGGCAACCAACACATCTTGGGCAACCACATCGGCGACCCCAGCAACCCGCGCTTGGTGCCGACCAATTTTGATTCGCAAGGTCCATCGGCCTGGCTAGGGACCGAGCCGTGCCGCAGCGGTGCATTCGGTTGCGTATTCTGGTGGACTCGGGAGTGGGAGCCTGTCGCGCCTGCCGCCAACAGTTGCTCCTTCGCTCCACATTCCGAGATCTACTTTTCCTGGCGGTGCGCCATTGGAGCTTGGGAAGGATTCCGGTGGATGCACCGCATGCTCACTGCATGCTGACTGCATGCTGACTGCACGATACTTGTGCCATGCAGTCAGGCTGACCGAGTGACCGAGGATGTGCCACACATCCTAGCATGTGGACTTGGTAGTGCTGCAATTTGAAATTTCAACAAGACACCTTGGGTTCACTTGAGCCCTGTTGGGTCCGGTTGGGTTCTTCTAATTATAGTATGATAACTAGTGCGTGGCAGTCACTACCACAACGAGGGCACGACACGTACTTTGGGCTCGCAGCAATCATTGGCCGGGTCTAGTTTCTATTCATTGAGAAGCGGAAATCCAGGATCCGCCTGCGACTAAATGGCGAAATGCGGGCAAGATAGGTCGTCAATATCACACGACTTGGCAATGGTGATGAAAACATGCACACATGTGGAGGGGACCCTGCTCGGGGGCCAAAGAAACCTTGTTCAGGAACCCGAGGGGATGGATCAATATGCAAGGCACAGAACACCATCATTGAAATCAAAAGAATTCGGCTGGTATAGCTGGCGCGGTTTGTGTGCAGCAAAACCAAAGGGCGGGCTGCAAAGATGCATGACCATTCCTCCCATTTGGATCTGCCAGTGGCTGTCCGCCACAGTTTTCAGCGAGCATACTGCAAGTGCGCAACACGCCATGATACACTGTCTCCTTGAAGTTCCAGAGGTCTCATCAGTGTGGTCTAGTGTAAACCGCCTGCAGGTTGCAGTAGGACTTCATTCCTTCGACGCCCCACTCAACGCCGAATCCACTCTGCTTGTGACCTCCAAAGGGGGCGTTGGGCACGATCTCAGCATGCGTATTGACCCACACATTTCCCGACTTGAGTTGTTTCCTTATGCGTGTGGCTTGTTCGTCGTTGCGAGTCCACACTGAAGAACCGAGTCCAGAGTCAGTTTTGTTAGCTCTCTGGATGACATCGGACTCATCCGACCACTTCAGCAAAGGAAGCACGGGGCCTGGTGCACGTCAGCAAAGTCGATTCCAGCACACTTGACAAAGATCCAACAGGGTGAGATACTAACCGAACTGTTCCTGCTCCACGATTGCCGAGTCGTCTGGAGGGTTATCGATGACAGTGGCGGGGAGAAAGAAGCCCTTCTTTTCAGCCAGTGGCTGGGTTCCCCCCGCCGCGATCTTGAGCCCAGCCTCTTCGACGTCTCCTAGCAGGGCCTTGAGACGGTTGAAGCTGTCTTCGTTGGCCACAGGTCCCAGGAATGAGGTTTCGTCCACTCCGACTTGAAGAGTTCCCACGTGCTTCACCAACGCAGCCAAGAACTCGTCGTAGATGGACTCGTGGACGTAGACACGCTTGATGGCCATGCATATCTGGCCCGAGTTACAGAACGCGAACAGACCGACCTTGGCCGCCGTGGCCGCGATATCGACGTCGGCGCATACAATAGCAGGATCATTGCCACCTAGCTCAAGCGTAAATCGCTTGAGGGTCGCGCTGCAGGACTTGGCGATAAGCTTTCCAACCGGACCAGAACCTATGATCACCGCCTTAGCACTCGCGCAGTTCGATCGGCCGCTTTTTAAGTGGGACCCCTACCTGTGAAGCTAATCATGTCTACGTCGGGATGTGCTGTGAAGTGAGGGCCAAGGTCGTTGTCTCCGCTCAGAGCCTGGAAGACACCGGGAGGGAAGAAGCGCGCCCCAAGCTCGACCAGCTTCAAGCAGCAGTACGGAGCGAACGGGGACGGCTTCAGTATGAAGGCATTTCCGGTCAGCAAGGCAGTTCCGATCTTTCCACACGCGAGGAAGATGGGATAGTTCCAAGGGACAATGCCGACAACCACGCCAAGAGGCGAATAGTGGGTGGTAATCTTGCGTTCAGGCGTGTCCTCGAGGACCTCCTCAGGAAGAGATAGGCCGTTGAAACCCTTGAGGAAAGCCAAGCCGGTGGCAACCTCATGCCGAGCCCACAAGAGCTGGTTCAGGAGGTCAGAAGTGGGAGCCAGCGCACACAGAGGTGGCCACTAACCGGTTTCCCTTGCTCCTTGTTGAGCATCTGGACAAAATCCTCCGAGTGCGACTCAAAGGCCTCGATGAAGCCCTCGAGAGCCTTCTTCCGCTCGTCCCAGGGCACTTCAGCCCATTGCCTTGCTGCCTTCTGGGCTGCTGCCACTGCCTTGTCGACGTCCTCTGCAGTACTCAGAGGAAGTGGCGGGTTTTCCTGCAGAGTGGAAGGGCTGATAGTGTGTCGCGTCTTGGCTGTGCCTACGAGTTTCCCATCGATGACATTGTGGAAGGTCGTGAAGTCCAAAGGAGTGCTGTTTGAAGTATTGAGAGCCATGGCTGCGTTGATTCGACCGGGAGTTGATAGTAGCTTGGAATTGAATTCAATGTTGTTGATCAAAGGCACAAGAGTAAGGTCTCAGGAGTCAGCAATGTTGGACGACATGGTTTCCTAAAATGCACAAGCCTAGTTCTCTTCGGAGGCTGTATTCAGCTGTGCTACCCAACAGATGCCGAGGATTACGAAACTACCAACAGCAGGCACGGGAGAGCAGGCTGCCTTACGCGGCGAGTAAGGGGGCCAGAAAAAAAATGGCAATGTAACGGCGCCCGCCACACCCTGTTTTGAGGAGTGCAGGAAACTGCGACATGTCATAAATTGCAGGTCGCCTTTTGCTCGGCTGCTCAGTTGTGAGACCACATGGACGCAAGACGGGTTAGCCGAGTATAGACGAGTGAGGGTTACACTGAATAGCATTGGTGATACCTAACCAACGGGCATTAACGCCATGCAAGTAAGACCAACAGGCTGTGATACATGAACTGCGCCTTGCCAGTTGGTTGGTTGGGTGGCAGTAGGAAGTACGGCGCGTGCATATACTTAGTACGGGTCGCACATGCGGCTCAAGGCTCCACCAAGCCACTACTGCAATCCTTCGCAGATGCAGTCCGAGTCAACGGTTGGTGACAGGGGCGGCCGGCTCCCCCAATCCTTCCCACGCGATGTATCCTTTCGTGTACTCGGTAGGAGCGCTTCGGATGGTCGGAACAGTTGAGGCAACCTCAAATCGCACAGATTTTCAAGACTGTCCAATGATGGATGATCCATGCCAGTGTACGCCAAGTACACGACGAGCTACTATTGCCTACCCTAGGGGACCTCCGTCAAAGACTCCAGACCACGGCTAATCATTCCCACAAATTACCTACCAGGATACATGGGATACAATGCCGAAGTCAATGAGTTTATTATGCATGTGGAGTCTTCTCTAGCCGTAATTGAGTCGATGAGTCTAGACCCGACCCCAGATCTTCGCAACCCATCTAAATCTCCGTCCCTACTGGGCCCAAACAGGCATCAAGAATAGTCCGAACATCCACAGGGGGAAGAACTTCCAGGTGAGAATGTCACCTGTCCGCGTCCTGTCCCGAAGCATGTTTCCTGCCATCACAGCCCCTGCGATACCCGAAATCCCTCCTTTCATCCAGCCTACACCCCAGTATGACGCGGCTATGCATGTCCAGCCAATGATGCCCAACACGGCAAGCAGTCTGGCGTTCATATCCCCCACCATGTTTGGCAGAGTCTCCCTTCCAGCCGCCCTGTCTCCCTCCTTGTCTCTGAGATCCTGAGCATGGCTAGTCGTGGCGATGGCTCCCATGATCATGAGCACCCAGATTGCTGCATCTCCTTTGCCAGACAGCATAGAACGCCCCGTGATGACCTCAAAAGGCCCGGCGAAATAGCAGCCAATGCCCATCCCATTGATCAGGTTCTTGACCAGGGGATTCGAGGCTGCACCTCGGTCGTCGTACCAATATGATAGACACATTATCGATATGCAGGGTACTAGGCCACCGACCCAAAGTGAGAGAAACAGCACCGTTGGGCGCACGCAATAGAAAAGGCGGGTTGCCTCAGCCGGTGTAAGACGCCTGGAAGGCAGCGGCCTCCAAGGCTTGTTCACCATGTCCTCCTTGATCGACGCTTCACTTCGTTGGTTGCTCAGGTTGAATACCAGAAGATTTGTCCAAGACCAGAGCAGCATCTTGGGTATGGACACCAATATAACGGCCAAAGGTTGGTCAGGCCCCATCGAGAATCGCGACGCCACAGAAGCGCTGAGTGAAGCGAATAAGAGCCCTGGAAGGATAACGTCTATAACGTTGTTGCAGGTAAACAAATAGAGTGTGTAAATGTGATATCTAGGGGACTTGAGGCCCTGGAGCGGGTTGGGACTGAAGAGATGCCATGACTTAGCGGTTGGTCTGTCCTCTGAACTCTCCCGTCGACAGGATGATGACTGATTCATCTTGTGAGAAGTGAACAGCGTCGACGTGAGAAAGGAATTTGAGATGCGTGCGAAGAGATAATTTAGCCCTCGCACGGCTAACCTTCCTGGTGGTCATACTGTATATAGTCTCGGCCCTCGCAGGCTTCCGAGTGCGATTCCCCGATCAACATGACTACAATGTTGGATGGCCGATAGGTCCCAAGGCATACACGTATCGGCACAGGAATGACAGGACAAGACAAGGGTTATTTTCGGTCCTACTGTTCGCTGTACAAGCGCCTGACTTACCTGTTGATTGCGCTAAATTACACTTACGCAAGCTAGCAGGGCTGAAGTGGTAGCTTGCAGTCAGCAGGTGGGTCCTCAAGTGCTCATTGCATGTGTTTCCTAAATAGCACAAAGGATGACTTCTAAAGATACCATGTATTCTCAGCCCCCACCTGGGAATCACGCCCAACTAGAATTCAAAATTGTACTTCATGTATATACCCATGCCCTGATTTTCCGATAGGCTGTCCATCTCCCCGCCCAGATCTCGCGGCAAAATCCTTGGCACAGCCCACTGGGGCTGAATATTACGCAGCGCTCCGCTGCCATCGACACAAAGCTAGCTCTGGACTCGCATCGTGCTTGCCGGACGCCGCCAACACCATGAAGACTGCTGTGCTCAGTGCGGTTTTGGGTCTCGCAACCCACGCTGCACTCACGGTGACGAGTTTGGAACTGGAGAGCTTCTTGCTGCACGTTCCAGCCTTGATGGTCTGTTCTCTGCTGGGCCTTTTCTATGCATGTCAGCTGGCGGGAGCGTCTACAGGAGAAAGCCTCTCGGAAGTGACGAGAATTGCCATTGCGTTCACCGGCGGTCTTTTACTCAGCATCGGGGCATACAGACTAGTCTTCCATCGCTTAAGGAGATTTCCTGGTCCGTTTCTGGCCAAATTCACCAAGTTTTATGGATTGTGCCTGGCGGCCAAAAACGTGCAATACCAGGAAGAATTGTCCCTGCTACATCAAAAATTTGGAGACTTCGTGCGCACTGGTAGGCTGATACACCATCCTCCAGCTGTACAAGATTAACGAATCATACAGGCCCTAGAGAAATATGTCTCTTTCGCGACACTGCAGTTCTGGCGGTGCATGGTCCTGACTCACCTTGCCGGAAATCAACCTACTACTCACAGGTTGATATTGATCCCAAGAAATGCTCCGTCCATACATTGAGGGATCATGACGCCCACAGGCGGAGGCGAAGGGCTTGGGAAAAGAGCCTGTCTATCAAAGGTAGGCGGTTGAATTAGCCATGCACCAGGCTGCAATTTGTAAGAATGCTAAAGATTTCCAAGCTATTTCTACTTACGAGCCGCATATTAGACAGTTGGTCGACCTGTTCATATGGCAAGTATCACAGGGGGCCCCTATTAATGCCACAGATTGGTCAATGTTTCTGGGGTTTGATCTCATAGGTAGGGTTGGTCTTGGAAAGGACTTCAACTGCCTGGCCAACGGAAGACATGATCCGAGGATCCTCTCATTGCACGAGAGCATGGGGGTCATAGGAACTCTTGGACACGTCCCGTGGCTTTTGTTTCTTTTATCACGGATTCCGGGCGCAACGGCGAAGTACTCGGGGTTCTTCGAGCTGTGTGCACACGAAGTGGAAACCAAGATGCAGGTAAGGTCAGATAGTAGCGCGATATATTGACTGAGAACTAACAAGATGAACAGCGATGGCAACCTGACCAGGCGCCTCAGGATATTATATCTTGGGTCCTCAAGGCACTCATGGAGAAGGACGCATCCGCACCGCCCTCAACGGCAGCACTGCATGAAGACTCTCGCGTCCTTATCGTCGCAGGAAGCGACACGATCGCGACGACGCTCACTTGTGCACTCTTTTACCTTGTAAAGAATCCAAGGGTACTGAACAAGTTGCGATCCCAAGTCGACGCAGCCATGCCCAGTCCAGCAGACTGGACATACGAAAAGGCGAAATCAATCACCTATATCGATGACATCGTCGAGGAAACACTTAGACTCAAGCCACCACTGCTCGTGGGTGGACCACGTGTTACACCTTCAAACGGGATGTGGGTGGATGAGCAGTTCATCCCTGGTGATACCAATGTCATTACTCCGATACAGCTTATTCACACAGATCCAAGATATTGGAAACATCCGGATGAGTTCATCCCCGAGAGGTTCGGGGAGAGGAAAGACGAATTCGGCACCAATGCTGCTCCTTTCTTCCCGTTCCAACTTGGTCAGTAATAATTTCGCACCTAATTCTGTTCCCAGAGCGAGTGCTGACCGACACAGGTGCCTACTCCTGCCCGGGAAAGAATATGGCATACATGACTCTGCGTATTGCTCTATCGCAAATTGTGCAGAAGCTCGATTTTGATTTCGCCCCTGGGGAGGGTGGGGAGGGATTCAGAACTGAAACAAAGGAGACATTTGTTGCCACATTGGCACCTTTAATGCTCCAATTTGCAAAGAGAACGAATTGAATGTAATTCCATTCTAACTACATCATAACATCGTCCAGGTCATAAACCTTGATTCTGATGATACGCTCTACAAGACGTCGAGGACCAACTTTGGAAGACGCTGTGGAAACCTACTCCTTTCTCAAAAGAATGGCAAGACAACTATCAGTGCAGCAATCCCGCGCTGTCATGCCGGGTGCCAACGGGAATTCGGCAACGAAGACAAATGTTCAGATCGACCTCCACTGCGAGCCAGTGTCGGCACATGGGTCACCACCAACGGTGACAGGCATCTCCTTCAACATCACTGTAGGACTGGTACAGGACAGCCGCTTGCTTCACCTGGACTACAATGCACACTGGACTGTCATGTTCAAGCAACTTGCTTCTTCTACCTTTGGCCGTTGCAACCACGGTGCTAGCCTTCAAATGCTGCTGCATATATTTGAGTTCGGTCCGGTCACCATTTCTAATGACAAATCATACCCATCATGGGTTCCTGACCGGACAAAGTCTCGACGCCGAGATCTGCCGCATAATTCTGTCATCAGAAATGTGGACGAATTTGAGACCTACCCTACTTTCCCGTGGACTTCTCAGAAGGCCACGATGGCGTTTTGTCACGATTTGGTGCAACTTCATCCCATCTGCGCCTATGAACAGGTCATGTGGCAGATCTGTTACCTGTGCGACAAAATTTCATCAACCACCAGAGAACGAGTGCCAGAGTAGAGAGCGGCTTAAGCACATACGCGGTTAGGTGTACTCAAAGGACACCTACCCAAGGCCACGGCAATCTTTCGGATGGGCAGAGGCTAATACCAGAAGGTAGGATCGTAGGCCCAGCAGTCTGTGTCGACTCTGGCGGCCACCATAGTTCTAAACACAGCACTTCTATTGAGACAATTCTGGTCGATGACACGCGGGCGAGGGCAATACGTTACGCGCTTGCTTTAATTCTCAGCAAATTATCAAGAAATTAGATAACTAGAAATGGATCAACTTGACGGCTATGTTTGATGCTTCCGAGTGAAACCTATTTTAAATGCTCGTATGGGATAAATGTACCCAAGTACGTGGCACTTTCTATGCATCTTCGCAAACCCCTAGTCCTAGATAAACTGTGAAAATGGGAAATACTGGATGCTACGTGCATACTCCTGTCGGCAACGAGTGGTGTGTTCAGCAGTATAACCGACGCCTGAGACCCCAACTTAGAAGATCTCCTCAATAGGGTCAATAGTCTTCCTTATAGCTGTCCGGCTGTGGTCGTTTCATCACCAGGTTTCTTTCTAGTGGACGGTACAGCTGACCATGAGCAGTATGTTCAGTATCAAGCTATCATTTTGTACGATTGCTACACCTCAGATCAGAACTCGAGTCTCGTACTTGAGTGTCTAAGCTACCATGATTATCAGCACTCCCTAACTTATTGGCCATAGAGTGTGGATCCGTCACGAAACCTAGGAAGGAGAAAACGAAAGAGGAAAAAAAAAAAAATGACCAATTCGACCAAGGTAGTCCGTTCAACTCCGGTAGTCTCCACGGGAAAGAGAAGAAAGTAAGCTCCATGTGGCAGGAAATCTCCCCTAAGTATGCTGGCACAGACATGAACGAAGAGAGACGTAGGGCTGAAATGGCCCAAACTCTTTTGCCTTTTGCAATGAATCTGTAGCAGGATCGATGGGCTCTGGCAGATGTACGATTAATTGTATTTCAAGCGGGCGTATGGCTAAGTTCTGAGTGCAGAAGGGGCCTTAGGGGACACCCTTTTCCAAGACGTACTTAGGTTACGTGACCCCTATTCACTGGTAACCTCCATTCACTGCCACACAATCTCCTTTTCTTCTTATCTTCGTCTGTAACAAATGTTCCCATTGTTCAGATGTATAACATCTCCGCACACCAACCCAGCCCATCAGTGGTGGCCAGCAACTGCGTTGCTCACTCCCAAGAGCACCATGCCCAGGAACGCAAAGGCAATGCTCAGGTTGCGATTGTGGTTCAGGCTTAAGCTCTCGACAAAGAGCTGCAGAGCAACACTCGCCATGATGCCCGCCGTTGCAGCGAACAGGATCGCGTAGGCGGTGTTGTCGATTCCGACCCCCTCGCCGGAGCCAAAGAACCTGAATACCAGCCATGCTATGCCAGCGCCCATAGGCTGGCTGAAGCCGCCCAGAAGACTGGACCAGGCTATCGCTTTCAGGCGCGAACCCAGGGCCATGTACAGTGGCAGGGCCATGGCAAAACCCTCGGCAATATTGTGTACGAAGAGGGCCATAAATACGTTGAAGCCGAGCTGAGGGTTGGCGTGGTTGGTGGCGTAGGTGATGAAGCCCTCGGGGAACTTGTGCAGCGCGATGGCGATGACGGTCTGCAGGCCGATGGACAGGAACGCGTTCGCCGGGACGTGGTGGTGATGAGCTGCGCCGTCTTGGGCTTCGAGGTCGGTGCTTGCCTCCGACATGTGGTCGTGGGAGTAGTCGTCCTCATCCGGGTGATGATGGTGGTCGTGATGAGGATGATCGTGATGGCCCGCCCCGACCGCTGCCTCCCGCGATTGGGTGCGGCTGGCTTGACCCAAAGGGCTGAAAGGCGAGGCCGCCCCTGAATCGATCTCGCTGCCCTCCTCTGACACCCTCTCAAACAGTGGCGCAGTAGGTTGAAAGATGCTCGTGTTCATTCGCGACGCGGAGCGTGAGTTCTGTCTCGAGATTGCAGACCGCGAGCTGAGATGCTTGAAACATTCCTGCCCACAGGGATCACTGTAGCCATAGCAAGGGCCATTTACGTCACAGGTTCTCTTGGTGTCCTTGACGAAGGACATGACACGATCGCGCATGTCAATGAGGGATGGACGACGGCCAACACCGATAGACGAATGCTTCGGGGCCAGTGCCTGTTGGCGCAAGCCATCCGTGACGGCTGACAGGCCATGCTGCTGGGGATCGGGATGTGGCCGTCCGTTGGCCTGCTGGTTGCCCGCAGATTGCAGGAGCGGTGTGGACTCAGACACGTGCCGATGGCCGTGGGAGTCGCCGTGTCCGTGGCCGTGGGAGTGGGAATGGCCATTTTCGTGCAGCTTCGTGACAGTAGTTATCCGTCTGCCCTGGGACGACAGCCGCGTCCTCGCCCTACCGATGCGCGACGGCTGGCGGCTGACACCATCGGCGTGGTCGTGTTTGGCGTGGTCTTCGTCCCCATCCGCGTCGTCGTGGGTGTGATCGCAGTCGACCACATGTGAGGGCATGACGCGGTGAAGCAGCCTCGACACGCCCTGTATCCCCAGGAAGCCGCCGACGAAGCACCCCATCATGATCAAGCCGGCGTCCATCGATTCGTACTTGTCCCTGCGCAGGTACTCCTCGGACTCGGGTAGCATACTATGCAGGGCCGAGAATATCTGTAGTTGGCGGGTTGGTCAGCAAGAATGGATATAGCGACGCCATGCGTGTGACGCCGAGTACAGGCAATTTGTGGACCATTATAGCGGAGAGGAGGGATCACAAACCATGACGCCAAAACTCAGGCTGAGTGAGCATGCCAGGAAAGAATTGCTGTCCTGTATGCGGAAGTCTTGCTTGCCCGGGATATAGCGAATCACCAAGTCGACGCATATCACACAGGCGCCTATAACGCAGGCTATTGGGAGAGAAGCGATGTTAGCAGTGACCCGTTGCCTGTTTCATGCTCTTTTCTCACTTTGTTTCTGGCCACGAGGCCGTGCCAGGAGTGCGGAGGTCAGAGGTTGGAGGTTTGGACGGAACCGGGGTCACCCACCTATGCCGCTCACGATGCACATGATCCACCCGCGGGTGTCATTGCTCACTTCTGCCACCTCCATGGTCGGCTGTCAGAGCCCTCTGGCCCTCTCGCTGACACCTCCGTCGTCCTCCTTGGATCTGGTGCCTGCAGTAGCTGAAATAGTGGATAGAGATGGTGTATGTAATGGGTGCGCGTAATGGGAACAAAGACAAAGCGAGGACTTGAGCCGCCTTGGACGGGGGGAACGGTGACTAGACTGGTGGTTTGTTTTCCCCTCGAGCGTCGGGCGGCAGGGGCAGTGCAGTGCAGTGCCGCTGGCTAGCGAGTTGAGGCCCGGAAGGTGCGTTTCTATCCTCCTGCCGTCTTATTGTGTCCAGTCTGGCGTTCTGTGGAGGTGTTGTGGTGCCCAAGTATCCGGATGCGACTGACACAAAGGGCTTGTACTGGCTGCACAAAGGTGACGCAGGTGTCGCTTGGGGCTTGGAGCTTTGCTTGTAGCAGCATAGAAGACGAGCAGGGCCGAAAGGGGAAAAGATACGGCACGGCACGATAGGATGTAGCAAGATGGAGGCGTGTAGTGCGTGATTTGAGAGGTCTTATTCTATTTCAAAACAGGCCGACCAGGACGGCCGGAGAGACTGTTGAGAGTTGGGTCAGAGACAGGAGGAAGCAAATGTGTATCGTGGGCAGGCCATCGGGCTGAAGACCATGGGCCACTCACGGTCTTGTCGATGTCATATTGTCGCTGCTAGCTGGTGCTGGGATCGGCGAAAAGCAGAAACGGCGTGGGGCATGCCAGTGACGGGCGGGCGCGGATGGCTTGTCACCCTGGGCCGCCTGGCCGCCTGGCCCAGCGACTCAAGGTTGCCCCTGACAAATAGCAAGCTGCCCTTTTTCAGCACCGCGTCCTGCAGTTGCAGGTGGTCTGCGAGAACCTTGATGGTCGTCGCCCCTAGTGTAGAAGTAACAGCCCGACTGCCAGGTCAGTGCGCCGCCCCGGCTGCCCGGGAGGTCCCTTGCGACAAGGCCCAAGCCAAGTCATGGCTGGGGGCTTCCTCGTGTGCGTGGTCTGGAACAAGGCGCAACAGCCGCCGCATGAGGCATGCAGCTGATCTGATGCTCGGTATCCCCACAGCCCAGTTGACCCTCGGCCATACTGATGGTTGTTGCTGCCGCTATCGTCTGCATACTTGTGACATTGTTATCACACCGAGTCTCCGGCTGCACAGCAGCTGTAGCAGCATTGTATTCTGCCGTACGTGCACATCGTCTGCAGTCTGCTGTTGCACTCGATGACGCCCGTCCGGTTGATTGCAGGACTGCAGCACGACATCACGGCTGCACGCAAGCAAGAGTCAGCCCCGCCCAGGTTTGAGTGTGCCTCTCTCTCATCAAGGTTCTCTGCTTGTGACACTTCCCTCTCTCCTCTTCTGCAGCCGGCACCAGACAGACGGACATTCTGGACCGTTGGGGTCTTGGGGCCTTTTTGAACACAGTCAGACAGCCTCACAGCCCGACAGCCAAAACGGTCACAGAAACCCCCTAGGTCAAGCTGGGGTTGAGCAGGTCAAGCGACAGCAGTCAGCGACCGACGGCAGCAATCAGATGAGAGAGGCGTACTGCCGGCTACCAGGCTAAAATGCGGCAGATTGACCACTACCTGCAGGAGCTAACCCGGTGTGGTAGTAGGTCTTGGCCCTCCCAAGCTGCATCCCTGCGAGGACCCCCACGGCACGACACGACACGACTCGACTCAACACGACCCGTGCAGCACGCGGGAAGGCTGACGAAAATTTCCCAGCCCAGCCCAGCCCACCAGCCCGTCTGGCCCCGACGTGACTGAAGCAGAGCAACTCACGCCCTCAGCTGCTCAGCCTAACCCCACGAGGCTACCCAACATAGGCCCCGTCCCTCAGCCGCGTGAACGAGGCCTGTTGCCCGCCTCGCCCTCGCCTGACCTCGTCACCTACCTCACGAGGTCCCTCGCCTGCGTGCCCGTATAAATCCCATTCAAGCGCCCGCGTCCTCACGACGCCCAGCCGCCACCATGTCGAAAGCCACATTCGCAATTATCGCAGCTGTGAGCGCTGGAACTGGCGCCGCCGTCACTGCAGCTATGATGCGACCAGACAAGAAAGACTCTCCCTCCAGAATCGTCACCACCACAACCACAACCGTCTCGACCGGGGCAGCCCCCAAGCAGCCTCCCGTGCCCGTCCCGGCACAGCAGGTCTTCTCGTCACAGCCCACCACCCTCGCCGCCCCCGTCAACCCGGCTGGCCTCTTCGACTATGGCTTCCCCGGCCCCATCAACGACCTCGCCACCCGCTCTGCCCTCATTTCCTCCTACGACCGCCGCCTGCGCAACCCCCACTGGGTCGTCGAGCACATAACCCCAGAGTCACTCGCCATGCGCGAGGGCGACCGCAAGCATAGCAACTTTGCCGAGGACCCTTCGGTCCCGGACAAGTTCCGCGCCCGGCTCAAGGACTACTTCCGCTCCGGCTTCGACCGCGGCCACCAGGTCCCCGCCGCCGACTGCAAGTGGAGCCAGCGCGCCATGGACGACACCTTCTACCTGTCAAACATGTGCCCCCAGGTCGGCGAGGGCTTCAACCGCGACTACTGGGCCCACTTCGAGGACTTCTGCCGCCGCCTGACCGACCGCTACCCCAGCGTGCGCATCGCCACGGGGCCCCTGTACCTGCCGCGCCGCGACCCCGCCGACGGCAAGTGGTACGTCCGCTACGAGATGATCGGCAACCCGCCCAACGTCGCCGTGCCCACACATTTCTACAAGGTCATCTTCGCAGAGGACGGCTCCCCCGGCGGGCCCGTGGCCCTCGGCGCCTTCGTACTGCCCAACGCCCCTATCCCCAACCAGAAGCCCATCACCGACTTCGAGGTGCCCCTCGAGGCCGTCGAGCGCGCCAGCGGCCTCGAGTTCGCCGGCAAGCTGCCCGCCGAGCGCAGGAAGCGCCTCTGCGCCGAGCACACCTGCGCACTCGTCATCCGCGAGTACGCAGAGAGGCAGAAGGCCTTTGGAAAGGACGGGCCCAAGGCGCTCGCGGCGAAGTGAATGGGGGTTAGAAAGAGACAGGAGTTCTCTTTTTTTCAATATGACACGATGCATTTGAAGGTGTAAGACTAGGAGGTCAAAGGGGAACATAATCAACCAGTGGAATTGGTCGCGAGCTTGCAATTTCGAGCGCGGCATCATCTCACTTTTCATACGCACGGCGGCATTGCGAGGCATATGCATTTTGGTTGTTGAGCCCGGAACCATGGTCTTTGTCACGTCCCTTCGTGCTCGGCAAGTGTTTCGAGTAGGATGGGGCAGAGGAAGGGGCAGAGGAAGGGGCAGAGGAAGGGGCAGAGGAAGGGGCTAGCAGATTGGAATTGGTTGCAACATGCATGGGCTGCTTCAATGAGGCGGCTTCACTACACACCCACCTCCCCGTCAGCTGGAAGCCCCCCGGCCACGGCGGCGGTAGATAGGCCTAGATAGTCAATGACAGAGTCTGTCTCCAGAGTAAACCATCCGACAAATATGTGACATGGTCACAGTCAGTCCCGGGGAAGGAAATCAACGTCGTCGAGCATATGAGCAGTCTGGGCGCTCTCCTCGAAGTCGTGGAACTGTCGTTGAAAACAATGCACTCATTGTCATGCCAAGCCGTTCAGGCCACGGCTACAGCCCAGTTTGGGATCCTCCACACGCAGGGAATCGCACTGCTCTTCGAACTCAGACAATACCATTGCGGTGCACACCACACAGCTTCTCACTCGCCAGATGTATTTCATCGTAGTTTTATTCACTACACACACTCATCTAGCCACATCTGTGTGCCCAGGCCTGCCTGTTCCTGGGTGCTTGGGATATCATGAAGTAAAAGTCTCCTTCCACACGAAAATAGTGGCTGCATTCATGCTGATCTCCAGTGCCACATGCAGCCTCATTTCGCCTTTTGGGCTCTGCTCCTGAGCCCGAGTGTGATATGTCCAGAACGCAACTTGACCATGTAAGCCGTAACAGCGCATGCAATTTGCGACTGTGCAGGACAAAAGCCCTTCATTGCGGGAGATTCAGGCTTTGCTTTCCAATATAAGCCCCTGTACTTTGGCAACATCCCCCTCGTCATCATTCTCGGCCGCCCTCACTGGAGGCGTACTCGTTGTCATTCTCTCTGGAAACAAGCCACGACTTATCTCTCCCGCTTTGCCCGTGGCGCTCGAGGCAGTCCAATTTGGGACCCGCGCAGCTGAATTTGTGGAAAATTACAAGACTGAACCGGGACCCAATCGATTGGGTCTTCAGATGGGCATTGCTCGCCCGGGAGCAATTTATGAGGCCGTTCTGCCAGCTCGTGCGATGTGATCCACCTCGCAGACCAGATCCAAGTATCTGGGCTCCGAAACCAGACGAGTGTCATCGGCTACCTTTCCTATACTCTGCCCCCAGGTTACCCTTTAGACGTGTGTTCTTCGCCGCGGGTCTCGTTAAGACAATCAGCCAAAATCTAAGTAGCTGCACAGCAAGCAGAGAAAGTATCGCCCACGATCATTGTGCTGTATTTGGTTCCTTCTCGACGATGGCGCTGAGTCCTTTTGGTTATCCTTTCAGTGTGCACGAGTATAGTTCCCTCTCTTTTGCTCCATCTTCAGGCTCTCCTCCTGACTCGGCAACGGTGCCCGTCTCCTAACCGAACCGTTCCCGGAGTCAGATCCGGGGCCTGAGTCTCGCTCCATGCCAGAGCCACCCATGCCGGGGATTGGTGGAGGGATGAAACCAGGTGGAAGTTGCGAGTTGGGTGGAGGAGGGAGAAAACCTGGAGGCAGCATGCCAGGTGGTGGAGGGGCCATTCCACTACCCGGGGGAGGCGGCAAAGGAATCCCAGCCTTCCTCATCATCTCAGCAATCTGTGCGAGATCGGGTGGGTTATTCGGGTCCATGCCGGGGAGTAACGGTGGAGGGGCGCCATTCAGGCCAGGAGGAGGTGGTGGGAATGGGAGGTTTGGTGGCTGCGCACCACCAACACCAGGGATGGGAGGCGGAGGGGGGACGTAAGACCCATCGCCAGGTAATGGCAGGCCGGGAATCCCGATGCCAGGGAAGGCGGACGCTGATTTGAGGGGCATCTTCTGGTCCTCCAGCCCATCCATCTCGTCCTCGGCCTCTTGAGCTTCTTCCTCCTGCCTCTGCCTCCGGTTCTTTGATCCAACAAATGTCCCGTGCGCCATAGCCGCCGCTTCACCAACATGATATTGATCTTTCAGGTAATCGATATCGCCAGGTCTCGCGCGCGTCCAGAACCGTGTGAGGCGGTCGTTGGATCCCGATGCCAGGATGTGACCCAGCGGGTGCCAGTCCAGTGACCAGATGGCCATGTCATGTGCGAACGGAACCTTGTGGGCCGGGTAAATTGTCTGAGCAGGTGCAGTCTCCTTGTCAGGAGCGTCGTAGACCGCAACAGAAGAAGATGTTCCCTCTGGAGTATTTGGCTCATCCAGAAGGTAATGGAAAAGGGAACCATCTCCGCCGCCGGTACTGAGAAGATTGGGATGCACAGGGTGCCAAGTGAGCGTAGACACATCCTTGTCGTGTCCCCGGATCAAGCAGATATCCCGCATCATTCGCAAGTCAAAGATACGGGCAGTCTGATCCCGGCCCGCAGTCGCCAGGCACAAACCGATGACACGTTCGAACATGACCTTGGTAACTGTGTTCTTGTGGCCATGCAGAGTCGTCAGGCAACGGCCATTTCGCGGATCCCAGAGCTTGACCAGATGGTCTTTGGAGCCGGAAACAACGAGGCCCTTGTTAGGATGCCAGTCGCAAGTCTTGGCGTCCCATCCGTGGCCTGTCAGAGTCGTATCCTCACGGCCAGCAGCAAAATCGAAAATCTTCAGGGTCGAATCATCTGAAGCAGTGACGAACTTGGTGTCGGTGGGCGCCATGGCAAGATCCCTGATAGCGTCATGGTGGCCGCGGATGCTCTCGACGTTGTTGAAATTGGGTTGCCAGTACTTGATGACACCATCGTGATCAGCCGAGACCAGCCAGTCGTCGCTGTGCGAGTACTCGAGGGCGCGGATGGCGGAGTCGTGGGCCTGCATGATGGTCTCGAAATTGAAGGCGGTGCCATTCCACAGCGTGAACTCTCCACTGCTCGAGGCCGTCAAGAGACGGCGGCCCTCTGGTGTCCATCGGACGACATTCACGGGGTGCTTAACCTTGTTGAGAGACTGATGGACCCAGCGACCTGGTATGGAGTCTGCCGCGTTGGTGGGTCTGGCGGCTGGCGGGAGCATCTGGAGGGTCTGGTCAGTCAAGATCGAGGAAAAGCTGAAGGACAACTGACATCTACCAAGTAGCTAGGGCTTGGGCGCTCAAACTCGCCTCGGTAGGACCCCTTGTACTTGGGCAGGCGGTGGCGCATCCAGTGGGTGACAGTCGCGCCATAGTCGGTCACGGGCCCTGTGTATGAATGTGGTCAGCAGCAGCTCGATGGTGTTGATGCGGTGAAACAGTACTGGGCCTGTTCTCCTTGAAGAACTCCATGTAGATCTTCATTGAAGTGGGAGCCATGATTGAGCTTGGTTCTCACGAAAGGTGAGATGAGCGCATTGGAAGATGGTGGTTCTGAGGCAGTGGGTGCGAAAAGGCGAGAGGTAGGTAGCAAGGCGCATTGAGGTGGTCCTGGGTCCATCCCGCCGACTCCTTTTGGAGCTAGCCAAAGAATTCATCAGATGCATAAAGGATATTCACTTGAACTTACGCCTGCCCTTGGCCTTCATGAAGACATCATAACCTCCTTCCTCCCCCCCTCTGCCACCTCCCTTGTCAAAGTCCCTCCGCGGGGCGTAAGCCATGATGGCTCAAAGCCCATGCAGTACCGGGAATGGAGACGTGATTCGAACCGTTGAAACCGTAAGACTGGCTTTCCAAAATGAAGTAAATGAATCGTCTGTTGAAACAGTGAGTTGGAGGCTGAAGTGAGGCAATGTTGATGCTGGGATGTTGAATGAAAGTGGACCGCTAGAGTCTGTACGGGAAGTAGCCTTGTCTACACTACGAGTATGCCAAGCAAAGGACCCAGGTGGACCGTTTCCAAGGGCACGGACCATGCTGCTGCTGGCTGTCACTCTCACTGAACAGTTGCTTCTGTCGGCCATTTTCGGCCCGATGTCACTCATTCTTCCGAGGGTCCTTGGCTTGGGGAGGAGCCTCTTGCTCTTCCTCTTCACGCTTACGCAGGACTATCCCTGCCTGTACTGACAGCACCCCATGGGATCGACAGCAGGAGGCTCTGCTCATAGCTGCAATACGGTACAACACAGCACCTAAGTAGACCACGTCAATTGAGAGCTGGTGAACATGGTCAACGAAAGCCGCAGGCGCTAGAGATGGACACGTTGCCCAAGTAAGCACACCAGATGGCCGTTAGGAAAGACAGACAGAGCTCCATCCTTGCATGTAGGAGCATTGGTATTGTGGATGAGGGGCATCCACGGCTTGCTTTGAATTGAGTTGTGGCACTCGTTGCAGGTGTCGGGACATGACGGCATCAGACTGCAACTAAAGCCCCTGTCCGCCATTGAAGGTAGACTACCTACTTGGGCGGTAGGCATGGGTCTAGTTGGTCCATGTACTTGCCGTTCCCTCTTACTACTGCTGGGTACTAGGTGATAATGAACCTGTTCCCGGCCAGCCCACGTTCGCACTGACTTGACAAGCACATGCCGGTGCGATGCAGATGCAGATGGAGGTGCAGCCGCGGACGAAGGTTGAAGGACGACCACTGCAGTCAGTCCATCCCAGAACTGTTGAGTCTAGAAGCTGCATTAGCACGACCAGGCCGAGTTTAATCCACTGGGCCTGCTGCTCCGCCTGTCCGCCCGTTCTGTTCTGCCCCCCTTCCAAGACATGACCAGGCAGTACTAGTACTCCTGTAGTCCGCGCGAGTGGCACCATTCCAAGCCCGAGGTGCTCGACTCTCTGCATCTCGAAAGTGTAGATCTCACTTGGCCCAACATTCCCGCTTCGATTTGATCACCTCGACATCACAAGTGCTGGAACTCGCAACTCCCCCGACTCTTCTTCTCTCAGGCGATGCGACGAATTCGTACAGCGCTCCGTGATCTCCGCCAATTACCCCTTCGGCGCTCAGACCACAAGAGTGCAAATTAATCTCCAGGCCAGAGGCGGTAGCGAGCAGGGTAACAACAAAGGAAACCACTCCATCGCGACTACTGACCAGCGCATCAACTCGGGACGACGCCATACTCCGGCTCTGCGTCATTCCCAATTGACCTCGACTCGCCGTCTGTGGCGTATCTAGCCCATCTACCTGCCTATAGTATCAATCACAGGGCCAATTGAGGCTCCCATGCCATCGCCATGGATGCAGCAATGTCAAGTGGCGTAGAAGCCACCGCCAGAATCGTCCATCGCGCCACCCCCAATCCTCCAACGTCTGCAGGGAGCCACACGGACGCCGACACCGAGGGCAGCTCCAACGACACAAGGGAGGACACCGAGAATCTCAAGAAGGCACTTCTCAGGAAGTATCGCCATACGGTAGCCGTGCATTCTCAGGTTAGGCCTTCAACCCTGAGCCATGATGCCCCTCAGACGCCGAGCTTTATCGGGTTCAGAAACCTCGGGCTTATCGTGCTCAGTAAGTTGGCATCACACTGAGCAGCTACACCTCGCCATGAACAGGAGTGTTGATATGTCAAACAGTCGCGGGAAACCTTCGATTGTTGATCGAGAACATACAGAAGGTTTGCCCCCCCCCCCCTCCTCCTCCCGGTTCCCTGCCCCCCCCCCGGACTCTCCTAACCACAGTGGAGGTGCAAGACGCTGACTTCAAGACAGTATGGTGTACTCATCTGCATAAGGTGCCATGACTTCCGCAGACAAGATGTCAAAGTCGGCCTGGTGCTCTACACCCTGGTGCCGTGCTGCCTGATGCTCGCGTACCTGATCGAGCTCTTCGCCGCGTACGAGGCGCGCACCTCCCGTCTGAAAACATTTAACAGCAAGAAGAACGGGAGCTCGTCGCCCACCCTGGAGGAGCAGGCGCGCTTCCGGAGCACCTGGTACTTAATCATGGGCCTGCACTTCGCCAACATCTCCACCGCGCTCGTCATCACCTCGCTGGTGGTCTACTATTACGTGAACCACCCGCTCATCGGCACCATCGTGGAGATGCACGCCATCATCGTCTGGCTCAAGACGGCCTCCTACGCGCTGACGAATAGGGACTTCAGGCACGCGTACCTGCACCCCCAGACCGGCGAGCGCGAGGCCATCCCCGAGCTATACGAGTCTTGCAAGTACCCGGAGAACATCACGTTTGGTAATCTGTGTTACTTCTGGTGGGCTCCGACGCTCGTGTACCAGCCCGTCTATCCTCGCAACGACAAGATCAGGTGGCTCTTCGTGCTCAAGCGCTCGGCAGAGGTGCTGGGCCTGTGTGTGGCGATGTGGATACTTAGTGCGCAGTACGCGGCGCCCACACTTCAGAATTCGTTGACGACGTTGAGGAACAGGGACGTGGCTGGGGCGGCGGAGAGGTTACTGAAACTGTCGACAATCTCCCTCGTGATATGGCTGGCGGGGTTTTTTGCCTTGTTTCAGTCCTTCCTCAACGCGCTGGCGGAAGTCATGAGATTCGGGGACCGATCCTTTTATGACGATTGTGAGTCCACCGCTTACCAAGTCAAGGCACTGCTCGCACGCCTCAACCAATATGCTTATCGTCACTCAAAAAGGGTGGAACAGCGATAGTCTCGGAACATACTGGCGGACATGGAACAAGCCGGTTTCTAGTTACTTCAGGCGCCATGTCTTCCAGCCTCTTATGGGGCGAGGATGGTCGTACAACTCCTCTGCGATAGTTGTCTTTACGATATCGGCGTTCCTGCACGAGTTGGCCGTCGGGATCCCCACGCATAGAATCATCGGTCAGTATCCCGCCTCAAACCACTCCGCCAGAACCCGCGGCCGCTGACTTTGCACGTCTCACAGGTGTTGCCTTCGCGGGGATGCTGTTGCAGCTTCCTCTCGTTGCCATTACCAAATCCTTCGAGAAGTCGGAGAACCCGACAAAGAGGATGATAGGAAACTGCATCTTTTGGGTCACTTTCTCGATATTTGGGCAGCCCGCCGCCGCACTTCTCTATTTCTATGCTTGGCAAATCAAGTACGGGAGCATTAGCGATAAGTGGAGATACGGCAGGACGTAGGCTTCGCGAGGCCATGGACTGCTGCATTGTAACAGCGCGGAGACACGCCAACACTCATTGGGCTCTGATTGTATCCTGAATAGCGTGTGTTTCTCGTTTATATAACTTTCAAAATGAGCACAAACAAACGCGATGAACATTCGCGCTTTAACTTTCTTAACATCGAATGCTACGTTGGAAACACTACTCTCGACCATCATTATTTTGACGTGAATTTCCTGCGTAACGCTGAAGCCCACGTCTGGGTTGATGTAAGCGGTTGCCCAGGAAAGTTGCCCGTGGGCAGTGAGCTAGCTACTCAGGTTCTGGTGCATCTCAGAGGTTTCAAGTTTTGGAAGCAGCATCTCATCAACCGATTTACTGCAGACTGCCCAAGTCGAAATGTCTCACGTGTTGTTGATAATCTCACCCGAGGCCCAACGGTAAACATGTTCAGCAAGGGCTTATGTTGAAGATGTATGCTTGTTACAGCATTTCTCCCGGATAACCTTGTTCCACTATCAATACATATGTGCAATTCATGCTTACACCTCATCACAACACAGCAGCCGGCCATTTCCGCCCGCTGTGCATTCAGGCTTGATACTGTCCATCGTGAACCGAGGTTGCCCGTAGTCAAGCCCTCTAGAGTATCAGTCGTCGTCCCCAAAGAACTGCCGCCACACATGCTTCAGTCTAATCTATGTCCTAGGGCACAAAGGGGATCTTGGTCCCCGTCTTCTTCTTGTAGTCGACGTACTCGTCCCCAAAGAACCTGACCAGGAAGACCTCCTCGTGCCTGATCCTGCTGGAGAAGAAGCGCCACAGCACGGCGGCGTAGGCGAAGAAGCACAGGACGTTGCCCATGGCCAGCTGGGTGCCCAGCCCCCACCAGAAGAAGCCGAAGTAGCTGGGGTGGCGGAGGGTGCCGTAGATGCCGGTGGTGATGAGGATGTGCTCGCGCTTCTGGGTCTGCTGGACGATGTGGTTGAAGCTGGGCCCCGCCTGGACCATGGCCGCGCTGCGGACGACCTGGCCGACGAGGACGAGGGAGATGCCGAGGAGCATGAGCAGAGGCCCCGTGCCAAAGGGCGCCCAGGACCGCGCCGGGAAGAAGACGCTGGTGACGAGGCACTCGAGCGAGGCGGCCGAGTGGGCGACGGCGTAGGCGGGCCAGTTGGCGGTCAGCAGGAAGGAGGAGACGTCGGCCTCGCGGGTGTTGTAGGCGGCCGTGGTCCAGAACTCGAGGAAGTGGAACGCCGAAAGCGAGGCCAGGAAGAAAGGGAGCCGCCACAGCGGGCTGGACGTCGTGGCGAGGACCAGAGCCGTGCCGATGACGCCCACGGCGAGAGCGGCACCCAGGCAGAAGGCGCGGAGCGCGATGCCGGCGAGGCTCTTGGACTGGCCCGGGAAGTAGGGCTTGTCCGGGCTGTAGGCCTCGAAGTGCGACTGGGAGGTCGGGCTGAGGATCGGCAGCGTGTCAGTGTCGGGCGGCAGCACTAGGGTCGGGGGCGGGGACCGCGAGGTAGCCGAGCTGGAGGAGCACGAGGCCTGTGTGTCAAGCAGGGCGATGTGTGCCAGCGACCGGCGCCTGTAGCGGCTGGTGCTGTCCCGGCCTGGGGAGCGGGGAGAAGACTGCTTCTCGTCTCCATCCTCTTGCGGCTTGGGGGCTCCTTTTGGCGGAGGGGAGATGGAGATGGAGATGGTGGACGTGGACGTAGGCACGGATGCGGATGTGGTGTAGGTCATGGTGAAGGCTAGGGTCAGATGGCAGCCAGGGTCGCGTGTGATATGCTCGCGTGAGTCCCACGAGGAGGAGGGCGAGGGATGGGATAGGGGCAGTGCGAAGGGGCGGAAAGCGGGCGCATTATGAGACATGAACGTCTTACCTTTGTCGCCCTCCGGGGCCAGGGCTAGCCATGACCTCAAAGACTCACAGCCTGTGAGGAGGGAGATTATTCAATGAATCTGAGCGCTCTGTGCGGTTGCTAGGTCGATCTTCTGGACAAAGAGAGCAAGCCCAGCGGCCGTGTCGTCGGTCCAGCTTCAAGCCGACGCCTAGTACGGTCCCTCTCCAACCCCCGGTGCCACTCTCGAAGCCCTAGAAGGACTTGCTTGTCCTATGAACCACTCGGTGCTCGGGCACAATCCAGCATGTCAAAGATGCCAAAATATTGTTCTCCGGACTTTTGCGGTCACACGGATTCCAGGGGTGAGTATAAGCCGTGCTTGAGGCGCAAGGATGAGAACGCGTCGATCCCAGGCGAGTCAGCGGATCGCGGCTGAAATCTGGCCGCAACCGGTACCGATGGCACTGTGGGTCTGCCGGGCCGGTACGGTAGGGATGTGGGAGAGCGGGGACCGGGTAGGCCTGGTACCTAGGTACCGCGTGAGCCCAGGCTGACAGAATGCTACGAAGCCCTCTTCCTGGAATACGAGGTGGACACTGGACACATTTACATAGCAAGAGCTTCTTCTCTGGCAGAAACCAGCTCACAGTTATTCCTGTGCTACACTCACTCAGCCCTTGTCCCTCCAAAGTCATGGCAGCCCCAAAAGTCGACCCGGTTGAGAACCGTCGCCGAATGGAGGCGGGAGAGCTCTACTACTGCTTCACCCCTGAATTGACGGCAGAGAGGAGGCGGGCTTTCCTCGCTTATACCCGATTCAACAAAGCAGACGATGTGTCCCGCCGAGAGAGTCTCGAGCTTCTCAAAGAGTATGTACATTCACCCCTCCAAGCTCCCGAGTCCACACTGCTTTTCTTGCTGCCGCTCCTTGGATGCTGATCGGGTGGCGGCAGGCTCATCGTCGACAAGACCCCGTTGCCGCCCAGGCTTCCCGAAATGACTGATGAGGAGGACGAGGCTCTGCTTGACGACTTTCCTATAGTTTACCCTCCCATGAGAACGGATTATGGGTATAATGTCAAGTATGTCCTGCACACGACCTGCTTACAACGGTTAGTTTGAGCGAACGACACTGAACCTGTGTACGGCAGGTTGGGGAAAAACGTCATGGTCAATTTCAACAGTACCTTTATCGACTCTTGCGAAATACGCCTCGGGGACCGCACCATGGTCGGCCCTAACTGCAGCTTCTTCAGCGGCACTCACCCCCTCGACCCAACCCTGCGGAACGGCACTCGAGGACCTGAGACTGGAAAACCCATCACCATCGGCGAGGACTGTTGGTTTGGAGGAAACTGCATCGTCCTTCCCGGGGTGACTATCGGCAAAGGAGTGACCGTTGGTGCTGGCAGTGTTGTGACCAAAGACGTCCCGGCGTATCACTGCGTTGCAGGTAACCCAGCAAGGATCATCAGGAAGATCGAGGTCTCCGGCCTCGAGACAACCGAGACCGAGGGCACCGAGGGCACCGAAGTCCTGGTCGGAGAGGATGCTGCAGTAGTCTGAAATCCAGCGTCGATAGCGTTTGTAGCCTTTCATAGACCCCCAGAGTAGGAGAAGGACGAGACGACCAGCACGAATACGTTCGCCCAGCCCCAAATGAATGGAATCCACGTCGTCATGTACCACCCAGCGGCTCTGTAAATGGCACCGACCCTGTTGGAAACAAAATTGCTGTCAGCAGCTGGCCATAGCAATTTGTCACGGGACACGGGGATACCACGAACATGGCACCAGTGACGCTTCCCGCGACCAACGCCTCAACCGCTGCGATGGCCGAATAGATGATAGGTACCGTCCACAGGTACTTCCAATTTGTCTTCTTCTTGCCAATCTGCACGATGAGCGCGATGCCTATGGCAGCCCAGTGAAAGCAGGCGTACATCACGAAGGTCCAGATCAACGTGAAGCGCCACATGTCGTCGAGATGGTAAAGGACAAACCGGTCCTCAAGGGGCGGCCAGAACAGAGACGGCCATCGTGGCGTGGTGTAATCGGCCGGCGGGAACGGTCGCTCTCCGTCCGCGGCGTGGATGCTGCTTCTCGTTTAGCTTTGCAAAGGGAGGTCGAGATCGGGAGCAGTTTCTCACGTTGGGTCGTCCATGGATTCGTCGTCTCCAATCTGTTGCTGCGTGCCTCGTGGTGGTGATGAACAGGGATGGCCTCCCGGGCCTGGCGCGTTGCGCTGCGTTTACTGTGTGGTACGCTGTCTGTCTCAAACGAAACGCAGCCCCCCCCCCCTTGTCAATTCGCATCATTCGCTCCCCCCCACCAAAAAAAAGCCCTCTTCGCGCGCGCCCACGCAGCGTTTTCACGCCTTCTTCACATATAATGCACACCTCATATTTCTTACTTTTCTTATAATTTATATTATTATTATAAATCAAAAAATTCAAAATGATATTATTTTATATATATTTAAGCAGCTTACATATATTATAAAAATGTTTATAAGGGGTGAAAAGGAAAGCAATGGGGAGGAAAGCGGCGCAAACGCTACGTTGGCGCGCACGCAAAGAGGGCTTTTTTTTTGGTGCGGTGGGAGCGAATGATGCGAATTGACAGGGGGGGGCTGCGTTTCGTTTGAGACAGACAGCGGTACCTAGGCGAGGTCAGAGCTCCTTCGCCGCTGTGCCGAGGTCCACAGCAGCAAGGGCACCTCCGGGATGCAGCCGCATGCCGACCGATCGACTTTCCACTTCCACATGCGACAATACACACTCATTCCTGTCGAAACCATCGACTCTCTGGATGTGTTCCGCAGTAAAATTTCTTGAAGCCAAGACTCTGATGTTCTAATCAACACCCACGATATTCAGCCCGCGATGCCGGCCGACCGCCTTCTCAACCAGCTGCTTGCCCTGTATCAGAACGTCCACGATGACGCCCAAACAGACCGCATCTTCGGCACAACTCTTTCCCTCCTCACCGAACTGTCGAACCCTCTCAACCTGTCACTCCTGACGTCCCAACTCCTCCACGCACCCGCGATATGGCACCAACGGCATGCGCCCGACCCGCTGCGATCCATCTGCCTGCGCGTCTTGGGTGTGTACAACACCGCGGCGATCCACGTGCGTCGCAACGAGCTCGAGAATGAAGACCGGAGGCAGGCTGGATTGCCCTTGACCGGGGGTGGCCTGACTAGCGAGGGGTGGGCCAGAGCGGTCGTCAAGGGAGCCGATGAGAAATCGAGTCGGTGGCAGCACTTGCTGGTGCTGGCAGGGATATTGATGGGCTTCGAGGGAAACGAGAGGCACGGCCTGTCCAGGAGCATGATCGGCACCCTGGAGCAAGCCGTTGCCACAGCTGCGAATCTTGCGCTGCGAACGCTGTCGAGAGAACCTCCGCTGGCTGCAGCGTCTGTGGTCCTTGCCCTGAACTACGCCTTTCCCCTCATGTCGGATAGCGCGAGGGCGTCGGTGGAATGCGACGCGCTGCTTCCCGTGGCAGTAAAGGCCTTGGTTGGAGATTCTGGGTACCACGATGGCGCGTTTTTGCAGCCCATCGAGGCTGATGTCGGGCACGCGGGCCAGAAGCTGGACTGGCCGGAGGCGTCCATGTCGTTCGCAGCCGTCCGCCAGGTCTCTTCGAGGCCATTGGTGGAGACCGCTGGGCCGCTCTCGAAACTGATCGCCTTCGCTGTCGAGCATGTGAGAGATCACCGTTTGGTTCTGCAGGCCCAAGACGAGCTTGTCGACTTCACGGCAAGAATACTCGGTCAATGGCGGCAAGTCAAGCTGTCTGGCATCGACCTTGCCGATGAAGGCGCATGTCTCACGGAGGACAGCTTGCGAGTCACCTGGCCGGCTCTTTGGCGCCTCCTCACGTCTGTTCTCTTCGCGGTCGTGGCTGTTCTACGGGCTGTGACAGCCAGGAGTCTGCTCGACCCTCATTTGAGAAACGATGCAACGGCACCTCTCGTCGCGGTGAAAACATTGCATATATACAGGAACCTGTACTTCATTTCGTCGAGAGGGAACGACAGCTTCCAAGTCTACGCGTTCTCCTACAATACTTGCATCGATATTCTGGCAAGGTATCGGGAGGCCGCCACGGCATTCCTGAGAGACACAATCATGCCAAACACTGACACGATACCGACGCATGCCCTGAACAAGGTGTTGGACCTCTTTTACCTCAACACGGCGGAGCATCTGCCATTGAACCTCACATCAGAGGCATGTGAGGCACTGATTATCCAGCCGGCGAGCATCTACCTATCACATTCAATGCCACTATCCAGGAGAATGGTCGAACTCTTCGAGGCAGCGCACTCCGCAACCCTTTCTGTCCTGTCATGCCCCCAGAACGGTCCCATAGCTGTCAGCATGGCCCCCTTCTACGCAGAGACACTCCTGGTGGCGTTTCCATCCCATATCTCCCCTCGGCAGTTTAGACTCGCCTTCAGGACCCTTATGCAGATATTGTCTCCTCCGTTTCCGGTGTCTGCCACTAATCCAGAACTTGCCGAGACGCTGTTGGAAATGGTCCGCTTCAGAATACCCACGGCTGGTCAAAGTTATCTTGCCCCCACCCCTGGCCAAGGCCAGACGGCACAGGAGCCCACATCGGAACAAAGCGCGCTGGTACTCACCCTGATTGATGCCCTGCCCTTTCTACCCTTACCGATCGTGGAGGATTGGATGACGATCGTCGGGACGGCTCTCCATGAGATTCCTGACGTCTCAATGAGGGAGTCCACGAAGCATAGGCTTTGGGAGATCCTGGGTTGTGGCGAGATGGACGTAGAAAGGGCAGCCATCGGCGTCGCCTGGTGGGGCACAAAGGGAGGTCGAGAATTGGTTCTCTTCGGTCCGACTCAGCAGAGAGGACAGGAGCCTTTCCTGATGAGCGGCGCAATTGTGGATGAAGAGGGTGCTAGCAGACTTTAAGCTCGGGAGGCAACCGGCTGCCTTTTGGTGGCCGCAGGCTTTCCAGCACCTGGCGATGTTACATCGATGTTTGTTTATCGGCCCAAATCCTTGGAAGAGCCTCAATCCACTGGATTAGCTTTTTGGCCCCGAATAGAGGCCTCACATGCCAGGGTGCTGTCTCGGTGGCTCTCTATAATCGGAGGACCCGAGTGAGGCGACTCAGGGTAGTATCACAGTCCGCCGGGCAGTTAGCGCGGACTTCAACTCAATTATCATCGCTCAGATGTAGACTTACATCACCCGTCACACTCGCTTTAGACGGCAGCCACTTTAGACGGACGCACTTACAAGGCCGTCATTCCCAAACAGCAACGGAAGCGCCGTTGACGAAAACAGGTGCTAGAGGCGGGGTAAAGACTGCTAGAGACCCAGAAATCGTTACACAGTCGCTCGACGCCAACGAAGCGCTTGCTACTTCTAGCGCTGGTGACGGAGGCCGCTCCAGAGCTGTGGCAGAAACTTGGCAAGGCCGGAGCTTGGAGCAGGGGTAGCTTAGCTCCCGGTGCCTCGTCTGAGCTGAGCTGGGCTGAGCTGCCCCGCAACCCATTGGGGGACGGAGACCAAGCCGCTCGTGGAATATGCTCAATGCATCAATCTCGATCATTCACGTTGCGGATGACGCCATGTCTCCCGCCCACCCTTTGTGTGGCTGTTACGAAACATTGTGTCGCTATGAGATGTTCTTGGGTCTTGAGGACGGAGGCCAATCGCGTCCCTCCACCTTGCCTAATACGCGATGTGACTGAAAGGCCTTGAGTGCTGTTACCGGGTTGACGTCGACTACCCAGCCCTGTTTGGCTGAGTCTAGACCTAACCGGTACATGTGCACATGTTGGAACGAGCCCTCGATCCCAAATCAAGATTCGGGCTTGCGAAGCATCGGGTGACCGGGCAGCCACCAAATCAAACGGCGGCCTCTTCCTCGTGGCTCTGGAAGCGTGGCGGACTATCGCCGGTAGGGTAGGTCTAGAGATGGACTGGAGCGTGGTCCAGCTTCCCTGGTTTCAGCCAGTACCACGCGCGGTACACGGCTTGCTCGGTGACGTAGGGCATTGAGCTGCCTCCCGTCCTCGATATCATGGGGGGTTGGTGAGAAGTTGGCCATCTATATAAGCCCGGAGCCCCTCGGCTCAGACAAAGAGGACTCAAATCTCAGGAACTTCAGTCTACAATTGAATATTTTACCACCAGCAAGCATATACAACTATCATAATGTCTTTCAACGACAACGACAACGTGAGAATCCCCCTCTCCATTCTACTGTATCTACATGGCACGCATGCTGAACTATAAAACAGTCCAACTACGGGAGGAACGACTCGGGCCTCGTAAGAGCTCTCCTTCTTAGATCCCTTCACACCACACCTCATATACCTGTCACGGTTCTAACACATCAGCAAAGGGCTCTGAGCGCCGCGGACAAGACACCTACGGGAGCGGCGGCAATGACTCCTCTCTCGGAGACAGCCAGCGCACCGGCGGCGGCTTCGGCGGCGACTCCCTCTCCTCTTCCAACCGCAGGGACGACAGCGGCCTCGGAGGGTCCACTGGCTCCGACTCCTACGGCACCGGGCGCAACACCGGCTCCGACTCTTACGGCTCGGGCGGTGACACCCTAGGCAGCTCTGGTCGCACTGGCGGTGGCCTGGATGACACCCTCGGCTCGTCTGGCCGCAACACTGACAGCGGCTTCGGCTCGAGCCGGAGGGACGACGACAACCTGGGCAGCTCTGGCCGCACCGGTGGCATCGGCTCGGACTCCTACGGATCGGGTGGAGATAACCTTGGTAGCTCCGGGCGCACTGGTGGCATTGGGTCTGACACCTACGGCTCAGGCGGGGACACCCTCGGCAGCTCAGGCCGTAACACGGACAGTGGCTTTGGCTTGAGCCGCAGGGATGATGATGACAACCTGGGCAGCACTGGGCGCACCGGCGGCATTGGCTCCGACTCTTATGGTTCGGGTGGAGACACGCTCGGTAGCTCAGGCCGCACCGGTGGTGTCGGTTCCGACACCTACGGCTCCGGGCGCGATGACACGCTCGGCTCGTCCGGCCGCAACACCGACAGCGGGTTCGGAGGCAGCTCCGGGACCACCGGGCTCGGCTCCAGCGGTGTCGGCTCCGACTCGTACGGCAGCAGCGGGACCCACGGCACGTCGCACGGGCGCGACAACGACTCGTACGGCAGCAGCGGCAAGACCGGCAGCGGCGGGAAGGACTCTACGTTTGGCAAGATCCTCGAGAAGGCTGGCGATGTCCTGAACAACGAGAAGCTGGAGCAGAAGGGACGTGAGAAGAGGGAGGGTGCTGGACAAGGCTCCTCGAACGATTACTAGATGCTCTTTACTGCGTGGCTGTCTTGACATCTAGCGGGTCGTGAAGTTAACATTTATCTTCATCACTTAATTAATGAATTGTTATGTCTGCCATCCTTGAGTCTTGACTCATTCTATAATCAATAGAGGTGTCTTCCGTGTAGCGCTTTTGCAGTCAGCAAGTGGCAGGTTTACCATTAACACAAGTATAAGAGATGCAGGAAGGCAGGAAGAATTATCACATGACAATAAATACTAGCTCACTACCCATGGTTTTACAACAGAACAGCAAACGTGTAGACTTATCCCACAACTTGTAGCCATCCCCAAGATTCGCTAGGTACTCAAGAGGGAGAAATGCATGAAACGTGTCTATATTCCATTCTTCAAAGTGTCCCACAGCAGGTCACCCACAAAAGATAGTTGTCAGCAGGCATATCCTATAGAAGTCGTCCATCAATAGATTACCCCATTCCTAATTATAGCACAGCCAATAAGTCATCTGATATATCTAAAGGAACGTTTATACATTAAGAGATTATCCCATAGGAGATTATCCCATAGAAGTTTATCCCATAAGAGGGTATCTTATAAGAAGTTATCCCATAAGAGGGTGTCCCATAGGGGTTTATCCCACAGTAGATTACCCCTTAGATCTCCTATGCTTATCCCATAGGAGATGACCCTACAGCCCATAGGAGGTTATCCATTAGGAGGTTATCCTACAGGAGGTTGTCCCACAGACCACAGGATGGAGTCCCATAGGAGGTTACCCTATAGACCACATGAGGTTATCTTAGAAGAGGTCATCCTACAGACCACGGAAGCGTATCCCATAGGAGGGTGTCCCACAAACCATAGGAGGTTATCCTACATGAGGTAGTCCCACAAGAGGTAATCCAATGAGATGCTGTCCCACAAAAGGCTACCAGTATCCCAGAGGCTATTTAGAATACCTAGGTAGAAGGGTGCTTCTGTGTGGATGCCGGTGTGCCGAGCAACAAGAGGACTGCACCATTAAAACATACCAAATACATAAGTCCTCGTCTGTTAAAACAAAGGATATTCATTCAAATAACATACTCTTAATCCTGCATAAGACTCTTATATATAGGAAGCTCCTATTATGTGTTATATGTGAGCCTCGCCACTGTCAGAATATATAAACTCTCTAAGCTGCACACTAGCAGCGCTTTTTATTTCTTACAGCCACCAAGCTGAGATCACCACATTACAAAATTAAACTTTCAGCATTCAAAAGATATTTAAAATGAGAATTAAAAGATTTGCGTCAAATGTTGCTGTTTCTTACCAGTAGAAGCCTTGTCCAGAGCTGCAAAGCTGTAAAGCTGTGACGCAGTCCAAGTCTCCTGGGAGGTTTGGGCACGGGGCAGGTTCCCGTGCACCCAGCCCGGATGACGAAATATTAGTGGGCCTGACTTTATAAATAGTGTTATAAGAGAGATATTAATAAATGCCAGGGCCATAAGCTTTAATAGTGCCATAAGGGCACTATTAAGTAACTTATAATTAATCTTATATTAATAAGGATATTAAGGCGTATTAATAAACAAGGGTTAAACTTAAAATAAAAAAAACTTAACTATAAATAAATAAAGCCTTAAAACATAAGGTTATTTAAGTAATAAAAAAGGCGTTAAATAATATTAAACTTATTAAAAAAGAAAGTCCCTTAATTTTTATTTTTTATTTATTATTCTTTTAACTTTTCTTTTTTTAAGCTTATTTTAATTTTTATATTATTAAATTATTAAGTTTAAAACGTATAAATATTTACTTTTAAGCACTTTATCTTAATTAAATGCATATTAAAAAGTAATAATATAACTTATAAAGGGAATTATTATAAAAGCTTAAAGAATATTTTTTAAGGGAAAATTATTAAACTTATTATTAAAGCTTAATAGCTAAATAAAAAGAAATAAAAAATATATAAAAAGAAAATAAAGAGTTTATTAAGTAATTTAACGGCACGATTAAAGAAATGTAAGCATACCATTAAATTAATAAAATATTTAAAGCTTATATTAATTATTTAATTAATAGCAGCTTTAAAAAAAGGTATTAACTTTTTTTAAAATTACTTAAGGTTTTTAATATATTAAAAAATATATTTAAGTAACTTTAAAAAATTATAAATATATAAAATATTAATATTAAGATAATTAAATCTTTTATAATACTTTATAAAATCCTTATAACTTAATTTAATTATAAGTAATTAATATAAATATATATAAAGGATATTAAGCTTTAAAAGGGTTATAATTTTAACTTTAAGGTTAAAAAGCTTATATTTTTTAATATATTATTTAATTATTAAATTTAAAAGTTTTTATTAATTTATTAATAAATAATTTTATATATTAATAATAATAATATTATTATTAAAGCATTAAATAAAAATAATAAGCTGCAAGCTTTTTTAATAAGCTTATTTATTTTTTTATTCCCTTTAATATTATAATATTTAAGGCTTTAATAAATATAAACCTTATTATAAGCCTTAGCTAGCCCTTAAAATTAATAGAATTTTCTTTAAAAAAATATTAATAAGATACTTTATAAGCATTAAATAATTAAGAAATTATTAATATAAATATAAATATTAATTAATAATAAATAATTAATAAGATTAATAATATAAAGTATAAATTTAAGCTCTTTTAAAGCTTTAATAATCTTTATATTAAAAACCTTAGCTTTATTTATATAGCCTTTTAAAGAATAAATAAATAAATTATTATAATAAAAGGTAAAGCTTTAACTTATAACCTTAATATTTTATTTTAATTTATTTAAATATATTATTAAATTTAAATAAAGTATTAATTTAAGTTATAATAAATAATTCTTTATAATAATTTATTTATTTATATTAATAATTAAAAAATATAAATACTTTAAATATGAATAAACTTATAAAAAAAGATAAGAAAAAATAAGTAAAAGCTTAAAAATATATTTAAAGTTAAAAGAAGTAAGTTATTAAGGGCTTTTAAGAAAAAGAATTTAAGTTATAAATAAATATATAAAATTAAAAGTATTTAATTAAAAAGTAAAGTAATTTTTAATTATAATAACGTAAAGCACCAATAAGCAATGCATACCAGCAAGCAACGCACTTTTTAACACTAATAGCATAATAATATAAATTATAGCATTATAATTAAAAAAATTTAATTAAATTTAATCGAAATTAAAATTTATAAACGATTTTATATCTTTCTCATAAGTTCACGCATTATGCTTAATCTCGCCGTAGTTACTATATTATCTTTTTAATAATCCACCGCAAACCGCCTTATTAGCGCCACTACTCATTTCATTAGCTAGCCGCTTCCTCTTTTCCTTTTCATTAATTAACTAACTAGCCTCTTATATACTAAGTGCTTCTTTATCTTATATATATATTTTTTTAGCTCTTTAACGCTTTAAAAGTATTATATTTACTTTTTATAAGGTTTTATTTTCTTAAGTTAGCAGGGATATTATATAAGCTAATAATTATATACTCTTTAATAATTAATTAATTATAGATAAAATTAATATTAAAGAGCTTCCTTAATAATAAGAGATTTAATCCTTAATTAAAGTTAATTAAGAAACCGCTTATATTAAGTTATATGGCATTTAAAAAACCTAAAGTATGGGTAGAGATAGGGAGCTTGGTATTGCTATTAATGTTTAAATCTTAATATCCAGCTTAGAAAGTATAGCTTTCCAATTAAATGGGATTAAACCTGCTTCTTTAAAAGCCAGCTTAATAATTTCTAGCTTAAAAACCCTCTTATATATAATATAAAAAACGAAAAAGAACTTTATCTTATTAATGTAGGTAATTTAAGCCTTGCTAAACTAAGTTATTTTCATATTATATGCTTGCTTTAATAAGCTAAAATACTTAATATTAAATGGCTAAAGTAAATAAAATAAATAAGGGGGTATATAAAAAGTAATAATATTCTTTACCTTGTAATATTGCTTAAAATCCGTAAAATAATGGCTTTCATACCTATTAAGGATTAATAGCCAATAAACACCCTTTATATATAATATAATATGTTTTTTAAAGTGCTAAATCCATTTCATAGCAATTTAATTAATTATTTATTTATTTAAGCTTATATTAATAACCTAATTATTAAAAAGGCTACCCTTAATATACCAACTTATAAAATGCATTTTAGCCTTAATAATTAAGAATAATGGTTTATATTACTCATCCCCATTAATAAATTTAATGGCTATTGCTTATTATTAATTCCTAAGTTATATTTACTATTATGGGCTCGGCCCCAAAGGGGCTGCAGACTGGCTAGCGCCTTCTCCCATAAGCTGCAAAATCAGCAACCTTTTAACTAAGCCAAAAGGTATGTAATAATTCAAGCTCCCTTGAATTACTTAGCCATACTATATAAGGCTTGGGCTTTCAGCCTAAGCCCATTACATAACCCCTTCCTCCAGGGCTCCCTCCTTATATAGTAGTATAACTACCCTTAAGGCTTACCTATAATATTGCCTTTTTTAAGCTAAAGATCTTCTTTATAATTAAGTAAGACCATGACTTAAACTTTTAATCCTAAAGCTTGGATTATTTATTATGGGCTTGGCCCCAAAGGGGCTGCAGGCTAGCTAATGCCTTCTCCTATAAGCTGCAAAAGCAGCAACCTTCTAATTAAGCTAAAAGGTATGTAATAATCCAAGCTCCCTTAGATTACCTAGCCACACTATATAAGGCTTGGGCTTCCAGCCCAAGCCCATTACATTTACTTTATTTATCTTTATTAATTAAAACATATAACTATTATTCTAAGTAAATCAATACTTATTATAAACCCAAACTTATTAAAGTTATATATATTACATTTAAGGATCCCATATTTATTGCATGTATTAAACATAAGGTTAAATTATGCATTTATTATATTAAGATCTTTATATAGGGCCTTCTTATAATTATAGGCGCAATTAATATATATTTTAAGGCTTAGTTTTAA